TTAGAAGTTATTTTCTACGTTTTTACTACTAATTTTAGTTACTAACTACTAGAAAGTATACTCTATAATATAGCTATAGTAATACTATAGAAATCTAATACTATAGTAATAAAATATTTAAAAGAAAATTACTTATAAGTAATAATTACTAGCTTATAAGTAGTAGTTACTCTATATAATAAATAAGGTACTATATAAATAGTTACTATAATAGTCTAAGACTACTACGCTATTACTCTACTTAAAAAATATAAACGTTATAGACTAGAGCTATAAGATACTACGTAAATAGTTATAACTTAGTAAACTCTAGAGAACTAATTATAATAGTAGTAGAAAGCCTATAGGCTTTAGCTAGTAGAGTTACCTATAACTTCTCTAACTAACGTTTTTACTCTACGTAAAAGAGAGTTTTTTAGAAGTTTAGTTACTAGGTACTCTATTTTTTTTTTTCTTTTAAAGAAAAGTATCTTAATAGAACCTAGCTAGATATATAGAAGTATCTCTTAGTAACGTTAGAATAACGTTATAAAAAAGAGAGAGCTATTATAACGCTTATCTAGCTAGGTACCTCTTAAAGGCTACTTAGCCTATCTATAGTTACGTAGTAGCCTAGTATATAGCTTAGTCTTCTTCTATTCTTACTCTATAAGAATTTAACTATATACTAGTACTACCTAATATATTATATTACTACTTCTTAGTACGTTATCTATCTATCTTACTACTTATCTTATATAAACTAGATTTTTTTCTTAAAAGTTAGTTAAATACGTATAGATTTTTAATTACGTAATATATCTTAGTGCAATTTTTATAGTAGGTATATATAGTATAGTTCTATCTATATTTAAAATTTTATAGAAAAATATTAAGGTTTCGCTTAGTTATTTAAGAAAAACCTGTTAATTTTCGTTAATTTTCCTTGCTAAGAAATCGTAGAGCGTTTAGTAGTGTAAGGCGTTTAGTAGTAAAGTACGTTACCTTAATTTGTTACTAACTTATATTATTAAGTTACTTAATTAGCTTAAGAAAGGTAATAAGCTAATAGCGTATTAGCTAGTACTTATAGAGTCTAAAGTTACCTAGCTTTAAGTAGCTAACGTATAGAAAAAGAAGCGTAATTCGCGTAAAAGAAAGTAGATTTAGAAAGAGAATACTTTTATAATTAAAGCTAGCTTATAGCTAGTTACTTAAAAAGAGGCTGTAAATTAGAATAAGAGTAAGAAGTAGCGCGAAGAAGTAGTAGCACGTAATAGCTAGCTAGCTTAGCGACGCTATAGACGCTATAGTAAGCTAGAGTATAACGCGTAAACGTGCTAGATAGTTAAAGATAATATAGATAAGTTAGATAGCTTATCTAGATTTATTTTAAGTAGCTTAAAGTTAGAGTAATCTAAATAAGATAGTAGTATTTAGTAGAGGCTTAGTATTTTTAGAGCGTTTATTTATATAAAGCGTTTGTTTATAGAGTATATTAGAGAGAAGCTTTAAGAGCTTTTTTTTTATTATCTTTTTAGTAGCTCTAGCCTACGCTCTACTCTTTTTAGCTACTTTCTTAACGCGTATAGCTACTTAAAGCCGCGCGTTATATATATATATAGTACCGCTAGCTTATATATACTTCTAGTCTTTTTACTAGCGCTTTTAGTAGTATTACGCTACTATAGTAAGAGTAGAGAGATTCTACTCTACCTTTTTACGCGCTACTACGTTAGCTACTAATTCTTTTAAGAGCTTTATAATTTAGTAATTTAAGAGTCTATACTCTCTAGTATATAGGTCTATACTATAGAGGTACTTACGTATATATTATACTATTTCTTAAGTAGTAATAGGTATAGGTAGAGAGCTAGACTCTAGCGTAGGCTCTAGTAAAGGCGTTACTAGATAATTAATAGTAGGTAGCGTATTAAGTACTATAGCTAAATTTATAGAGAAAATACTAGCTTTTTTCTATATAGAGTATATAGTACTTTCTTTAAGAGCTATCTTACGTATAGCTTAAAGTTTATAAAGAAATTTAATCTTATTAAAGTTCTTATAGCTCTCTTAGATAGCTACCTCTATAGCCTACTTATACTAGTACTTATATAGAGAAAATACTATAAGATCTAGAGGCTATAGTATATATAACGTATAAGAAAGAAGCTTATATAGCTATATTTTTATAGTTTAATAAAGACTTATAAACTTCTAAGTAAAGTAGAAGTTATAGCTATTAAATATAAGTAATTACTACTTACTTTTTTAGTAAAAGTAAGTATACTTATTAAAATAGCATAGCTAATTAAGAGCTAGCTAATTATTTATATAGCCTAATTCTAACACCTTTATAAGTAGGTTTAGGTCTAAATTAAGGCTCTTAGTAACGTAATAGTAGAGTATAACGCTACTCTTAAGAATTATAAGTAAGAGAATAACTTTACTATTTTCGTTTATCGCCTCTACAATAGTTATAAAGTCGCGATTCGTTTCTAAGAGTAATTAAGCTATCTTAACGTTAGAGAGTGTTACTACGCTCTAGCTACCTTTAATACTAATTCTAAAGCTAGCCTTATCTATATTCTAGGTGTCTATAAGAAGAATTAATTTTAATCTAATAATCTACTCTAGATTAAAGAAATACTTCTTAATTACGTCGCGCTCTTAAGTAATAACTCTCTTCTTCTTCTACGCCTTCTAGCGTACCTTTTATATATATAGGTTAGCGCGTAGGTATTACTAGAAAAAGTCGCGTTCTAGTAGACAGAGACGCGCTAAATTATCTAGTAGAGTAGTTGCCTTCTAGATACTTTCTATAGCCGCGCGCTATATAGATAATAAAGATAGTTACTCTAATTAATCTAAGTAATTAATATATAGCTCTAGAGTAAGCTTCTAGGCCTCTATAAGTTATTAGTTAACTAGAGAGTAGATAGAGCGCGATTCGCTACTCTAAACGCGTTAGCGAAGGTAATAATAATTAACGTTAAATATATAAGCTACAGCGGCTAATTTATAGCTAGTTTTTATAGAAATATACTTTAAGATAAGCTAAATTTAATTCTTCTACTCTTAGTAAGTATTTATATTAAAAACGGCGGCTTTTTTAAATATATATTAACAGTGTTAGCGAAATTTACATTAAGCTCGGTTTTAGCGTTAAGCCCGAGAGGACTCTCGAGCGCTAGCGAGAAAGTTACGTAGAGTAAGTAGGGCGTTTGTTTATAAAGTACGTTAAACATATTTATATTATATTTAGTAGAGTTTTTATAGAGAATAGAGAGAACAGCCTTTTAAGTATAACCTAACTTAAAAATTTTATTTAGCGTTATACTCTTTTAGGTACGCTAACCTAATTTTAAGTTAGTCTTAGTAAATCTTAAGTTAGGATAACCTAAATCCTCTTACCGGTCTTCCGGATTTATTCCTATTGCATAACTTGCATTTCACCGACTCTTTTCGTGATGCTAACGAACTTATAGCTGCACCCGCCGTCTGCCGAAGGATCTTCGAAGACATGCCTCCCTCAGTTCTTGGGCGAACATTACGACAGCGCCTACCATCGCCACGGTATCATTTCCTAGGGTAATGCTCGAGTGCCCGTCTTTTAGACGCTTGTTTAGATTCGAAGCTCTGCCAAGAATATTGTCGCGGGCTGTAGAGGGCAGTGTATAGAGCAAGTTGGCATCGGCTCGTATATCCACCTCCAAATCTTCGATGCGCGACTTGATCTCGGATTCAGCACCAGCTTTCTCCTTCCACTGGGCGAGTAGAGTAAGGGTCTCGTTGACCACATCCGCTATGGTGCGTTGCTCAGTTTGCTTGTTTTCGACGGACATGGCAGCGTTCTCTGAGGTGCTTCGAAGTAGGCAAAGTATAGTGTAGTGTTCTTGAGGTTGTATTGTAAAGTCTAGAGTGCAGTAGCAAAGATCAAGAGCGATTTTATATTATACCACGTATGAATCATTCTGCCACCTACTCATACACTGCCCAAGTCACAACCTATGAGTGACCAGCGTGGCGAGTTATTGAAGTCCATCCCTAGTCTCAACGAGGTGCGTATCAGCCATTGAAGGCCTCCACGATCACTTTTACAATGTCAATATCTCGCCCACGCCAAACACCAGACTTCTCATTCTCCAGCCCTTTTGGCGCATGCGCAAATACGGCGACTTTTAGTGATGTCGCGGGTGTGCCGTGGCGGAGGTTATGAGTCGCTCAGTATTATGACTCTCATGGCTACACTAAGTCAGTCCATGTGAGCCTCAGGCTCAGCAACTTCAACTTGAGGATACAATAAATGGCACAAATGGTCCACGCTCCGTCAGCGTATCTGCTGTCCTGAGGGGATTCAAGGAATTATCGGGACTTCTAGTTCTTCGCGTATCGGTAGTCCTGAAGAGCTTCAAGGGGTTATTAAGACTGACGCTAAATCAGGGAGACTGCTATGATATCAGTACGCCAACTGTTAACCTGCATAGCTATGAAGAAGAGCTGTACGCAAGACTTGTTGTTGAGGCTACCGTGATAGCCCATGCCGGTTCTTGTGTGAATCACGCGTTCGTCCGCAGCATTTGCCCAAGTAGGCGTCTACCATGGAAGCGGACCTACTAGCTGTTTTTCTTTGCTCAAGCTAATGCGCACCATATCTGTTGCGATGCCGCATCGATCATCGATATCTGCGCGACATTTGCGCAAGTGATTGGGAGCCCGCCTGGCCCGCCTTGGCGCGAGGATGGGGCTGAAGCAGTGATTGGCTCCGCTTGCGGATGCGCAGTTCTGAGCCCAAGGTGCGTATATCTCAACACAGCCCCGTCCATCATTGCGCCAGCTCCCAAAGAGAGCCTCCAAATACCATGCGACATCCTACTGGTGCCAAGGATACTGAATGGTATTTGCAACACTGGAAGATGCTCTTTCGGCTAATATGTGCATATCGACTTCCTGCCGTCGGCAGTTGGGACGAATCCCTCCAGCTGTGGGGGATCATCGACGACTCATATATGCAAATTAACCAAGCCATGCCTCATGCGCCCGGCATCCACAGGAGTTGAGATAGCCTGGGGATACAAAAGGCTCAGGGTATGGTAATCATGCTGCTTTGATCGCTCACAGGAGATTCCGACCCAACGGGTGTCGCCGGACAATCACAATTTGGAACGACAATGTTGCTAGCGAAGACGCTTGCGCTGCTCGGAGCAACGGTTCTTGCTCGAGCAGCAAGCAATCTCGACGCCCTAGCTCGTGATGTCTCCCGCGTGGAATCCATCCGCGAGATCAAGGACGTCCAGCGCTCCTTCGCCCAGCTAGCGCAATTTGGTCGGTGGAACTCGATGGCTTCGCTCTTCTCCTCGAACGGCACCTTGATGTGGGGGAACGCAACAGCCCACGGCCCAGCTGCCGTCGAGACATGGCTGCGCACCGACGCCGGAAAGATGGACGGCATTCAGCCCGGTTCGCTCGACACCATAGTCATGGAGAACCCGCTGGTGAATATGGCGGCGGATGGCCAGACCGCAAAAACGCGCTGGAACGGTTTGCGATTCCAAGGCGACGGCGTCGGGGGCACTAGGATCCAGGGTGGCATCTACGAGAACGAGTACGTACGTACGGAAGAGGGGTGGAGGATATCATTGCTGCGATACTATGCCATGTATGAAGGGCCATATTTTCCTGGATTCAGGAACGTTGGAGGGCGCAGTATTCCCGTCATTACGTACCATTTCACGCCCGAAGACTCTGGGATACCGATTCCGCCAGCGGTGGGAGAGGCATCGAGGACGAATGTGTCGGTCGAAGGTTTGGAGAGGAGGATCGCTAGGATGAATGATGAAGACGATGTGAGGAACTTGATGCATGCGCATGGGTATTACGTCGATCGGCGGATGTGGACCGATGTTGTGGACCTGCACACAACCAACACAACGGTTCGCGTTACCAATGGCGCAAATTATACGGGACTCGCCGGGGTTCGGCGCGCGTTGGAGCGCATGGGACCAGAAGGTTTGACGAAAGGCATCAACAACGACCACCTGATCTTCGATATGATCGTGGATGTACATCCCGATGGAAAGACAGCTATCGCTCGAGGATCCGAGGTCGCGATGATCGGAAATGCCAATAACCGCACCGCTTCTTGGGAGTTCAACGTTTTCCGCAACCACTTTGTCAAGGAGGATGGCCTGTGGAAAGTACAGACCATTGAGACTACTCCGCTCATTGTCGCCGACTACTACAAAGGATGGGGAACTGGGGGGCTGAAACCGGCTAACACATATATCCCGCCATTCCTCGACGCCACTGGCCTGCGAGCAAAGGCTATCAAGCAGGTTGGTATCGGCAAGGTAACGAGATCGGATCTGGAAGACCTTCAGCGCCGGCTTCAACGCGCAGCGGCCTACGACGGCGCTGAAAACCAATCGCACGCTTACGGCTACTTCCTTGACGATATCGACTGCGCTCGGATGGGCGCGCTCTTTGCCAAACGCGGCCACAAAGCATCGCCGTTCGCAGGCTTCTTCATTACTCCCGAGCGCGTCGCCCAGGCATGTTTCGCTTCCTACGGTACCAACCGCTCTGCACTCCGTTCCGGCATCTCTTTCCACTGGCGACCACAGCCAGTCGTTCTCGTCTCTGAAGACGGTCGTTCGGCGACTCTCCGTGCTCGGCTCTTGCAACCATCCACCGCTGTCAACAAGTCCGGCAGCTTTAACAGCGCCATCTACCACGACCAGATGGTCCTCGAAGACGGGAAGTGGAGGCTCTGGAGCGTAACGATCGACGAGTTTTACTGGCAATCCTCGTCGTGGGAAGGTGGCTGGTCCGATGTGAAGCCACGCAACGAGAGCGCGCCCGATCCCGAACCGGCTTCGTGGACGAAGAAGTATCCGCCAGACTTATCGATTGCAGCTGTGGGGGATAGGGAGAGCACGTTCCGTGGAGGGAGTGGGAGGTATATTGAGTGGCCTGAGATTCAGAGGATGTGGTGGCAGTATCGGAATCCAGTGAGCGGGAGAGTACCTGAGTACTACTGGCCAGGATGCGTGCCTTGCAAAGCGATTCCAGATTGGGCACTTGAAGCAAACGGCTATCAGGAGCCGACCACGGGTCCGTCTATGGGTAATGGCACTGCTGTGAATAGATGAGCGCGGGCGGGAGCTGTGGATTCTTTACGATGATCCGAAATGTTAGATCTCGAAGCCCAGTAAATCCTTCGTATCGAACTAGAAAGGCCGCCGTAGACGACGCAGCACATGTTTGAAGGATCCCATCCCCGTTACCATCGTTGCCTGGGCATCTCGGCGTGCTTTCCTCCACACGAGTCTTCCATCGAGTCTCGTCGCTCGCCGTGGAGTAAACGATACATTGCGAGATCCAGCATTATTCTCTTTTATCTTTTCCTCGACAATTTAATGTCGCGAGGTTGGCGAGTTTTGGGGTTGAGTCTCTGAGTGAGTCACGGCAGTGTGATTGTTCTTGTGTGCCAAGTCCACTAGATTAAAGTTAGCCTGGTACTCTTGGCGGCTCTCTAGCGCCCTTTTCAATTTTCACCGTTTCCCACACGACGCCAGTGAGGCCGCCAACAATTCCAACTCATCGTTCGCTGTGAGCCGCTCCATTCGTTACAAAATGACAAAAGAATTGCTTCTTCTTATTCCCGCTTTTCCAGCCGTGTTCCTCTCAAAGCCGCCCCCACAAGTCCCCCGAAAAATTCCGGGCACCGACGGGAGCGACTAGTTAATCGAAGGCTGGCCAGGCACTTATAGCTCTGAATCCGGAAGGTAATGCATGGTGTAATCTATCGATATTTAATTTTAGTATTTTTCCGATTGGGTTGATCACAAGAGCTGGGGCGATTGGTGTGGCTAGTCTGGTTATCGACAAGGGAGCTCAGGGGCTGTGCTCTAGTACATCTGCAAGCCTGTATTCAAAGCCAACCCTCCTCGGATCAACAGTAACTTTAACGAACTTCTACCCTCGTCCGTAGTCGGTAGAAAGGATGTTAACCCTCTGCTTCATACTGTTCCCAATGCGCCGCTGACATGGACAGCTCCGGTAAGCGAGGCCGCTATGGACCCGTGGAATTTGAGGGAAAATCCTTTGAGCCGATCTCCCATATCCTGGCGGCCGGACACTCAGAGTCGAAGTCAACCACGACTTGCGAAATTTCTCCCATATCTCCGATTTTCCTCGATGTCAAAACTTCAAGGGGTCCATCAACTTCTAGAGAGCAGTTGATAAGCCAAGCAAGCACAGATTCCATCGGTGCGCTATGGCCAGTCAAACGAGTTTCCTTCGCTAACAGCCTCAGACGCAACCTGGCTCCCATATACCCTGCGAGCGTACTTCGTCTGGGTACCCACGACTGTTTCGGTGGTGCTTGGGTTTGTTGTTTTGCTCCTCCAATGGTATTCCGACAAGAATCATGGTCTCAGTCCTGAAACTTCAGCCATATTCGGGTGGAAATTCGCCCCCACTCTTGTTGCTGTTCTCTACACGCAGTTGACAGCGATGCTTTTCGACGATATCAGGCGCACTGAGCCCTTTGCGCGGCTAGCGAGGCCCAGTGACAGCATACCCAAGGCTTCAAGAACGATTCTGGAGACGCCAAGAGAATGGTGGACCACGCTCGCTCATGGCTTTGACAAGCAAAAGAATGGCGGTAGACGGAGCTGGGTCATTATTTTGGCTTATGCTGTTAATGTCCTGGCATTTCTCACGATCTCTCCTATATCATCAGCACTTCTCGGAATCGACGAAGTGAGTGTGCCGAGATCGGTCGAGATGATCCGACTCGTTGCGGCGAAGGACTCTCCCATGTCGCCATTCGCAGAGCGGGACACCTACTTTCGGGCAACAGGCGCGCTGCTGCAAAATGTGTCGACCTCACCTTGGCTCTCCGATGACTACGCGATCCTTCCTTTTTGGCCCACTGGGAGTGCCCCAAGTCCTTGGGACCGCCAATCAGCGCCGATGCCCCAAACTTGGGAAGCTGAGACGACAGTATTCCGAAACAACTTCAAGTGTTCGCAACTGGACTTGGCAGCGACTGGCTTTGCGCCTACTGGTCACCAGTCCTTTCTATCCGTGGACGAATTCCTGGCCTCCATCCGGTTAGAGTCTACCGAGGGTTGCCAATATAATCTGACCTTCAAATCCAGTGATATTTACTCTTGGTATGTAGTCGTTTCTTGGTCGGATATTGACCACTTCGCGAGTAGGAGTGGTTTCTACGGCGACGTGCCATACTCTGGCTTCCAAGTCACGCATAATGAGAAATGCGGCGATGAAGCTATCATCCTTAGTACGGCCTGGTTGAAGAACGCGACGGGTGGATTCTTGTCTAACCTTACGGTCACTGGTTATGCTTGCTCATCCGACCATACCATGGCCACCATACCTGTTGAGGCGGCTGTCTCCAGTGCCGGCTTCACTGTTAACTTCGACACCGAGCGGTTCCTCCAAGCGAAGCAGGTGGTTCCCGAAACGCTGTTTAATCACTCTCAGCTCCTGCAACTATACACCGATCCTGAATTGTTCACATACATACCAACGCCAGCCTCCTTCGAGCCTTACCTCTCTCCATACGATTATGGTGGAGTGGCCGCTCTCCTAGCCACGCAATACGGCTTCAATTTGACCGAGATGCAACTTGACGCTAGTCTTCCCGAGAAGGCCGCGAGGATAAGAAAACGATTCTTCGGCGAGATCTTGAGGACCTCGCTTAGCGCTGCAGGGGCGTCAGACTATGAGAGCGTGTTGGGAACGAAAACAGCGCTCGAGAGCCGAGTATTCGTGAGTTTCCAAGCGGCCTATGTCCTTGCGGCGCTCTTCTTCATATCATTCTTCATGCTGCTGTTTGTCACGTGGACATCTCGCATACGGAAACGTCCGCTGAATCTCGCCCACGACCCAGCCACTGTCCTCGGGACTGCGGCGGTCGTCGCATCCAATAATGAGGTTCTGTCTCCTTTGGAGGAGCTCCATGAGACGTTCAAGAGTGAGATTACATTAGCGCTGGAAGATAGACAGTACGCAACGTCGCCCGGCCGCCTTCATGAGATTTGTGAACCCGGCCAGACCTGGCTTCTAGGTGAGCTTCCACCGTAGATGTACACGCTTGCTTCTGACCTGATCCAGACTTGAAACTCAGCAGCACGGCTCCAGATCCGCAAAGAACACCTTTCATGTTGAAGCTTCGAACCCTTTTGGGTCTCGCGGCATATCTCGTCATTCTTCTGGCTACCATCGTGGTCATACGCACATTCGCAAACAAATCGAGCCTGCACCAGGCTTTGTTCACTTATCGAGTTGAACTCGAGGCGCTGGGCCAGCTGGGAGATTTTGCACCCTTCTCCATCATCCCCACTGTTTTGGCCGCAGCCGTGGGTTTCTGGTGGGACGGACTGGACAAGACGTTCCGGTCTTTGCAGCCCTATGCATCTATGTCAAAATCTCCAACAGCAACTCGTTCTGGGCCTGGGCTTTCTTATCAGTCTTCGTATTGGTTATGGGCGACCGTCAAAGCGGCAATCAATAGGCATTGGCTGTTGTCTCTAGTAACATTTGGAAGTCTGGTATCGCAAGCGCGTAAGTCCCCTCCGTTCTCTCGTCACAGAAGCGATTAACATACCATCCTAAAGTTATCATTTCGATGTCTGCTCTATTCGAGCAAGGCATGGGGGTCGTCAGCAAGCCGGTCGATGTTCAGAGAACGCTTGAGCTTCGCCAGACACCTTATCTTCGACAAGTACTCACCACGTATCCCCCAGATTTTGACGAGTGGGTCATCGCTAATGGTGTGCCATACGTCGGAGACACCCTGCAGGACCTTTTCACAAACCTCTCTACAAACTGGATGTACTCTGCCGTTATCCAAACCACAATGAACGGATCTGACCCATCGTGGAGCAAGGACGGCTGGAGTTTTGTTCCAGTCGACTTATCGCACCTCACAAATAACACTCAATTAGATACGGGCGCCGGAGCAGTCTACTATCCTACCATTAACGTTACCCTTACAACCCCCGCGATACGTGGTCGGTTAGAATGCAGTCCAGTGGACACCCGCAATAGCAGTCTCTGGTCAAGCCAGGGGAACTACAACGATATTGTGCCTGGACATGCCTCCGAATTCACCGTGCTCGCGCCAGATATGTGGTCAGAAAGTGACCACTATACCGGTTTCGCGCCAGACGGAAACGATCTGGCTTGTTGCTCCAACCAAACCGACGCCGTCCCAGCCGAAGATTACGCGGCCCCGATCGCTGCGGGCTATTGGAGTGGAAACTTTATGCAGGAGCCAATGATCTACTCGATAGCTGGTACGAATGGGAACTTCACGGCCAAATGGGCATACGGCAAGGGGGGTGCCATCGGTCTTTCGCATATGCCCCTGGTGTTTTCTCAAACGCCACAGCTACAAGCTCTGAATTGCATGCCCATCATCGAGACATCGGACGCTGAGGTTACAATTGATAAGCAGTCAGGGAGCATCCTCGGGTATTGCATACTGAAAGATGCAGTCCCCGACGATGCGGCTTGGTCCGATGTGTTTGTAGTTCGAAATCTGACTGACCCTGAGGGCCCGCGGTACGAGTATCGTGTTGCTGTTGCGGATGCAGCATGGCAAAATTTAACGGCCAGGTACGTCTATCGCCATCTTTTGCGCAATTATTGCTAGCTAAACCTCACAATAGTTACGGCGTTCTCTTCCTAAATTCCCTCCTGCGGGCCTCGCGTCTCGGCTCGCTATCACAGACCATCATATGGCCCTCACGAAGTACGGTAGAAGATCTAGAAGAGAATGCATTCAACATCCGGAATAATGAAACGGGCTTGAATCTCGACTTTATGTCCTACGCCTCCTACGTTCAGGTCGGAAGGGACGCAAGCGCATTACTTGATCGGGACGCGCTCCTCCAACACACGCAGAAAGTCTTCACGACTTTCTTTCAACATTACGTATCGCAAAGCGTCTCGCTAGAGACGGGCGGCTGGGCTTACCAGCCTATTGGCGCGAGCTTGAAAGATGTTGGTTCCCCTGTCAACGGCACAATACAGGAGTATGCTCCTGGCGGAAAACCGGTCGTTAGGATTTCAGACCTACCGCCACGGAACACGCAGCGCACTACTCAGGCCTCCTCGTCCACGCGTACCAAGGTTCTCCACATGGACACGGTCTCCTTTTGGGTCAGCATTTGCCTCTTGGCCTGGCTCACGGTCACAACAGCCATTGTGGCGGCGCTGCAGAGGTGGTACTTTGGCGACTTGCGGCGGAATGTGAACTCACTCGCTGATGTTTTGGTACTGATTGCTGGTAGCGAGAAGCTGTTGAAGATGGTAAGGGAGAGAGGAATCGAAGAGTTAATGAACGATGATAAGATGAAGACTAAACTGGGATGGTTTAGGTCCCGGGACGGAGCAATGAGGTGGGGTATTGAGATTGTTGAAGATGAGGAGATCGAGATGAAGCACATGTCTTCTCCCTGAGCTTGGACGACTATAAACGAAAACTTGAGTTCGGTTTCGCACCCCTCACACCACAATGTTCGTACAGTACACCCTAGCGGATAGGATCATTTTCCATCCTCACCAACCCACTACGACGTGCCGACGTCAACACTCGGACAATAATACGCTGCCGTACAGGTATAATCATCCAGATCATGCGTGGCCCTGAACTTTGTGCTCCCATCCTTAAAGCAGATAAACGGCTCGCTACTGTCCCCGATCAGTGATCCGCCAGCCAACGTCCCATCCCCCGCGATATCTCCCTTCGCAGCTGTCTTCGCTGCCGCGCTTATGTTGCTCGTAAAGGTGCCGTCGGTGCCCAGACGCACGCTGCGCTTCGTACCTTCCCAGGAGGACGAGAATCCCGAGAGCGTGCCGAGGGCCGTTGGGGCTGTGTAGGTGGATGTGGGAGGGCCATTGCGGAAATAGCCGGCGGCTATGAGATTGAAGTCTTCGGGGTCGCAGAGGCCGATTGGGCAGTCCTCGGGGACGCAGGTCGCGAGGTAGACGGTGTGTTTTGAGCCGGCCGGGGCGGCTTGGGAAAGGGCGAGGAGGAGGGCGAGGGCGCCCAGGAGTGCGGTCGTGGAGACGATCATCGCAGCGGCTTTTAGTAGCGATACAGGATCGCGCTGGTTCTGGAGGAAAGATCTGTTTAATGTTGATCGCTAATGCCAGGGCAGCCCTCCGATCCCGTCGCATCTTATAGGCACCCCGGAGAAACCAAATCCCCAAAAATCTTCTCCATTGCGCAAGCCCAATATTGCGATACAGGAGGGTGTATAGGGAACAGTATTGCATCCTATTGCGCCCCTCTCCTCATAGGTCTCCCAGGCGAGCAATTATTCCATCAGGGGTGCATATTTTCTAACGCCACCGGGATCGATGCGCCTTCCCACGCGAAATGCTGCGACACTGCCGAAGATCGCAACTTGCCGATATTAATTTCCCCGCAATGCACGTGTATTAGGATGAGTCTGGATCGTGTGCAGGTAATAGCCGGGTATATTATGGTTACGATGCTTGATGGAACGTCCGTGTGTCGGGCGATGGAGCGGGTGCCAGGCACGGCAGACGTCGACTTCGTTCATGCAACGGCGCACAAAAATTCAGGCTATCCAGTAAAACGGATGATGATGGGTATGCTGCTCGCGTTGCGTAACTGTGTCAAGATGTGATCGAATGTATTTCTCTTTAGCATGCGGAACTTTGCTAATAGAAACGTACCGAGACGGATACACCCCAAGTACGACCATTCATAACATCACTGGTAAAAGATCTTCTCTCTACCTCATGTAACACCTAAGCTCCCCAGCCTTCCAGGCATCGCTCGAAAAGTAGACAGCCGTGCGTCCCAGCCGAGGCATCACCCCCAGCGAATCCGGCATCCGCTTGCCACTTGCCCACACGCACCCCAATTCATTGCTAATCTTCACAATAAGAATGTCCTCAGCCTCTTGATGCGACGTCTCCTCCTCAGCAGGCGTAGTAAGCAACAATTTCAACACCTCTCCTCCCTCAACGAGATGATCCCAGCCGCCGTACGTGTAGCACAGCATCTTCATCGCAGAGGGAATCCCGTCCGTCAACTCCACCTGGAAACTCGAGCGCCCCCAGATCTTGAGCAGAGGAAGCAGGTCCACGGACTTGCCCGGCGGGAATTGCGAATGCAAGATGCGGATGTCGCCTACCTGGTTCTCCGCAGGCGCGTTGGGCAGCGTGAAAGCGTCAAGATACTCGTTGATGAAGAGCAAGGGCAGCGTGACGCGTCGTGTCGCGAGCCATAAGGGGCGGAACTCAGAGCGAATGAGGCGGCATGCTTGGGTGAGGGCGAAGTATTGCCGTCCGCTTTTTTCCGCCGTGCGGCGTGCGCCGCGCAGGGTGCGACGGCGGCCGGACGGGTCGTAGTAGAGGGACACGTGGGTCTTGTCGTCCTGGGCCAGCATGTATTCGTATATCGTGTTACGCAGCTCTTTTGCGGCGTGGCGTTAGAAGCGCGATCTGCGAATTGTTTGTTCAGGAGATGCACGTACCGCCTGGAAGTGTGAGGAAGGATAGCCGGATCTGCCGCTTTTCTCCGCCGCACGTATCTAGGCGTATACCTAGTCCGACAGCCTCGCGCTTGCCGATCTTCGAGGGGCGAGGGTTGGCATTGCTGTCGTTTGGGTTGCGCTTGGGCGTTCGTGTCCTTGTTTGATGAGTAAACGCGCCATACTGGGGCGAGGTTTCTAGCACGTACATCTTTCTACCCTTGGATACCTAGGTAGTTGCTTCCACGAACCCGGGAGGTCCGATGAATATGGTCATATATTAGGAAAAGGTTGGTTACGAGGACGGTGGTGAAGCGTAAGGGGGATGTAGACGACGGCGAGAAGTGCGCGGGCGATGCGGAGGATCGCGTCGCGGGGCTGAGCACTAGCGCGCAGTCACGTGGTAAGATTTCGATCCACTCAGAGTCCGAAGCATAACGTCCGTTATCTATTTCTTAGATTACGCGTTATACCAATGCATTCAATGGCTGCATACTTTTCAGTTCTCTAGATATACACAAATATACGTCTACTTATTCGGGCGATGCGCTTATTATGTAAGCTTCTAGGCAACCTCGAGCCTCAACGCCTGCCCTTCTTCCTTTACTTTCCCCATCAACAACTTAATCATCGTCAGGCGCCATAGGCTCGTCCGCTGCGAAATGAATATACGGATTATCCCCTCGCCCCCTTAGAGGAAGTGGTCTTCAATATCGGCCCCCAGTTCATCATACCAAGAGCCGCACGATGAGCAGCATCCCAACTTCCCCAAAGGGAACGCAGGTATCGCCGCTGCTCAACCTCCCGGGCGGTACGTACCACCATCACCAACATCAGGGCTTCGAATTCTAACTCTTAAGAACTGCGCAATCGCATCTACGAACACGCACTAGCCAGTTTCGCAGCCAACGAAGACCCGGCTCTCTGCCTCACTAAAGGCGGCAGCCGCCCGGGGAGGCGGGCCCCCGCTCTCGCCGAATACGCAAACGCGAAGAAAGTAGCCGACGATGCACCGGGCCCTCACCCAAAGCTCCAGTACTTCCACCTGCTACACGTGTGCCGCCAAATCCGCGACGAATTCCGCCCGCTGTACCTCCGCACGCCAATGCACCTCGCGTACAAAAACGCGCTCACCTATGTCGTCACGTTCTACCCCGTCCGCGCCGGCCAATCCCTCGCTTCTTCCGCGCAGCAGCTCGTCGGCGAGATCTGCATCGACGTGGATGAAGTCTCCGACGGGAATCTTGTCCCTCTTCTCCAGCGTCTGTACCGGGCTCCTCAACTCGAGTTCCACTTTGTTAATACAAGAGGCTACGCTCGACTCTCTGAAGATATGAACTGGCTGTTTAAAGACCACGCGAAGGCCTGGAAAGAGCATTTGGGGACGAATATTGAGAAATTGGCGTTCTTTACGTGGGGACAGAGGGACTTCTCCTCGAGGCAGATTGAGGTGTATTTCAGGCCGCAAACGCCGGGGATTATGGGGTATGATCCTACTATTCCTGGGCCGCTTGACAAGATTCTGGAGGCACTAGGGTTGGCGGAACGGAGGTGGATCAAGCCACATATCCGCGTCTATCTTGGGAGTGAGCAATGAGAGCCTGATGGCTTCCACTGCATTGGCGCTGCACGCGGCAGGGCATGGAGTTTAAGAGAAAAGCTTGCATAACCTTTTTTCATGACTAGGTAGGTAGTCCAAGTCTTACACCTCCACACCTTCGATTCTCTCGAACACCCTCCCTTTATCCAGACAACCTACCCGCCTGCTCTACTTCCTACTAATTCATCAAGATCCACACCGCAACCCCCGCAGCAACAAGCACAATCCCCACAAACACACCCACCAACCAAACCCCAATCCACGCATTCCACTCGTCAAAGTCAAACTCCCACCACCTCCTATCCCTATACCCCGGTCCAAGGTCCCACCGCCGCTGCCGATGCCTCGGCCTCCCACGAAACACTACGGGCCCGTCCTCGCTATTACTACTATCCGAAGCATACGAAGACGAGGAAGGCGGTGCTGAGTCCGGCTCAGGCATAGGTGGAGCGTGATGCAGTATTAGGCGATGATGCTCGCTAAAGTCGTGGGCGCGCGCTGCTTCAAGCTCGGAGAGGGTGGCGAAGGCGTCGTTGGGCTCGGGCGCGGGACTTATGCCCAGTGGTGGTGGTGCGGTGTAGGATATGCCTAGCGCGCGTTCGTGGGAGAGCTGGCGCGTCATTATGCGGGCCAGGGCTGCGCGGGCGGCGCGTGTGGTCGGGGTCGGGGTTGAGGTGTCGGTTTCGCAGAGACTGGGCGTTGGCGATGACTGAAGTGATGCGGCGGATGCGGTGTCGGTGTTTGTATGGCGGATTGCGGTTATGGTTCTGCTGGGCGGAGCGGGACGGTTCGATTGGAGGGGACTATGGCGATGTTGAGCTTGGGAGGTGCGATATCCTTCCGTATGCGCGTAGCGCCGCTTCATGGCTTGCGCGAGATGTGGTCTAGGTTGCTTCCATATGATGCCGTAGGCAGTCGCAGCACTCAATCCAGTGTCTGCAGACGCTTTACCTGCAGGCTTTCCACCGACGTGGCCATGTAAGTCCACTTTGAGCGGGCGTTTGTTCGTCAGCTTGCTGGCGTGCTGAAAGAGGAGCGGTGCTGGTGTCGAACGTGCGGCGTATTTCGCACTCGAGCCGTATTTCGTTGACGAGTTGCCCATCAGGTTTCGCGGGGCAGGGTGATGATGTTGAGCGATGATAGAGTCTGCGCTAATCGTGGTGCGAGAGGGCAAATACGTTGTTTCGTTCGCGGAGTTGACTGCGAGAGCGTTTGCTGCATTAACTGATAAGCCAGCCACGTTGCTCAGCGAGTCTCTTCCACTGTCTTCACTTCCCTCCACTTCAAGGAAGCTGTCCTCTGGGATTTCCTGAAGTGGCGCACGATGACGATCTGGCAGAAGGGGTTCGCCTTCTGAAATGCGGTGATGACTATGCGGTACCCTATCCTCATGTAAAGGAACGAGGTATGGCTGAGTACCCAATGAGAAAGGCGTCCAGTTAGCAGAAATCTTCTCCCAGAAATCCTTGAGTGTCTCAAATGTAGGCATTGCGTGCGCGTTGTCCCGGCGAAAGGAATCGGCCAAGGGCTTGGGATTCGAGTTTGCAAACCATATAATGAGGGTTGCGTGGATTCTATGCTCTCCTTCCGACGTGATCAAGAAATTCAATTAATATGTAATGTGGTCGCCGAATATGGAATGACATAGTGAATTCATGGAAAGTGAACTGCGGCTATTTCACACAACGGTATCAAACACTATCAAGCAAACAAGTCATAAGCTGAGGCTTGCAGACCTATCAAAGCAGATATAGCTCAAACAACTAAAAAGAAGAATTTCGTCAGCAAACCACAAACTTCCACTTCTCCGCCTTCTCTCCCATCCATATCCCCTATCTCTCCCCTACTCATCTCCTCCCGCAGTCCCCCCTCCGCATAACCACCAACCCGCCCTCCTCCCACTCCCTCACCCAGCTCTCCCACTTCTCCGTCCTCCCTTCCTCCTCTCCACCACCCAAAAAATCAATCTCCACCCTCCCCAAACCCTCAAACCCACACCCTTCATACATCCCCACCGCAAACGGCACACTCACAACAACCGTCTGCACACCCAGCTCCTCCGCCCGCGCAGTAACATGCTCAACCAGCGTACGCCCCACACCGCGACGACGAAAGCTAGGATGCACGACCAGCTGGTCGAGCTGAACATACGGCCGCGCCACGCGCGCAGCGACGAAAGTCTTAATCCCGCCGATGAGTTTCTCGGCGAACAGCCTCTCTTCCGACCCGTCTACATGCCAGTTAAACCCCTCTCCCCTTCCTTTTCCACCCATTCCCTCTCCCTCCCCGCCCCCTCCAGCGCCAGCGCCAGCATTAACTTTCCAGCACACCGCGCCCACCACCGTCTCCGTCTCCGTCTCAACGACCCTAGCCCAGTGACACGCGGCATCCTCCGCCTACATCCTGACGTGCCGTGCTTTAGAGACCGCGATGGCGGCGTCGAGGGTCGTGTGCACGGGGTTGAAGAACTTGGAGAAGGGGTTGTAGGGGCCGCGGAAGGCGGCGAAGTGCATGGGCCAGATGGCGTTGAAGGCGGAGGGGGAGGTGACGGCTTGGAGGAGGAAGGGCATGGTGGGCGGGTATGGATGGATAGTGGGATGGTATGGGTGGGGAATGGAAGGGGTTTTGTTGTGTCTTTGCGAAGGGGGTGGAGCGGGTGGGAGTGAGATAGGATGCGGCACGGGCGGCGTAGGTAGACAAGAATTAACATCCGTAGGGAGGAAGTCAGGATGTAAAGAAGACGTTTATTACACTCCACTACGCTATGGTATATACTCGAGGGACAGCTCTGAATACTTTTCTCAAAGTACTTGATTGAAGATGCCGCACTGACATGAAGTCGAGGCCATCGTCCCATTCGCGCCTCAGCAACCCTCTACAAGCTCGAACAAAGGAAGAAAAGAAACATGTCGGGTATTGAACTGTTAGTCGTCCGGTAACGCAGCAAAGAACTCCTCGCTTGGTACCGTCGATATAATACACCACCAGTAATCGTACAGATTGGAAAGAGATGTCGTGATGATACACTCCATGGAAGAGACATCAGCAACCATAGGTCATCCGCTACAATAGCGAAGATTCAAGGTAGCATCGTGGATTGTGAACACTTAAGCGTGGTCGTAGCCTGCAAAAGTCAGTCACACAGTCGATCTCACCCAGAAGCAAAGGCAAACTTACGACCAAGCATCTTTCCACGCTTGCCAATAGCCTTAGCCTGGTTCTGCTTGATCTTCGCAAGACGAGCCCTATTCATCGTAAGCACACATTCACTGCATCCCTTCTCAATGACATCACTCATGTACTTCCCAATCGGGAAGACCACCCAGCAATAGGGGTACTTACTCCTCAGCCGCCTCCCTCTCCAGCCTCTTAACATGATCCCTAGCCTCCCTCACAGCAGCACGAGCAGCGAAAAGCGCACGATCAGCATCGCGCTCGGCAGCCTCGGCCGACATAACACGCTCCCGTGCGGCTATGATGCTCGCATCCTCGCTGCCGGACTTGTGCAGGAAACCCGAGTGACGCTTCGGGGAGGTCGCGGTGGTAGTAGTCACGGGAGACGACGAACGTCGGCGATTGAAGAGAGAGCGATGACGGGCAGGTGGAGAGGTGCTCGTGGTGGTGGTTGGGGGAGGGGAAGTAGTAGTCTCCTTGGAGCCGCCGAAGAGAGGCATGTTGATGGTTGTTGAAGTGGAGTTTGAGTTTGGAAGAGTGGGAACGGGTTGAATATCGTCTGTGTGTCGGAAGTTGAGCGGTGAGTTGGAGGAGAAGGACGAGAGCTCGTCGTTTGGTGTTTATATGCATGGCATGGGCCGTGTGCTAGCCGGGAAAGCAGGATCGCGGAAGCGTGTGACGTCAGCGATCAGCGACGGCAGCACCTCACACACCGCGACAGTGAGGTCACCAGCGCAAAGCCCCGTCGTCAGAAACGAGTACGACATTCTCTGTCTTAAAACATTCAATTAACAGGGATAGTGAATTAAAGGATGCTGGGTTGCATGCCTGGTCTTTCGCATGGAATGCGCCAGAGCTAGGGGAGCTTGTTTTGACTGCCTCCGCGAGTGATGCAGGGTCCAATTAGCAAGACGAACTCCTTTCCCCCGGAGGTGCACATGCATTACTCTGGAGCGCGATGCATCGCGCCAAAAAGGGGTGGTCGGTATCATACCTCCTTGCTGCAACCAAGGCTACGCCCTGGTCGCGAAACTCGTATTTGTGGCCGGTCCCTTGGATGTTACAGTCCTCCAAAACAACCCACAATGCACCATCTAATCCAATGCTCGCGCTCATATGTAAAAGCCCAAAACGCCCGGCTATGCAAAGACACACGGAAGCATCAACGACACTGAGCCTGAGACTCCGTCCCGTTGGCCATCTTGACCATGGTTTTGAAAACAGAAATTGCCATGACGGCACATCCAAATGCCACAACGCCCATCGCAAGATACGTCTTCGGACTCTTTTTGCTGAGCTTGATGTAGCACAGCGGAGGTAATATGTATGCCAGCGCGCATGCCGAAGTGGCTCCAAATAGTTCGAATACAACACCCAGATCGCAGGTGAGAAGAGAAAGCGTCATAGCGGACACGACTAGAGAAGTCGTGAAAATCATGTGTCGGTTCGGATGGTACGGTTCGTTGGGGAACCAGTAGTTGTTCATCACCTCTCGGCAGACGAAGGCTTCGAGTGGTAGGGTGGTGAGCATGTTGAGCCCGAAGCAGAGACGGGCTATGTTGACCACGAGGTTGTCGCTGGGGAAGTTGTTGAGTACATTCCCCAGCGTCTTGTCTCCAAACGTAAGGTACCCGAAAAGTGCCATGACAAGGCAGGCAATTAGAGAGATGCCTGTGCTGTAGTGGGTAACGCGCGAGAAGCGGTCGATGGTGGGCTTGCGGAGGGAGCCGTAGATGAGGAGACTGTTGTGGTGGCAGACGAAGGCAAAGGATATCACCCCTATGGCTTCGAATAGGCCCGAGTGGATGATTATGGAGCCGCGCAGTTTGCCCCGCGATTCAGCAGGCACGCGGAAAGACTGGGTAATCACGGTGATGATGATGATAGTCATGCTTATGAGGGCGAGACCGCTGGCTTTGGCGAGCTGTGGAGCATTAGTCTATGTGGTGCAGTGGGCGGTGGTGTAGTTGCCTTTGCGATATCTCGGTAGAGAGAAAGAGGGTATGAGACGCCGAGAATCAAGGCGATGATGATGGCTCGCCGGTTCGTCAGGAGCCAGAGGAACGACATGTCGGACAGGGAAGGAAACAGGGCATCAAGGACCCGCGGTATCGTGTCGCCGACAATGACACAGAAAGCGACCATGCCTCCAAAAGCGCTGCGTCCGTCAGCATCCCTTCACTGTGTCTAGGGGTCCAGCACGTACAATAGCCATTGTGCTAGCGAGATAGCGACCAGGCCCGACTTCCCAAAACAATGTTCTACCGTCGCCTGGAACGAGTCTGTGCCGCTGAGCTTCGAATTGATCACAATGAGCCGGATGGTCCAGTCCACTGTGATTGTGAGGGCGACGAGGAGGACGGTGCCCGTAATGAGGCCTGCGTTGCGGAATGCGTAGGGCTGGCCGATGATGCCCGCGCCTCTGCGATTTGTCAGCCTTCTTGTTCCCGCTGCGCCAGCACCATTGTGCGGTGTTTGGTCCAACCCACATTATGCTGTTCGCCATGTTCATGAAGGCGCTCCAGGTCCCACTCCTTGGCTTCGCATTCTCCAGGTGCTCCTCAGGATCGAAAGCCTCCTCGGCGACCGTCACGCTCGGCGCCTCAATGCCCGTCAGCAGCGGCAGCCGCTGTACCCTTTCCGTGCCCAGCCCATCTTCTTCGATATAGTCATCGCCCTCTAGCTCTATCCACTCCGCTCCCCGTGCGCCCCAGTTCATGCTCCTCCGCACCGGGTCGTCATCGAAGCGCACCCGGTTCGGCGTCCGGGGTGTGCCATGGGGACGCGGCTGAGCAAAAGACGACACCCGCTTTGGGTGGCCATTTGGTCTGGAGCCCGGGGGCGCGGGGGAGGCGGAGGACGGCCGTGACGACGCAGGGGACGGCGAGAGCTGGTGCGGCGGGCTGGGCGTGTGCTCCTGCTCGGGCTCGGAGTCGGTGTCGTCGGGGTGCTCATGCAGGAGCTTCTGCGACTCGCTCATCGTGGCATCGTCGGCGGTTGAAGGCTGCTGGACGTCAATGTGAAAGGTGGTGTCAGCATGCCTGCGCTCAGAAAGTTGACGCCCCCTGTCTGTACCAGCGCGAAAAGGGGATGGCGTGCCAAGGATCTGCCGTAAGCGAGATGTGGGGGTTCAGGAGCACCTGGGCACTTTCACCGTTTGCGTGGACACTCGTCATTCACGTTCTCACTACCTAGGTACTCTCCGTCATCTGGATCATTCACTCCGTTGGTTCACATGACGCATTCATTACGCTCGAGCATGAGAAGAACCAATCAATCGCTAACAAAGATAACTAGCTACCTCAACATCAAACCACCTAGGCTACAAGCGCGCAGTCTTAGACGAAGTGCAACCAGCAAGGGACAGCCATTGTCAATAACCTGCCACATCCTCCTTAGTTAACCATAACATTACCGGGCAGCTCAGTCAACCCTGTTAATGTAAGTGTTAGCCGCTTGAACCTGAGCGGAGAAAGGAAGGGGTGCGACTTACAGCTATCAATATCCTCACCCACCATATCCTTAACGGTACACTTGTTCTGCTCGGTAATGCTCTGCGTCTTGAGGCTCGGAGCAGAAACGTAGGTGTGCGCATCCATGGCCTTTTGGAGAGAATCATCCTTCCAGCCAAACAGGTAATCAGCATGCGTAGAGTACCCCGTGGCATCACCACTCGACCAGACGAAAGGCTGACTGCCATCAGCGGGCCAATCCGCCTTGTTGTTAAACGCCTTCGTATCCCACACCGTCTCTAGTAGGATCTGCGGAAGCCGAACCGGGTGCGTAGAGGGACATGGGCCGCCCGACTCGAACGTCCCCGACTCCGGATACGCAACATGGTCCTGGTGGTTCGGCGAATCGAGATTCACACCGTCCCAGCACGTTGGGAAACGATGGTTGGCCATGATTCCGGCAGGGCAAGGCTTCGTGGGGAAGGTGAGTGTCTCGGGTTCACGCGTGCCCTCGTTTTGCATGCAGATGTAGGTCAGTTGGCGGAACTTGCGGGCTGCCTCGCGGTCGCGGTAGTTCACGTCGCCAACGAGCATGCGGAAGCCGGGCTTGAAGGCAGTGACTTTTGACTTCTGCGCCGTGTCGAAGAGCGCGTCCGACATGTAGTAGACGACCTGGGGCATGATTAGCTGGCGTACTGGCCAGTGTCGGGGAGGAGCTTACCATGCCGCCCTGCGTACCCTCCATCCCCTGCTGGGCTCGCTGCGGGACACGTTTGTAAGTGCCGTTCTTGCCCTTGAAGAACATGACGGCGGTCCAGTAGTTGGAGAAGTCGGTATGTAAGTCAGCATGCTTCTTTTGCTAGTTATGCGGGATTCCAATACCTTCAGTGAATTGACAGCTCGTGCAGGTGGAGCCCTTTACGAGATCATGCGCCTTCGGGTCCATCGACACGTTAAAGGAGTTCTGTGGGTTGTTACTACAGCCGTATAGGGAAGTACAAGGAAAGGGGGGCCCATACTCCTCCAATGATCTGATGAAGATGCGGCGACGGGTTCACGCCTGGATTGACCAAGGGGTCCAGGCGTTGGACAGTCAAACGGGCGCAACCGAATCGAAGCAGTGCGCTCGAAGGCGCGAACAGCCCCAAGGCCGTGACGAAGGTGCTCCACTTCATTTTGCGATTCCCAAGTGTTGACTCAAGGATGACGATGGCAAAGCTGTTGGAGAAAGGAGCCGGGCAGAAGAGACTAGAGTGAAGTATATCTCCTTGTCGGTGTTTGGCACGCAACGGCATCTACTCACAGCAGACATGCATCATTACCGGATCCACAACTACCGCCTGGAGATTTATTGCTCATTAATCGAGCGGCATACCTCCAGATCCGAACCAGCCCATTTTGATTGCCGTTAATTAGCGATGCCCAATGCGCCTCTCGTGTCCACTCAATCAAGCTGAAGTTGATATCGCCGCCTAGAGCACCGCAGGGATACAGGCCTGGTTCCCCAAATCGTTTTACCCCGCATTTGTTCTTGGACGCGAAAGAGTATGGGCGGACATATACCGCCGAATCCTCAATTAATGAAAAACTATGCGTCCAAATAACTGCCACGTTCTCGGTAGTTCGAGCGAAACGCCGATCACCGTACTCCCGAAATACTTACACAGCGCAGTAGCCATGGATGTGTTGGGCAGCACATATTTACCTGGCCTCTCTCTCATCGACTCGGTGACGCGACAACATCCCCGAACGTCAACGTCAACATGAAGCTCCCGCTCAGCCTCATCGCTCTCTGGCTCTCTGCCGCCCTGGCCCAAACATACCCCGAATGCACGCGCGCACTCGTGGAAACAGACGAGTGTGCCTCTGTCATCAACGCCAATGCCTGTTACAACAAATTCCGGTTCCAGAACGCGCAGACGATGCAGTGTATCGATGGGACGGACAATGCGGATAAGGCGAAGAAGGTATGAGACTTTTGCGCAATCGGCGTGAATGGCGACCGGACGTGCTGACTATTCTGGCGTAGATTTGCAAGTGCTGCAGCTGTGTTGGGGCTATAATGTGTAACTGGGCCACTAAGCAGAAACTCTGCTAGACGTTTTTATGGGAGAAAGGAGTGCGATGGTCGTGGATTCGGCCTCCTGGATTTTGTGCTGGCTGGGGTCGTGGAGCTGGAGGGTACTTGGAATGGGTATCGTGACGGGAAATTGTACGAATTCTTGTCAAGATACGCGATTAATCGAATGGAGTTTTGTGTCTTGATGTCCATCTGTCATGAGTGGCCAGATTGGAGCGCAATATGGAACTTGAGCGGTTCGTGAATGCCACTAGGACTGTGCAGCGATCGATTGCCGAGATTCATCGTTCTGAGATAGACGTTAACTTGAGCGTGGTCCTGCATGTCAGCTGCATAATGGGAACTAGAAGAGGAGCGGCCTGAATGTGAAGTCTCCACGATCAGCCTTATAAGCTTTCCGTGGTAGCGTGAGGAGATCCTGGGCGCTCCAACGCGGATACCGAAGCTCCAAACCAGACCCTATGTAGAAGGGACGCCTCGAATAGGTGCAAGGCGGAAAGACAGGAAAGGTAGAGGCCCTACGATAACGATCAATCACAACCCGTGAATGAGTGTGCCTTAGTTCGCAAAAGCGGTAGGTTGTACCTACGTTCTGGAGGCGCAGTCTGGTAGCTGGAGTCTGAGATAGCGCGTAAGGATCTCGCAAGGACAACTGAAGTCGTGGAGAAGCGATCGAAAGGGCGAGGTGGCGAGGTGGCGAGGTGGCGGTTGCGCGCTAGACGTTTTCGCTCCCCACTTTCTACAAAAACACGACACTTCCGCACCCCTTTTGCTATCTCTTTCTAAAAGCTACCGTGGACAACACATTTATAAGACCACCCCGGCCTTGCGTTCGATTTAAGGGAAAATATGAACCTTGAGGGGTCGTGATCTTGTCTAGAATTGGCTTAGCTTAGATCTCCAAGTTTCCCCGCAGAACCTCATCTGCCGAACAGCACGAATCATCCTTAGCCAATTCCGTGCATCATGCGGCGATACCCCTCAATACATACCGGGGCTGTGGAGACGACGGCTCCGATCGCTGCGCGGGGTCTTCTATTCTTTTGTTCCTTGAGCTGACTTCACACCGTTCGTGTAGCTCTCGATCTTATATCTGCTCGGATTCCTTACTAGCAAGTCGCATTGGTTTGTAAATGCTTAATCCCCTTCTTTGGAATCTTTTGGGACTGAGTTTGAAACCATCACTCCAGTCTTCGAGCCCCATTCCACCATCTCAAAGTTTCGAAGCCCGTTCGAGCTGAACGTCCAAGATGCTGAACAAAATCGCGCTCGAAGAAGCCTGGAATATTCCCGATGCAGGATCTCTCGGAGGCTTTCAACCTGGCTCTCTGGCCCCAAAGGGCGTCATAGGCGGCGACCTGGGCGCGAACCTCCTCGATGTCCACGGAACACGGCTCCAGCAGATGGACGAGAACGGCGTCGAATTCATGGTTCTATCGCTTGTATCCGCTGGTCCCCAAGGTATCGCAGACAGAGAAGCAGCTGAGAAGCTCGCAAGAGTAGGCAACGATGCCCTCAGCAAAGAAGTCATGAAGAACCCCAAACGCTTCGCCGGCCTCGTAAGCCTAAGCATGCACGACCCCTCGCAAGCGAGTCAAGAGCTACGACGCTGCTGGACCGAACTGCAAGGCTTCGTCGGCGTCATCCTGAACGACTTCCAATCCGCCGGCTCCGACGGAAACACCATGCTCTACTACGACGACCCGGCCTACGACACCTTCTGGAAGACGGCCGAGGAACTCAATGCACCAGTGTACATCCACCCGCGCTCTGCGACGCCCGAGATCACGGAGAAAATGTGGAAGGGCCGCGAGCATCTCGCCTTCTCCGCCCTCGGCTACGCAAACCGCGTGAACATGCACCTCCTCGGCATCATCACCGCGGGCGTGCTGGACCGCTTCCCGCGCCTCAAACTCGTCGTAGGCCATATGGGCGAGCATATCCCATACGACCTCTACCGCATCGATCACAAGCTAAACCGCGCACGCTTCCCAAACATGCGCATGCGCAAGGACCGCCTCGTGCGCGACTACTTCGGCACGCAGGTCTTCATCACCACGTCTGGCCATTTCAGCACGCCCGCGCTGCTGTGTGCGATCGCGGAGATTGGGGTGGAGGCGTGCATGTTTAGTATCGATTATCCGTTTGAGAGTATTCCGAATGGGTGTGTGTGGTTCGACGAGCATGTGGGGCAGACGCTGAATGCGAAGGATTTGGTGCGGATCGGTAGGGGAAATGCGTTGAGAGTGTTTGAGAGGCTGAGGGGGGTGCATGGTTTGAGGGAGATGACGCCCGCAGAGTGTGGGGTGGGTGGGTTGAATACTGGGAACGGGGAGGTGGAGTTTGGGCTTTATAATAGGAGTTGGGATAAGAGGTTGGTGAAACAGTAAGTAAGGGAAAGCTCTCCGGAGAGATTTGAACATCTAGTATTACCCATTTGTTTTCGCCGCCTTCAATTATGTCTACGCCATTCTCATAGGCCGCCGCTTCGAGTTCCTTAGCCTTCCCCGCCTGCCCGCACCTTTGACGGCATGTACCTCAACCCCATCATCCTCCGATTCCGCCGCGTCCCCTCCCTCCTCTCCAACCCATTCATCGTCCATGCCCCCTCGCACAGCGCCCTTACCCCTCACATTATCCACCGTCTGGTCCACTCCCTCATCATCATCATCATCCCCTCGATCAATCTCATCCTCACTCTCCCGCTCCTTCCGCCTAACCATCCACCCCAGCGGCTCCCCCCACACATCCTTCGGCCACTCATCAAACACACGCTTCTCCGCCTTCCCTTCAATGACGTACTTCCACACCCCGCGCGCACAAACCTTTGCAGTCTTGAGCTTTCCGTCGACGCGAACCCGCTTGCTGATCTTGACAGTAGCGCCGAAGTGGGCGTAGTGCCATTCTCCGCTTCCTATTCCTGCTGAGGAGGATAGAGGCGTGCTGGGTGAGGAAGAGCAAGCCAGAGGAGTGACAAGTTGCAAGCGCAGCGTAACCAGGCGGTCGATCTCAGAAGTGTAGAAGCGCGTGAGGACTTCGTGATTTTGCGCCGTTGTCAATTTCTCGTGCGGAAGCGGCTTTTTCAACCCGCTAATCCAGGCTGGTAGATCTTTCGGCTTGTCTTCGTACTCCAGCGTCTTCAGCGCGTTGGCGAGATATGCGCGTGCCTGATCGGGGAACGCCTTCTCTGGGTCGTAGTGCTTCTCCATCCAAGCTTGCTGGCGCTCGTCGTACGTCCGTGGTGCTTTTGAGGCGCGAGTCGCTGCTGCAGCCTGGCCGCGCGTGGAGTCCTGATGTCGGGGTTTCGTTGGCATTGCTGCCTTTTTCTTGGGAGTACCGTCGGGGTTGAGGCCGGAAACGTCGGTGATGTCGGTGAGCTCCGAGGATATGTCGCTCGCGGGGGCAGCGTTATGGATTACCTTCTCGCGGGCGTCTTTCAGCGAGAGACTGCTCGCTGTGAGCGGTGGAGCTGCGGCGTTCTTCTGTCGTCCTTTTACCGCGCCCAGCGGGTTGTTACGCCAGAGGGACTCAGATAGCCTCATAGCGCCAAACATGTCTTCATCAGAGACGTCGTCTTCGTCTTCAGAGTCTGGAATCTCCAGGCCGCCGAACTTCTCTAGCATCTTGCCCATTTTGAACGATGCCGCGCTTGATTTGTATGGAGCGCTTCTCGGTTTACTAGAGTCAGGCTCGTTCGTGATCACAGTCTGCACTCTCGCCTCGTCCTCGGGGTCCTCTTTTGCGCCTGGCTGGGTCGCCGACCGTTGCTCCTCCTCCTTTCTGGCAATGGCCTCCTCCGCTCTACCCACCTTCAGAGCGGCCTCATACTGCTCTGGATCCACCTCATCTCCATCCAGCTTCTTCTGAATGATCTCACTCGCAATCTCTAGTTGCAGCCGCCGTGCCTCTTTCTCTGCCTTCTTGCGCTTATGATCGCGAGTCGCCCAATTAGTGGGCGCATGCGTCTCATCGGGAATGCCGCCGCGGAGGAAAGAAGAGTCGCGCGGGGAGAGCGGAGCCCATTTGTCGTGCGAAGAATCCGGAAGGCGCGTTATCGACCGGGAGGGAGGCCGTTTGGATGGCGCCATGTTTGGGTTTGTTGGATGCTGGGGCTTAAGCGGCTGTGGAAGTGGAGATGTTGAGGTAGATTTTAGAGCGTGAGATCTGAGAGAGAAAGGGGGAATTTTAGTTCTATATGGAGTGGGCGCTAGTTCTTAAGGTGAATGCAGATTATTTGCTCTAGTAACGTGGAGCTGGATAGACGAGAAACAGAATCACACAGAACAACATCGCCGAATAGTCGCGCGGTTGGGCGAGATTTCTTTATTAGTCAAACTTGGATGTTGGAGTTCATTCTTTATCCTGGATAGTTGCGTAAGCATCAAAGCGCAGCTAATAGCGGATGATATATGAGATGAAATCCGCAGAATCTAACGCCGATGAAGAGAGAGTGGGCAAACATGGCTAGGAAAGTGTACAAGTATGCCGAAGCTCATGCACCAACGGCGTCTAGGTTAGGGGTGAGTGGATAGCGTTCATTTTTGAAGAGCTCACCGGAAGCATGTCTTGTCTCGAGCAGTGTATGGCGCTGTGCTTACGAAACAGATCCCGTCTTTCGCCATAGGCGTGAATCTTCATCCGTACTTGCTACTCTCTTGTTTACACAGGCCAACGCACGCATCGATATGCTCTTAGTACCGCCTGAGGCGAACCGTGCGCAGGTTTGGAAGCAGATCATGCCGGTTAGAAAGCTGCCACGTCTCGTCCCATGCGCTCCGTAGATGCTCATACGGGCGTTCACTCTGTCTAGTGGCATACACCGTAAGCTCCTCCAACGGGTCGGGGAGAAGACCGTGCAGATGGTGGAGATGTAGCATGCCGAACCGGTCGCTGTTGGCAAACACACCCATCGGACGAGAGAAGGTTTTCCAGTCAAAAAGCACCATTTCCGTAGCCGAGAAGCGTCTCAGCTGTGGAAAATCTCGGAGGGCATCTAGGTGAGCGATCGCTCGTTTCCTCCTGAGGTCACATAGGGCCAATGGACGGCCCCTGGTGTGGAGGTGCAGGGTCTCGAGAAAGTCGGCTTGCTCAGCAAGGTCTTTGATATTGAAGAAGAGAGGCAGATCATCGTGTACGATGTTGATCCACCCGGGCGGGGGCTCGTTTTCAATCCACCTAGCGTATTGCTTTTTCCACTCGATCCGGAGATGCTGCAGCTCGGAGAAGATGCTGAGGAAGCCCTTCCAACGCGAATTGTCGCTAAACTGGGGCCCGTTGAGACGGGAAAGTCGAGAAATGTGACGTCAGTGACGGGAGAACAGCGAGGAACCCATGGTCCATGGAAATTTATATTCTGCAATTCGACTTTCCGTAATGTCTCAATACCAAAAATGGCAATCCCATGGATATCGTATACGTTGCCAAAATGGGGGGGTGCGTGAAGCGTGAGGCTCGTAAGCGAAGGTGTGGTTTTAAATTGCCAGCCTTGTCCGTGTGTGAGAAGCTTGCTGACGTGTTGCATCAGGGTGAACCAAGCCTCTAAGGGATCATGGAACTCGATTTTGAGAGACTTAAGGTTTGGGAGATGCATCATAATCATGGCAGCAGCCGCGTCGACATTGCCTATGTCAACTGCGATTTGGAACTCGGATAGGAGACCGTCCCTATCGACTTCTTTCTTGGCTGGTTGCACATGACATTCAGGCCGGGGAGTCCGAAGCGCGCCATAAACATGATTGATCACATATGGAAGCGCATTCGAAGGCTTCCGCTCTCTCGGCCGCAAGTGCGGTGACAAGCGAAGTAGAACCCGTTCGACTTTCTGAGCTAGTTCAGGCCGTGTAGTGATAGTCCGCAAGAATAACGGCAGTACGACGTCATCGCGAGTGTCTTTGGCGGTGCATTCGAAGGATGAGTAGAGACAGCGCTCCGCAGCATACCTCAGCTTTCGACACTGCAAGGAAACACTGTAGAGATCGTGAACCGAGAACTGCCCTTCTTCGATGACGTTCCAGATAACTTCTGTCGGCATGCTCTCGAGCGACGGCCACTCGGCCTCGACGCATGATGGAAACAAATCCGGACTCAGCGGGGCCATTCTGGGTACAGCCGTGTAGGTGCGTTCAGTTATTTTCGATTCTGACGACGCTGTCGAAAACTGAAGATCCAATGGACGATTGTGCTGACGAGTTGCGGTTGGAGAGAGCCTGCGGACTGTGCGGGTCGAGGGTGCTGTCCTGTACGGCGGTCTTATAACGATGAGAGAAAGAGTCGCGAGCTGGCGCACAAAGTGAATATCAGATAGTAAGTGAAATAGAACATTTCCCCTACTAGCTAGTCCCCGAAGCGCAAAAACTTTTGATGCCCCTGGTCATACCCAGATTCCTCAACACACGGCAGCGAGAACTCGAGTTTATGCAGTACCTGTGAAGTTTACTTTTGAAAAGTGGAAAGTGTAGACAGGCCTCTATAAGAGACCGGCATGCAGTGCTGATACCGTTTGCGAAGGGTATCCCAAGATTTTAGAGTAAGTAGTTCAGCCCGACCAGTCGCGAGGCGTCAAGATTGAAGCTTCGTCGTGGAGTGTGATCAAGACTTGTATGGGTGGGCGATATGCGGACTTTGGGAGGCACGAGGGCATCCAAATCGGTGGTCACATACAGATCTCGCCGCAGTCGCGATTGTCTCGAGTCGTCCGGAACACGGAGTGAATTGTGGATGAGGGGCAAACTCGAGGCCGGGTCATAGTTGCGACGCCGAGCGCGACTTTTCCTTAAAGATTCTAGCTCGAATGCCCTCCCTAAGCTTCATGTGGGTATTCTTGCGCGCGATCCTGGGACGCCGAGCGAACTTTTTCCTAACCTCTTAATTGGTAAGACTAATGCGTTCACCACGTCTAAGGAGACGTATGTGCTAGTGGAAGCGCAATGTCTATCATTTTGTAGGCATTATTATCTTCTACTGATCGCTCACGAAGTGCGGAGTGCGAGATAATGTATCGCGATCGCGAGGTAAAGTGAAGTCTTCCGCGGCGCGCTCTTCGAAAGCTATTTGCCCTACTTCTAGCAGAAATCTGACCATATCCTCCGGAAGGACGCTGCTCCAAACCTCCAAACCCTTCCAGGGTCCCGTGGTCTATACGAGTGTGAACGAGGTGAAACACGAGGTCACGTGACTGCTACTCCCAATCCCTTCGATACCTTTGTATCGAGACCGGAGTTCTCATCGCACGATCTTATCAACCTATAGCCCTCGCAGGAGTATGCGGGTATGCTCATCTTTTCTGGTTTTGCAGAACCCAGGCCCATTTGCCCCATTTGCCGTCGCGCTTACGATACACCTGGGCTGGCGCCATTGATCTCGACTGAATGCAAGTCTTTATATCTGCAAGGAGATAATCTTTACGAGCCGTTCCCGTGAGGATTTGCTGCGCCTTTCCGGCGGGGCTAATCAGCGATCCTCCGGACCCCAATCGAGCATGAAACCCATGCATAGCCTCACACCACCTTCCCCGTGGCCAATCGCATCGGAGTCCATTTATTGCTCAGGCGCCAATATTGCACCGTTAGCGGAAATTCGCCCCAATCGTAGCGTTCCAGCACGCTACGCCCCGCATCGGGCATCGCAGAGTGAACACACGCGCAGAGTGTCGCCTTAAGACCGGAGTATACGAAGCGCGACTCGACCTTTCAGGTCTCCTTTTTCTTCGCTCTTCCGCCTTCTTTCTTTTACACCTCTCGTTGAAAACTGTTTGATCGTACGTATTCCGCAGCGCACGCCGCGAAAATGGGGTATGAAAGGGTCCTCAATCTTTCGCTCATACCGACGACTCTTTTTTTCCTCCTGTCTCTCGTTTCTATCGTAATAACAGCCCACTACTGGATCATCGGCGATTGGCTAATGCCGCGATGGATCGCGGTGCCGACGACTTTCAACCAGCGGACGAACTCGTGGAACCACGATGACATGATCGTCGACTACACTGAGCCGTCCACCAACGCGACTATTATCTCTGGATGCCTCTGCTTAACGGCCGCCGTGATGGCAGGTATTGCGTGGCACAAGCTGCGGAAGCGGGATATGGACTCGGACTTCCAGTTGGTATGCGCTGCAGAGTTACGCTTGAGTTTAACAGAGTAGGACTGACGTCGTTGAACAGCCAGTGCGCCGCTTCTATACCGGCACCGTCTTCATCACCGGAGCAGCAGCCGTGGGCGCCGCGCTCGCCGCGCTCGTTACTTCCTTCACAGACAAGGGGCCCGATCAGTACGGCTGCACGGTCTCGACAGCGTCGACGAAGTCTGCGGGAACGTTTACGAATCTCCTCTGCTCGCGGGAGATGGGGGCGTGCAACTTTTTGAAGAAGTGGGTGCCTCTGGGTACGGACAGAAGCAAAGATTGGACGGCTCCGCTAGCCTGTAATGAGATTGTGAGTGTCTACGTGCTCCTGCAGTAGCTTTGAGGGTAGATTTGCGGACTAATGCAAGTACAGATCGCCGTTAAGTGGCTGCAGATCGTGCTTATTGTGAATGCAGTGGTGGTTATGGCGATGTTTGGTCTTCAGGCGAGGTTGCGGAAGAAGACGAGATGGACGAGGGCTGGGAAGCAGCCGCTTGTCAACCCCATGTGAACAGCAATTACCGGACAGGGACCAAGCCGTTAGTACACATCACTGAGCCAGTCTCCCGAGCACTGGCGTAAACCCTGGGCGGAGCGCGGGGCGAGGCCAAAGATTGAAGAAGGGAAGAGCATCGAAGGCGAGTGAAGAATCGACGAGTTAGGGCATGGCCGCCTAAATGCAGCCAAACCAGAGTGGAGGATAGCGCCAAAAATTGGTGGTGACTTAGCAGTTCCGGGAAGTTGAAATGCAGTTGGCCTGCTTAAGCGCTGAGGTGAAATGCACGTGTTCAGTTTCATGTTTGTTCGAGCGATGCTGTGCCGCATCCTACTCCGGAAAATACGCGCCGTTCGAATCCTTATCTCGAAGCGCTCGCAGCTCAGCCAGGAAATAAAGTAACTTTCGTTCAGTCTCGTTCAGTATCACATTCAATTCTATCGAATCTCTCGTCATCATGGACAATAAAGCGGAATCTCGCAACACCACGCTTTCCGGTAGCAAACACTACTTGCTCGTCACTGCTATTCTCGGGGCGTTCTTGATGAAGGAATTGGTGGCAGAAGGTGCAGCACAGCATCCCGTCCGCTATGAGGTCGTCGGCAGCATGCGAAATATTACGGCCCAAGCTGTAAGTCTCTGTCGTAGTTGAATATGTATGTACTAATGTGTATAGATCGAGCCATTATCGCCAACCATCAACGTATTAGTCGCGATCCCAGTGCGGTCTACCTATTCGTGGAAGGTAGCAATGATCAATGCGGTGATGGGAGCCCTCGCGATGTATTACGTACTGGCTAATGGCAGGCTGGACTATATCAAGTCGGCTTGTATCGAGGCGCAGGAGCTCGATATTCCCAGCGAGCGATTGGAAGACGAATCCACCGTGTCGCGTCCAAGCGATAACACGTTGGAGGACGAGGAAGTAGCCCGTGAAAGTGCCCGTGAATCAGCGATCGCGGCTGTGACACAATCAGAAAGCGATGATTCGAAAATCGTGATCGCAGAAGCTACGCCGGAAACTGAGATCGAAGAGCAGTTGGAAGAAGAGGCGGCATCGTCTCTAGAGGGTGCGGGCGAGGAAATACTAGAGCTGGAGGACCTTGATCAGCTTGGGGAGTACCTATACAGTCAGAGCGCCGACCCGACCCCATCAGTGCGACCGGGCCTTTCCTTGCTGTACACATCTGAGAAGCGACGGCGTTCTTCGGGTGGCAGCTGTGCCAGGCCCGTTTCTGCATGTGCCCCGCACCCAGCCGTTACCTACGTATATAGTCGGCTACGCCCCTTGCGCTCCCGTCCCCGACATTTCACTTCTGATCTCTGGCCACCACACGGCACACCTTTCTCGCAGGCTTGCAGCTACGTCGGGGCTCATATTCAAAAGCTCAATGGCGTCAGACCTGCGTCATATCCACAACAGTATCCATAGAGCTCGGAGTGTTATTGATGGGATTCGGAAAATAAGTGGCGCCCCAGGGCTCACTGTCGCCGTGATTCATCATGGCATTACCATCCACGAAGACTACTTCGGTTATCGAGATGTTCACTCACAGCTACCCGTCAATGGAAATACAATATTCCATGTTGCATCGCTGACAAAGGCGATCACGGCTGCTGCAGTGGGCATATTGGTTGATCGCGGAGACCTGCGATGGGAAACGCCAGTGGACGAGATTCTGCCCTTCAACAAGACCACATGTCCAGAGAAATCCAAATTGAGCGTTATAGACTTTCTGAGCCACAGGACCGGCACCACTTGGGCAGACGCGCTTTATCTACAATCGAACAATGCCATCCTCCTACCGAAGGAGGAAAGTCTGCGAACATTTGAGTACTTGCCTGTGGTCGCTTCGCCGAGAACGCGCTTCCTCTACAACAACCACGCATACAACATTCCGGGCCTTCTCATCGAAGCAGTATCCAAGCAATCCTACGGAGATTTCGTCAAACAAAGCATATTTCGTCCTTTAGGCATGTCCAGGACCTACACACGCCAACCAGACGACACGAATGTGGCGATACCGTACAACATATTGAGAGATGGAACACCATTCAGAATTCCATTCTCAGAGGCATCAGATAGCACGATGATGTTCTCAGGGATATCCGTCCGAACAACGGTTTCCGATCTCTTGCGACTGTATCATGCTTTTCTGGTTGCCCTTAGACCTCTAGTTCCTGGTGGGCTCTCTCTGAGCACCTCCAAATCAAGGGGACTCGCGACGCTCAGTCAAAAGTTGAGCGATGTTTTGTTTGGTCACGGATGCTCATCGTCGCTGAGGGACATCACATGCACCATGAACGAGCCAACTGCATGTCCTTCGGTGATCAAGCAGACCGCTCAACTCTGCTGTCCCCGCATTGCTCGAAACACCGAGAGCTTGTTTGAGCAGACACACTCGCTCGGTTGGAACCGGACTCAGCTCCCGGGAAAGCTCGACTTTGGCTGGAACTCTAGCATGGTGAAATCTATGCCCCTGTTTGGTGGTAAATTCCCGGGGAAACTCGCAATCTGGCATGGAGGAAATATGCCAGGCACTACAGCGGCTGTCATACTGCTTCCAGAGACACAAACAGCTGTAATCGTCTTGCAGAACTCTCTTGGCCTCTGCGATGCAGCAGACCTCACCGCACAATTGCTTGTTGACTGCATATTCGCTGGCAAGCCACAGAACGACTACGCTGCACTAGCCTCGGAGGCTGCAATGAACGGGGCTGAGAGGATGGAGAAAGTCGCGGCTCGACTTGAAGAGGAACGAGAGAGAGGCACAACACATAGGCCGTTACACGATTACGTTGGTATGTATGAGAACTCAATCCAGAACTGGACGATTGAGATCGGAATCGATGTCGACTGTCAACTTTTTCTAAGATTTCAGAAACGGACCGATGAGCAGTACGTCTTGCGCCACTACCATCACGACGTCTTCGTTTGGAACCTGACATACGATGAGATGGTGAAACGAGCACAATACTGTCGGCCTCATGCATTTTATAGGATACACTTCGAGGCGGCCGATTGTGGAAGTGTCACTAGGCTGCGATGGCATCATGATCCGAACGTAGCAGAAGGGGAGGTTTTCACGAAGAGGAATGCTTAAACGATCGTGTCCTGAACTACCTCCATGGTACTCCGAGCTGCTTTTTCCCGGCCTCAATTATGGATATATATAACCAATTTGGAGAACTTGTCGTTGAGATCCCCGTCCTCAGCTTTGCTTCCCGTGATTTGACACATAAGCATCTGCGCTTCTGCTAGGAGCTTATCGGCTTCTGCGAGATGGCCAAGCTCACGGTTGACAACGGACAGAAAATACGTGGAACGCGCAAGCTCACGCTGAGCATCGAGTGAGTTGCTGAAGATGTCTCGAGCCTGTTCGAAGGCATCGCCAGCTTCAGCGAAGTTCCCCCCTTCGTACAAGATGCATCCCATCTTGTGCAAAGAAACTCCGTAATAGAAACCTCGTTCGCCAACCAACTGCTTTCTTATCTTGAGTGCCCTGGTGTGATATTCTATGCCAATGGGGTTATTCTGAGCGAGGTAGCAGTTACCGATGGCGTAGAGGTTCACTGCACCAGATTCGCTCATCTCGGTCCGAAGTCCGTCGCCAAACTCGTCGCCTTGATTGAAGTGCAATGTCAACCCCATTTCCGGCTGACCGGCTGCCTCGTACGTACGTGCCATGTTGTGGTGGATATGGAATGTCATGTCTCTCCGCGTGAAGTCGTCACCGTTCAGTTCAACTACGGCCAAAGCTCTTTTCTGAAGTTCGATGGCCTCATCATAGCGACCCTGGGCCGTGACTGGCAGTGCGACATCTTGGTAGCCGTGTGCTAACAGGATATCACTGTCTTCCACATTTTTGAGACGTATTTCTAGGGCTTTCCGGAAAAACTTTTCGGAGTCCTGGTACTTCGAGCATTCAAACAGCACACACCCAAAGCAGCTCAGGGTCCTTGCCTTCAGAAACCAGTCGATACCGGTTGAAGAGTTCTCGCAGATCTTCTTGGCCGTCTCGAGAAGAGGAAGAGAGAGCTCAGGGAGACGTCTTTCGTACAGATACCAACTACCATACAGAAATAGTTCTGCAAGGCGAGCGTCGAGCTCGAGGTCCGTAGAGTCCAGAGATCGGGAGTTCAGGGCAAGGAGGTGTGGGAGGAGTTTCTCACATTCGGGCCATCTGTGCATCAAGCGAAAGTTCGACCTGGTCGGATGCGGATAGACAGTCAGACACAGTTTGACCGCACTCGAAAATGTTGAGTTCTGCGCTGCTTTGTCTTGTTGGTGAAAGACAGTCTCTTGGACAAGCCTGTGCACTGCTAAGCTGCGAGTGCCTCGCCTATTCAAGGAGGCCCCTCCAGTCTGGACCTGCGTGATGTTCTTTGATATCAGACCATTACGCATAAGCTCACTGACAACATCAATGAATGACACCGTACGGCTGAGGTATAGAAGATCCGGATGTCCTTTCGAGCCCTCTCTTAGCAGGGACTCTGGAATTCCGTCAGGGTCCAGGCACGATAGAATTGCCAACAGAGAAGCAGCATTATCAGAAAGCTTCTTGAGTGAGATCTTCCACACAGTGGCCAGGGAGTGCTCGTAGAACATGTCGCCCACAGTGGCTTTTAGTGGGCCGAACGTCTCCTGGGACTTTAGAGATTCGTTATAAATGTCGTAGAAGTCATCCACACTACACTCGCTTTCCAGCATGTAGTGAGCGACCTGGTTAATGGCGAGTGGCAAATATCCTTGAAGCTTATCAGCGCCCTGCTTCGCCCATAGACTAACTGCTGATCAGGCTTACCAAGCTTTTCTATGACTTTGCGGACCCATATGTCAGCGTCACCGTCCGGCTCTTCGCTTCCTGAGCGAGTGATAATCGACATGAACAGACTTTCACCGTCGTCTGCCGGAAGAGGTTTGACTAAGGCACCCTTCTTTGTGAGTGCTGCAGCGGCGTGATTCCGGCTGGTGATGATAATGGTTCCACGGTTTCCAGACGGCCAGAAGGGTCTCAGAATTTCCAGATCATCTGCGTTGTCGAACACAACTAGCCACTCGTCCCTAGCTTCTTCCATCCAGTCTTTAAGCACCTTTGAAACACTCTCGGCGTCATGTTGCGAGTCACTTTCCTTCAGTTGTAATTTCCTGGCGGCATCGACGAACGATGACTGGAGTTTTGCACGAGAGTCTGCATTCATCCAAAAGACCGCAGGATAGTCCTCCAGGTGGTCGTAGATGTACTTGAGAGCAATCTGAGTTTTGCCCACGCCACCCATGCCATGAATTGCAATGGACTTCTGCTCTGGCTTGGATATGGCGAGATCAATACTCATCTGATTGAGTATATCTTGACGTCCAACGAAGCGTGGGTTGACCGGATATGGCACAATTCGGCAAGGGAGCGAGCCCTTGGGTTTTACAGATACCCGACTGAATATATCTTTTATCTCCTCGTGCCATTTGTAGTGCAAATCTACATTTGCAGCCCATGCTTCCCTCTCCACATTGGTCTTCAGGTCTTCGATTTCCTTCAGTTTTGCTCGAACGCGGATGGGCTCAGGGAGCGGCGCGATTTTGGGTCGGGAGGCGCATCGTTTGAGGAAGACATTGACTTCGTAGAAGAAGCTCAGAACTCCGTGATAGAGCTGTGCGAGGGCTGTATCGACCTCTGTCATATCGCGAAAGATCTTTTCGTATGTGCGTAGACGCGGCGCGGAGCTGCAGAGGTCTTCGATCAGGTTCGCGACGAGTTCTTTCAGCTGCCTAGGCACCTGCGATCCAGAGGACATCTAAATCTGTCAGTATCTAGACTCACCACAATTAGTGTGCAATATACTTGATGTAAAAAGTCCAGACTGCCCCAGAACAAGGCAGAGGTCTCAGGCAGTGCAGAGCCGAATACCGAAAGAAAGACACTGTACTTCTCGAGGCCGTTCCGTATCTTTTCCATTCTGGTGCCGTGGTTGGAGATCTGGATCTCAGAAGATTCAAGGCGCCGCAGCAGTTCTTGCGAGTTGCTCACACTTAGAACTGCGTGTAGGTCGTCCTGCGAAAGCTTTTCCTTATATTCTGAAACGGCACGGGCCCACAACGCCGAAGTCCCATATTCATCCACCACCGCCATTATCCGTGTGATGGATCGGGCGAGTCCTCGATTGTAGAAATATTAGACAGAGAAAGAAAGGGGGCTGGCGAAAAGCTATATTCAGCTTTGGTTAGACAGTCACACGATCCTAAGAGGAGAGGGGGGCCAGCCTGCCCATAGGTATATCCGAGAGGGGCTGTCCCACCTTACACCTATGCACACAAACCGCCCAGGGTAACGTGTGGCTCCAGCTGCGTCACAGCTTGAGCCAACGAAAACTACCTTAGTAATTAGAGATTCGAAATGATCGTTTCTCGACCCAGAATACATCAAACTCCTTCACACATGCTTCTAACCTCTCATTCAACCTCTTCCTTGCTTCCTTTGGAGTCTACTGCCGAGTGTTATTGCCTTCGTTAGAGCTGCTACTTTCTCAGTAATCGATCAACAATGGGTACTAGAGAAGGACTTCCGGGAGACGAGAACTTATATGGGCTTGGTGTTCGACTTGGGTTCTACTTGCAATGGGCTACGCTACTACTAGCATATCATCGCACACCTTCACGATTCGTACGACCCCGTGCCCGATTCGACTGGCCATGGTCCTGCCACTGAACCTTTTAGGTCAACATGCTCTCTACAATCACCATATTCCAACTTGCTCTCCTTATCGCACTTATCTGGAAGACGGTTTACCCGGCAAACCATCAAGCCCTCTTCGACATTGACGCCTTTCTTACAACAGTGTATGGCGTGGGTGGTGGGCTAGGCGTCATGAGCTACACGTTGGCGCAGAATTCCGAGCGTCTGCTCAATCGCGCCCAGGATATGTGCGGAAACACCATCATGGTTGCATTCGCGATGTACGCCTGTTGGTTCTGGTTCCGAGGTATAAACGAACTGGTGAGTCAATCGATGCTGATTCTTCCTCCATTCCAAAGTTTGCTTGTACTGATGCGATGGTCAAGGAACACCTGCCCTACCCGGCGTACGTTTTCTTCTTTACTAGAGTCCGCTTGCATGGATGGTTCGCCACGTTTAGCCGGAAATGGACCACGTGAGAAGGAAGGTGCGTCCTCCTCCGTCTCATACGCTTACACGGTACCACACCATTATGCAGCCCGCTTGGTGTGTTCCCGTCCGCATTCAGATCTCGAAATTTAGTTGTCATGGGAATTGGTCAGTTGATACTGTTCTGCCATGTTGTTGCCGCCCAACAGACAGTAGTGATTACGGGTAACTCCTATAGGCTAACCTACCGGGTCGTGGAAGCAGCGCTCTATCAGCCCGCCTTCGTGCCCTACTTAGTTGGTCGCTTGCCCACCGATTGGGGTCAAACAATCCGTCATCACATACAATCCACATTCTTGCAGTTGAAACTCTTTTCCCAAGACAGAGTTGCCGCCTGCGACCAAAGAACTCAGTTCCAGTGAACATGTCTGAAGGCCAGGTAAGCTGCTTTTCCTCTGCAATAGCCGCAGATATGCCAACTCTGAGCCATAGGCTAATTACGATCGCAGAAATCACCCGTGGAAATCGCAATAGTCGGAGAAGAAAACGATACCCGCGAACGACCGTGGAAGAAGTGGATTGAAGCTGAAATGAAGGAAGGTGGTGAGCGAGGACGTCCTTGGGTAAACTGGAAGCCTCAGGATGACTCTCCTTGGGCCAAGCCTTGGGTTGAATGGCACCACGATCTTCAACGTGATCTTTCACCCACCCAAGGATCTTGAACGATGGAACATCCCGACAGCGTCTAGTACGAAGGTTCAAATTGGAATTCAATGGCATGTGAGATACTGTCGCTACTAGAATTGACTTTACTGTTGCTATATCTCTTGCCATCCTCGAACTATCTTTCTCTCTCATGAACGATATTAGAATCAGTACATTACGAATGTCCGTACATCTATGCTCTCTCTCGGCATTCGAGCGTCAAATGTCGGCGCTCGAAAAGAAGCGTGAGCACAAACTGGGAATTTTAGTATTTGCTGCGAGACATATCGTGACAAGATAGACCTACAACGTGAATCGGTGTCCTTTGAATCGTGAATCTTCATTATCAGTGCCTCGCTGGGTTTCTGGTCACTTAGATAGTACCAGCGATGAGCTTTGTTGTGGCGCAGGTGATATATCTCATTGACTCTGTGGGGCAACACAGTATCGACCATTTCGAGATCTTCCTCAGCGTCAACCGATCGAAAATCGCAGACAGCCAAAGGCCAGTCCATGACAGGGTGACTCAAAGGGCACCAGACACTTGTATCATGTTAGCAAACACACAGAGTGAAATACGGCTTTGCGTCTGTGAGCGCTCGGCAGTCCTACGTATATGCTTGCCATCGATCAAATTCTACCTCCCCGTACAGTTTCATCGCTTCCTGGAATCGGAAGAGGGCGTTACGCGGAGTGTGATCTATATAAATTAGTCTGGGTCGCTCAATCTATGAGATCGTTGTACCTATGTGGGCAGAGGTTGCTGGCTGGAAGAAGTCCAAATCTCCAATGCGACGGACCTACCAATGTTATATCAAACATGATGCGCAAATCAGTAATGTCTACTTACGTTACAGTCATACACCACCACAGCTTTCGGATGGAGTATGTTCTTTAGGAGATTCGTTACTTCGTTGATGTACGGATGGCCGGGGCCATCAATTTTGCGTTCGGGTTTCGCAACGAACTCGTGCGTAACGTATTGGAAGCCATGGGTCCCGAGTCTGAAACTGTCTTCGTGCCCACGAACGTCGAAGATCTTGACATTGTGTTTACTTTCGTCGATGTTCGAATTCTTTCCCTCGCTGACCAGGAACGGAACGGAGGAGATGAACGGCTTCTCGGTCTTATAAAGCTCGACCGAATTCAGATATGATATCTGCCCTTCAATGAATGGCAGTGCTTCTTGCGCCATATCAACAGCGGTTGCCAACAAATGAAGATGTTTCGAGACTTCGCGACGATTTCACTTCTCCGTAGGCAAATAAACCTAACGAGGGAAGGCGGAACGATGGATCCCCATGTCCAGGAGTCGTAACACCCCGCCTGATCAAGTTCACCTGTGCACTCGATTGGGGCGGTCGTGCCGAAGGCGGTCAGCCGTGTGTCCTCCATATGATGCGCCTCCTGCAGGGTGCACAGACCGCCATGCACCCCTCCCAGCTCGCTTACGCAAGGTTTCCGGAGATCCCCACGCTAGTGCTCACCCTGCGCACACGAGCACTCGCCCCCTTCGTACAATTTTGATCCCCACCATCTCGTGAAGCATTTGTCGATCTTAGAGCCGTGATGGAAGGCCGAGCAGCGCGTGAAAGGTATTACGGGCCATAGCTATAATGTTCATGATGTACTCACTGCATCGCAGGCTCCAAGGCCAGATCGACACCATTGGGCATATAATGGAATTGACCGGCTGCCCGTCAGTCGGAATAGGTGTCCTGCATCAGGGACAAACAATCTTCGAGCACTTCCAGGGCCTTTCAGATGTCACAAGAAAAGTGCAAGTCGACAAGGACACATGCTACATGATTGGATCTCTAACAAAAGCCTTTGTATCTGCATCATGCGGTATACTGGTGGAGGAGGGAAAACTGGACTGGGCAGAGCCGATGGCTACTTACATACCCTTTCATCAAAAGAACGATCCGGTCATCGCGCAGCGTGCATGCCTCGCAGATGCACTGTCTCATTCGAGCGGGTTTCCTCAGATCGACATATCATGGTATGGCGCAGACGGAGAAAGCATTCTAGATCCGGGGGATCTACTACACGTTACATCGCACATGCCTGTCTTCCCGGATTTCAGAGCGAAACTCCACTATTCAAACTGGCCATATGCCCTTGCAGGACGCATCATAGAGGCTGTAGGTGGAAACGATGCGTCAGACGGCTGGGGTGGATTTGTTCAGAAACGAATTTTCGACCAGTTGAGCATGTCGCGTTCCACGACCAGCCGCGCGGACCTCGTCGACCGAAACTTTGCGGAACCACACACCGTGCTCAGCTCTCGACAGCCTGCCCGCCTACCAGTGCCAGATATCTCTAGTAAGACTATCACGGGAGCAGCAATGGCAATATGGTCAACCGTGCCAGACATGCTCACGTGGTCGAAAGCAATACTTGAGCGGCTGAAAGCAGAGAATCAACACGACGAATCGAAGACCACAACCAGTCGTGTGGCCGGGCGGTCTGCTTTGGGAAATGACGGCAAGGATGGTGACCACGGAGATCTCCGTGGCGTAAACAACGGATATACCGATTCGAAACGAACACAGGACGGCTGGCCAGCTCGGACGACCGACCTTACTTCAAGCGAGCCACAGATGGATCTTAAAATGTCAACTCCTGGAGAGGCTGTCAGGAAGCAAGAGAACCCCCTCCGTCAGGTCCTGCACATCACAAGCCATAGATTCCCAATCACCGATGACACTGTGCATGAGAATACGTATGGCTTTGGATGGGCGCGACATCAGATTCCGTCTTGCCACCTAGGTTGGCTTTCTATCAACGGTCCACAAAAATGTCACATCATTGGAGCACAGTCCCAACCGCGATTGTTGTTATATCATGGTGGTCAAGTTACAGGATACCTGAACTCGATATATGTGTTCCCGGAAACGGACTCGGCTATCGTAGTCCTAACTAACGCCCAAAGCCTGGGTGACTGTTCAGACCTAGTAGGTCAAGCTCTCGTACAGGCTCTCTTCAAAATGGAACCGGAGCTGGACTTTCGCAGCATAGCAGCGAGTATTTCAGGCGAGCATTTGCTCAGGTTCGACGAGATGAAGACAGAGTACGAGAGCAACCGCGTCCCAAATACGAAGTCTCCCGACCTGCGCGAGGTGGAAGGTGTTTTCATGAACAGCGACATCCGAGTTAAGATCAACGTTTCCAGAGTAGGAAATGAGAATGGGCGACTGGAAATGCGCCTGAACGACCGAGAGAGCCAGCGTCATAGGCTGCAACACTACCATTATGACACCTTCGGCTTTTTGCCGGAATCAAGAGACGAAAAAGAGCTCCGGTGCCTCGTTGACTATGGCTCATATCAGCAATTCCTTTTGTCCTTCGTTAGGGGAGAACAGTGTGAGATAACGGGCTTAGAATGGGTGATGGAAAACGGTTTCCCGCCTCTAAGGTTCGAAAGACTATCTTCAGATTGAGCAGGCTGAGGGTTTGAAATCCCTAGGAGGCACAGGCAGGTATGTCAAGCTCACCGAGCACGACTTAACTCCCAAACATAGCCTAGTTACCTCTATTTCTAACGGCCTTCAGATCGATTACCATGCCTTATGAGTAAGACATACATATATGTGTGCCGCAATCTACGTTGTTCGATAGAGTGCGCTGCACATTGCATAATGGAGCAGAGAGGATGGTCTCGCGCGAGTAAGAAATGTTACTTGCTTACCCCCGTTCAACAATCCTTTTCCTCCGTAAACCGTCCGTGATCTCCTAGTTTAGCTAGAGTTGGGAATGAATACGAGTTGAGAACAAAAATACTCAATTCATAACACCGTGCTATGCAATGCAAATGCTAATCATCCTCACAACACTACTTCCAGCACCCCAACCACAAAACCCATCCCACCCCACCACCACTCCCACTTCGACTTGGCACCTGTACCGGTGACTGCGGCCCCATACGGGCTCGTTGGGCTCACATTCAAGCTCCCATCGCCCGTGCCGGTGGCTGTAACAGGCATTGTCGTGCCACCACCACTACTCAACACTACAACTCCCGTAGGTCCTACACTGAACGTAGTCCCATCGACAGTAACAGCTGGATCGCCCGGCCCGAGCGTCGTTCCCGGTCCAAGCACTAATTCGCCATCATACATTGTATACGTGTGACCCCCAACAGTGATGACTTGCATCGACAGCAGGACTGGTATGGTGGAAGTACCAGATGGGCCGATGACGACAAGGCCCGACGGACCAATTGAATAAGTAGTTCCGGATACGGTGACCGGAGGATCTCCAAAACCGATTGTAGTCCCAGGCGCGAGGACTAGTTCACCGTTGTACATGGTGTAGGTCTGCGATCCAACAGTAACAACCTGCGTCGCCATTGGAATCGGCACCGTCGAGCTGCTCCCGAGAAAGCCCACGACGAGACCGGATGGTCCAATACTAAACGTCGTGCCCGACATGGTAACAGCGGGATCGCCAAAGCCAATCGTTATTCCAGGGGCTAGCATCACATTACCGTTAGCGAGAGTGAAGGTCGACGAGCCGATGGTGATGATCTGTGGCGCAGAAGGGTCACCCGCTGGGATGGGGATAGTTGATGTAGCTCCAGACGGACCGACGAGGACGACGCCTGAGCTGCCAACACTCATTCTCGTCCCGTCCACGGTGACTGCTGGCGCACCAGGGCGAAGCGTTGTTCCTCCAAGTACCAGACTGCCAGCAGGATCCAGTGTTACGGGGGCATTGCCGGGTCCGAGGGGTACGGTGACGGGGCCATTGCCGAAGGGGATCTTGGTGCTTGTGCTGGGCGATATGATAGTAAGGCCCGCATCGCCGATGCTGAACGTGGTAGAAGAAATAACTATAGGAGCGCCACCGCGGGTCAGTGTGGTTCCTGGGTTGATGATAACTCCGCCTGTTGGGTCTACGGGAATAACGGTAGGTCCGACTGTGATGACGGGTGGCGATGGGTTTCCTGGATTGTTCGCTGGATTAGTAGGGCCAGGATTGTTTGGTGTAGGATTCTGTCCAGGAGTAGGATTGGGGTTGTTGTTCACAGGAGGATCCTGAGGGTTGTTGTTATTAGGAGGGTCTTGCGGATCTTGAGGGCCATTTGGGTCCGTAGGCGAAGTTGGCGGCGGCGTGACTACTGGGATTCCATCGCCTCCCGATTGCCCCGGCTTCGCAGGTGTAGGCGAAACAACCGGCTCTGGGTCTGTCGGCGTAGGCTTAGGAGGCGCAGCACTCGAGCTTTGGAATATATTCCCAACGCTATGCAGCGCGATCGGCGGGTCAAAGATGCCATAGCTAGTCCAAACGCACGTTTTCCAGTTGGGATCAAGATCGGTAATCTGAGGTGGCATGCGCATGACAGGATGGTAATCATGGGGGAAGACGACGGAGCACAGTGGTCGATTATTCGCGCAATACCGGTCGCCAACGTACGCACTAGTATTCGGTCAGTTTCATGCCGAACTCTCTCGAAAGAAGGGGCCGACACACTTACCTCCAAGGCACAGGATCGTTGAAGTCATCGTAGTTGACGGACCATGGAATGACATTGTGCGGGTATTTCCGGATACTATATAGATCCGAGGAAGCGATCGTCAGAATGTTGGGGCCGGGGTTTCGTCTCGTGATCTGGTGTCCGCAGTTGTCTGTCACGAAGGGTTCCATTAGAGATAGATAGACATTCCCCGAGAACAGGGTGATGCCATCTACGACTGCATATGGCCCTGTCGTGACCGGCGTATATGCTATGGAGCTTGTCAAACAAAAGTCATGAGGAACATGATAAATACTCACTCGTATTTAAGTTAAAAAGATCCGTCGTCACTGGACCGCCGATTGGATCCCACGCGCAGTAATCGCGACTAACATTTGCCGTGGAGGGCCAATAGTACAAGCTCATCCCCGCATGCGCAAACGTGCATCCAGTAGATACACATGCCGAGCACGACGGGTTAACGGGCATAGTAGTAAGTTCTCGCAGCGAGGCGGGTATAGAATACCAGTACGAACTAAATGCGGACGTATAGCTAGTCCTCAGACTCAAACAGTCGCTGAAGCCGATGCTGCAATTCGGCGAAGGAGTAGGATACTTGAGCCCTGCTGTGTACGTTCCCGTATACAAGGAGTAAATGGACGTCGTAGAGCTTGTAACCGTGGTCGGACCAGCATAGCAGATCGTCCCGCACATTCGTGTGCAGTTGTAGTTTGTCGAAGCCCAGAGCGTCTTCGTGTAGTTGGACGTCTCCGTATACGTGCTGATGAAAGGATGACTTGATGAGTAGTCCACGGACACAAGTGACCAGGAAATTTTCTGCGCATTGCAGAATGATGCGGTGTCATTTTTTACTACTTCTTACAAGTCAGCGGAAGTCCCGCCGCATCTGGAGTCTCTAGACACCGCCGTGAGACTTGGACGGTACTCGAAAACCTACCGGTAGAGGTACCATTAAGCATTAGAGAGCTCGAAAATGATGGGGTACCACTACTGAACGCCGTAGTGGAGGACGCACTACTCGAAACCGTCGAATTCGTGAAATCTACACTCGTTAACCCATGCCATCTCTCATCACCCCTGTCAACCCCGAAGAATCGCGAGAACCTACTCGACAGACCCTGCGCACCGCTCAAGCATGCAAGCGCAAGCCCAACAGCCACACGCAAAACCAACATCGTCGCGACCAAGCGAGCTCGTCGACTCAGAACGAAGGAGCACTACCTAGGTACGCTAGCGATCGTACGCACCGCCATCCTTATGTACAAAATCCTCTGGTCTCGAGAGAAAAAGTGCCCAGGAGTTCTTAGCCAGGCACACTGCAGAACGAGTTAGCCTCGCTCTAAAGCTCGGCCTGCTTTATGCAACGGTAGCTGAGATGGCTGACCATGGGACGTTTCCAGGTGCCCATGAAGACAGCGCGATGAGACAGAAACCTTTTTTGCGGCCTTTGATTCGTGCCACTGCGGATAGGAAGACCGGTAATTATGGTTAGTCAGAGGGCGAATGGACTGGACACGCAGGGTTGTAGATTAAGCCGCGGCCTGTATATTATGTTGTGGGGCTGTGCGCTGGTTGTCCCACCGCGAGCCATCTTGGATGCAGATTTGGGGTCCAACAATACTCCGGTCCCTATAAGTGGCCAATATGGCGGGATCCAGGAAGTGCTTCCGCCCAAAGAACCTGTGGCGCGTAAGCTTAAGAATAGTCGACACGAACGAGTAGGGAGAGATGTCGCCTGATCGCGAGAGGCGGCGAAAAGACCTGCGCTTTATCAGTAAAGTAATTTTGGGGGGATTTTGTGCTGGGGTTCTGTGGCCGATTAGCGGCGAGGAGCTTGCCGGTTGAGGCGTGGCGGCGCTTACAGTACGACCCACCTAACCCGCTCCTGGTTGTGTCTCCGTCCCCACGCCATATAAACGGACCGTCCTTCCAAGACAGGGGAGCGCTCCCATGAGCATGCGCTACGTCTCCTAGTCCGAGTTCCTTGGTGCTCAGATGCGTTTCGATGTTCGGCGCCTGAGATCGCATAATATCACGTGATGGTGAATAGAGCCCGACCTCATGTGATAGGGTGCCTAGGTAATCTTTTCGAACAGACGCATGCTTTCGCATAAGTATTCGACAATCACAACGTTCTCTGCTCCATGTTGTCAATCTCGAGATCTAAACCCATCAACAAGGCCTTGGTGGCAGAACGACCAGTGCAGCGTCATGTACCGCTGAAGATTGTCCTAGCCGTGGAAGTGATTCCGAGGTTAAGTCGATAGAGCCATTGTTCCAATGCGCATCCATCCTTTTCGGGGTTCTTAGCAAGCAGACGAGGTTGGCTGGCTTTTAGGAACTTACAAGGGCTAGCTCATCCATTGGTATGAGCATTAATAAAGTTGGATCCAAGGTTATGGAGTTTAAAGCAGGAAGCATAGGTGCGGCTTTAACAAGTCGAAGAACTTTGTTACGGTGGTTGACCTGGTGATAGGACTTAGTCTGGATAGTTATTTCCTGCTATCCTGAGGTTCCTGAGCAGAAGATGGAAATTCAAGGGCTGTGCTTCTCTTATGTAACGGTAGCGAGCGCTGTACACTGGGCCCAGAAAAGGACGACGGCAAGGCCTTAATGGTTGATCCAGAATTGGGATCACGGCTCTTTGGCCGATGCCCCGCGTAATAGGGCGCCGTGCCGCAACCCTGCAATGCATGCATAAGCAACGCAAGCCAGCGAATAAGGCCCCGTCAAAGCAGTCAGCCCGCCGAGTTTCATAATTCCTTACTTCCCCGCTCCGTACTGTCGCCTTACGCACCATTCATCATGCCTCTGGTCGTCCACGAGATTGATCCAAATCCAGATACCATAATCATCTTGAAGAATCCATCTAAATACTTCGCAGTATGGGACGAGAGCATCAAAGCTCCGGAGCCGCCGGGGCCGGTTCCCGATCAGATAGGTGCGCAGCCTGGCGTCAGCGCTGATGGCAAGTCGGCTTCTCCAGCGTCCTCAAGAAAGATTAATTTAAAGGCAAGTAAGAGGAAGGCAAGAAGAAGATTCAGCTGGAATGATGATGGAAAACCTCCTGTTACCGAAGAACCAGCGGCCGCATCCCATCACAGCTCGTTCGGTGGCGAACCCAGCTCTCAGAATGCCCACCCACCGGAGAGTGGTCCTAACGAGATGTATATCAATGACGGCGGAGAGAAAAGCGAGAGCGGTTCCCAATTCGAAGAACCAACGGAGGAAGAGGAGATACATTACCTGGTGTCCTCTCGCCACCTGACTCTGGCATCGCCATGGTTCAGACGCAACATGGCCGGAGACTGGTGCGAGGCAAATCGCGATCCCGCGGATGGAATGTTCCACATGTGGACGGAGGACTGGGACGAAGAAGCCTTTCTGATTCTCCTGAGCATCTTCCACCTGAGAACTCGTCGGGTGCCTCAGACTGTCAGCCTCGAGATGCTCGCCAAGATCGCGGTCCTGGTGGATTACTATGAGCCCGAAGAAGCGATTGAGCTCTTTACCAATATGTGGCTCGACGACCTGAGAGGCAAGGCTCCGGTTCCGTCCACGTACTGCCGCGATTTAATGCTCTGGATGTGGATCTCGCAGGTATTCAACTTAGCGGACGTATTTACGCAAACTACGCTTGTGGCGCTCAAAGAGAGCACGGAGTCGATGCAGACCTTGGATCTGCCTCTTCATCCGGGCATTGCCCGTGAGTTCTTCCTTCTTGCGAGAGCCATGGCAAGTTGCTGACAAAATTCAGGTAGGATCTCCCAGAAACGGTGCGAAGAGATAGACAGCATCATTTCGAAATTGCACGACTTGGTGGAAGTCTTTCGCAGCGCCACGTACAAATGCCCACAAGACACCTCTTACTCCTTCCAATGCGGCTCGTTTCTTTTTGGCGCCTTGACGAAAGAGCTAGCCCGTTGGGAGTTTCTACCGCCGCGGCCTGGAAGTCCTTTCGCCGGCATGAGTCTCCAGGTGGTAGCGGAGATGGCAAGCAGCGCACGCAATCCGCAATGGTACCACAGCAACAACGGGAGCTATGGCTACTACGACTATACTGACTGTGTTCATGAACCCCATGAGTGTAATCTCAACACTAAGCTCAAAACCCTGATCCAGGGCATCATGAGCAATGTAAAGGGGCTCACGTTAAGTGAGCTGAGGGAAGGTCAACCAAAGGGGGATTAGCTGCGGCACTGCGCGTCCACAAGGTATTTGGTCTGAGGGCATATGACGGAAGACTTGAAGCGAGGAGTTACGGCGTGCCGGCTATCACAGGAATGTGGATCGGAAAGCTGGACATACCCGCGCATGGGTATGACACGATCTAGCTGCACCCCGGTGTTTCGGCTGAGCGGGAAATACTCCAAGCATGCCGTTGAACAATCTACGATGGTTAGCGAACATAGAATGAGACAGCATCTAGTATCCTCCCTTCTCTACGCCGCAACATAGGCTGTAAAAAGGGTCGCGCCTATGTCTAGCAAGCACGGACTGACCATGGCTAAAGGCAAGCCGCAATTGATTGCCTGCATCCACGAGTCCACTGAGACCATATGCCAGCAAACTCAGCAGTATATAGGTCGCGTCGTCCTCATCCTCTTTCTTCGCATCTCGCCCTCAAGTCCAGTGCGCAGTATGGCAAAATAAGACCACGTGGTCGACCCGCAAGGGGATACCGTTATCTGGCTCCTGCCCGAAGACACCGCTTTCGTAGAACACCCCAGGCAGAATGGCTCTTCCAGAAGCGGTTCCCCTCAACCAACAGAAGCCGACAAGAAGAAGAGAAGCAGCTTCCTAGTGTCCAGGAAGCAGCTCCAGACCGGAACGTACTTCGAAATAATGTTCAAAGAGGGTAGTTAGTATTCCGAGTCGGTACCCAACGAAGATGGTATCTACGAGCTGCGAGCGGAGGGTTTCGACGAAAAGGCCTTCCGTATCGTCATGGATATAATTCATGCGGGCGGCGACGTCAACACCAAGCTTTCGTATGAGGAGGTGGATTTGGACTTGCTGGCCAAGATTGCAGTGGTGGTTGACTACTACCACTTTGCCGCGGCAGAGCCGGTGAAGACATGGGGCGATCAATGGATGGTATCCCTTGACAGAAGCGGCAAACCAGTTCTAAAGGAGTACTGTCCGGACTTGATGCTATGGATGTGCGTGGCCTACGGCTTCCGCGATCCCTTCAATGTCTGGAAGACCAGCCAAACCATGTTGCGGAGCTGCAAGGGATGGATAGATGAACCCGAGAAGCTGCCAATTGCGCCTCGCATCAAGGAGATGAACGACGCCTTAACCGAGACGATCAACGAACTCCATGAACTCTTGCTGCAATTCCAGACGAATCACCAATGCCCTCTACGTCCCAACCAGGCTCAGAGATGTGGATCCGAGCTCGGTTGGCTGACGCAGGAAATGGATAGGTTTGGCATTCTGGCTCTGGCGCACACATCCGACTTAATTCCGGCTGTGAGCATAGAGGAGATTTGCCGAGAACTGCGGTACATCGGTTCGCCGAACTATCACACGGACCACCCACCGTGCAAGTTTTCATACATCGTGCGCCCCATTACAGATAAGCTGGCAGAGAAGGCGAGCGATTTCAGCAACCTCGAAAGGAATTAAAGCAAAGAAGGAGATGGTGTTACGGCGTTCGGTCATGGAGCTGTTTAGGACGGTGAGTAGATGGCAGAGAGAAGAGGTCGGTTATGGATCAGGGGTTATCGACGAGAATGGATCCTGTACGTATTGCAACGAATTGAGAAGCCTATCGCACAGAGCCTGCCGATGCGCACTCAACCTCAACAAACACTCCTATTAACTGCGGCCCTCGGTCATTGTAGCTCCAGATAGCGGCCGGTCGAGGATAGATGCGTATGTTCATCGATTTTAGCTTCCTTCCCGATTGGCGGAGATCGAATGATTGGCCATCGTCCCCTTCGCAACCTCACGGCCGCCAGCTCGTCATTCGTACTAGGAGCGCTTGAGGCGGAATGGGCGAGGACTTCGGGCTGGCGAGGTTGCTCGAGATGTCGAGAGCGACGCGTGAAATGTGATCGGCGGGATGACAAAGCACGGAAGATCGGGGCTCCGAGCGCCACACTTAGCTAATGCATCAGCCACAACCCGCGGAACATTCTCGCAATCGCGCGAAGCATCGGGTCTCTTCCTCACACTTCGCGAACTATCACCAATCTTCGACGAACCCTCTCTCCGCTTCCAGCACGCTCTATCCTCCTTACGAATCTGTCAATTTCTCAGCCCCGCGCACGCAAGCCTCGCTGCCTCCAGCCTCAACATGTCTATAAAAGCCACAAAGAGATCTCATAGATCTCCCATCATCACTCTCTCAGATCTACAGTTCACATCTCCACTGCGATCGCCGACTACTCTTGAGCCTCATCCGCCTTAACAAGTCTACAACAATTCCATCTATTCATCTCGCACCCACACCACCAAACAGTCCACCAACAATGGCCTTCTTCCTCACTCCCCGCTTCGCACCCGCCTACACGGCGCAATGCAGCCCTTGGGGATGCGCACCAGCCCAACCCTCCTACCGCCGCATCTCGCGCCCATCCTTCCCATCTTTCGTCCCCTTCCTCAGCCAGGTCGATGAGCTGCTGAGCGAACTGGACCGCGAAGCACGCCGCGAAGCCCACCGCCAGCGGCAGCAGCGCAAGCGCGCCTTCCGCGCCCGATTCGACGTCCGCGAGAACGAAGAAGGATACCAGATTGATGCTGAAGTCCCCGGCTTCGAGCAGGAGAATATCGAGATCGAGGTCACTGATGAGAACACCTTGAGGGTCGCCGGCAACACCGAGAAGAAGGTCGAGCATCAGCCACAACCGACCGAGGCCGCACCTCAGGATGGCAACATGGATGGCGCGACGCTCAACGAGCCAGAGCCGGAAGCCACAGGCTCCGGCGCCGCCACTCCGACGCACTCCGACACCGAATCCCACAAGTCGTACCAAGCGACCGTAGAAGATGACTACGAGGACCTCGGCGCCGAAACCTCGTCCACACTCTCCGGCGTATCCACCCCACCCCAGCCCAAGGAATCCAAGGGCAAGGAGAAAGCCGTGGACAAGCCTACCACCAACAGTGAAACCGCCCCCCAGCAGCAGTCTCAGCCCGAAGCTCCAACACAGCAACAGGAGCAGTTGTCCGAGCAATTCCATGGATCCTTTGAGCGAACCTTCCGCTTCACTGAGAGGGTCAATGCCGCCAATGTGAGGGCCAGTCTGAGGGACGGCCTGCTCAGCATCACCGTGCCCAAAGCCAAGGCTCCGGAAGTCAGGAGGATTACTATTCAGTAGACAATGCATTTACAGTCGGAGGAGAGCAATAAGGGCATAGGAAGGAAGTAATGGGTTCGACATCCATGGATCGGAGTGTATCAGTATTTGACTTGTACGATACTTAGATATCGGTAATGCGATTATGACTTCAGGCTCAATAACACCTCCCTCTGTGAATTTACCGTGACTTCGTGATGCATAAAGTCTCGTTTCTATGCCGAAGACCTTCGCTCAACTGTGCTTTGAAGGAAGGTATCGTGCATAAGCGCCATTCATTCTCACATCACAACTATCCAGCATATACTACAATTTCCCCATTCATAGAGATTATTCAGATTCCAAAACACGCGCCATACACAGTAAGCACCACGGCCCCCCTAATACACAGCACCACCTGAGAACTCATCCCTTCTCTTACAATCTCCGCATATCCTCCCCTTAGCGCTCTCACTCTTTACCTCTACAACACCCAAGCCGCAAGCCCCAAAACCACCGCTAAAACCCCGTTAACCTGCCCCGCACCAACGACGTCAGCAGCAGCGCCCGTCGAGCTAGCCGTAGCCGCAGTCTCCGAGCCCGTGCCCGTGGTACTAGCTTCGGTGCCGGAAGTAGTGCTACCACCACTTCAAATCGTCAGTAAGCTTAAACAGAACACGCGAAAACGGGGTAAATGTTACCTTCCGGACGCAGTAGTAGACGGCGAGGAAGACCCAGTAGCCGTAAGCGACATAATCTGCTCATCATCAAGCAGCTGACCGCCGCGCATAGAAGATGGCGCTTCGGAGGTGTCCACGCCCTCCGCGGCGGAAGCGAAGGCTTCGATCGTGTTGCCTTCTTCCCTGATTACTTGTCAGCTAGCAGTCCCTTCCAATCTCCCCATCTCATCCTTGAACTCAAGTAAATTTGATTTCACTCACGGCACATTCCACCCCCCAACCATCCCCTTCTGGCAATGCGTCGGCACCGCGCAGTAGTACCACACCGGACTCGTAGTTGTCACATTCACGACGAACTTCTTCTCCCCGTTGTCCGTGTTGTCGAATGGGCCGGAGAAGAAGCCATTGCCGGTGGAGGGGACACAGGGGCTGGAGAAGGAGGTCTGGACAACGTTGTGGCGCGGGTAGAGGTGGAAGATTACGGTGTCGCCGATGGCCGGGGAGATGGTTTGCGGAGAGAGGTGCAGGCCGGATTCGCCGACGTCGATGGTGTAGACTTTGGCTGCTGTGAGGGCGGCGAAGAGAAGGGGGCTGAGGCTGTGCATGGTGATTGGTGGGGTGCTGGTGGTGGGCAGTTGGATTAAGCTTTGAGAAGCGTCCTGATGGAGTGAGTTTCTGGGTCCTGTTTGAGCGGTGATGAGAGAGATTGAGGCAGTTTCTGGATGCTACGCTTTCTATAAGAGCAAGAGCAAGGGCTTGTCTTTGAGACTGCGCGTCTTGGTCATTGCTTTCCATCCGTGGCGTTGGACGACTGCGGGGACAGGTCCACGTATTCGTTTCCTTTGTCCACTACACATGAGAAGGCCACCTCGTTAAGCTTCAAAACGGAAGTTAGGTGCTCGGCTCTCCAAGGGCGTTCGGGCTGTGCAAGCCACTAGTACGATACGAGGACATCAAGAACGGTTCGGGGATAGTACTTGGGATCGACGATGGCTCGTAGGGGCTTTCAAAGGGTATGCGGATTGCGTGTTTCATCTCGGCTCCTGTTGGATGTTGATGTTTCTTTGAAGATAATGGGTAATGTACGGAGATGGGGGCGTAGGGCTGGAAGCTGAAACTGGGAGAACAAAGCCGCTGTTATTCTACATACCTTACCCCTCGCTTACCCCGCAGTAGGTATGCATGTTCCCGTATCCAGGACCGCGTCGACATTCCAGGGCCTAGAAGCTGTGAGCCAAGTGCAACGTCCACTGGAATGTCTCCTAGCTTTGTTAGTGGTAGGTCAGCAGACAATCTTAATTGGACAGCGTTAGTTCGTTAAGAGATGCGACGCAATTGTTACTTCAATGCAGTCTCCTCGGCCAAAGACTCTCCTCCGGCCAATGTCCGCCCCATTGGGCTTTCGAGAGCTTGAAGCCGCCGGGCACAGCTTCAGAATGCGTTGCCCCTCCATTAGTGCTGAAGGGTATAGGTGATTTTTATTCACTACGTCTAAAGTCACAGTTAGGACTGCTGTAGCAGTTCCGTCTCCGGTCTTCCCTCAGAAGTGCGAAAGCTGTACGAGGCTTGTCAAGGTATATCTTCGTTGATCAACCTCGCTGGTGCATGGTAAAGTGGTAGCCAGCCGCGATATCGAAAGAGAGGCCAACCTTAGAGAGCCTGAGCGTAAGGTAGGGGATGCAGCATACCGATCTCTGGTGTTGAGGGTGTATTAGCGATCACCAGAGGAAATAATGCTGTGAGAGAAGGTTGAGGGGTATTCATGTCGTGGGCGTGCTCATGAGTAGGAATGCTAGATCCCTATTTGATATACAGCTTTAAATGCGGAGGTAGGAGTCTGGAAGCCATCGGGACCGCGGGAGCTGTGACTTAGTGACCGTTTACCTAGGTTGACCAACGTTGGAAAGAAAAGTGGGCGGGTGCATTGACCAATATTATTAGCGCTTTCCCCACACCTCCGCTTATCTTCGTCTTCCATCATCGTCCCATCTTAACATGACATGGCCATCCCGTTTATACTTCCGAGGTTCCAACCGAATATTAACTACCGATTGCGTCCTCGCCATCGCGTACCACTCGTCGCCGGCCGGATGCGTTCTTCTATATGGACGGACCGAGGATCCTCCCGGACTGCTAAAACCATTCTGTAACAACGTCTATTCTTCTTGGTCCGTCTGTTCCAAACTAGTCCAAGGCTTTTGCGGTCGCGTAATTTCACAAACAGAAGCAGCTCACGAATTCAGCCGACTCTTTGCCTCGTTCGTAAGCTCTCTTAGCAACCTCATTTTCCTGCCCCATCCAAGGCGGTATTCTTCAAGTTCGACATGCACTTTGCACTGGCGATGTCGTTCATGTTCGCCACAAAAGCGGAAATTCCTATATTTGTGCCAGGACTACTACCAACGTCGTGTCAGATCAGGGGAGCCGTTTAGAGGTAGATCATGCCCTGAGTGGCGGGACAGCATCCACCCCCGCAATCACACGCGGCCCGACCCCGCTGAATGCACTATACCGAGGCCAGAGTGAGTTCCTTACAACCACCTTGATGATGGTTCGACAGCGATTGCATCATCATAAGCCATATTTAGACCGGTAGTATGGTTGTGAACTTTGGCTAACGAAGCACGTAATACGCGCTCCGTTTCGCACTAGTCCAGTGGAACACTTGTCAGTGGCCGGATTGCAGAAGCGCCGTTCTTCGATCGCATAAAGCGCATTCACATATATATCACCTACTTCCCTGGTAGTCCTGGGAACATATAAGCCAAGGCTAGTGTTCCTCAACTGTGGCCGACTACCCCGACCTGGACGCGTAGTGACCGGCCCTATCCAAAAATCAGAATGAGGCGAGCTTTGGGATGATGGAACGGATACAGATTTGTCCGCAATCGTTCCTGAGCGACTTGTTGGGGTCCTCCCATCAAACTAGGCTCTGTGCAGGCTACACCCCGACCATATCGACCTCTACCTCGCTCTTTCAGTTCGTCATTCGGGTCGGTATCCTTCGCCACTCCGGGGTATTTTTGTATACTACGTCTATACGAGGTAAGCACAGTTTGGGAAAGATCCCAACCCAAGAGCAGGAACATGATCTACGCAAGCCTACGCCTCGGTCTCCTGAAGGAGGGCTACTGGCCGTATAGTCGATGGTAGGTAAAAGGTTGTCCGCGCTCAGCGTTCCCCTCTTGTATTGCACCCGCATCGAATAAAGACTTTCTTGCTCCATCTCGCAGATCCGGAGTCACCGACCTTCGTTTCCTTCGTTCGACCCCTTCTTTCAGCGCTCGTCATGATGCAGAAGCGGCAAGCAATGCTCTGGACCATGCCACGGCCGCCGCCGCCGCCGCCACTGCCCCCAACCCCACCAAAACCTACCAACGCCAGGGCCCAACGAAAGCCCAACAGGCTAAGGAAGGAGCTCGCGGTATTTCTAGGCGAGTTCATTGGGACCTTCATGTTCCTGTTCCTTGCTTTCGCGGGAACGCAGATCGCTCTGCAGTCTGCTACGATCAACCCGTTCATATTCTCCGAGCAGGCGGAGCCGCCCGAAGTCCTGAAGCTGATATACGTTGCTTTTGCGTTTGGAGCGGCTCTGGCCATCACTGCGGCGATCTTTGCCGACGTTAGTGGTGGGATGTTCAACCCGGCAGTATGTATATCCCCACTTCGACGGCGCCGCTTTCGCATTATCTCACCGAAATCCACCCACTACTATATCTCCCCGTGAGTACGCATACTAACTAACGTCCAGGTAACAACAGCCCTCTGGCTAGTCCGCTCCATCCGCTGGCCTCGCGCCCTCCACTCCATCCTCGCCCAAATCCTAGCCTCCATATGCGCCTCCTTCACTGTAGCTCTCATGCTTCCCGGGACCTTGAAAGTCACCACCTCCCCGGGAACCTCCGTATCTCTCGTCCAAGCACTCCTTCTGGAAACCTTCCTGACCACCCAGTTAATCATCACTATTCTCATGCTCCCGCCTGGCGCCTCAAAGCCAATGTATATCGGCACAGCATTGTTCGTGGCAGAGCTAGCGGGTGTTTATTCCACAGGCGGCAGCTTGAATCCCGCTAGGAGTGTTGGGCCAGCTGTGGTTGCGGGGTTCCAGACGAATCATTGGATCTATTGGGTCGGGCCGATGATCGGGGCAGGACTGGGTGCGGGGATTTTTACTCTGGTGAAGAGCGTACAAGGGGAGCGTGTGTGAAGCGAGTCAAAGGAGAGACCGTACCGCATTTGAAGAAATCGCACATTTTTTCTTTATATGTCAATGAAGAGCGGTCACTCGAAGAGCGGTCGCTCGAGGACCGGATAGTCATTCCCCTTCTCGTTTCCTAACGGCCTCCGAAGCATACCTCTCCGCACATCTAATTCCGAACCGTGGGAAGTTCCGCTAGCAAAGCAAAAATTATTCCACAAACAAAGACAGCGCAGTCGAGATCGCCTTGGCAATATAACGGCCGCATGTGGCTTGCCGAATACGAAAGGCGTGTCACCGTTGCCATTTCCGGTGTGGCTGGGGCAGGGCAAACTTCCCGTCCGTAATGTCGGGCAGATCTTGCACCGATCAGCAGCTCAGGAACAGCCTTACGTATCGTATGGGGGACTTGCAATTTCACGATCAGCCGGAGTCATATGTGCTCCTTTTCACATCACTTTTGATTCTGGAATCGCAAACAGTGGGAGGATGCAATGCATATTGGTATCCTAGCAGTAGAGCAAATTAAGGCAGGCTATGCAGCAGATAACCAGACCAAAAGTAAACTCAGAAAAAAAAGAACACGCTACGTCCGCGGAGCGGAAAACGTAGGAGTGGAATAGAAATTACGTCCCAATCGTTCCCGCCTCATTCCCCTTCTCGTAACCCATTGTCATAAAACAGGAGAGCGTCTACAACAGACCCGCAAGACCAGCAGCACCGGCAAGCACGGCCATACCGGCGCCAGCCACCTTCGCAGCAGCAGCACCAGTGAACTCTGGCGGCGCGCTCGTCGTGTAGGTAGCGTTGCCGGTCGGGATGACGGTCGCGGTGGCAGTTGGGTAGGTGATGTGGATTGGAGTCGTGGAGGCTGGCACCTCAGTGGCTGATGGTTCGTAGGCGGTTGCGCTCTCGCGGATGAGGGAGACGGTGAGGGAGTAGGCAGCAGCGCAGTCGACAGTGTCCATGCCATCGGGGCAGCAGTAGGTGTTCTCCATGCCGTCTGTCGTACAGTAATAGCCAGTGTCGCAGGCATCTGAGAGTAGCATTAGCATCTACCGACACTTCAAGTCGAGGCAGGGGGGGTCTTACATCCTGATCCGTCGTTGCAGCAGTGGCTCAGAGAAGGCTCGAAGCAGTACATGCCGTAGGTGGACGGGCATTGGATCTGCGTGGGACCGCAAGCTTCAGCGCAGGTGTCACCCTCGCCGCAAGGCTCGGTGGTGGGATAGTAGCCCTGGCGCTTTGCGATGGCATCGCCACGCTTCAGCATTGCGCCGAAGTCGAATTGGACGTTCTTGGAGAACTGGGAGCCGAGGACGGAGGTCGAGAGGACCGCGAGGGTGAGGAGTTGCTTGTACATGGTGATTGTGGTGGTGGATATTAGATTAGGCTTGATTGTACGTTGGATGAACGAGAGACTTTTGGTGTTGACGGAACGACTGAATGTCCGGGCAGCGAAGGATTAGACCAAGACGTGCGTGAGGAAGAGGAAAGAGCTGAAAGCAGAGAAAGCCATGAGGCTATATACCCCCTCTGTTGCCTGACCGGAATGCGTGCCTGGCCTGGACTGACCTACCATCCTGCATCAATCAAGCCATACGAGAACCAAGCCTCCAGCCTCCACACCCTCAAGCCATGATCCCAACTGTATCACAGCATGCATCCAATCCCGGTGGCCCCCATGCCGGGCTGAAAAGCATTCTCGACCACGCAGGCGCTACAGGTGTCGCTCGCCCTGACTCCTCAAGCGAGGAGCTTAGTCCGCACAGGCCTACTCGTAAATCGCTTTCGTTGCCTGTAGGGCGCAGTAGCCCCTGTGAACACGAAAACTAAGGGCCAATCAGCAGGGCCGCGGCGCTGGTGTGGAGAAGGAAATTAAAGGTGTTTGCCTGCTACCAGGATTTGTTTTGCGTTCCTGCAGCTGCGTGCGTGACATGTGGTGCGCATTGTATATTTAGCAGCAAGTAATCTGTGAGAATGCGGGGTGCCTTGAGGCTGAGGAATGCTGGAGGTGGAATGCCTCCGGATGTTGTGAGGTCGAAAGAGAGTGCTGACCATAGTGGAGCAGGAGTCCTGCTCCGCCGACCGTTCGCATCTTTCAGCTCCCACAGCCTCGCAACCTTCTCTTTTGCCATCTCCTCATCGTGGCCTGCTCGCGTTTCACAGTCCGAGTGCAGACTAGATGCAAGCCTATCGGCACTCTCCGAGCCTTTCGACCTTTGCGGCCAGTGGCGTTAGGTTCTTCCGACGCCCCCAAATCACTCGCGAAATCTGATCGAACGGGCTCGTATTCATTTGTGTGCTGGGTGGGCTTGAGTGGTGGTGATGGGTGGAAGGTTTTCAGCCCCAGCGCCTCGCTGTCGCAGATTTAGAGTCGGCGCTAAGCTAAAATGAACTGGCGTTCTCGGCATCGCGGAGAAACGTAGGGCCGGATGACGCCTGGTTGCCTGAATCCCCGAGCGACGTCACCATCAACCTCCCGACCCATCATTATCCGAATGGGATGAATTGCTTCTTTCGTTCGGTTACGTAGTCCGAGAGACAACTGATGAAGAGGCGCAATGCCTCTTCCCAAGTCTCTACGACGCCAAACCGCCTCTTCGTCTGCGTCCCAAACACGCCGCAAGCCATGCCGCATCTGTCATAATCTCGATCCCCGTAGTCATCCGAGCTCTGTTTATCATACGGAATCTTCAAAGGAGGCTACTGCGAGCTTGACTCTAGTGTTGGACGCGTTAAGCTTGTCCAAGACCAAGGATCCCGCAGAGGGTGGATGCAGGTTCTGTGGAGTTTTGATCCACGCTCTAGACGCGTTCTTTGAGGGGTGGAGAGGATGTCGGCAGAGGATCAATGTCGACTTGAAAGAGAAGGGAAGTATCAAGGTTGGGATTGATGGGGACAAGTGGAAGGGCGAGCTCGTGGAGATCTATACAACTTCAGGTAGGACTTCCCCTCCAGGTCTGATAGCAACGAGCTTCTTCATATGCGCGATATCCACATTCGGAGCATTTCACCATGGCACTCTGAGTCTACCACTCGCCTGAATGCGACAGCCGTCTGACAACATCAGCATCCCGTGCTCCCTGGCCAACTCTTGGTACCGCACACCATATCCCGGCGAATGCAGGCTCGGATGACACTTTCGACTTTGCACGCCGATGTGTCCAGGACTGTTTGACGAACCCAAAGCATGTGGCTTGCAAACTGCCTTCCAAGTCTTCCATAGCTTCGCCCAAGCGCCTTCTCGATGTCGGACGCATTGCGGCCCCTATTCGCCTCATCGACACGCAAGGCAAATCTTTTCAATATGTTACACTCTCACATTGCTGGGGTAGTGGGCATACCCTCACAGCGACAAAGTCTAACTGGCAAAAGCTGGCTTCCAATATCCGCTTCGACGCTCTCCCGCCCTTGTTCCAAGATGCGATCATCATCACGCGCCAACTTGGCCTTCGTTACCTATGGATTGATTCACTCTGCATCATCCAAGACTCGGTGCGCGACTGGGAGACAGAATCTTCAAAAATGGGGGCCATTTACGAAAACAGCTACGTCACCATCTCAGCGACAAACTCCGGCGATGGCGGTGCGAGGTGCCTGGTAGACAGGTGGAAGCCTATCAAGATCGATTATGAGAACACAACAGGGAAAGCTTTCGTGATATGCGCGAGAAGGATGCTGGAACATCACCCCGACCTAAAGGAGGGACATCCAGCGAGGCCCATGGGCCCGCTAGCTACGCGAGCCTGGGTATTGCAAGAACATGTGCTGAGCACCAGAGTCTTGCACTACACGGCTACAGAGCTGCTCTTTGAATGCAAGACCTCGTATAGGTGCGAGTGTTTGCCATCACGGAAAGCATACCCGACCACACCAGCGCTCATACCAAAGGCTATCGCTAAGAAGAGCAAAACTCATGACCCTGTATGGGATGCGTGGCATCACATGGTCGAGCAGTACTCAAAACGCGATCTTACGGTTCCGGGCGACAAGCTTCCTGCCATATCCGGTATCGCAGCCAAGATCAAAGAGGCCACAGGCTCTTCGTATATCGCTGGAGTCTGGAAGGATAATCTGGCGGCAGATCTGCTATGGTCAGCTTCGCCAGCCTCGTCTTCCGACTCAAATCGCTACGCAATGGATGCATACCGGGCACCTAGCTTTTCTTGGACGAGCCTGAACGTCCCGGTGACGTATTATACCCCGGATGAAGAGGAGCGTGAAGCGTTCAGATCATCCATCATCCTGTTATCTTCCTCAATCTCGGCCACAGGGTTGAACCCTCTCGGAGCTGTCTCGCAAGCATCCCTCAAGCTACGTGGACCTACTGTTCATGCGCTTCTTTCAGCCTCTCAAAGGGATGGCATATGGGAGTATGCACTGTTGATCAAAGGCACCAGTGCGATTTCTATTTCGCCCGACTGCCTCCTCGTGGAGGAAGACATTACGGTCGATGCAAGCTGCGTTGGGAAAACAGTACGCAGAGCGCATGCACGCAATGAGCTATCGTCATTCAAAGCTCCAGTAATGTGCATCGGCATTGCACGCTACGATAGCTGGACCTCTGGGCTTGTGCTTGGTATTTCGAAACGAGGTGCTCCAATATGGGAAAGACTGGGCACTTTCGCAGCAGGGATTGAGGCCTTTCAGAAGGCTGACGAGACCACAACCCAAATCGCATAGACCCAATTGCTATTGCGGCTTCTGCATCTCTAGTCGTCATAATAGGCTGACGTGATACAGCGGGTCACGTGTGATCTCCCATTAGTGCCCATTGGTCAAACATGTTGAAACGCCGTGCAATATCGCCTGCCACTCCTTACCGCAGGCTGCCGATAATTCCACCATTCAATAAATTTCCTCGCTTTCAAGTTGTGGAGAAGGAGATTTCTCGTTTCCCTGGGTCAATAAACGCATGACAGAAATCTCCGAGATGTTCGCTGCCCGGCACGGGAAGATGTTTCATAGTCTATCCGTTATGTTTATAAGGGTTACATCTCGAGCTCGCAAATCTTTTCCCTTCACGAGCTTTTGAACAAGACTTCCGTTTCTATCACTCTTTCGCTGGTCGTTCTTTTCTTGTCATTCGTTTGTCTGATCTGGCTGCAACATGTTGCACTCGATTTTCATTATTTCGCTATTCGCGGCAGCAGCATCTGCGGCATTATCCGAGAGCAGCCTTGAAATTCACGTTGGCGCCCTCTCGCTCTCCGCGTCTTTCAACCCAATCAAGGAATCGTACTGGACAGGCTATCCGCACCATCGCCGTACCCCTTTCGCCGTTTCGCCTGACGGAAAGTCCGCATACCTCGCGTATCTCGATGCGAGCGAGACTGACGTCCATGTTCAGCAAGTAGATCCCTCGACCTTCGCAGCTGTTGGCGATGCAGTGTCAGTGACCGGAGGGAAGGAAGCCGGCGGTCTCGTCGCTCACGATGACGGCTTTGCTCTCCTCACTAATGAAGCCATGCCTTCTGGCACCTCGAACGCGCCTCCTGACAACACTCCCGTCCCGGTGCTATACCGCTTCACCTCTGGCGAGCAGACCTGGAGGACTTGGCTTGGTGGCCCGGGAGTGCACGAAAGCATGGGGCTTGCTGCATCACCCGACCTCAACGGCGACCTCGTGTACTCGGAAGCAGCGAAGACATATGGCGCTTACTTCGTCATTACTGCTTACACTGGCGATGCATCAGGTCACTTCGGAGACAACATTCAGTACGTCAACGATGACGGCACTCGGGAAGACATCACCGGCGCCACAAGCTCTGGCTTCGGCTGCTCTCACAATACCGGTATCGCCTTTGAGGCCGCAGACGAGGCTCCATTTGCAAGCATCTGCGCCGAAGACCAAGGAGCTGTTTGGCTTAATACGAAAACGCAGTACATGGACGGCGTCAAGATCTCCAACGAGAACGTCACCAACGGCGCCAGCAATGAAGCTATGGGCGGCATGAGCGGTTCCTACAGCGGCCTGGCACGGTTCATCGACAGCGACTCTTACATCTTCACCTGGGTATCGCGAGGAGCCAAGGACTTAACCACGAATGACTGGCTCGGCACTCCATACACCCACGCCATCAACCGCACCGTGAACCGTAATGTCGCCATCGCCCAATTCTCCGACAAGAACACCCTCGTTGGTGATGAGGCTACCTCCGAGCTCGTCGCCGACGGCGACTCCCAAGTAAACTGGATTACGACCGGCACTGCCGACTGCTCCAATGCACACGTAGCTGCATTCGACGGCACGAACGCGCTAGTCACTTGGGAGGAGATCGCTGAGCCGAGCTGCCCCTTCCTCTCTATGGGCTGCAAGGGTGCTTTCACGGGATCGTATTTCCAACTCGTTAATAACGGTGAGAAGGTTGGAGAACCCCTTAAGAGAATGGATGTCTTCGTTGCGGGTGACATGGTTACGATGAGTGATGGCAGGATTTGTTGGCCGTATGTGGATATGGATTGGACGCTCGATGGGCCGGTGATGAATCCTGCGAGTGTTACCAAGATGAGCTTTGCTTGTATGAATTTGGATGGGTCGGGGAACTCGAGTACGGCGGTTTCTTCGTCTGCAGCGGCGGCTTCATCGACTGGTGCTGCTTCTTCGGTTGCACAGTCGTCCGTTCAGGCTTCGCTCTCGTCCATTGAGGAGGTCGACGTCTCCACCGCCGCTCCCGTCACCGGCCAGAACCCCACCGCCACCGCACAAGTCCCCTCCGGTTCAGTCTCAACGCCAACACCTGCACCGCAGCCTGAGGCCTCGGATAGCGCGCTTCCAAGCTTTGTGCTTGTGAGCTCGGGAGCATCGATCTCGCTCCCAGTTTCGTCTGCTCCTGTCGCCAGTACAAGCGCTTCTGAGATTCCATCAGAGCCATCTGGAGCACCAGTGCTCCCTTCCGGCCCTCAGACTCCTGAGGTTTCTGCGGTGCCATCCGCTCCGAGCACCCTATACTCTATACCGGACACCCTTCCCACCACCGCCCCAGAACCCCCATCGGATACTGACGTCCCGGCCTTCCCCTCAGGCACTGGCTCCGGTATGCCACCCTTCCCCTTCCCATCCGGCGTCGCCTCCCCCTCCGGTTTCGATGGACACCACCATCACCACAGCCACCATCGGCCTTCCGGCGGCTTCGGCTATGCATGGCCGACTGGCTTTGGCGGACCTCGCCACGGCGTGTTCCCTGAGGCGTTTGGTGCGCGACCAACCGGCGGCTTTGGCTCTGGATTCGGGCGCGGGCCGTCGGGCTCGCAGCTTGGTACGGGCAGGACGCCGTGCACATTTGAGACGAGGATCAGGCCTACGGCTACGCCTGTTGGGCAGTAAGGGACGAAGGGCTCATGTGTGATGTCTGCCAGGGGTCTGACCATTACGTGCTCAGACGAACGACGTCCGGTTGTTTTCGAGTATTCTCTTCTTGTACATACTTTGATGCTTCTTCGACTCTTCTCCCAAAACCACCAATTCTTAGGCACCATGAAGTCTCACCAACCATTCACCCATACCACCTCCATCGAGCAATGTTACTAACCCAGCAACCCCACATACCTACATCGAGACCTTAAGCGTGAGCTTTGTGACTACGCATTTCGCTGATTAGTACAAGTTCCATTGCAGAACGCGTCTGCATTTCCCGAGGAGGCGCTCAAATCTCGTCGGCCGCGGGCCCCTGGTGCAATCTAGAAGGCCATGTTAGCAAGTCTCCCGCATATATGCCACAGCGTGAAACTCACGTTGAACGCGACGCCGACTAACGGGCATCTCAAACTGTTCCCATATCTTCCGACCGATCTGCACAACGAACGGCACTTCTCCCAGCACTCCACCGTCCAACGCCCACGGTGGAATAGGGTACTCGAGATTGACGTGGAACTGCTTTGCTCGAACCCGCGTAAGCGGCAACAAGATCTCTTCGAGGTAATCACTGCTTTCCGCGTCCGTGGGAGCCAGTCCCTGGATGCGCAGCTCTACTCTCAGGTCGGTAAGATTGTTCAGCGATGCGAGCAGGGTGCAGAAGTCTCGCCACTCGGCCGTAATGGGCGGCGGATACAAGCGGCCTTGCCCGTAGCGGAAGTGCACGGGGAAGTAGATGGAGAACCAGAGGCGGTGGAGCGAGCGGAATGTCGAACTCGGTAGGGAGGCAGATAGCGTGTGGAAGACAGCGGGAGATCGCATGTGCAGGGCGCTTTGTTGTAGGAGCGTCTCGGTGGCTTCGAAGTACCTGCGGGATGATGGGTCGTTAGATTTGCGCATATCTAGTGCACAGCACCCGTGAGCTACTTACACTCGTTGGCATGTCTGCAAGAACTGGAACGCGGGATCGCTGCTGGCTCGCGACTTCTTCACCAGTTCAGTGCAGTCCTCCTTTTCGTCATCCAAGAAGCTTCCACCAATGGAGCTCGGATCTAGATCAGCAGGCCTCATCCGGTCCATAGCCAAGCAGCCGTGGCTCCCGGCAAACTGGTCGTTGAGGTCGTAGTCGAACACGGCTTGGATGCTGCCGTCACGTTTGTGCGCGAGATGTATGACGGTTCTCGTGTCGCCGAGCGCGTATTCGTATATCATTAAGCGGATCTCGGGAGGGAGCTTCGAGAAGAAGGGACTTTGGAGTTGGTCGTGAACTGGAGCGGAGGAGGGGGTTGGGATAATTCGGAGGATTATGTGCACTGGGCGTGCTTTGAATGTCTCTGATACGGTCTCTGTGATGGTACCATGAGATGAAGTAGGGGTAGGAAGCGCTGTTTCTTCCAGGGTTCCATCGGGTATGCCGGGTGATGACGGAACTGCCGCTGAGATTGGGGGATCTTGCTGCGCTGGGATGTCGGCGCGTTGGCCATGTCTCCGCGCGCTAGAGCGTGTGGAGAGTCTGCGTAATCGTTGGTGGAGTTCCATACTAGCTTCTGTGTAATGGAGAGGCTGGGTCAAAGACGAAAGGGGCAGGAACAAACTTAACATCGGATCGTCATTTGTGCGGCACAGTCGAGAAACAACAGGTGCAGGGTTCCTGTAGGCACGTGCGAAGCGGGGTATCTCCCTCTGCCCATCCTGGAATTCCATTCAATGCCTTTCGACACAAGAGATTACGCTTGGAACGACTAAAAGAGTAAGTAGATACCTCAATATATCGTAGGCTTCCAAGAAGGCATTCAGGACAGATGCAGATTCACACCGTACTCTTCCCGGATTAAATGCGCTTGTGCGCCCCACCTACTTTGGTAGCTCTTTAGCTGTAGCATCGCGCCTACTCTACCTAGCCATTGTCCAGGCCGTTCTCAGTAATCAGGACTCGCTGTCACCAGCCGTCGTTTCAAGCACGACCCCAAGTCCTCTAATCCTCTGAATCCGCTCTTCATCACTTTCGGAAGGCGCACTGCATAGTTCGCACATCCTGGGATACCACACGTTATGAGAGAACTCTTCGAAAGTGCCGGCGTAGCTCTCCCACTCCCCTTCGACCTCTTCCAAGAGCGATTCGAGGAGGTCAATGTCTTCGCTCTCCACGTAGTAGATATCCTCCCTTTCCTTGGCGCTTGGTCGGGTGTAGAACCCTGGATCCTCTTCGTCCATCCGATAGCAGCATGTATGGGTGAGATTCAGCGCTCCAAAGGTGAGAACCCGCAGGACTGTTGGACCCAGCCACGAAAGCTGGCGATTCGCCGTTACTATGGCTCCAACAGGCTGCAGAATTAGTTCGCGTCTTCGATTTTCTCGATCTTCACTCAGGTGGTCCCGGGTCCTCCATGGCGTAGTGCAATTGCTCTTCTTAGCCAGGCATCCAATAACTCGGCAGCCACCGGCAGAGCAAGGACAGACACATGGATCGCAGGTGTCTCGAAGCAATATGTCCCCAATAAAAGGGCTATATGGAAGCGAGATACTCTCAACATCGTCCATGATAATTCCGCGGGCAAGTGCGTGAGCTATGGCATGAGCTGGCGTAGTATGTGCCCGAGGATGGATCCAGTCAAGGCTGGAACCCTTGGTCGCGAACCATTCCAAGAGCGATACCCGTTCTTCTGAAAGGGAATCGTTGGCGGCATGAGACCACAACGGGGAGATGCATGAATTCGCTGCGCAGATTTCTTGGAAACCTGCATTCCAAAGACAATTGGCTCCAATCCGGGAGAGAAAAAGCGTACGGTAAGGCCGAGTGCGTTCCTTCGGGTTGCGTATTGGGGCTTGGAGCATACTTTTCGCTAGACCGACGGCGATGTAATCGAAGATCTCGTGCTGTACTTGCGTCCTAAAGCTCCTCTGACATCTGCAAGCAAGTGACCACGAGTTTTGGGAGACCGACACATTTTGATGTAGTAAGATCCGGACCGATTCTTCGTTCCCGCAGCCTATTGCGTCATGCAGAAGAAATTCCCCACCTCGTTCTAATCCCTTTAGGCTTCCTGGTATGCATGATAGGAGTAACCTAAGCCCGGATGGCCAGGAAACGGCATAGTATAAGGCCTGCTGGAATCCAGGATTTGTGTGGAATTGTGGTGGTTGGCCAAGTCCAAGTAAATGTGAGAGGTCACGTTCGGACCTCTGAAGAACCGCCAGGACTAATGGGGAGCCTGCTTCGAAAGCTACAAGATGTCATTCATGGAGCACATGAGGAGATATTCTATACGTACTGGATAGATATCCATCAAGCGTGAGTAGTTCATGAGCGGCATCATAAAGTTCCTGCGATCGAAAAGGCAGATCGGGAACGCTCCAACTACCTCCTCTTCGTATAAGCTGGGAGTAGATTAAAACAGCGTCCCCGTATCTGGGTCCCATGCGTGGTGGGAAAAGGATAGACTGCATCGAGCAGATATTGGCTCTGGAGGCAAGTTGAGCCGAATAAATGTCAATAACCGCGGAACACTCACATTCCAACATCGTCCCGTCCGGTGCAGGGTATCTGCTCTTTATCCAGTTCATCAACGAAGGCAAGTAAGGCGTCCGTATTGAGGACCTCCATGTGGAAAAGTGTAAGTGCTACAGGTAAAGCAATCTACGAATGCTGAGCCTTCCAGACTTGTAGGAATGGAGGTAGCAAACTTACGGTATATATACCGCTCCCCTCTTCGAGGACATCGGTCGGACCGGCCCGATGCTGTCGAAAACTTTCTTTGACCTCAGACAACGCTTGAAAAAGCAAAGCTGCCCACTGCACTTTCGAGCTGTTCGAACCATAATACAAGCTCACCGTTCTCTGTAGATCGATAAACGGTTTGAACCCAGGAGAGTTGTGGGGAACAACAGCCCGATACGACAGCACTGGGGATATCGTCGCCCAGCCAGACCTCCTGGCATAAAGCCACCCTGCCTTAACGCAGTACCCCCATGCACTTGTCAACGCAACTTGGAAGCCAGCTTCCACAGTACGGGAAAAGTCAGCCTGAGAGAAGTACCGGCAGGAAGGTAAATGGTCCGAGGACTCTTGCGTTATTACAGGAAACTGGAAGGGGCCCCAGCCCCAGATTCTGCATTCTTGGCGCTTGCGAAGGTATAGATGACAATTGCATATGGGTATAGAGGAGTCCGAAATCGATCGGCGGTGTTTCCGCAGAACTTGCGGAAAAGGGCGAGAAAGTTCCTCCGTGCTTTCCGTTGCACGAGCAAGCTGTCGGAGAGCGGCATTGCCATTATCGGGTATCTTGAGAGTATTAGTCGTAACATTCATACATATAAGTAAGCCAGCACTGTTGAAAACGAGATACGTACAAGCATATCGAGCTTCCGCTCTAATACGGCGAACCGCAACAACAGTGCAACGGACTGATCAAGTCCTGCGTGCTGAGCAGCTGACAAGTTCTGCACGCCATCATGAATTGACTCTAGCAGCATCGATTGGGCGTTTAACCCGTGTTCAAAGAGTTCGCTCCGGGCCATCAACGCGTTTGAAGTGGTGGCCAGGACGTCCAAGTTTCGCTGTCCCACACTGATTCCAAGAACATTGAGAGCAAGTATAAGATTAGCCTGTAGCCGGTCGAGCGTCCTTTGCAACCCGAGCAAAGTATCTCGCTTGAAAGGCCACAAAAGCCTCTTTCTCACAAGCTTCGCTTTGTCTCGAAGATCGTCCGGCATTGTGGTATATCCGCATCGATTGGCTTCCTTTTGGAGGCAACCAAGAGCGTCTCGCGCGGTTTCCATGGCGTTTTGGAACTGGATCAGTGCTTCATCGTCGCCGACCTGGACCGTATTCTTGACCGAATCTAACGCTCTCAGGATCCGCTCTAGACTTTCAACACGGCGTACAACAGCGTTGATGTCATCGTGGAAGCTTCGAAACTGCGCGTAATATCGGGCCAGGGCCTGGCAGACCTGGATCCCAAGGGAGGTGATGCCGACAGCGGTACCAGCAACGGAAAACGGGTCCATCCTCGTTGAGACATCAGGATAAGTGAGGAGGCTGCAGGTTGGAAGCTGGAATGGAAGACCCGACGTGATAAGGAAACGTAAAAGAGGCGGGGGCTGAGCATCGAAGTCCTTCTTGTTCAGCGAATAGCGGCACAAGAAGCATGGCCGCCGCAAGGCTGAAGTCAGCCACGGGAAACGCCTTACCAAAGGAGTCGGAAGGTTCCGAATATACAGCCTCGTCTCGTTGTGACATGAAGAAAGCCTAGTTAACTGCACGAAGAAGCGAGTATTTTTGGGAGTCTCAAGGGGTATAGATAGAATCATTTTTCCTCCTGTCATATCTCATCTTCTCTCTGGCAGTTCGGTAGCTGGTTGTTGTCCCTGTTGTGGATATTGCTGGCCCAGTGCTGGGTATTGCTGCTGCGACAGAACTGGATATTGACGTGCTTGCCCATACTGCGGATACTGCTGCTGCCCTTGCTGCGGCCAGCCATAAAGTGGCTGCGCATAATCCGAAGGCGGCAAGCCAGCAGGCATCTCCGCCGTATTCCCTTTCGTCGGTAGCTCGTGCCCAATATACTGTACGCTGTGATCCAGCTCAGCTGGTCCCGTGGGCCCTGCCATTTGTGGCAGCGCTGCGGGTGCGGTCGCTGCTGCTGCTGCTGCTTGCTCTCTCTTACTTCTTCGTCCAAGGAAGAAAGATAGCGCAATGAGACCCGCTATTAGACCTACGCCTAGCGGCACACCAACGCCTATCCCGACTTTGGCACCAGTCGAAAGACCACCTCCTCCTCCGCCATTATCGTTGTTATTGTTATTTGAGCTGGAATCGCTCGTCGTTTGTGCGGGGTTCGTCGCTGGACTGTTGCTCGCCGTCCCTGTAACGCCCCGGGTTGTAGTCGCGAGAGTGGAGGAAAAGAAGGCGGTTTCCGTCTCCGGGATGCCGGTCCCGGGGAAGCCAGTCTCGAACTGGCGCTCAACGATGCTCGGCGGCGCATCGATCTTCGCTAGGGCGCGCAGCTCTCTGACTGCGCCGGCGGGCGCTTGCACGATCTCGAGCGGGTATCCGACAGCTACGTGCAGATCATTAGTGTCTGTAGGGAGGTCAGAGCAAAGGATGTGTCTCTACCTAAACACAGCGATGATAAATAGCCGTGCGCCTGCGTTCGTGATGCGTCGTCGCAAGCATCTTGGATACAGTCGACTAAACGAGGGAGATAGTTCCCGTCCGAGCAGGCGCAGGCGTAGTCGGTCGATTTGCACTTCGTCTTGGTTGTCGCTACACATACTCGCTTCAAACCGCATTAGACCGTGAGCATTGGGAAGTCCGGGGAGAACGTACCGCGCACCCAGGCAGCGATTGTGCCGCCACGTCCCCAATCGCTATAAGTCCTAGGAACAGCCGCACGCGTATTCTAAAGCTCTTCATGCTGAACAGCAATGCATAGGAAATTTACAAACCAAGAACCAAGAACGAGGAAAAGGCAGGCTCAACCGCTACTGTATCGTGGGGTTTACAAGGGTGTATTTAAATTCGCATCTCCTGGCGGCTCGCAACGCTGTCTGGTTCCTGAGCCCCCATGTCGATCGCGGAGCAACAGGCGATTTGTTTGAGGAACTAATGCGGAATACGAAGAGAAACCCGGACTGAGACTTGGAGCCAAGACAAAGACACGAGGAGGCGCGAAGGCTGCGCGGCTGATCGCGATTTTGTGGCTGCCTTTTGGAAATTTGCAAATAGACTGGGCTGTTAATTTTGGGGGTTGATGGGATGGGGCATGCTTGATGCAGTACTCAATGAATGACAGCGCGTTATTTGACTGAAGAAATGTGTGAGCGGGCGTGCAAACACGAGACGAGTGGAAGGGTTGACGGCGCTTAGTCAGCTGGGCAGTAGCGAAGGCGAGTTTCACATGGAAAACTTCGATGGAACGCAAATCCACCTTTCGAAACCGTAGCATAGAGTCCTCAACTCTGACTCCGCTTCGTCACACGGAATGTTCTGCCTGCAATGGTCCCATGTCACTTTGCTTTTCATACGATCTACGTGGGAATCTCGAATAGCCACAGTAGGCTTTGCGCTTTTGTCCCCCTACAGGGCACCATGAATTTGTGATATGAGCGGTCAAGAGTCGGCGAAGTGTGCTGTTCATCCTGGAAGACCCAGACGGTTCGTATAAATGTTCCTCGTCTGGTCTGGCGATGCTCTTATACTGATCAGTAGTAGACATCAACACTCGTATAGCCCTATCAATTTGGACACTCCCAGATGGTTAGACTATCGAATGATGGTCACCAAAATCCTGGGCAACGAAGGATCAATTTCCATAGTGGCGTTCCTGCAAGCCCTGGAGGGCTGAAGCACTTAGTAATGTGCACGAGTCATGTGAACCTTAGTCGCGTCTCCCAGAACGGCTCTCTTGCGTTCTACGCTCAGCAAAACGTGCAGCAATGCCGCCAGTCCGGACAGCGAAGAAGAACAACGCAACCATCAATGGCCGACTTTCTACGTTTTTCGGGAAAGTCACCATGGACGAAGCCTTAACGCGCGCCAGCAGAGTAGTACCAAAGCAGCTCCCGCCGAACGCGTGGTGGGTCATCGACGCAGGAAGCACTTCTTCTGTCGACCCTCCTCCTGTAAAGGGCTCCCCTGTAGAGAGTACGCCTGCGGGGGGTTCTCCTGGAGAAAGGTCTCCGGCAACGCCCACCGCTACTGCTCCCGTAGTCGCTCTGACTCCTCCTGCTCCCCCAGTTGTTCTAACTCCTCCTGCCACACCGCCAAAGAAGAAACTCCCATGACGTGTGGTTAAAGCAGAAAAGCTTGCAATCTTCGAGGGCCGCGACAGTTGGGATGACAGGTACCATGAGGAAATCGGCACCTCCACCAGGCACATCCATTTTAAATTCTTCAACTTGAAGGAGTACGCAGATATCCCCTTCCTTGCCCTCACAACACCGACATCTAAGATACATGCTATCTATACTGACACGCGCAACTTTGCGCAATTGATCACATTGACGACATCCTGCTCATGGGGCCCCGCGTCTGCAAAGGCCTCACAGAGTTTATCTTCCACTACACCGACCCCGACCGCGAGAAGCCTATGGCCTGCCACTCTCTGACCGCTGACGCCGTTATCCGCCTAGCCAAGGCATGTCCCAATCTTAAGAAGGTCCTGCTACAGGGCACATGCCGCCTTGGTGACGACGTCTTGCTCACCTTCTTTAAAAACTGCGCCAATCTTACCTTCCTGGAGATCACCGGCTCGCATTACACCTCTGGACGCGCTCTCAGTGAGCTGTGCGAGCACGACAACTGGGTCCCGAAATTGAAGAAGCTGCGGCTGGACGATGATAACATCAGGAAGCCTTTCATGAAGGCGATGCGAGACTTGACCAAGCAGAGACAAGCGACCGTAGTCGAGCTCGTTAGAACATCGGAGTACAAAAAGTGGGGCGATTTCTATCTGGAGATGGATCACGACAGTTACATACAGGAATGGACAGAAGCAGCCTTAGGGCTTCGGCCGCCCAAAGTATGGAGGGGAACCGCCGGATTGGTGGTAGGGATTGCTCCTGCCCCTGGGCCAGGGAAGCCGTGCATGAATGGAGCGACTACACTTTCTGGCGCATTATTCTGATCCTTCTCGAGATATCGCATGAGTCGGCTCACCATTGCGGTGACTTTGATTGGCGCCCGCGCCGAACGGTAAGCCGCATCCGCGGGTGGGTCGATCAGCCCACGCCTGCACCACACCTCAGCGCATACACACCATACTCCCACATATGTGCGCAATGTTACCTCCCGATAAAAAGTTTCGCCTGGCCTCGCTGTTATGCCGGGCATCAGAACTGCTCTCTTCGTCGCCCTCCAAGCCATAGCCCTCGCAATCTTCCTACAGCGAGCTTCTAAAATGACCACAACCGCACCCACGCCCGACAAGCCGTGGGCTGATGCGCCTTGCCCGTTGGTAAAGACGCCACAGTTTGCGACGAAGAAGGTTGGTGTACCCATTGCACACGAGCAAGAGCTCCAATTGCTAAGACAGCGCCGTTAGACCGATATCTTCACGCTGGGTGCAACGCACATGGCGCATATCCACAATGCGATTCTCCGCGGCTACAACTCGATATACCAGCAAGCTCCTCACGTAACGCACGAGGACAAGCCCGAATTCATCGGCTACGCGCAAGCGTGGTTTCGCTTCGTCAAGAGCCACCATGACGACGAGGAGCTGGAGCTGTTTCCCAAGGTAGAGGAGGTTCTCGGCACGAAGGGCATTTGGGACGAGACACACAAGGAGCATGGTAAGCACCACCTCTCGCATTCTCTCCGCTCCCGCATGCTGACCCCGGCGTGTAGAGTCCTTCCTCGCTGGCCTGTCGCAGTTCAACGACTACCTCTCCCAGCTCCCCGAGCCCTTCGACTTCAACGGAACCGAACTACGCCGCATCATGTCCTCTTTCCAAGACGCCTTTAATCATCATTTCCACTCCGAAATCTCTACCATTGCAGCATTCGCCGACTTGCCATCCGCACCGACGCCCTCGTCACCGGAGGCCGACCGCGCGGCCGCAATATTCAAGGCATGGGGGAAGAAAACAGTGACGAAAGCGGGATATACGGACGTTGTGCCGTTCTTTCTGTTGAACTTGGATACAACGTATGAGGATGGGACGTGGGCGACGTGGCCGCCTATGCCAGCACCCATTAGGTGGGGTCTAGTGAATATTGCAGGGGCGTATCATTGGGGTTGGTGGAAGTTTGCGAGCTGCGATTCCGCAGGAAAGCCGAGGGCGCTGTACGCGCTGCAGTTTCCAGAGAACAAGTGACGGCATAGATAACAAGCAGAGCGATTGAGGTTTGGCCTTCGATGTTGTCTTAGCACTTACGATCATATTAGGTTTATTAATCGAGCACTCGTCAATCGGAAGGAGGGAATATGTCCTATTATTGGGATAGGGTATGCTAGCTGACTCCCTCATCTTACGCTACGCAAGTGCGCTTCCAACCCAAGCATTGTAATCCGCATTCCCACTTCTCGGACTAGACATCAAAGCTCTGCTACTTCCCTGCACCGCGGCGGCACCATTCCTACCGATAGTGACTATAACCGCCCCATTTTGAACGTTGAAAGGCTGCGAGGAATGGTTGAGGCCCGTCTTGGTGGCTTGGAAGCTCGTCGGGGGTTTACCGCCACTCTGTACGCTGACGGTAGCAGGAAGCGACTTGATCAGCGCTGTAAAGAAGACCTTATCCTGGAGACACATGCTTAGGGATAATTCGTCTGCCAGTTTTGCAGTATCTAGGCGCATGCTACTGGCAGCTTCAAATCCTACCATGTTGCCCGATATATAGGATGTTATCCTACAAAAGCAGAAGGTGATCGTGATCCTTTTGCTCCTGATATACCACGATGATGTCGAGGCCGTGGTCGAGCGCCACGGGCACGTTAAATGTGTGATCGCGCGATTTTGAACACTATCAAAAGCTGGAATGATGGCATAGGATACAAAGGGCATAGAGACGCGTATTATAAGCGTCTGACAGAGTAAGTTGCTAAGATTCAGACTGAACAGAGATCAGAAAGCTGCCAGCAGCGCCACAAACTATGGAAGAAATCGATAACAGCTCAGAACAGATTAAGCCCAGAGGCCACAGCGCCCCTCCCAACATGAAAAGCACAAAGCCAATGAAAGAAAAACCCCGTACTCGCACGTCTCCACCTAACCCATACAAGCAAGCTATGCCTCCCCCCTAGGCGTTACCACTCGCAGTGGGCAACAGGATGGCACCATAACCCTTCGTTATAAAGCCTATAGTTTGGCGCGCCACTTTTGTAGTAGCACGTCGTCGTTCCCGACGAGCCTGCGTCCTTCAACGACTCTCCAAAGCAGCGTATATCTTCCTCCCGACCCTCGCATTTCAGGATCCCAGCACCATTGCCATCGTTGAAATATCTGCATGTGCGTGTGGCTGGACCATCCTGTGTTCCAGAAAGCAGCAGCATCTTAAACGTCCCATGAGGCCAAGGAGGATTGTCCATGTCGTCCTCATGGCCTTCAACTGGCCACGTTCGTGTGGTATCTACGAGGAGCGCGGGACCGCAACCATCTGCGGCCTGTCCGTAGTCTGTGGGAAAGAAGGCCCAGGCGTAATAGTCATCCCCGCTTTCCATTACTCTCCTTAACAAGATGGACAAGGCCTTGGTCTTAGGTGGAGGGGGTGGAGGAGGGGGCTCTGGTACGGAAGATGATGAAGGCGCGGGAGGCGGTGGCGGTGTGGAGGTAGGAACAGGAGAGGGGGCCGACGTTTCTGGTGGAGGAGAAGACGAAGGTGGCAGAGCTGATGATGATTCCTGCTCTAGTGTCGAGGAAACTCCAGTTGTGCTTTGGCCAGTCGAAGGCGGAGGGGTGGATGTCGATTCTTGCTCTGGTGTTGATGCAACATCGGTTGTGCTTTCGCCAGCCGGAGTGTCGGTCGCACCTGCGGAAACTGTCGTAGGTGTTGAAGCAACACTATCCGTGGTGGAGGCAGATGGTACAACAGTCTTTCCTGCGCAGGACGCAATGTCACTTTCGTGGATATCCGTCGTGGCTGAGTCCATCAGAGCAAGTACGCATTGCTGCTTCTCGAACCAGTACTCAGGTTCGGGGTGGTCGAATCTTCCCGTTTCCACGGCGCTAGCTGTGATGTCCGTGACAGACGTCACTCCAGCTCCGGAACAAGCGGACGTTGTCGAGCATTCGGTGGTGAAGAAGGTTGTCTGAGAACCTGAGACGAAGTTGGTCCCCTTACAGCTAGGTATGACGGTTTGGGTGCATGTGCTCGTGATACCCGTTTCCCTTGTGACACCAGCTCCAGAACACATGCTGGTAGTAGTGCAGGATGTGATCGAAGTCTGCGTTACGGTACCTGACACGTAATGGGTGATATCGCAGCTTGGGACAGCCGTGGCACTACATGAGGAACTTGATGACGAAGGTTCTGACGTTGACTTAGATTCCTCGCGCCCCGACGGCGTCGGCTCATCGGGTGGGTTGGGGTCGGGTGCTGCCGGGAAGCTCGCCGGGTTCGGGAACGTGCCAAAGTTCAGGCCAGACGGTAGCTTTCCTTTGACGATAGGAAAAGTAATGTGGCATGCAGCATCCACGACTGTATTTATAGCCTTGCTTGCGACGTCGACAACAGCGCCAACGAGCCCTTTTGCTCTAGGCTTGGGTAAAGGGTTGCATTTGTCCGAGGGTAGTTCCATTTTGACGAACGGTATTTCAGGAAGGCCCGGCTTATTGACACGGATGACGGGGAAGAGGCTCAGATCCGTCACTTCTGGGATATGAACATCGGTATTAGTGACTAGCGTCTCAAGGACGAAATCCGTTGGCGTGATACAGCCTAGAAGGTTTGCATCAGTGCAGAAGAGATCGAAGACGGGCGCTGGCTGCGTTGCGGTCGTGGGAGTATGAAGCCAGAAGGAAGAAAGCAACCCGTCGACATTTCCCATAGATGGAGTTAACCCTGTGGTAGTGGGACGAGGTCCACCTGTAGATGGATCCGGTGTTGTTACATCGGAATGATTACTCAGGCTCTGCTGGGGGCTCGATGGTTGCAAACCAGCTGGTGCAGAAATGGAATCCGTCGTCATGGCCACCGGTGTCGAGAAATTGTAAGAGGAAGTGGCTGTGGTAGCGTATGAGGTGAAAGAAGTCGTCGAGATAGGACCACCGCTCCCAGTAGGGCTCCCGGTTGACTCGAGTACATTTGTGGCACTTTGGAGGACATTGGACTCGTTGGTTCCTGGTGATGGTGTGAGCCGGACCGACATTGAGTCCGATGTATGATTGGTCGTAGGACGCGTTCTCGAAATTGTCGGCATGGTGAGGGATGGACTCTTGGGACCGCTGCTTAGTAGGCTGGACATGGCTGTGGCTGATCCATTCGAAGCGGGAATACCCGTGCCCATAGATGCGGTCGTGTTGTGGATGGGCACTAGAGTACTTTCAATGGTGGTGCTTAGAGGACTCTGATCGGTCCCTAGCGACAAGTTACCGTTAACCTGCCGGCCGATCAAAGCGTACATCGGTGAAAACGACGGCTTCTGGTTCGTTCGAACAATATTGCCACCAAGTTGTTTGATATCCCACGTTCCTGAAGAACTGTTAAGTTCTCCAGGCTCTCCCAAACCTCGCTTGGTATTCGGTCCTGTCCACTGGCCGTTCACACCCTGAGCCCTTGGCGAGTTAGCCACCGCTGGTGGCCAGCTATAACCTCGGATGGCCTCCGGACACCCATTCTTCTTAATTGTGGCCCCTTTCGCCTGTAATAGTTTGGCCCCTTGAAGTGTCATTAGGGAACAAGTTCTCATATACACAATCGGGGACTTACCTAGGGCAAAGTATGCTTGTGAATCTATCATATATTAGATCCTTCGACCCATATCCCGAACGGTGAGTACTCACCGGCATTGAACCAACCATTGTCGTTCCTCAGCGCACGAATTCTGTGCCAGGTGTATCCTCCGCCCGGGTCGACATCATTGGTCGAAATAACTCTTACTCTGATATCTGGCGTATTTACAGCACTTGGGAGATCTGGTGCGCTCCACCCAGACTCCACCGCATGGGTCATCTGGTATCGAATAAGCACTATCCATGGCGGAGAGTTCTGGAAAACCAACCTCGTGCAGCAAATCGTTGTCAAAAATGCTGAAGAAATCGATAAGGTCGGTTAAAGGGTTGAGGTTCTTGCAGAAATCCTTGATCTTGTCCATCGTATTTCCCCATCGGTTGAAGCGATCCTCGAGAGTAATGAACCGCGTTCCGGCCTTGTACTAAGCACATATTAGCTACCTAGGCTCTCGTCTTTAAGCAAGGGCTGTTTGTTCTGTTATAGGATGGTACCTTTTTGCTGAAGGTTGGCGGGCAGATCGTAATTGCTACAAATTCATTACTCTTTGGTTGGGCGGTTTGGGCAATGGCTTTCCCCTCAAAGCATCTCTTCCTATGTGCTGCGCTCAACCGCGCCTCATTGGTCTTAGGGTTGATATAGTCTTCCGAACCTGTAATCTGTATCATCCGCTGATAGTTGCAGTAGAGGACCTAGAGCATGGCATTAGCGCTTCTCATGACCTGAGGTGAAGAACGGGAGGGACAGCATATTTGTAGTGCATGCCTAAGCAAAATGATAAGGGATTGATGCGCACTCTCCTAGCGATAGAAATAAATAAGAAGCCATGCATTTACGTGTGGATGGTGGAGGGGATACTAGGTGCTTACAATGTCACCTGGCCTTGGCTGTGCATTGGCAGCTGCGGTCGATAACCCTGGGGCATTACTGTCCAGGATCCCATTTGAGCCAGTATTCCTGAAATTCTGGAGAATATATTCGTAGTTGTCTTGTGGCTGTTCTTAGTACTCTCAGGTGTCTAGAGCTCTTGCGTTTGGCTTACTTTTGATGACATAATATTTCTCCCAAGGAGCGTTGAATGCAGTTCGTGTAAAGCCTCCCTGCCCGACCAGTCCACCAAAAATTCTCCCGGCTAGATCCCTAGTCTCAGCATCGGGGAACAACCACTGGTCAGGACCAGCAGCTCCTGGTTGCGGTGGTTCACCAATAGCCCTTGAGGCCGCCTCTGCTTGGGCGAAGGCACCTTTCATGGCCTTGTTGATGACTTGGGTATGGCCTACTTATCAAGTCAATGACAGATACAGCTGAGATACATTACTCACTTGAGCAACTGTCATTGTCAATGTACCAAGCTGCGCGGACTTGATGAAGGAAACCCCAGAAACAGAAGAGCAGCAGGGAAAATCGTAAAGGGCGCTGGAGGGGATGCATGGCGACGCTTTCGATACGAACGCAATGAAGTGGAAGACCGTGAGGTAGAAGTGTCTTTTAAATGCCTAGAATGCTATGGACGGAAAAGACACATTGAGATAATATTCCTTCGGTCGTGGTCTTCCGGAGGAGGCTTACCCCTCGACCAGGAGGCACAGAGCAACCACTGGAGAGCAATTTAACGATGAAAGGAGATTTGACCAACCATGTCGGAGGCGAAGAAGCCTTGCCCGTGCAAATACTACCACTTGTCAATAACTTCCCCCCGCAATCAGGTCGGGGACAGACCAGGATGGTAACCTTGCACGTCCACAAGATCCTCATCCATGATTCCGCTTTTTTTTAGGCGCCCTTTCTTCTATAATCTGGTCAAATCCTTCAATTTTTAGAAGATCCGAGTGGATGTAGCGATAATTAAGGAGGGGGCACAGGTGTTGGGGGAGGGGGGGGGGCGTTGCTCCCACAATGAAACTGTGTTGAAAGCCGAACCACAGGACGCGGAGCGTTCATTACAGATCAAACAAAGTATATGTGTCTCTCCGGATGCAATCATCTTTGATTACCCGAGCTCTCTTGATCGAATGATGACACCGACATACCCTGATGTAGGCGCACGGTTAGGTGGTGCAAAAGATTCCCCAACGCCACCTGAGCGGCCAATTAATGGCGATGGAATGGTTAGACAGTATAAAAGACCCATTCGATTTTCACCCGCCCTGAATATGAGAAGCACACAGAGGCTCCGAATCCATAAGCCTTGAAAAAGTTGGGTTTTTGCATAGTGGAGATGACGAAAGCGACTGACTGCGCCACAGTACCCCACCACACAGCTGCGCCGCGAACGACCGTTCGCACAACCGTTCGCACAACCTGTCCTCATCCTCCAAGCCCGCAATATTTCGCCGTAGGCCCAAACATCCTCCTTCGATGACGAGGAATTTCTCCATTTGGACAGAGTTGAAATGGAAGTTGTTGGATTTTGTCAGGGGGGCTCGGGAGTTTCGGGACGACTTCAGGCATGACAAGAGCTGGAGGAGAGCGAAAAAGCAGCGGAAAGCCAGGGAGAAGGCGTATCAGGCCCACCACCTCTCAGATCTAAAAGCTTTGCCGGCAATGCGGCGTCGTTCACTATCCTTGTTAGCTGAAGGTATTGAGGCTCACCAGTCAGCCAAACGGGGTTCTAGGAGGCCACGGGGTTCCAGTAGGCCAGAATGCCGGCTACTCAGCCTCCCGGTCGAGCTTCGCATCTTGATTTGGGAGAACGTCATTACGGGGAATCACATTGGTCTCTATCGGGACAATGGGCGGCTCACACATGTCTTACTGGATCACTCGAACACAAGAACTCCCGGTGAGCTTCTTGCAATCACGCCGGAAAGTATCAGAAATGAAGTTGCGCGCCTTACTGAATATTCGGATGGTGTATCGAGCTGCCCGCCTCGAGGAACGAAGGCAAAACTGAGCCCTCTGCTCAAAACATGCCGCACTATGTTGGTACGAATATGCCGCCACTCAACTTTGTGCTGACATCCTTAGATACTGTGAGGCAATCGATCATTTGTATTCTGGGAACAACTTCGTTTGCCTCCAAAATCATACACTCAGGGACTTCCACAAGTCCGTTCTCCCCCGACGCTTTGCTCAAATCCGCTCGTTCCACTTGCATTGGCAGTGCAAAGAGTTATTTTACGGCCACGGAGGGTTCCCTGCCCCTTGGAACGACTGGACCTTTCGAAGCATTATCCGAGAGATCGGTGCCGATATACCACAACTAGAGAACTTGTCAATCTTCATACAAGGCCCGCTTGTCACGCAATACTCATATTGGTGCCTCTTGAAAGGCCTACGGGAAATCGTTGATCTAGCCTCTCCGAAGTTTTTCGTCGTCAGGTTCCCATGGCCGGAGAGGTATTTGCAGAGCTTTGGGACCCAGCTCAGCGAAATTGATGGATTGTTACGAGATCCAGCCCAGGTCCCTTTTCGAGTATGCCAACCGCATCTCCAGTCAGCACAGGACCCGCATGATATGGCAGATACAGATACTATCGACGATACTGGGTGGAGAGTAGGAGCGATATTTTCTCCGAGTGAAGGCGAGGAAGCAGGGTTCGTTATCACGAATTATGCTATATTCACCCCATTGTAATGTTTGAATTTGAATACCATGGCGGAAAGTGCGGGTTTATTTGGTCACACACCGTGCCGCTTCCCCCGCTCGCCAAGATGTTTCCGCCGTTGCTGCCTGCAGCGATATCAGCACTCTTCAATTTGTCAAATCCAAAGCCACCCGGACTCTCTGACTTTGTCGAACATTACTTGCGCAGTGATTGTCGCTTTGCTAGGTATTCTACTCGTCATGAATCTCTTAGACCGGCTGCGAGCATACCGGGACCAGATGAGACGCAACCTGACTCAGAAATCGGAAGAAAAGAATCGCGGCGCGCGAGAAAAGCTGTATATAGCTCCACACGGTTCTGAGTTGGACCCTCTACCGCTCGCTCAAACTCGCCCTCTAACACTGCTGGGAGAAACCGAACATGAGAAGCCTTCCACGTGCCTCGCTGAGCAATCGTCATGTAGTTTGCTTAGTTTACCAGCGGAAATCCGGAACCGGATTTGGGAATATACTATTACCGGGCGATGTATCGCCCTTTATCGGGATCGCGGTCGACTGACTCACGGTTTGCTTGACGGCTCCAACACACGTGCACCCGGAGATCTCGTCCCTATAACCCCGGAGAGTATCCGACATGAAGTCCTACGGCTCGCCAATTCTCTCCGTGATGACCGTTGGGATTTTCCGCCTCAGCCAAAACAAGCAAATCTCACAGCCCTACTTAAGACCTGCCGCAGCATGTAAGTGACCACCATAGCCAAAGTAGGTGTCTCACTAAACGCGTCCAGATACACCGAGACGATTGATCTTCTTTACTCTGGAAACATGTTTGCGTGCCTCCAAAATCAAGCACTGCTTGATCTCCACAGGTCGACGCTTCCGCATCGGTTTGCTAAAATTCGCGCCCTTCACATACATTGGCAATTTAAAGAAACGTCATGGACCCGACGTGGATTTGCTGCTCCGTGGGATGATCACACTTTTCTTTTTGCAAAGATGGCGATCGTCCCAAAATTGCCAGAGCTAGAGACCTTGTCAATCTTCTTTCAGGGGCCTTTGCTCCTGCAATTCGGATACGAACGTCTCTTGAGGGGCTTGCACCCTACTTCATCTTGGGCCGCTTCGCCGAAACTTTTCGTAGTGAGGTTTCCGTGGCCAGCATATAATGCGGGCATACGTTTCGACCGGCTAGGTCCAATCAACGAGCTCTTGGAAAACCCGGATCTCCCTTTCCAAGTATGCCAGCCGGCCCTACAGCCTGGTCAGGACCCATACGAAATGGCTGATCTAGATATGGTGGACGATACGGGTTGGAGAGTGGGTGCTATGTTCTCTTCGCCTTTGAACGGTGGGTCAGGGTTCGTCACCACTAGCTACGCGGTCTTTACATCTTTCTAGGTCCGAGCTCAAACATAGAAATGGATCAGTTCAATATGGTCTCGCGACCAATGTGTTACATTCTGAAGGTGGCGCTGCTATCCACACATCCCCCGCGACTGACAAGAAGGGATAGGAACATCGCATGACCGTGCAGACTAGCTCCAAGCTATGGGCCGAGCAGAGATCTGTCTTCTCCTTTAGAAGCACTCCCTTTGACTATAACACGTAGGAAGCGGCGCAAATCCGCGTCGGTCAATGAACTGGTCAACAAGGCCCCTGGAAGCTTCGAAGGCAACCACCTATAGGCCACGCTGTGCCTCCAACTAGCGTAGCTCGAGGATGTTGGAAATGAATGCATGCAAGGATCGGGAAGCCTCGCCACCAAACAGGCTCCATCCCAACATCCCGTTCTCACTCCCATTGTCCACAAGAAAACGAAAAAACCACATCGTTTGGTCTTCGGCTCACTTCTTGACATGAGCGGGGATATCTCATCTTTAGTCTCCTTTAGCAATCGGAGTAGAGCGTGGAGAAGAAAGGAGAAAGGAGAGCAGGATGTCGGTATTTATAAACACTTCCCCTAGACTTTACACCAACCGCTCACGCTCCATCCAGCTTCCCCCACTATCAATCTTGCGTCGCTAATGTCCGCCACCACCGCTGGCTCTCAAATCCAACCACCATACGCCCCCTGTCGCATTCCTCACATCCCCTCTTTTCAGTCCACGCAGTTTTGCCCCATGGCAGTGTGAACTTGGATCTTGATATATTATCCGCAACTGCTCAACCCTACCAACCCCAGAGCCCGGCAATATCTGTTGGTACTTTTGCCGTTTTAAGAAGCACTTTAATGCGCTATGATTTAACCCCCATTAATGGGGGAGCGGATCGTGAAAGGAAAGCGCAAGTAGAGCGTAGCCAGCAGGTATTAATACCCTAAACCTCCGATTTCGCCCTCTCATCACCTGGAGTTCTGGAATCACTATTCATCTTCATGACGGTGATGCCATCCACCACCACTATCATCCACTCAATGCTAACCCTCCTCGCACTCTCGATCCAGTCTATCCTTCCGTATCTGCGCAGTTCTCCCTCCAGGCACCCCATGCCTTGGTTTTGGCTGCCCTTTAGACTGCAGAGCTAACCAAGCGCAACATACGCCTGAGGACCGAGACATTTTAGACATGAGCCGGACAGTTGTCCATTTTAGCCCCAATGCAGTAAGTTACGTGAAGTAGCGAAGCAGCCGCAAGGAAGAGAAAAGGAGGGTACTTATACTCCTACGCCAATCCCCACGCTACCCTCAAACCACCCCACGCGGCTCTAGGGCAACCACCAACTCCCATAGCCGAAGTGCGCGACCCCTCTCCCCGTCCTTCTCTCCATCAGTCCCGGTCGAGGTGTTTTAGTGCCTTCCGTACGGCGCCATCTAAACCAGGCAAGAACCCAACAGCGTGGTGGGTTTCTGGTCGTGATTTTAGCCATGTTCATGCCGGCCCCTCTGTTTTTGTGCCCCGATGAGAGCAGTGTTGCGTAAAGAAGGAAGCCTGAAAAGAGCGGGGAAGGCGAGTTATATACCGCGCGCTCATCCCATCTCTCCCTCTTCCTTGATGCAAGCACACAACCATTCACTCACTCGCTCATCCCCAAAACACATGCCCACTATCCTCAAGGACAAAAGTCAAATAAGAGATAACCCAATCGTCGTCCATTGCTATGCTATCCTTCTTCGACGCGCCCAAAACCGCTAAACCCCACAAAAAGAAAAAGAGAAGGGGCGCCAAAGCTATGCATGTCCTCTAAGTATGTATGCAAGTGCAAACCAATCCAGTCCGTCTCATGCGGGGCCGTGTATAAACAAACACCACCCAACGCCCTTCCTTGCTCTCAATGTAAACAAACGAAAGGGGCTCTGTTTCGAAATCACACCCAGCGACTCCAATCCGTCCTCGCCCGATCCCTGCGTCCCCACCACCGAACATCATACTTGGATCCCTAATCCGCGACGCCGGCGCCTCTGCGCGAGGAGGCGGTGCTCAGTTCGCCACCACTCGTTTCCCTTCTGCGCCGCACGATTTGCAGTCTCGGCAATGGGGGACCATTCCCATTCGGCGTCTGGTTTTCCTCGCCCATGCCAGCCTGGCTTTGGCGACGCCGGCTAACAGCCTCGCTCAGGCGGCCCTGTCGCGCTTTCGGGAGGCGGGACTTTGCCGAGGCGTCTTTGTTGGCGTCTAGGCGAGAGGAAAGAGAGGAAGAAGTGTCGCGGGACGGCGGTCGACTACTGCCTGGTGTCCGTGAAGATATTGAGGATGACGATGAGGATGGAGGAACGCCAAGTGCTGCAAGAGCCGTTGAGGAACGTGCTAGAGATGCAGGCTTAGATCGGCTAGGTTCTTCCTGGAGATCCCAGATGCCAGCCGTAGATTGGCTTCGGGCTACACGCTCACGACTACTTCCGGCAAGCGTCGGTGTGGGCGGCAGAGGCGGTATAGCGAAGGCATTCTTGAGACTGGTTGGTGTGGGTGGGGTCATGCCGGTGGCAAGTGTCGAGCCGCTGCTTGAGCCCGATCCCGCACGTGTACCAGCACTAGATGCTGGGCGGCGGAAGCCGGAAGCGCGAGATGTGCTGCGTTTGCCGACTTCGTCGCAGGCGCAGACTAGCTCTTCGGCCATTTGACGGACGAGGATAGCCGGGTCGTGAGCTGAGAGGTGGAGAATGGTATCGTAGACGCCAAATCGCTTGATGAGCGTGCACTCATCCTCCGTGGCATCGCAGATGGTGCGCAGAATACGCAAGAGGTTCAGCCGGGTGACAGCATCCTTATGCCCGAGTTTCTGCACCGTGCGGGTGAAGATCTCGGGGACGGCGAGGGAAGCTGCGATAGGTGGAGAGAGGCGGACGAGCTTCTGCAAAGGCTCAAGCATGTTCTCGAAGGAGGACTGCGACAGTTCGGGGGAGGTGTAGGATGAGATGATGGCGGTGCTGAAGTTGGATGATAGCAGGTACTGCTCGACGCGAGCGGTTTCCTCTTGGAGCCTGGAACACTGTTAACGTCCATCGCCGACAACGTCGAATAGAGGTTGAGGGTGGGTACTAACCACACGAAGATAGCATCCAACGCCGTAACCTGCCAATTCCGATCCGCCAGCATATTGATATAAAACTGCAATCCCTTCGCATCCCATAGCATCTTGCGCGCTACCTTGCCGCTATGTGCGAGCTCGCACAATATCGGCAGCGCGAACTCCTTGAGCGGACCTCCGTCTTTGACCACCTCCTTCAGCAGGGGTATGACATCCGACAGCGCGGCCTCTTCCTGCCTGCTCTTGTTGTGCCGACATAGGTTATACATGGTGTTGAGCACCTGGTTGGAAATCTCGCGGGAGTTGCTCTGCTTTCGAGTAGTCTTAAGTAGCTCGATGAGGATGTCGATTGCGTTGGAGTTCTGGAGGGCTTCGTGTGTGGAGGAGAGCATCGAGAGGTTCTTTATAAATTTGAGCATAGTCACCTGGTGCACGGGCGACATCTTGCGGAGGTCTTTGAGGACGCCTGTGAATTGTCAGTAGCTGCAGTTTGGCAATAGAGGGAAACGCTTACGCTTCAGGATCATTCGATCCGCCACTAGATCTTTCACATGGCTCTCCGCCTGGGAAAAGATCAGAAAAATACTGACGATGCGCCCTTGGATAAGCTGCGACACCTCATCCATCTCATCCACCATCCTGTTCAATACCAACGACAGCGGGTATAATACAGAGCTGCGTGAGAATATGCGACAGAAATCGTTCTTCGGCGTTGGACCTTGTAGTTCGAAGACGTTCCACACGCCATTGACGCCAATGAGCACCAGGTCCCTCTCCGCATCTATGTCTTCTTCTAGGAACTCTACCAGGACGTTGATACCACCGCAGCCGATGAACATCTGCAACGTCAGCGTGCTCGTCTGGTACATCTGCCGCACGAAAGCAGCAGCCTCTTTGCGGATCTCGCTGGGGTATTTCTTGTATGCAAAATTACAAATGATAGGTATGCCGCCAAGGAAGGATAGCGACTCTTGCGATTCGGCGTCTTCGAGAATAATCAAGTTGATGATCTTTAACAGAGGTAATACGACGTCATTGGGGGGTACAGTGCTTAGGATCTCCAGGATAGGGAGCATGCCATGAGAGCGTAGGACAATGGAGCGTTTATCGGGCGACTCGAAGAGGACTTGCAGGAGCTGCTCGGCAATGTCGAGCAGGACGTCTTCAGGTTGACTCGTCTTCAAGCAACCAACGAGGTTCTCTGTCTGCTTTGCCAGGCGGTCATCGCGGTCACGGGCGACGTTGTTTTCAAGATTGATGTTTTCCAAGCCTTCGTCCATATTGGCAAAAGGATCAAGGTCGTCGTCATCCACGATCATCTAGCCGGTTAGTATAGCCGAGCACATGCGATTCTGGAACTTACAAATGACGAGGACATCTTGGATGTGATCATGGCCATGCTGTGCTCGGAGCCACTATCACTTTCCGCCTTGTTCGTCCTAATGTCGCCAAATACGTCCGAGAAGTCGTCTCGGTCATCCTCAGCGTACTTCTGAATCTCGATCTCAGATTGCGACCGCTGCATCTTTCGCGTCGATGTCGATGAAGCCGAGCGTTGCCGCACGTTCCCATTGACTTTCGTTTCTCGCGTTGACTTGGGCGCAGTCTTCAGGTCGGAAGGATGGAAGAGCTTGGGCGAGAATGACTCAGCTGGCGAACTTGAAGCTGCTTTGACCGACTTCTGCTGAGGTAGCATAGACGGATGCGCACCCTGCATTGCCCTCAACTTCTTTTCGAAAGCGCTCTCGTCCGCCGGCATCAGGTCTGAATAGTCCTCCACGGAGTTCTCGCGGAACATTTGTGAGGGCCGAGCAAGAGCGGCGACCTTGCTCTTAGGTAACTCCGATGCTCTTGGGACTCCACGCAGGAACGCGGTTTTAGGCTGGCCCTCGTGATGCTCCTCGGACGGCATCGATGCTGATGTCGACCGTGATGCTGACGCTCTTGCTTTCGTGGACGACTTTCCAGAGCCAGTGCCGCCAAAAGCAGCCGAGATGCCACGCAGATCCTGGAGGTTAAGTGGGCTCTTCACTGTGGCTTCACCATCCGAATTCGGCGCCTCCTCGGTAAGAGCATCGAAGCTCGCAAACGCCTTAAGCCTATCACCAGAGAAGAGTCCCCCAAAATTATCCTGCGGTTTGAGATGTGGCTGGTGAAATGCCCGCGGCGAAATGCTCTCCGCGAAATCATTATCCCAGTTGTCATCCTTGTCCACCTCTGGTGAGCGGAATAAGTCGGCATTGGGTCTGTGCTTAGGGATGTTGAGGTTAACGTTCACCGGAGACTTGCGTACAACAGCTGGGGCGCCAGCGGTTGAGGATGACGTATGTGGGATATCCCTCCTCGCACCAGACGCCAAACGGGAGCTTCGACGTAGCGTTTGCGAGTTGAGAGCTTCGTTCCATTCCTGCACGGACTTGACTGCTTCCCGGTATTCGGTGGGCTTCGTCGGCACGGGGGGGACTGTACGTTTCGCGCTCACGATCCACGGATGCTTGAGCAATCGTTTTGCGGAGATGCGCAGGGCGGGATTCTTTTGGAAGCATTCCATCAGGAACTCGCGGAGAAGCTGTGGCCGTTAGCGCAACATCGGGGCACGCAAACAAATGGCAGGTGCTTACCTGGGAAGCACTGCCTGGTATAGGCGGATGCTCGTCGTTGACGATCCGAAACAGCGCCTGCATGGGCTGCAGTTTGTGATACGGCGGCTTCCCCTCAATCAGCTCGATGACCGTACACCCGACGCTCCAGATATCCGAGGCTGTCGTCGCGCCAGAGAGCTCAATGACCTCAGGCGCCATCCAATACGGCGTTCCTACCACACTCGACTGATCCAGCCCCGACTGCTTTGTAGCCACACCGAAGTCGGCCAGCTTTACCAGCCCCTCCTTGGTTGTCAAGATGTTGGCGCCCTTGATGTCGCGGTGGATGACACCCTGCTCGTGCAGGTACAGCAGGCCGTGGAGGACCTGGGACATGTAGAGGGCGACGAGGTTTTCCGGAAACTTGCCGAAGTTCTTGCAGATGCTGTGCAACGACCCGTTCTCGCAGTACCTGCGAAATTAGCCCCGATTTTGCCATCAATTCCGGTTTGTATGGCGATGCACTTACTCCAGGATTATGTACAGACTCTCGGAGCTCTTGACGAAGCCGTGGTACTTGACGATGTTGGCATGGTTGAGGTTCTTGAGCAGGTCGATCTCCAGCATGATGGTCTTGAGGTCGGCCGCGCCCAGGTTCTCCAGCCGGACCTGCTTGATGGCTACCGTCTCGCCGGTGCCCCAGTTCAGGGCGCGGTACACGCTGCCAAAGGCGCCCTTGCCCAGACAGTCGCCCAGCTGGTAGTCTTTGAGGCCGACGACATCCTGCGCTGCCCGCTGTGCCGCCCCCTCCCTGCTCGGTCTGTCCTCACGGCCCGACGTGCGTGCGTTCGAAACGGACGAGGACGATGCCTTCTTTGCGTGGCCGGGCGTGTTGGCGCTCGAGGGCTGCTGGTGCTGCGGGCGCGCCTGCGAGTGTGCAGCTTTTGGGGGGTGCGAGACCATCTTTCCTCTAGCCCGTGAGGCACGCTGCAATCCCTTCAATCCAGCTCAATCCGGCCCAATTCCCGGGCCCCTATTGCGCTGTGGTGTCTCTCCGAGTGCGTCGTGCGGTCGTCTGCGGCGGCGGGTCGTCGGCTGGGGCATTGAGGGAGCAGGCGCCCGATCGCTCGCTCAATGGCCGCCGGGGTGTTATTTACTGTCCCGCGACTCAAAAGCGTCGGGCTGCGGGGTCCTTCGCGCCCAGGGCTGAGCTATAGCAATTATACGTGGGGATCCTGGCCGCACAACGGGCCTCGAGAGTGACGACCGGCGATTTGCGACAATCCTAGGCTCAAGCACGCGTCGCGTTGGGGCGAGTCCTGCGTCAAACCAGGCGGGGTAGCACGGCATGCGCGTCGAGTCCGGGGGCCGCGGGAGCGTTCAGAGTGAATAGGCGTATGCACGCCGTGGAAGGGTCAGGCTCGAGGCATGTCGCACAGTTGCGCGTGGCACAGGTGGCTAGTGTTGCTGATTCAGCACCTCTGACCAATCAGAACGCCGCCGAATATGCCATCTGGGTACACTCCAGGGCTTTCTAGCCCTCTGCATCGGCTTCAACATTTACAATATTATTGGCGAACCACAATTCTACCCGCCTCGACGCGTGCGAGACCATATGCGTTTCAGAATTTTAGATTGAACAGCTCCGCGGCCTGACGTAGCACGGTGTCACGTGCGCTGATCTCCCTTGACGCTAGGGTCAGGGTTCAACGCCTTTAGGCACAATTCGAAAACTCGAACCCTGAAAAGCACATCAGAATGTGATGCAGTGCTCATGTATTATGTATTATTAGATCCCGAAGGTGTGGATAATGCGGAGAAACGGAATGCGAGTCCGAACCACAGCCGTGGTGCACGTCAACCAAACAGGCAGGACCTCGCATGCCTGCCCTCGTGGAGACCACCAGGCTCGACCATCGCAGTATGTTTGCTATTTGGCAGACCTAGAGGTGTCCGAATCGGACTTGTCAAGAAAGAAGGACGTCCTTAGCGGGCTGAACTGCATCGGCTGCAGCGAGTATGCCCTCAACGTTCCGTCCGGGTTCCTTCCCTGTCTTCCCATCGTTTCATGAACAATCGCATCCGCGCACACCATGCTCTCCTCATCTGCTGTGCTCAGGCTAACAAGTCCGGGTCCATATCGGACTCGGTGGTAATCGTCCAATTGCAGTGTCTTCTTTGGCCGTTGGCCAAGCGTCTCGTAGGATTTCTTCGTTGGGATATGCCGTATAAGGCGTGGCTGTTCCACTGCTGGCACGGGGGGCATGTTTGACCGCCGCGACGAACGGAATCCGCTTGCGATAGCAGGACGCATGAAGAAAATCCTCTGGCACATTTGTCGAACAGCCGGTTTAAGAGTAGGCACGGTCGCGGCTACCAGATAGATGCCGGGCTCGATAATCGTCGTGATGCTCGTAGAGATGCAGAGGTACGTTGTGTCCTCGAAGATATCGGTTTTGACAAAAGCTACCAGCCGCAAGACCGAAGCGACGATGCCGCTATTGACGTTAGTCGCAACCCAGCGAGGCTATTGTAGTACTGACCAGGCAATGACGAGAAAGGTAAGAGCCACCGCAAGCTTCTCCCACACGCTTACTTTCAACCTCCACAAAGCTATTATAGGCACGACAAGTATGACAACATCTGTCGCAATGATCGGGATACCGTAGAGCCGAAAGGCCATCATGGGGTCCACGGTACAGTCCTCGAAGCGGAGGTCCCAGAACGAAGTTAAAGGCCGGCAATTGGTGAAGACAGCCAAAATTCCAAAGAGGCAAGCTCCAATGATTACGACCCCTGTTAGGTATAGAAGGTATCTTGCCACCTTCGCCGTAAAAAGTCTCAAGTACAGAGATAAGATAGCGAGTTTGGGGAAGGCAATCGCCACAGTGTAGGTGGCCTCATGCGCGGTCATGAGTTGAAGTGCGGTCCGAACGGTTTCCGGTTGTAAAGTGCTTGCATGATACCCCACTCCCCCGTTTGTTATCTTGACTGTCAACTTGTCAGCATCGGGTCATAGCTTGAAAATCGGCAGACCTACGTAGGCATATCACAACACCCGCAAAGGTGAATAGGTAGGTAAGCAGTATGAGCGCGTATACCCCCTTCGTGTTGTGACTGCTGCTGTCCCTATTGAGGTGCCACGAGAAGACAAACGCGATGATAAATGATGTCTCGAGGACTGCAAACGCAATGCAGACGTTCACCAAAGGCCGACCCGAGTACTCGGATGCATACTGCGAGTTCCCCGGTCGATGCCCGCTCATTCCGCAAGAACCTTCCTTTCCGTAAAAGTCAATCCAGAGGTGGTGGGAAGGCGAAAGGGATCATCCCAACAAAGAGATTAAGAAGACAATAACGCGAAGGCCGCTCTGTCTAGCTATGAGGAGCTGACAGTGGGGCAGTTGATTTCGTATGCGGACGGACGGCGTATCACAGAATTGAAGTATCCGAAGCCCCGCTTCGACTGGTGGTTGTGGCACAGTGCACGGGCTGTTCGCGGTGGATGGCACCCAGAGCTCGGGGGCCACGTGTCTCCCAATAGTCTCGAATTACAGTCTAAAGTCCAGATACGATCGCTAAATGTTCCAGATGTGCGGTGACAGTCGGTTCAAGTCTGCGTTCCATAGTTCTTAGCCATGTTCAAAGTTCTGGCATGAGGGTGCGGACATCGGCTGCGTACTAGTATGACATGGAGGACGTTCCCTCCGGAGATGTCTTGAAACACGGCGAATAGCTACTGATGTCCAGCCTCATTGGTTGCACTGTCTGCACGCCCCCACGAGATGGCACAAAATACGCCCAAGGGGCGGCTAGGGAACCGTCCGTATATGCCGCCAACGCTAGATTGGGTTTGGGCGATGCCTTGATCTAGTTCGAGCATGAGCCGGGAGTTGCTGTGCCGTTAATGGGGTTTCGATAGAGCAACATAACGGCATCAGATGATAATGTCGAAAGCGCCAATCGCGGGAGAATTGAGCTTGTGGCAATGTTAGGGTCGAGTATGCCGCCTGACATTAAGCTGTTTCCTCGTGTTGGATGATCCCATTGGATGATCCGCATACTCCTGAGTGTGGGGCTGAGGCGGCATAGCCAGCAAGGGCAGCGGCAAGCCATCGGTTCGGTCCGGGGCGTGATGTCAGCTTAGACTATTCGCGACTGGCGTAACTGAGAGTGCCGGATAACTAAGCGGCGATGTTGACGCCTCGTGTAGACCTATCATCTGCTGCATGCAGGCGAATGGGATCATGGGGTCCGGGTCATTTGGGGCCAGCCGGAAAAGCACACTGTACGACAGCACAAGATGGGGCGTAAACGCCTTGTGATCCATATCAATGTTTCCAATGCCGTGTTAAGTGGATCGCTCAGAGGACTGGAGCAACCTGCGAAATGCTACCCAACTTCGCAACCCTTTCGCAGGAAGGTCGGACGTGCCATTCGACAAAAGGGGTTGCCTAGGGCCAACATCCCAATGATCTAGTAATTATGAGCGCTCCGGGCTGCTGCATCAGCCCTTAGGCTGGGCATCGATGAGACACCTCTTCTGCTGTGGTGCGGCGTAGAACAGCAGAGGAGATAAGCGCCGAAGCCACGGACAATTTTGCCGCTGACAGAACGTTCTAGGTCGGTCAGTCGGCATCCTAAAGCGACCAAAGGGTTGGGAGAACCGTTCAAAATAGGGAGACAGACACTCAGAAGCGGTGGAGATGGAATTAGATGGAATTTGAGGTGCGAAGTCGGCGGTCGACGTCTGATGCGCGCCAAGACGCTTGGTCGGCCTAGTGCACTGACCAATCCACCGCTTGCATTACGTTTGTCTTTTTTGACCATTACCATCATCCCGGGGCTGTCCATCAAAATTCGGCATGGAGCCATCGAACATATGTGCTGTGGCGAGCCACTTCAGTTGTTGCTCGTTTTCGCTTCTCAACTCGCGTCGCACGCTTGCTCCCCCTTGCCAACATTCGAACGCCAGTAAGGTCAAGCTTGACGCGTTCCAACCCTTCCAGCGGCGGAGGGAGGTCCGGCCTAGTTTCTTTTTCATGAAAGTAGGTGCCAGAGCTATATGGGAGGTGCGAAGGGATGGTTGAATTGGGACCGTGAGTTCGATATGTTCTAATCTTATGTGCGCTTCTATTTTCATTTCGCCTTGAACACCTATCACCAATCTACAGGCACCCAGTCTCGCCGCAAAAGGTCCTGTCAATCACCTATTTCATCGACCAGCCACCACATTCAGTACACCACCGTCAACCGCAATAATCTCGCCGTTCACATACGTATTCTTTGTAAGGAACAGTACCGCCTGCGCCATCTCCTCATCACTTCCCGCCCTTGCCATCGGCACATGGCCCTTTTCCTGGATCGTCTCATCCGGCACATGGCTCTTCATTCGGTCGTCACTCTCTTTCGCGGTCATCTCCGACGGGAAGTACCCAGGCGCAATGCTGTTCACGCGAATCCGGATCTTCTGGAACTCGGCTGACATGAGCTTGGTGAGGTGGACGGTTCCGCCTTTGGCCGCATTGTAGCTGAAATGGCCCTGTGATTCTCGCATGATGCCCGACATAGAGGATATCACGATGACGGAGGCGGAGAGGTGGCCGTGCGTTTCGGTACCAGCTTGCAAGAGGGGGAGTAGGGCGACAACGGTGAAGTAGACGGAAGTTACGTCTGTGTTGAAAGTCTTGTTCCAGCCCTCGAAGGTTTCGTTGTTCCAGAGCTTTTCCTTGAGCGAGTGCGCCTCCTCAGAGTCGGGCTCGGCCCTTTCGCCGGATATGCCAGCCGCGGTTATAAGGAGGTTGATGTACTTTTCGCGGGAGGAAAGCTCTTCGCAGAGCTCGGCGAGATCCGATTTCTTGGTCACATCGCAGGGTCCCAGGCTGTTGGAGCGTAAGAGTATATTACGATGAGTGAGGTTGAAAGAGACACACGGGATGATTTGACCGCCCTGTGCAGGGTTGTGGGACTTCGCCGCCTTCTCCAATGCTTCCTTGCCTGCACTTAATTAGCTAGACTCCCTCTAGGAATGATGTTAGCTCCAAAACATACGTCGTCCGGTGATGTAGACCTTGGCGCCTGTGTAGGTCAGTATCCATTCAGGGACCAGTTCGAATGCGCTACTTAAGCGAAATATACCATTCGCAGCCAAAGCTTGAGCAGACATCAATCCAATGCCCGAACCGCCCCCAGTGATGACGCAAACGTAGTCTTTGACCGAGAATAGCTTCTCGACGCGAAGGTCGTGAGTGTCAGCCATGGTGGTGTTGGTTGGGGCAATCAGAGGTTATCAGGTCGCAAGAAGCAAAGTTTCTGTGGAGGAACAGCTTTTCAACTTTCCCATCCTTTCTTCCGTGTTTGCCGTTCTGAGGCCGATAGATTTGGCCTATGACGTACCAAGGCGGGAAGGCGCTAACATAAAGGCGGTATAGCGCGGGAATGCCATCTTGAGACTAGCGTCTTGAGCTAACCCTCAGGGAATTTCATATTCGCTGGACCTCACACTGCACTGCGACTCCTCGTCCTCCTTCGAGTCGTCATCTTTCCTTCCTTTCTTCTGCATTTTTGAGGGCTCAGCATTTTAAGGCGCATGGTCTGCTTTCCTCGTTCCTAATTGGCCCTTTCCTAGGCAGCCGCGGTCACGACGTCCTGCGGTGGCTCAGCGGCTAGCTCTGGAGTTGCCTAATACACGTGCAAGGCTGAAATCTCTGGCGGCGCTTGTTCTTGCACTTGCACTTCATCCTTTGCACTCGAGCCGGCCACTTCATGTCGTTCGACCGTCATTCACTGCATATGTCCTCGAGCGCGCTATAGCCATATTCACCCCGCATCCCGTGACCCGGTCACGCACTTCGGCCTGAACGACATATATTGGAGGCCTCGCTTTACCAAGTGAGGGCTTACCAGCAACCGAAATTGACTCCGCATAGCCGCCACCATCCGCCTACCAGGTTAATGGCGAACTCAAAGCATGGGGGCAACCCCACTTCAACGGAGGTAACCATCTACAGAGAGCCGCTGGACTCCCCCGGCGTTGTCCCGGTCCACCTCAAACGCGCAGCTACTTCCGAATACCCTCTCCTTGAGATATTCCAGCGCTTCCTCGTCCGACTACAACCGGGGAGTGACCTAGATAAGGTCTTGGCAGTGATCGCGCTCTACAAGGCTGCCGCGCCCGCTTGGAAGCATTTGAAGCAATTCTTCTGGTGGGCTTGCACGAGCCAGATCACAATTCCAGAATATGATCCGGTAGCTCGGGAAGTGCTGGGATGGATGTCGGCGAATGTGATGTAAGGGAGCCTGAGGCTGAAGTACTTCAGAGGACTACGCTGACCCTGCGTGCAGAAGTCATAGCACTACTACAAACGCTATGCTCATGACTGGCGGGCTTATGGATCCTAACGAGAACTATTACCGCCAGATGATGATGAATCGCGGGGGGCAGGTGGTCCAGCAGTCGGACGAAGCTCAGATTCTGCCGCCTATTGGCAAACGAATATTTTGGGTTGGCTTCCGTCCTTTCATGTTCTCACGCTCCGGTATTTCGAGTTCTAGGGGTGGACCGGCATCGAACGTCCTTGATAAGGAAGGCCAAGTGCAGAACGCAGTCATCCTCACTACTATCGGCTGGAATTTGCGGCCACTGCAGACGTTCATCAAGGAGTGCCATGACCACAAGATTAGAACAAGGACTGGGACTACCACCGTGTATTTCTCGACCGCTGGGGGTCCGGACCCGTACGGGACTGGCTGGTCTTCGGTCATCAAGGCTGTCCGGAAGCTTGATACTATTGACATGGATCCCGAAGTGAAGGCCGACTTGATCCGAGATGCGGAGTACTACTACAGCCAGGAATCTCGCCAGTTCTTTGCTGATTGTGGCATCCCTTATCGCCGCGGGTACCTCTTCTACGGGCCTCCAGGGACTGGTGAGTAGCGTCGCTGAATCACTTCAGGGTGACATTTGCTAACTCAAATTTCCAGGCAAGACAAGCTTCAGCGCAGCGTTGGCAGGTCACTTGAACTGCGATATCTATATGATCAACCTCGCTACAGGCGATATCAGCGACGGCCGGCTCCACCGCATGTTCTTGGCGCTCCCTCGGAAATGCGTCGTCGTGATCGAGGATATCGACTCCGCCGGCATAGGTCGCGAGCAGGGGCCATCGTCAGCGCCTCATCCAGCTCCTACGTTGCCTGAGGGACTCCCGCCCTTACCGCCTGGCATGACTTTGGCTCCTACGCAGCCACCGCGGAAGCGGAATCTGGTACGTCCTCGTGAGTCCCGTGGTAACAGCTTTATGTCTCAAGGGGTATTCAGAAAGCCACTGCTGGTGCTCTTCAATTAGTAAAGACTTGTGCTAATGTGTTTCGCAGGTTACCTTGAGCGGGCTTCTCAACGCGATCGACGGTAACGCGTCTCAAGAAGGCCGTCTGCTAATAATGACGTCAAACAACCCAGACGTGCTAGATGCAGCTCTAACTCGTCCCGGCCGTGTTGATAAGAAGGTCCATTTTGGCAATATGAGCCCTCGTGCCGCTCACGATATTTTCATGCGACTAATTGGACGCTCGGCGGTCGCGTCAGGCACCTACACCATCCCGCAGATCGAGGAATATGCAACTAAATTCACCGAGAAGATCCCTGCGGATACCTTCACGCCCGCCCAGATCCAGAACTTCTTGCAGGCCTGCCGAGGAGACCCCGAAAAGGCGTTGCGGGACGCTGATGCTTGGGTGACGGAAAGCTTGTCGAAGGATATCGAGAACGATGATGACAAGAATGGAGGCGAGGCACCGGTGGTTGATAGCCAGGCGACGACCGTGCTGGGGGACGGCTCTGATTCAAGCTCGTTCGTTAGCGAGGTGTAAGGTCTGACTGTGCATAAAAAGCGTTGAGGCCTTCTGGGGCTTCATGAGGGCCGGCGCAGAACAAGGTGGCTTCTGGCCAAAATGAGCACCACGAGATGGAAAACGACGACAGTCATGGAGAGAGGCTCTTAGTGCGTGCTCCGTATACCATTCGGTAACTGCATTGATTGTAGTATCAATTTCCTAATCGCCAGCACAAACCAAAAAATTTTGGGTAGCAAGAGGATCCGGTCCTTAGTTTCGCTTCACGTGACCGACGGAGCCCCCGATCTCCTTCAGGCACCCGCTCGTATATATAAACTCCTTTTCCCGTTCTTCTTCTTCTTTACCTTCGCCGCAATGGGAGCTCTAAAACCGCTGGAAGGGTCACTGGATGGAAGCCTTCCTTCTTGGAGAGCTCGATGACCAAAACTGGCCTTGTGGTTCGCTACATGGAAGGATACCGTTTCTCTCCTCTATCCAAGACCCGACCCAGTCAAGGTTTCAAATCCAGCCTTCGACGAACGAATGCTTCGGCAAGCAGGTGGGAACAAAAATCGCAGCTACCGAGGACGTGGCCCTTCTTATGCCAGGATCTAAACAGAAGCAAAAAGGAGTGGGATGTGTCCGAAAAGTACAGGTTGCGCACATTATGTGGCAAGCGGGAATTTAGCACACGAGCAATTCATGGGAGCACGAGCGTCGAGTGTCCTTCTAGCATATCAACACACCATCGTCGCCAGAATGGCCAAGTCAGATGACATCGGAACCTCACGAGAATGCATATAAATCCGTTGCCCTCTGGCGCTTTACTCTCTACAAACTTTCTCCCTTGGAAAGAACTAAAAACTCGGCAACCTCCGTCGGATATCGAAGACCAGCGCGAGTATGAGCATGACTAGAATGCAAAGCCGGCCTATCCATGGCTTGGGTTGCAATTCAGTTTCCCCGCTTGATGAGTCTAAACATGATTCTGTAGCCATACATGGGGTTCGGTCCCTACAGACTTCATAAGAGTCGAGCGGTACCAAAGCGCCCATAGTCAGGACTGGTGGTGGCGTTTGGGAGATTTCGAATCTCCATAATGTTCAGTTCCTCCGCCATTAGCAACTCGCTACGCCTCCACATGAACCTATTGACTGAAAGTCGAGAAATAACAAACCTGCAGTACAAGCGCAGACGCTCTTGCGGGAAATATGTATTTCCAAGGCCTCAGGGAGATCACTATATGGCTTGTTGTCTTCCTCCCATATGGCAGAAGGCAGGTTTTTATGGTACTAAAGCCAAACACAAAGCCAACGATGTGGAGCCCCAGTTTGACGCGCTCTTTCCATTGTGTGAGGGGTTCCGCCGTTACAGTCACCAGCAAATCCTTTGATGCCCGGGGAAGGACCAGCGTCTCAAAATGGATCGTGGTGCATTTCATAGAACTTTTCAGACCAGAATCATACATCGGTTTCATGCATGTGGGTACTCTGGCTCCCCCTTCCTAGTACAAATTCCGCCTCTTGCCCCAAAGTTGCAGTCCTTACAGCCCTCTGCGTCGTCAGCTAGCACTAAAAAGAAAAAGCGGCTTGGAAGATGTCTCGTGGAAAGCGAAGACTACTGGATCAAAATCACATAGAAATCGAAGATATGCGTCCTGTCTGGCTTGTAACAAGAGCTGCGGCCTCAGAATACATGATAGGCGAGAAGCTAGGCTGTTTGAGAGGGCTTTTCCGCGCAGCCATGGGATCACTTGCACTTGTAAGGAGCAGACTATGATCTCTCAAGATCGCACTGTTCTATTGCACCATATGTTCCACGACTAAAGGACTTTTGCCGTTTCCACGCTTAAAATCCGATGGCGTAGATGCTGGAAATTCAAAAGCGTCGTCTTTGGCTTTCTGCTCTTTCCCAAAACCCGATTCTAATGGGTGCATGGAAAGAGTGTTGAGTGCGACCCATATCGAAGAAGACATAAAATGTCTATCTCCTCTTCTTATGGCTTTCCGGCAAACGCAGTTCCAAGATCCAGTTACGGGGACGAGGGTAGAAGCTGGAACTCATCCCATGCTCCCTCTAGCATCCTCGTCTCTAAAATCCTCAGCGTCAAAAAAAGATGTTGCAGTCTCTGAATGATGTCACGGTGGCAACTCGAACTTACAGTCTCCAAAGCCAACAGCGCGGCGCCTTATGGGAAGACCTGTGTCCCAGCGGACCTGACACCAAAACCAGCCTACGACCTATTATGAGAAACTTGATCGGACGCACGAACACGCTCCGCACCATCTCCCGGGCAAACAAAAAAGTCCTGGACGGCAATGATGGGCACCAAAGACCAACACCCCGGAAGGCCATGTGGAGCATCTCCCAGCCCCTATAAATTGATTCCTTCAGCGGCCCCGACACTTCACCTTCGACGCAATACATTTCTCTAAAAGCAGGTCGTCGAGGTATGATGTGAAGTGCTTTCCTTTCTGCATCCATGACTCGGGCGAAAAACTACAAGGTTGCCTTGCGATGGCTGGCTAAAAACTTCTACCCACTTGTTTCATGTCCTCGTGGTTTAAAAGTCATCCCCAAAGCACCGATGGAGGAGACGGAGTGGTGAAAAGGCAGACGCCGTCAAAACATGTGTTTCTGGAGCCGGACCACTGTTCCCTCGGTTCCGCCTAACCCATCAACACCGCGATGATGTAGGCTTCCAGCAAATATTCCTCAACAAGCTAATATTCTCAACAAGAACGAATTTTAATGAGTTTAACGCTGGGAGCGGTCACGTTGCCCTGCTGCCTGTTGGGCATGGGTATTTTTCCGTGACCTCTGCCCTTCCTCCGCCCATCCACTCACGCTCCGGATCGACGCCTAGCATGTTAGCAACGCCACGAGCTACCCTACAGACGACGGAGCAGCAAGAGGCCAAGGAGCAGGCCAGGAACAGGCTGCTCGACATGGAGGAGCGAAGCCGCGAGCAAGGGGAGCACGGAGAAAAGGCGCTGCTTAGATAGCGAGCGCTGAAGCACTCTAGCCATTAAGCCAATCAAAAAGTTCTGCACGCCACACAGTCTTAAAAAGAACTGCTGACTCTGGAGCCGGACGTGCAGCAAAATTGATAGGCGGCAACTGCATATGCGAGCCAGGGGGATGCTGATAGTTCTCAGCGTAGCACGCGCTGAAGGAGTGCTGGCTGTGAGGGGGATGACGAAATAGTGGTGATGGTAAGCAGCAGAAAATGAAAAGAAAACAGAGGGCCAGCATTAAAGAAATGCACCCAGCTAATATCACAGTTTACGACTGCGGAGCTTCGATGTTTCTGTCAGCGCGACGCAAACAGCGCGTCACTCTTCCACTGACTGGTGTGGTGAGCATCTTCTACTGGCTTTGGTAACGGCCCGCCCAAGAGAAGCCTGAGACTTGTTAGCCTAGCGACGAGGGATGCGCGCGTGTCTGCTGTTTTCAAGATTGCCTTCTCGCATCCGACAGGCATCGTAGGGCTCACAGGAGCGTGCCGCTTCTCTTCGAGTGGGACGGTGATTGGATGGCGCCGAATGACTCGAGAATGAACGTCAATAATAATCCAAGGAAATCCGCTCAAACGAACGTTTCGCGACGGGGTACTGTCCACGAGGTGGACCGTGTTTCCGGTGAGGATCGAGAGAATTGATATTGAATGTGATGAGGCTTGCAGAGGGGGTGGCGGTGCTGTACCACACGAAATTCAATGCCTAATTCGCAGCCTTTCATATGGGCAACGCGCGCACTCGCTAAGATGCGGTACCACCAACAGTTTTGCCTATAATCATGGACTTTACTTCGAAAGTCTCATCGCTGTATGGACCCGGAACCTTCGGCTGCTGGCTCTGCGCGACACTCTCCGTCTTGATCTCATGGACTTGCAATCGGCTGAGCAAAGAGCGCGATACGATAACGAACGACTTCCTTGCCGCTTTGACGCTTCCTACTATCGCGGCTGTCCAATGCCTTTACCAAATCTCCATCATCGAAACGACGTCGGACGCTCAGACAGCCTTGGAGATCCTCGACACAACTCTGGCCATCACTGCTTGGTTTTCAGCATTCGGCGTCTGGATGTTCTTCATCTCTATGCTCTTTTTCAAAAGGAAGAGATGGTTCTGTACTGGATTGGTCAGCGCACTCTGCTCCATAACCCGACTTGTCGCTTTTGTACGAGAGGATTCCCGGCCCAAGCTCGCCGTAGTCCGTGGCGTGGACGAACTTTACTTTGTAGGATCTCTCGCTGTACTCATTCTGTACGCCGTGGATAAATTGGCAGACTGGAAAGACCTGAAAATTCGCAAAATTTGGTGCAAAGTGTCGTGGACATTCTTGTTACTGTCCCCCGCGATCGGGGCTCTGATGCTGACAGTCTATTTCCTTGGTTTTTGGGTGGATGCGGAGTTCTCCAAGGACGAGCATAGGTCGGGCGCCCAGGGCGTCTTCGCCTTCCCAAGGACGGGCTACTCACTTTCGGAGCTCGACCAGGCCGTCGCCTTGAGTGCCGGAGTTCTCACTCTCATCTTGAGCATCTGGGATGCTCTTGCCTCCTGGCGGCTCTCGCGATGGGAAAAGTACCGAGCATGGAGGGCGAATTGCGACAGGTATATGCAAGACGACGTATTTGAGGAAAGTGAGATCTCAGACTTGAAAAGAGAGCTCGATATATTGGATCAAGAGATGAGAGAGATATTGGATGCTCCTTCTCGCCCCGGAATGCGGGCTGTGATGAAACGATGGGAGCAAAAGACCTGAGAACAGATTGCTGCGAGCCTCCGGCAGGTCGGATTTCTCTGAGGTAGAGAAATGAAGAGTTCGTAGAGCTGAAAAGCAAGGATAAGCAGATGTGGCTTGCATCATCGCGTGTGGCTGTGTCGAGGCTGAGGCCTCAGCACGCTGCGATAAAAGACACCGCCATCAGCAGCATCGCACCCATTGCCCAATACTCACTTTCCTGCCAACTTAATCACCAATGCAGAATTCCACCACCCCATCCCCACTCCCCAGCACAATGGGAGACGGCGACGCATCCCCGCAAGTCTCCTCCCTCTACGGCCCGGGCGCCTACATCTGCTGGCTCAGCACCGTCCTCTCGGTGACCATATCCTGGCTGCTCAACCCCTCCAGCCGACAAAAAGACACCATAACGAACGACTTCATAGCGGCGGTCACGCTGCCCATCGTCGCAGCCCTGCACTCCTTCATCCAGTCCGCGCGAGACACAGACACGCAGAACGCGACCTCAAAAGCAACCCTCAGCATCTGCCGCGCATACTCCATCTTCGGGACCTACCTGCTGCTCATCGCGTGCGAGAAGGAGCGCAGCAAACGGCCCATTTGCGTGCTCTCAGTCGCGATGCTGTGCGTAGTCGCGCGGCTCGCCGCGCTCTTCAGCCCCGCGGTCACGTTCGACCCCATCGAGATGTACACGATCAGCTGGGAGATCGCACTCCTCGTCGCCGTGATCTTCCACCACCAGAAGGTGCAGCCGCGGCTGCATCTGTACCTCGTCCGGGCGGAGATCCGGGCGGGCGCGCAGACGTGGTGGATTCTGCTGTGTTGGAAGATGAGGCATGTTTTTGCGTTTGTGGGGAATGTGCCGATTCTGGGCGCGGTGCTGCTGAGTCTGTCTGTGTTGCCGTTTTTGCAGGGGAACTCGGTGAGGGGGGCTATTGTGCCGGTTACGCCGTACTCGGTGGCGGATCTGGATCAGGCGGTTGCGCTAGCTGCGGGGGTGATTACGCTGCTTATGGGGATTCGGGATGCGAGGAAGGCTAAAAGAGTTGAAAGTGGAGCACGAGATGAGTGAAGGCTGCTTGCGTAAGCTGGTGGGTGGTACTGCATTGCTGTTTCAGCCTTGCTGACTGCTGCCTTCCCGCGCATTTTGGCATCGGCTGAGCTTCGACACAAGCGTCAAAACTTCGGATCCGGAAGATACCCATCGAATTTCATCCTACTCCACAACAGAGTACGGACGATCCTCAAGACGGCACCGCCTGAGCATACGCCTGCTTATCAGCGCAAGCCCTGACACTCCCGCCATCAAGGGGTACCTTTCATGAGCAGGTGCAAGAGAAACTGGGAGAGTCGAAGGAGAACCGATGGCTTGAAAGAGCCCGAAGTGCTCCTGCAACGTTAGTGTACGGTCCAACGGTTGTGTAGCGGAGTATCACGGTACTCTGACTGCCATTCTGACGGGAGTGTATGGATGGTGGGTCCCCGTTCACAGATCAGCCATACTAGTTTACGGAGCTTGATCAGGCGTTTACGCTGGGAGCAGGCTGATCGCGTTGGGGTTTAGTGTCCGGGATGTCTGGAATGGAGGGGAAGGATGAGTTAAAGAGAACGCGATGGATTTTGAGTGGAGAGATTAGACCTCGACGCCTTCTAAAGTATCCCAATAAGAGAGCCTGCATAAATTTGAACGACCACACCTGCCATTACCAGCCCTTACCATACCTGCACTCACTCCAGCCAACCTCAAACGCTCGGCACCTCCACCTCTACTTCATACGTCTTTCCGGTCTCCACATTCTTAATAAACGGCTCCTCCAACGTCTTTCCATCACACACAATCTTAACTTCCTTCCCCTCTCCCCTCTTAACCTGCACCTCAAACGTGGCGCCCCTGAATGACCTCGTAACCTTCATCTCCTCCCACGCACTCGGCATCTGCGGTCTGACCCACAACCCCTCCTTATCACCTCTCAGTCCACAGAGCCCCTCAACCAGACACCTATATGCCCAGCTCACCGTCCCCGTATTGAACAGCTGGCTCGACCTACCCGCTGTGCGCGGATACAGTTTCCACCCTCCGCGGTAGTAGTTCGGGATATACACGGGGAGCTGCCCGCGCTGAATGCAGTCCTCCTCGCTTGGACCCGGAATCATCTGCCGGAGGATTGTATACGCGCGGTCGGATTGCGAGATGGTGTACAGAGCCCAAACATAGAAGGCGCCGGCGTGGTTATACACGCTGCCGTTCTCGCCCTGGCCCGGGTACTTCTGCGTGACACGGCCGACGTCCTCGCGCATTGACATATACGGCGGCGCGAACATGAGCACGCCATAGGGCGTACTAAGCTGCTCATCAACCTGCGGCAGCATCTTCGCAATCTGCTCGGTTGAGGCGGCGCCACCAAGAATGGACCACGCCTGCGGATTCAGCCAAATGCGACCTTCCTTATCCTGCTTAATGCCAAAGGACACCCCGCCGTCGGTGATACCGCGCGCGTACCAGTCGCCGTCCCAGAGATGCTTGTTCGCGCACTCGTTGACTTCCTTCGCGCCGTTGCGGTATTTGGCCGCGACGTCGGGTTTACCGCTTGCGTCGCAGACCGCAGCCCAGAGGTTGAGGGCGTAGGCGGTGGCCACGGTGAGCCAGCCCGAGACGCCGATGCCCTTGGGCCCGACCATGTTCATCGGGTCGCACCAGTCGCCTTGGGCGATGAAGCTGAGACCGCGGTGGTCGCGGGCGGAGAGCAACCAGTCCATGGCGCGGCTGAAGCGCTCGAAGACGGTATATGTGTCGCCGTGCATGCTGGTGATTTTCTCATCCAGAAGCGCGTAGTCCCCGGTCTCGCTGAGGTAGATCTCAAGCGCTACGGGAAGCCAGACGCAGTGGTCCGTGTGCGGGACTTGGTTGATATATTTCAACTCAGCACCTTCGGCTAGCAGGATACCATCCGGCATGGCACCCGTTTTCTCTTGCTGGGATACCGCTCTGAGGATGGCGTTGCGGGCTACTTCGGGCTTGATGAAGCTCATGCCCATGTTGTCTTGGAGGTAATTTCGCGTCTGCGGGTCCGTCGTAAGCCGATTCACGTCACCGTGGTAGTACATTTGACGCGGGAGCCAGTTGTTGACGAAGTTATCCAGGTCCCTGTCCGGGGTTTCGATCTTCAGGCATCCACTTCCTCTCTCGATGTACTCCTGGTAGTCCTTTGCAGCCTTGGCGAACGCTTCCTTGCTCAAGTACTTCTTCCGCATGTCGAGGATTTCCGCTTCGTCCAAAGCTGGACCGAAGAGAAAACGGTATGCTTTCTCCTCGTTCGCCTTCAGCGTGACACGATACTGTACAATCGCCGTCGGAGTCTCATAGCGAGCATCGCTATTGCTCAGCTGCGCCTCCTTTAGTGATGAAGGAGCATGCAAGCCGCCCTCGCCTTCAAACGCCTTCTGCTTCGCTTCCCATGACACCGGCTTCTCTTCGCAAAGGAAGTAGGACTTGTCCTTAAGGAACTTCGTCTTGGGATAATCCTCCGCTTTCTGATACGGGGTCTTACCGCTGCCAACGATGCCGCCAACCTTCTCATCCCATTCTGCTTCCTGACTCATCCAAGACATGTAGCCGAACGGAAAGTATGGATAAATGCTGAGTTTGCGCTCGCGGTTGGATAAGTTGGTCACTTTGATCGACCACAGCTCAGCGACGTCGTGGGTGGGAAGCAGGAAGGCCATCTCGACTCTAATATCGAGCTTCTCGACGGTCCATGAGATGTCGCTCTTGCCGACAGAAAAGGCGAAGCGGTCCAACTTGGCTCGGACGGGTTCAAACGGCGCGGAGAACAGTTCGCCTGTCTCCTCATCCTTGACGTAGACAAAGCGGCCGGGATGATGCGCGTAGTAATTCTGTTCGGGCTGCATGAAGGTCTTCATCTCGAGATTCGGCGCATTTGCGTACTTCGCGGGCTCGGGTTGCATGAACTGCGACGTGGCGTAGCCCCGACAGGTGACTTGGATCATCATCCTCTGATTCCACAGGAAGCCACCCGCCTTCGGCATGGCCGTAGGACTAGTGAGTTCATATCGATCGCCGTTATTCGTGGCTCGGAGCATGATGTATGTAGTCTAAAATGTTGAAGCAGCCTTGATGTTGCCCAAGAAGGACTGAGATGGCGCCAACATTTGGTTGGTTATACAGAAACGTCATGGCCGACATGGCACAACAGGAGGCTTAGCTTACTCAGAGTTTAGTAAACGTTACAGGATATCAGAAAGTGGACGGTGGTTCTCGCAAGAGGCGCAGCCTATGAGAATGGATTCTTGCCTTGCTGGATGACAGAAGAGCAATTGATAATTGAGAGATTGTCAGTGCCAATGCAGACTAGCGAAGGTCGTCGGTGGATTAGTTGAGCAGAGAATAACACTGCCGCATATAAAGAAAGGAGCTAGAGATAGATTCTCGACGAGGAAATGGCTGGGGGAAAATGCTGTGCTGAAAATCTACAAGACATTCTTATAAAGTCGGAGGCATAAGAAGCAAAAAGCCGCGTGGGGCTTAGCGAGTGGGGCGTAGCCTAGAAAGGGAATCGTCTAACGCGGCGACGGGTCTCCGGTCCGTCTAGCCTTTATTCGAGCAACGATGTCCTACCATTTCCATGCCGGCAATGGTACCTGCAGTTTCACAATAATCGGCAAATCCTCAAAAATGGCTCAATTCAACGCCGTCAGACCGCGAGGGGCCCTCTTGCACCTTTTAGACAGGTGTCCTACTCTTCACCGCTGTTGCGGGTTTACGTGCCATTGCAGGAGTAAGATTATCCCCCGTACCAGAAACCATGGTGTCCTCGACCGGGCCAAGTCCGAGTTTGGTTGTGGCTAAGCTTTCTAGGCATCTAGGCATGCGCTGCCCGCTTCCAGCCTCGAGAGTAGGAGGGGAACGACAATTTGGAGCAGCTTCTCTCAAAGTTCCGTAGTGCAATCCCGGAAGCAGACAAGGGGGAATCCAATGGTGCGCAACGAAGGATACAAGGGATGGCGAGGACCGGGGGCGGCGCGATAGGAGGACGGGTTCGACGGGACGGACCGCTAGGGAGGCCACATAGGCAATGTCCGAGCAGTCAGTCAAACATATTAGGCGACCGGATGGTCCTGAGCGCGCTCAGCTGGTTCTTGGCCACAGACCTCTTTCGAAAGAAGTGAGCGACGCTGACGTAGAGAGTAGGCGTTCGTTTATAGAATTGGGGGACTGTACTTACCACAGGTCGTGTTGAATGATGAACAAAGATTTGAGACACATCTATTGGAGGACACGCTCACTGCAGGAAGTAACGGCATCCAAGGACAAAAAGACGCAGGTATGTAGAAGGCCTAAACGAGCGCCAATCCCACCTATACCGCTCGCCCATCTCTGCCCACCCGGAAGAGCAGACAAAGAGGATGAGTAGCAGAGAAGGACGCCAGAGGGACTCCTGCTCCCCATTCAACAGTGGGCTACAGCCGCAACGCTTGTGCGAAGCCGGCTCCGCACGACACGGGCACTGAGGAGCTTGCTCTAGGGCGATGCCTTTGTCCAAAAGCCATTCACCGGGCCAGAGCCTGGGTGTTGGTTCGAGAACCGGCCTGATGGACCCACAGACGAAGTCCGAAGACGACGCCTGCGATTCGCCCGGGAAAAAGAGAGGTGGAAGAGTATGAAGGAAGGAGATCAATGAGAGAGTGCATGAGAGGCGAAATTCGCACGGTACGTGAAGAGTATTGGCAAAGCAGAACGACTTGAATGAGAATCCCGGAACGGCCTCCATGAAGGAGGGGTATCATACAGGGCAGTACAGCACCGCGTCCGTCCATGAGGCTAGTTATTCTGAAAGTGTTGTCGTAGGAGCGCCGTCTACTAGGTGAGGCCGTATCTACTCTTGTATCATTCTAGGAATATGAGCGACAGGACGATCCTCAAGTGGATGAGAGCTTACCAACGTAACGCCAGCCCCGGGTTTGCTGGTCGCGGCGAGTCAAATTCGGCAACATGTGCACGAGCCGCGCGAAAGCGCGGTAAGATATTTATTGTGAAGCACAGCATGCAGGCAACAAGGCGAGAAAAATATTGATGGTGACATGATGAAAGTGGGTGGGAGGAAAGAAGGTTTGAAAAGCAAAGTCGAAGGTTCACTAGCGCAATTCCTTGGCGCGCCTTGATCGGGACTAGCTCCGGCGACCAGATTTCCCTGCCGAAACCCAACACTGTACGCCGCAGCGCATACTGTGGATAACTGTGTCTGAAGACCTTCAGCACACAGTACGGGGCTTACTTGAATCGCGTATACACCCCCCTGGAGCCCTTCACAACATAATCGTATCCCATCGTTTCTTGCATCCTTCATGTCCCGCTGCTCCGTGCATCCACCAGCGCATTCCAAGGCTCTTCCTTAGATCTTTGAGCAAGCCACATGTCAAGGCGCATTTCAGCATGTCCCTCTGTGTCCCTCTCATTCTTCCTCTCTTCGCATTGTGCCCCGTATTCGCAGAAGTTCCTCGGTGCGCGTGGTGAGCTAGTCGAAGCGTGATCGATGTTGATGATTATGACCATTTTAGCGGTACTGTGGTGGATATTGTCTTGGTGCTATGAACACATGTTAGTGTGTTCGTGCATATAGGCTTGGATAGCTTCGATTTACCTTGACGGCGGTCATGTTGAGCTTCGAAATGCGAGCGAGAGTATCGGCTTGATGATAATCGTGGAGGAAAGGAAGCTGTTCTTCGCGTTGCGTCGATGTGTCGAAAGCCGGAAGCAGGAATGCGATGGTGGATGTGTCTGCGATGTGGTTGTTTCTCCGGTGCTGCAGTCCAGAAAGCCTGCTCATATACCTCTTGCGTACTGAAGGAAGAAGCAGATATGTTCACCTGAATCCTCCATCTCTTGCCCTCGACACGTCACCTGCTCAGATGCCTCAGGTGACGATAAGGTCCACCCAACCACATCACCACATCCTCTATGTTCGCCACCCATCGATAGACTAAACAAACGAAACGTTGGGAGACTAATGTTTCAGGTGAACCCCATGTCCGATTCAGGTATAGTCGTGATCTAAAAGGGAAGTGGTGCCTGACCGGTGAACGGACCCCTTCTTGTGTAACCATGAGACTATTACGAAAGGAGAAAGACCGGGAAGAGAGTGGCAAAAGAGAGAAACTACCTTTCCGGCGCCCGGCATCAGAAAGTTTTATTGTGGGGGTACAATTACAGAAGGGAGCCAGTCAATGGCTTCAAATTAAGGAAACAGAGAGAAATTACCATTACGTTCCGTCATTAGGGCACTCCAGGTGCATTACCGTATTCGCATAGCCAGTGCGCATCTTCTATCGTGCTTATACAGTAGGGAGAAGAAATTACACAAAAGAATGGTATTTGGGATCAAAAGCTTCGTTCATGGCCTCATAATCAAGGGTGCATACGCCAGTCGGCTGAACGTCATCTTCAACGATCGTACTTAGGAAACGGTTCAAAGTCTCCGTATCGTTCAGGAGATCTTGCAAGGTTGTGGATTGCTGCGGTCGTGTAGCATAATCTTTCGGCGGTACGGGCGGACGAGGGAGCTCTTTCCGAAGCAGCCCCTTATCATATGCTAGTCGTACTAACGCTTCTGCGCTCTGCTCGGGAGTATAAAATTCCAGGAGGTCTTGTAGTTGCGGATGAGGGTTGGCTTCTGGGTAGCCTTCAACGCGACCCGTAGTGTGTTGATTCCAGCCGAAGCGAGGGTTGAATCGCTGTTTGCTATAGAGGAGGTGATTCCAGTAGGGGAGGATCTCGGGTCGTTGAAGGAGCGCGAGGATCACATGCGAGTGCTTCCAGTTTGCCATCGTATCGCCATTCTTTTCGAAGTGCCAGCTGATGTGGTTGCACCGCTCGGTCCAGTCGCGATCGAAGCGGCAGCAGAAGCCACAGCCCCATCCTGTCCGCGAAATTCTTTTTTTCTTCGCCAACTCAGCGTGTTTTCTCTCAACGCAGATCTGGCATCGGTGACTCTTTTGGTGGTGATGGATGAAGTCCTTGTCCAGGAAGTAGATGTTAGGGCATAGACCGCATTCGTACATCTCCGTACGCTCCTGATATGTTTCCTCGTGCCTTTTCCAGTCATATTTCTCTCCAAAGCCTTCCTCGCAAGTCGTACACCAGTATCTTGGCTCCTTTGTGGATCGACGGGAGCGCTTCGTTCGCGATATGCAGGTAGCGAATGGTTCCTTCTCCGGAGTCGGCTGGCGCGGATGCGATAGTTTGGTGAGTGTGAATGGGGCTGGCTCCTCGACGGGTGTCGGAGGGTGTGAGTGTGGAACCGGAGAGTTGAAGTTGAGCGAGCCGTCAGCCTGAGCTACATGCTGATTCCCGAAGGGTTCGGATAAGTGCGACGTGGTGTTCGTCGAGGCCAAAGAATCTCTTGTTTGCCATTGCGAGAAAACGCTACCATCCGATGATCGAAATGCAGAAGAGCGGGAAGACTGGGTAGACGTGGACTGTTGCCGCCGGTGCGCATGCTGATTAGGGTTGTGGAAGTTCGTTGCCGGCCAATGTCTAGATAAATGAATCGGATATACTACAATAGCTGTCAGACAGTGCTTAGACCTTTGTCATTATAGTTGTGAAAGCGAGACGAGCTCACCTGTAGAATGCTGGTCGATCAAGGTAGGTTGGTCATGCGGAAAGTGCTGTTCCGGCTGCGCGCCGAAGTACGCGCCAGATAGCTCCATTTCGAAATGCATCTCCGCACCGGTTTCTCCTTCAATAATCGAAGAAGGGCAAGCGCCCGAACATGGACGCTCCATAAAGTCAAGGGATGTGCGAGCGGCTAAAATATAAGATTGGGAAGGGAGGTAAGGTATGCGAAGAAATCTTGCTGCCTCAGCAAGAAACAATTAACATCCCTTCCAGTCCTTCAAAAAACCCTTGCGGCTGAGGAAGAAAGCTGCCTTAGGCAAAGGTAAGCACACATCTTCACCTGAAACGTAGATCGCACGAACGCGTGCGTTTTGTGGCAGCGTTTCGTTTCAAAACGTAGGCCCCAGCCAGTGGAAAGACGGCTGCCCAGCCGCGGAATGCTGCGCCGACGCCACGGGTTTCCGTCTGCTGATAGAAGGCAAGCAGGCGGACGCCATTGTGTAAAATTTGCTGCTGCAGGGTTATTGTTAGTGGTCAATGACGGGAGCGGCGCTGGCTGGTGGATTGTGGTTCGAGGCGAGTAGGCTGAAACTGGGATGCGAGAAGGCTGCATTTCGCCAAGGAATCAGCGGGATTATGTCACCAGAAGCACGTGACCATGCTATTCATCGAGGTGTGCAAAAGACCGAAGTCTGGTCTCTAAAGAATCCTTGCTTTTATGTCCTCTCTACTCCCACCGAAAAGACGTCCCCAAAACTCCCTTCTAAACCTCCGGGTGGTACAGCTCCAGCGGCAGCGAGGCCACGGACAGTCGTCGGCGCAGCTCCCGCTCCTCGCACTCCATGGCTGCCATCTGGGTCTCTCGCTCCTCCTTGGCGGCCTTGATGTCTTGGAGGGCCTTGTCCAGGCCGAACTGGATACCCTCCTCGAGGGTGTTCTCGAAGTCCCTGGCTGACTGCTTGGCGGCGGCGATGTCGGCTTGCTCCTTGCGGAGGACGAAGAGACGACTGTCGTGGATGATGGCGAGTCGGAGGATGATGACGGCTCCTTCGGCGGTGGCGATCAGCGGGAGGTCGAGCCTTGCGGCGTACCAACGGATCTCGTCCATTTCTGGATGTCGGTGATCGTCGACTTGCGGAGGGGGGTGGCTTCGGGTTAGGAGAGGTCGGAGAGCTGGTCTTGTAGATAGGATAGGCTGGTGTACTTCAAGTGATTGAGCAGAGGTTGAGTGTTCAGGCGACGCGATCCGCGAGCGTGACCGAGTCGATGGTGACGGCGATGGTGTTGGTGTAAGCAGAAATTTGGAGTCGGATCACACTGAGATTGACTTCACCATGAGCCTAGCAATGCACCCTCGAGCCCGCGCACGGACAGTGAAGAGAGGTTGTGAAGCACCTAGCACCTTACCCCCCTTGGCTCATTGAGCGCGATGTATCTTTGATGTACGCCGCGCATCCTCCCAACACCAAAGGCGAGAACAATCTCAGGAGCATCCGTTGACAGGGGAGGATCTTGTGGAGTATATTAGCTGTAGACTCGACTCCATGCTGTCTTCTCTTGCACCTTATCTTCTTGCGCTCGCATAGGAAGGCGTGCTGGAAGTCTCTCCTTAAGGTCCACTAGCTCGTGCAATGCGCCCCGTACATCTACCCCGACGGCGAAGGTAGGCCGGAGGAGCCTGTTCCAAGCCGCGGGGCATCCGAGGAAGAGTATGAAGATGATGACTGGTCTCCGCGTTGCCTGCACATGTTGTTCCTCTTCTCTCCCTCACGGCGCGCAGGAGGAGCGCTCGACGTCGTCCGCTAGTTTGCCCCCGGCTGAGTTGCTCCGCCCATCCCCCCCGACGACGAAGGTGATAGCATGTCCAAGAACATCCTCAATCGATTGAGAACGCCGACAAGGACTATACCAACGTTCGACGACTCCATAAGCATCCTCACGTCCCTAGTCCTGCCGCTGTCAGAATGTGCGGCGTGAGACTCAGGAGCGCTCACATCGCCCCACCCCACCCGGCTCACTCGCACATCCGCATCAACGCCGCAGGTGAGAACAGAGAGGTACAACTTCTAAAGATCGAGGACGTTGACGAGGAGTATACTGACATTCAGCGCGACTCCATAAGCCTCTTCATACCGCTGATCCTGCTGCCGTCTTGAGGGGGGGCGTGCTCGACGCCGCTTGCTAACTCACAAAAGGAAGCCGCGCGGCGCCCCGACACATGCCCGAACCCGAACTACTCTTCCTCACACCGTCCCCTCGAGACCACCTCACCCGGCCAGAGGTGCAATTGAAAACGGGTCATACCAGTGGAAGGCTACAACGAGGACAACAGGGACATCCGCGGAGCCATGAGGATCGGATCCGGTCTCGGGGGCCGCTGCACATCGCGAGCGACGCAAGGAGCAAAATTGCACTCTCCGCTCTGGTCCTTCGAGAACAGGACGCAGGATGCCTCAGAGACTTCTGACGACAACGGCTACGACGGGGGTATTCCGGAACGAACTACATGGATGCTCGATCCGCCGCGCTTACCATGCGCGGTATGGGCCATGGCGTTGACGCCCAGCTGTGTGGAAGCGACAAAGTCAACCGCTGCGCCTACCGCACAACGACCGGCTTCGAGGACAGGCCAACCCGTCCGAGCGCAAGTACAACGGCGGGTACGTCCTCGTACCAGCCATGGTGGATAATCGAGCCGCAAGACTGCGACGGCATCATCTGCTGTGGGTGCCGCTAATACTTGCCGACTTCGAGTACAGGGTCACCTCTGTTCCGGAAATCATTACACCGGCAAACACATCCTCGAGCAAGCACGACGCATAGTCGAGTCAGACACAGGGACAGCGCCAACCCCGGCGCACACCGCACATAACGTTCGATGTCGATGGCTGGCAAACTCTGTTCCGGGGACTTAGGATAGCGGCGACCGCACTGTCGAACACAAGCATCGTCAAAATTCCCTCACCACCGCAACGTCCGGTAAGGTGGTCGGCACAGGCGACATGGGCAGAATGCATCGGCATCAGCTTCGGTTGCACTCAGGACACAAGGCGAAGGGCAGGGTGAAGCGGCGACCATCCGCTCGAGGCACCGTCCTGGAATCCGAATGGGTCTTGGGACCTCACACCTTCGTCGACTATGACCTTGTTCGACAATGGCGCCCGAGATATGGACACTTTGAATTGCAGCGATCGACCGACGATGATTGCCATGTCGCCCTGCCTGGGATGGGATCAAGCGAGTTGGACAAGTAACGCCGGTCAAGGGCGAAGATCGAGTCCTGCGGGAAAGGAAAAGCTCATGCTGTCGCATGAAGGGCACCTGTCTGCTTGAACAAAGCCGGAATCGACAATAGGAAAGGCGGAAGTTGTGGCCCTTCCCAAACAACCACATGGCCAAGAGAATCGAGACAAGATGCAGACGACCGGCATCTCATGGCGACGAGAGATTGCCTACCTCCTCCTCAATGACCTCCCCGCAATTCGATCGCAGCTGACCGGATAATGGTGCTCAATGAACGAGCAGGATCATTCGACTGACATCGCGTACACCTCAAAAGAGAGGGCGGCCTGGGAGAAGACCACCAAATACTGAGGGCGGCATAACCTGGAAAGATGCGGGGCGAGCACACGCAGCGGATGCGTCCGGAATACCCACTCTTCGTCGTTCTTGTCATCCACGAACGCCCTGATCATCCCATCTCTTTTCAAACAAGCCCCAGTGACCAAAGATCCCTCTGCCAAGAAGCATGCTTCCAAGAGACTTGACTGGCATATCCGTCAGTTGTTGACCGGTGCGGATGAGAGGCTTTTCTCTCTCGGCCATGCTCGGAAGATGGCAAAAGCATTGCCAGCTGCCATCGATTTATTATTATTGAACCGGATTCAGGCCCCGGAAACGACGCGCCTGTTAAAGAAGCATAACACATTCTCGCATCCAAGGCCTGCGAGAATGAAGAGTGTGGCTCCGCTCTCCCTGCGAACAGTTTGGAAGGGAATGTTGCGGAGAGTCTGTGGCCAGAAACTGTCGCCTGTCGAGGGCGAGGCAGACAAGCTCGTGATCTCCGAGAAGCTCGTGTTCTTCTGAGCCTCGCCCATTGGCCCTTGATTTGACGAGAAGCATAGAAGGATGAATATGATTTATACATCCCTCATGAGCGCGGCCTGCCTTGCTGCTTGGATCGGATCAGACGGGTTTCAGCCGCAGGTTACAGAGACCATATCAATCCCCTTGAGATCAAGATGCCGGAGCATGCAAACGCTTCCTCGAATGTACCTCTGATCTCACAAGGCGAATGATTCTCCTAGGTTGGGTCAATCTATTGACGTTGGATCGTGTCGACCGCCCAACGTGAGTCGCAGTCGTCTTCTCGAAGCAACCAGCATACCGTACAAGGGTTGCCCGCATTCAACATGTATACCGGTTGCTCGACTATCTCTTTCTTTCTCGTCAACGAACAGGTGGTATCTGGAGACGGCGTCTCCGGCGAACACCGTACATATATCAGCACGTCGACAGCTGCGGGATGGGCAAGAGCTCCTCCAATCGGTCCGCAACAACGGAATGGTGGTCCTCCCACGAATCGATGCGGCTGCGAAGATGCTTGTTCCAGTTGCGAATGTCCTGCAGCTTCTGGTCTACGAGCGCGGATCGGACTTCTTCAAGCGATCCGGCTGAATGCGTAGCGCCATTGGCGTCGAAGGTTTTGATGATCCCATGATGTACCTTCATCTCGACATGAATGCCATCGAACGGCTGGAGATTGACTGTGAATTGCGGCGTCTGCGACCACATCCAGTCCTCGGTCTGCGGCAGTCAGCATCCATATCGTCGTGAACTTCGATCAATTACGAACCCGAAGCTCATCGTACCCCCTTCTGATGTCGGGAATGTTCAAATGCTCCTCGCCCAGGGTTTGCACAGCTGAGTGTTTGCCAGCGCCGCCGCTATACATTGCCGCAAATTCTTCCTGCAGGCGCTTCTGGAATAGGGTCATGTCCAGCCCTATGTTGCCAACAGGTGAGCTAACGCTCTCGACGCCCTTGGCCTGTATGTGCTTCTTCGCGGGCGACCGGAGGTATTGCGGAATGATGTGCAAGTTCGGAGATGCGAGCAGGGTCGTCGCATGATGCAGCGCTCGCGCCCGCGTCAGCTTGTATGCGGAGCCGGATACCTTCAAAGGCCTAGACCCGCCTTCGTGGACGGTATACGGCGTGCGATGTGTGTCGTTGGGTTCGGCGCTGCGCTTCGTGTGTCCCTGGTCCAGCACGATGTCGTGCCGCTCGTTGACCCTGGCCCGGTCGACGCCCAGCTTCCGCAAAGCGCGAACGGCCATTTCCGCATGCTTATCCCGTGTAAAGTCTCCGCGGGGGCATGTAATGCTCCAATTGAGGTTTCCTTCATCGTGGAAGACGGCCCCACCGCCAGAGCGACGTCGCACGAGGTGTACATCGCCAATAGCAGGCGGCTCGGTGTCCTTCGCGGCTCGGCCCCCGTGCGTTGCCGCGTCGAGCATGCACAGATTCACCTCCGTCCACGGGTTCTGATTCCTGCCGATGACGATGCAGGGTCGGTTCGTGTAAAGGAAAAGGACGGTCGAGTCGGGCGGAGAGTTCCGTAAGATGTAGTCCTCGATCGAAAGGTTGAGGTAGGGGTCTCTGCTGCGTGAGAGGTAGCTCTGAAATTTGTTGCCGGGGTCTGCAAGCCGCTCCGCAAAAGACGAGAAGGACCGCCTAGCGAGAGCCATGTTGCCGCGAGGGTCGGTGGATGTTGCAAAGATGCTGCGGAGCTGCGGAAGACCGAGACCTCTCGACGGAGCCATGTTGCGGTGGACGCACTGCGTTGGGCGTTGTGTGGCGGGTGTGGAAGAGAGCCGGGGAGCGTTTGAGGCGCGAGCTCATAGCTCCCCACGCCGGCTCTGGAAATGGTTTGGCGGCACGTCAGGCATCCCCTGTGCGAGAGGCTAAGCGTCAGACGTCAACATCCATCCTGCACGCCAGAATGCACCCACATGCGCCGCATGCTATGGGGAAGTCTTGCCAACTCATGGCTTTGGAACCTTGTTAGGCATTTGAGGAGATGCAGCGAGCCGGAAAAGTGTCCGTGCCCGAGAACCGCATTCAGGAGACCCCAATCCAGGAGACCCTAAACACATCTTCCCTTCGCTGCTTCCACCGGAGCTCTACTTCAGGCCATTAGGAGCCGTGTACTAGGGGATAGGAGGATGCTTCGTGAAATGCTGTGCTGCAACCCTGAAGAGGGACACCGACGCCGAAGCGTCTCAAGCCCGTCTGCCCTCAGCACATGTGCTAGAAGACGAGGACCCGCCGTCACATCCAAGGAGCTTTCCTTCTGGCCTCCCGTGTCCTATGCTATGATGAATCGTAGCGTGATCCACCACGGTCCGCTACGTCCATGCTGCCTCGGAGCGGTAAGTCGGTCTACTATAGTCTCCACTCGCCTACATCCTTAAGGAAAGAACGAACTCAACCCACACCAGACAAAATATTCACGCCTCACGCACACACTTCAGGGCGAATTAAACCCTTGTATATATATCTGCTATTCTGGGACCATCATCATTCAAGTCAACCTAGCGCAGTGGTCAAGCGTCCAACTTCGACAATAACGCCTATGCTAACAAGTGTTACAGGTCGGCAGGGGAGGGTTCGAGTGGGGGGTTGGATAAACGGTTGGGTATATTTAAAGCAACTCGAAGTTGGGACCTTGCTGACCTAAAAATCAATATATATAGGCGGCACAATAATGTTTAATGTCTAATCGTAAGTACAATCCTCCCGATCACTGCGCTGGGTTGGCTTGACCTTTCTTTTTGCGCTTTTTTTTGGTGCTGGCCGGGGTCACAACGAAAGGGGAAGGAAGGCAGGGGCATGAAGGGCTTCAACAAGACTTTTCCATCTTGGGGAGTTGCAGAGCGAAAGAGCTAGGGAACAGGTTCAAGACCATTAGGGAGATTGCATCTATGAGGATCTCGCGGCCGCTACCCAAATAACTCCGCCGTCCATCAGCACCTCGAAGCTGCCCGTTGCCGGCGTGATCCGGATCACCAACCTTTAGAACCAGAGTGGGGAGGCACGATTCCGAACATGGTCCCGGCCGAATTCCTTGAAGATCTTCCCCTGTGGCGCGCAAGAGATATGAGATACGAGGAATAGCATCGGCACCCTCCTTCCCAATCTTCACGATGTGGACGCTGAGCGAATCGACCGATGGCACGCGTTGTATCTCCCATCCCACCGAGTGCTTCATCAAACCCGTGCTGCTATCATTTCGACTCCGACGCAGCCCGGAGTCGCTTTCATTAACGCCCCCGCGATATCGGCGGTCGTCAAAGCGCGAGCGCGCCGACGCGTTGGGTTAGCCATCAGTCACAGACTAATTTGCTCTGATTCCACACAGAGACAACCAGCCCAGCAGATGCGTCTCGCTCCCACTTATGCTTCCAGTACGCCGAAATAGCGCTAGTACATAAGTTCGATTGAACATGGCACAGCGACGTTCACGTATCTCGATGACCAGCGAGCTTCGGCAAAGTTTACCACAGTGATCGCCCACTCCTCAGGTGATCGGTCTGGATTTCACGCATACCTCGCCATTAGAGGTTCAACGGATGCACGCATCGAGAGGTCGCTGGTCTTCCATGCACGGTATAGACTGGCAATATCACTAGACAGATTGGCCACATCGCAGGGTCTTCCTGGACAACATATCTCTGTTCCGAACTCGCGAGAAAGCGTAGGATTTTGCGAAGTTTTATATCCTGGGGACTGTCAGGGGCTCGTGCCAGATCTAACATCGAACACGCTGACTTCAAAGAATAGCGCTCGCGAGCTGATCGGCCTCGGGATGCCGCGACATCTTGTCAATGTTTGAGCACCCCTCTCTTACCCGCCTTCACCTCAGAACTCCGGGTGACGGCAAATGCTCCACCAAATTCCACATCCCAATTACCTCCACACTTCGGAAATAGGTATATCGAGGAAATACAGCTCCTCTACAAGGTCTTCAAACCTCCAAATCCTTGGTGGATATAATCCTATTAATCCGCCAACTCAGACATCAATCAAAACTCAAACGTCAATTGGCGCAGCGGTCACATCTCCACAACCTTTCGGGTGATACAGATTGCTAACGGGTTCGAGTAGTGCTCTCTCCAAGTCTATTCGGCCTTTTAAGCAACTAATTTTCATCTACTAGGTTCTGAGGGGGGTGTTGACACGCAGTATGCCGACCGGCCGGCGAAGTCCGGGGGTGGGTGGGCTGAGGGTGTTGTAAGATGTAGCCAGTTGGGGAGTGTTGTTGTAAGAAGCCAGTTTGGGGAGTGTTGTAAGAAGACGCAAGTGGTGGGTGGGAGGGAAAAATCGCATTACATCGTTTCGTAAGGTACGTTCAAATTCCGACCGCTGCGCCAACACGACGTTTGAGTTCTTTTTTTGCTAATTTTTTGCATCCTATTGGATGGGTAGGAAATGCTAAGCGCCCGTAGTTCTTACTTGGAGTGCAAATTCTGGCGAAAGAGAGAGAACTCCTTATGCGCCGCTGCTTTGGAGCGGGTTCTCCTAGGCAGCGACTGCCACGTGAACGGTTTACGGACGGCGGCCTAAAGGTACGTTCATCTTACCATTACCACAGCCGCATTAAAAAGTATGGCACTTAACCCCCTATTACTCAGACTTTGCTAAACTTCAGCATGAATCGACCCACTGGCTACGGGCCAGTTGATGCAGCCACCAGCTCCGGCCACTCATAGCGCTAACGAACCTCACGAAGATGGAATGCGGGTAGGATATAAAACCCGTCTCTGCAATGGTATCCTCAGCATTTCCTTTGCGAAGATTATCGGCCGAACCATTGGCTTGACGATGACGATCGAGCGGCCCGCGAAGGAAAGCCGCGCCGGTTCCACCTATGCGAAGAAGACTCGCAGACCGGCATCGTTGATCCTATAGCGCTCTCCTACCCTCAACGCCCTGTGCTATTGAATGGGTTAATGTTCGACTGAGGGATATCCATGCCTATTCCGGCAATGTTCCCGTTGGGTTACGACGCGCGTACGTGACATTGCGAAAATATCCTCCTGGATTCCGCTTCGATGCATATTCAAACTCCCGTTTTAAGACAGCTGAGCACCCTACGTCCTATGTAGGTGGAGCTGCATAGCAGTTCCCCCCTGCGAAATGGTTGGAGATCATGTGGGAATGCCACGAGCTCAATCTTCGAAGAACGCCTAAGAGCGACGCAGCCAGGCTCTCGAGCATACCCCTTCGCAAAGGTGCACGACAGCAGAGCAAAATGTTATCAGTAGCTCTCCTTGCGCTTCTCCCTCCGGCCATGGTATGATTAGGAAGCTGGGCGTTTGGATCCTTATCGCCGCTTTCATCGCCGTCGTCCCATCGATGCGGCGATTCCCAACGGTGGCCAACCTCATCAAGGTCTATTTGTATTATGTTCAGGAAGCTGGCGGGTCTTTCCGAGTATCGGCGACGTGAGCCTGAGTCCCCGAAGCTTGAGGATGCCTCCCAGTTTCATCGTTACCCATCTTGGTGGCTACCATTGCGCCGTCCCGACATGCACCTAAATGCACAGCGACTCAGCGCTATATACAGCACAACGCCACTCCGGCATCTTTCGGAAAGTAATTCCTTCCTGGTCAGATATAGACTGACATGTGTTGGCTTAGTGTTGTTGCTATCCTGCCGTCAATCAGGACTCGACCGAAGTGTACCAAGTCTCACGGAGGAGTGCAAATGCATCGTCAAAGCAACGAACACCCTTCAGCAACCCCGCAACGTCGCAAACTGACCTGACACACCAGTTTCCCGTCTCGATAGCAACCGAGCCGCCTGTCCTTTACCCCGCCATAGCCTTCGCTGGCATCCCACGCCGACAAGGCGAAATTTCGACCAGAAAAGGATTTACGAGAAGGTCGTGGTTATAAGCTAGTTATTCTGAAAGTAGGTAACAATTCAAACAAGGCTCGCCGGATGTCAAAGTGGTTCGCTCGCGTTCCTTCCCATCGTCACGATATTTCGATGAGAACACAGCGCTAATTCGAACCCGATAGGTATCATAAATCAGGCTGACTTAGGCAGGGACTGGGTGCACTCACCCTGGTACTAACGTCCATTAGGGAGAACGCATGGTCGAAACGTTTCGAGGACTGTCAGCTGGCACAAGCCCAGACTATACACGAGCGTTGGTACGTTATCATCCTCTATCACTAACATCACAACTTCCTAGAGCGAACCACGATGACATCCAGCCTACACATTATAAGCCTTCAAATTTTTTTTGGAACTTTTTTTTTTCTTTTGGACAAGGCAATGATAAGAAAGAGTACCAGGAAGTAGACAAGGCTGGCTACCGTTACTGCATTACCTTCTTCCTAAGGTTACTTTTTACAGGCTTTCTACGCCTCTACAAAGCTTCCTCTAAGGCAAGCATACAGCTTACAAGCCCCGCAATCTCTATCCCACGCCCAACTTTGCACTGCAGCTGCGGAACGCCACCCTGCACAGCTCCCTGCGTTCATCCAAGGGTGCCAGTTTTCCTAGCAGCTGCATGAGAGACCTAATGCCCTCTGCGAGGTTGCGCGGGGCATCTTTGGCGCTCGCTAGGTTGCTTTGTCAGCGCACTCGCGATAGGGCCCTTGGTGTTGCAATTTCCCTCCGGCCGCGAGCTCCGCCCGCCTTCTCCTCAACCACCCCACCACCACCTTAACATGCAAGCTGGCTATTCTCCTCTCAGTCGCCCCTCTCAGTATGCTCGTCTCCTCTCTCTGCTTGCTCGTCGCAGGCCAGCTCTAGTCAGGCCTGTGCGAGAGCCTCACGCCACGCCGCCCGCATCGGCCGCACAGCCGGTCGACATCTTCGTGGTCCAGACGCTCCCTCCGCCGCCGTGCGAGGTTATCGCGGAGCTGGTGCCGTAGGAACATCGCCGTTGTCGGGAGGAGGGTCGCACGGAGTACTTGCGGGCGTTGTAGGATGTCGCTTAGAGCGCTGAGCTCCTAGGTCTCCGCCGCTTTGGCGCCAACATTGGCGTCTGTATAGCCGTCCAGCTGTACGTACGTGCTCCCCGGCCTGCATTTGCGCTCTATGGGCTTCATTTAGAGAAGCTGGCTGACATTGCGCGTAGAAGCATGCGAGATCAAGATTGGCCGTTGCCGGTCGGCGCCCTCTCTAGCCCATTTTCCAGAAACAGTTACAACAACGGTAACAATACAGAAGGACTTCATGGTAGGTTTACCTCTTGAGCTATCAACATCGACATTAACAATTTCACGCAGTTTGGAATCTATAGCTTGTACTGTACTCCTCTCCTACTGCGCCTTAGTCCGCCTTCTGAGGCCCTCAAAGTACATCAAGATCAGCTATATCCTCTCCGTTCAACCTCTTATACAGACACTCGACAGCTCGAAAGTCTAGAATTTCGCCGGCAACGAGCTACCACAGCAATTTTTCGACATCAGAATAAGCTTTTCGGTTCGTGGTATTGGTGGTTCGCCTGATGCAATTTGATGTCGTCTGACTCGGTTCCCCACATTCCGCCCGCGTCGGAACACGATGGACGCATGACAGCACGACATAGGCGAACACTAAACCTCACGTCTTACACCGACATTATGGCAGCCAATAGGTTGCAGGAAGGTCTTCGGGTGGCGATGCGGACGGCTGGCGATCCTGGGTCTCAACGAGCTGTTCGGTAAGCTAGTTCCGGTAGATGTCCCAATACTTATACTTGAGCAGCATACTAGCCGAAATTCTCCGCTCAAGTTAAAAGGAAAATAATTGACACGGCTCTGTAGGGCTGAGCGTCTAGCATGGCAAACACGAACGGCCACACAGAGCCAAATGGGAGCGAGCCGCTGCCCATCGTGGTAGCAGGAGGTGGCTGCGTAGGCCTCTTCCTCGCGCTCCTCCTAACGCAGTCCTCCATACCGAACCGGATCATTGTAAGCTCTTTCCCCTCCCAGCGTTTGCTCCACCTAATACTACCCGCAGGTCATCGAGCCATCTCCTCCCGACCCGCACTCTACCCGCGCCATGGCCCACCAACCCATCATCTTCCCCTTTTTCGCGCGCGCCGGCCTTATGCCTGAACTCTCGCGCATCGGCCAATTCTCTTCCGGCTTGTGTTTCCGAACGAGCGTCAAGAACGGGTCGAAGTTGATTGCCGGGAAGCAGTTCAAAGAGGGCGAGAAGGCGCAGTTGTCACTACCTCAAGGGAGATTTCAAGAGCTATTGGTCCAAAAGATTAAGGAGACGGAGAAAGCCGAGATACAGCTGGGATGGCAGGTGGTTGGGTTTAAGGAGGGGGAGAAAAGCGTGGGCGTGAAAGTCGAACAAGAAAGCGGAAAGCAAGAAACAATCGAGGCGGTCTATCTGGTCGGCGCCGATGGTGCGAAATCGACTGTCCGGAAGCTCCTCGGCGTATCCCTCGACGGCGAAACGCTTCCCACGCAGCTCGTCGCGACCGACATCAAATACGATTTCCACGCGCACGGCTTCTACGACGCGAACTTCATCATCGACCCCGAGAATTACGGTCTGATTGGCCGAATAGATGATGAGGGGTTGTGGAGAGTGAGCTATGGCGTCCCGATCGACACGCCAGAAGCGGAGATACGCAAGGGTCTGCCTTTGAAAATGGAGAAGATGCTGCCAGGAGAGGAGGGGAAGAAACAATACGAGGTGAAGAGGGTGGCGCCATATAAGGCGCAGCAGAGATGTGCGGAGACGTTTTGGAAGGGAAGGGTGGGATTGTGCGGGGATGCTGCGCATCGTAAGTAGATCTCGGCAGCACGAAGACACTTGCTTGCTAAAACCCAGGGCGTATTGAACCAGGCTAACATAACACACAGTGACAAACCCCTACGCCGGCCTTGGCCTCGCTTCTGGCATTGCTGACGCGTCATCCCTCGCCGACGTCCTAGTCCGTGTCCTCTCTCACGAGTCCCCGGATCCTACCAAGCTCCTATCCTCGTGGTCCGATGCCCGGCGGCAAAAGTTCTTGACCGTTGTGGACAAGCCGTCACGCATGGCCTATGCACGAGTGCACACAAAGGTCGACACGGAAGGAGAGATCAGCGCGTTGCTGCAGAAAGATCCTTTAGTGGGTGCGCTGAAGAAGGGCATGCCGATGATGCCACCGAGTTTGGAGACGCAAGGGGAGACATTGGATGGATGGTGACGGATCGTGGAACTTTACAGAATCGTACAGTATATAACATAAGAACACCTCGGTGGTAAGAAAACAATGAGCCTATTGCTCTCAGAAGACATTCGACCCCCTAATGAAAGCACTCTAAACCTGGCAGTACAAGCTATGCCCCATTTAGCTACTAGCTCAACGAGACCACGTCGACTCTTACGACCAGATCGCATACCCGGGTCCTTCGGAGTGCCAGCCTTCCTTCTGAGCTGCTTCCCCACATTTCTTATGCCAGTCAACCCAATTCCTCAGGTTCTGCGCGGATTCATACCTAGTCGCTCCAGGCATCTCGCAAAAGAATTCGCTATCGGAACCTTCTTTATCCGACTTGAACACCACGCTCGCAGTTCCATTCCCTGTCGTCTCGATAGACGCCTTGCAATTCTTCAGATTATGGTAAACACCCGTAAAATATTCTTTGGCGCCAATTAGTTCAAATGTCTTCCCAAAGCGAGCTCCATGTTGGCGAACACTTACTCACGTCGTCCCGGAAAGCGATCAACCACTTCGCCTCCTTCTCTAGCTGCGCTAATAACTTTTTGTGCATAGTGCATTCGTTCTGGACGCTGCCCGACGCGACGAGGGTGAACTGGACTCCGGGCCAAACGCCATTCATGTAGATCCAGCCCTGGGCTGCCCGCCCCTCGCGTGTGCGGTTAGGTGCGATATTGAGTGTGATTTGGCCCTCTTTCAGGCCGCAGGTCTGGACCAGGCGTTCGATGGCATCTATCTTCCGTCAGCTATGTAATGTAGAACCCTTGCGATGGCCGACTACCTTCGAGTTCCTGTCGTTGCTGTGTTGCAGCGGGATCTTCTTGGGAATTCGTAAGATCGAATATGTTAGTCGAAGCCATTGCGATAGCTAAGTTGTACCCTGTGGGTAAGAATCCGGGATGTGTGTGCTGAACAAAAGTTCTGAAAGTGTTGTATAGAAGAAGAAAGCGGTTGTGTATAAATATCGCTGTTTAAATACTGCGCAGTGACTCTTATGCTCCGTGACTCGCAAGGGTGCGACTGACTCCTTGTGCAAGGTGGACAACTTCAGCTGCGCCGTTTCGACCTACTGGACGGCGCCGAGTGTTCTACACGTTTTCTATGAGTCCAGCATTTGCGCTTCAGAACTGTCTTTTTAGTGGCCTGTCGGTGCATCTATGCTTCGATTGTGGCGTCAAGTTATTCAGTTCTGAGTTTGCAGACAAACCAGGCCGCACAGGAGGAAGAAGAATAGAGCATATTAGTGGCGTTTTCGAAATGTGAGGATACTTACGCCGCACGCGGACTCTCGGAGCGAGGGAGTCAGGGATATGGGACTCTTCAGCGACCATAGAGTCATTGCGGAATATATGCCCAGGCCGCTCTAAGCACCTCCCCGTTTCTCTTTCCTTCCGCAACCCAGTCCTAATTCCATGTCGATAGATCATTCTTAGAAGTGAACCTGCAAACCCGTCAATTCGATCACAGCATCCCGCAGACACAGAAATATCTCCTCAGGTCCGGATTCCTACGCAGCAAGCCCCTCCATTTCCGCACTCGGCTGAGCCGGGTCCTCCAACCCCAGAATGAGCTGGCTCCGGCGCCTGACGGGCGCGGCTACGCATGCTTGCCAACGGGCAATCCAGCGAGATACAGACACTAGGAAACAGCAGTTAGAAAGTACACCGCCTATGTCCTACATCAAACTCTCGCCAGCTCTAACACATAAGCCAGAAGCAATCAAAGCACTTCGCAAGTCGGCCAAGCTTCGGGGCGACCAGATAACCTATGAAGTGAAATGGCACGCAGACATTCAGCGAGCATCCGGCACCTTACGCATGAAGGAAATTTGGCGCGGAGGATGGAGACTACATGATCACGACTTCGGAGTGTTCAAGGGAAGCGAGGAGGAAGTGTACGAAGCGCTTCTGAATGCTGTGAATAGTGAGAGGGAGTGGATGAAAACTATGCATCGCGCAGTGCGTAAGTGCTACACGCTCTCGCTCAGGAATCTCATTAAGGAGAATGCAGGAAAAAGTAAGAAAATTTGGCCGGAGATGAAGCATGTGAGCGGAATATTAGAGGATGAAGGGAATGGTAGTTTCAAGGCTGCGATTAGAGCTGATCAAAGCGCTTCGGAGTACCGTACTCTGTTCAGGACACGGGCAGGGTCGAAGTACGAGGTCATTCAACTCTTGAGTTCGCAAATAGAAGAGCACGCGAAGGTGGAGGGAGTGTAGAACAGGGCTGGTTGTGCTTGCGTATGTCGGAGTCATGATCTGCGGGTGTCGAGTCATGAGAGGCTGATTCATAGCTACATTGCACTTCTTGTGGAATACTCAATGAAGGTTTCAAATCACTGCCTGAGCTATACCCAACGGTTTTGTACTATAGAACGTTATTTTGCACGACACCGTCTAGAACGACGATGCTTCAGTATGTACGGGACATACCTCCCACGCAGATATGTATGCGCCACAGGCAGACATGCTCGACAATTGGGGCGCCGATAATGAGTTCGCATGCTGGTAGGGGTCAGCGCTCAAGAATGAAGTTGATCCGGCTTAGCGACGATGGACATCGGCGTTCGTACGGCACGTTACAGCGTGTCTTTCCGAGATAATAATCTAGTCATGAATCCGACGATTCCATCCTCTCATCTGAAAATATCCTCTAAATGTGCGCTAGTTGACGAGTGTCCTTCCTGTTGGGGAGGTTTGCCACCTTGGCCTAGCGTGTAGCGAGGCAGCGAAGTCGGAAGACTCGAAAACCAAAGGAGAGGTAGATGAGGGAGACAGCCGTGAAGAAAAGAGGCTTGTAGTATTCCATGTGATAGAAATTGGACGCCATAAACAGTTCAAGCCTTGCAAGAGACCAAAAGACAGAGAGACAGGACTGGAATCAGATGTTGAAGATTGTCACTTGCCCCGCTGAGTTTCCGTGACGCTGGTGCCGAGATCCGAGCTAGATGCGCCTCCGCTCCAGGGCTAAGACTCTTAACCAGACCAGTCAGAATAATCATAATAACAGAAGACTGACATGATGCTTGAAAGACCTCTCCCGTAAAGCTGCTTGGCGTGCTATTCTTAGAGCCAAGATGGTCCGCAAGAGGATGAGTACCGTGAAGAATGCGAGTGGCGGTTGCCCGATCCGTAGCTACGAGATATTGAAGGCGTTGGAGTCGAGCATACGCTCTTGATGCATGCGACGAAGCTGTGAATAGTGAGTGGTGGTTGGCGCTCGGCGAGGTCCCATACCCATGTCGTCGACCAGAACGGCGGTTGTGGCTCGTGCATATGTGGCTAGTAAAGCGCCGCCGGCTGCCGAACCAAACGGACACGAAGTGCCAAGTCGAAACATCAACTGCCAAAGAGACACGCAATTGCCTTGGCCGTGGTCCCGCTGACTCCAGCCCTTTAAACCCCATGCTTCCGCTGCTTCTGGCTCGTCGGTAACCGCACGCTGTGATCATGTCGGCCCCTGCGACTTCAGACCCGCTGAAAGAACCCGGTACGTACAGCTTCCAGACAGGCGGGCACATACAACGTGGGCGGGGGAGGGGTGACGGAGGAATATGATCAGTGTACGCTGACCGGGATGAGCAGGCGCTACTTCCAAATCGAAAAAGAAGAAGAACAAGAAGAAGGGCGGAGGTGGTGGAGCGCCGAAGGCGGAAGAACTTGTGAATGTGAATGGGACCCATGAGAAGCAAGAGGAGCAGGATGACGAGCCTGAAGAGGAAGAAGAGCAGAAAGTATGGCATCCTTTCCATCTGCCAGCTCGCCGGGATAGAGCAGTTCTCGGAACAAAAGAATTGACCGTGTCCAGGAACCGGCCACGCAATCAAACGAGCCGGACGAGGTCGAAGACGAAGAACAGCCCCTCTCTCCGACCAACGCACAAACGAACGGAACGAAGTCACATTCCATATCCTCCGCCGTAGCACTAGGGCTCTCGAGATCCCGCTCACAACAAGGCTTATCGCCCTCCCCGCCCCCGCCTTCGGACACAAGCGCACGGCTCGATGCTATCGCGAAGGAACGAGATGCTCTGCGGCAGGAGGTGACGGAGTTGCGGAAGAGCCTGGAGAGCATAAAGGAGAAGCATGAGGAGGAAATAAGCAATTTGCAGAGCGAACTGGAGGAGACGAACGAGAGCAAGGAGCACTTCGAATCACAATACAAGAATCTCCTAGGGAGAGTGAATACCATCAAGACCTCCCTTGGGGATCGTTTGAAGGCCGACGCAGCGAAAATCGAGGAGTACCAGAATCAGGTCTCCGAGCTCGAGGATCAAAACCGCGAACTTCAGGAGAACAACAAGGCGTTAACAGAGGAGCTTGATGAGGTACGGAAAGAGAGCGAGACCCAAGCGGCAGAGGTTGCAACCCTTCGTGGTCGAGCGAACCTGTCCCAGCAGAATTGGATTAAAGAGCGGGACGAACTTATCTCAAGAGAAGCGTATGCCAAAGAAGAGTTTGAGAACGCGAAGCAGGCGATGCAAGACTGGGAGGTCCTCGCGATGAATGAGCGTTCGTTACGAGAGAACCTTGCAGAGAAGGAGGGGGAGTTGAGAGAGCAGCTAGAGTCACTACGCGAGGCCTACGAGAAGGCTGCACGAGACCGTGACACCAACAGCGAGGCTGTGGAAGGTCTACAAAAGGCCCTGCAACAGGTGCAAGACCGTAAGTCATTCTCTATGACCTTTGCATTCTCGTGGGACTAACATGTGAAAGTGCGAAAATCCGAGCTTCGGAAAAACGTAGAGAATTATGAATCGCAGATCGATGAGCTACGGAAACAAGTGCAAGCTGCTGAGGAGGCTGCCTCATCATCCAAGGCTACGCTCGAAGCTACACAGAAGGAGCTGGAAAGGGCGCTACCCTTTGAGAAAGAAGTCAAAGAGAAGAATCTCCTCATCGGCAAGCTAAGACACGAAGCCGTGACGCTCAACGAACATCTCACCAAAGCCCTCCGGATACTGAAGAAAGGGCGGCCAGAGGATAATGTAGACCGACAGATTGTCACAAACTACTTTCTACATTTTCTTTCCATCGACCGGTCGGACCCAAAGAAGTTCGAGGCATTGCAGCTCATTTCTGCGCTCTTGGGCTGGACTGATGGTACGTTCTTTAACAATCCAACGTGAACATCATTAATGCCTCCCAGAACAACGCGAACAAGCTGGTCTCGCTCGTCCCGGCGCCTCGAATACCAGTCTCCGTATCCCTATGTCGCCCTTCCGACGCACGCCTTCCACTCCCTCGCTCAATAACGCCGACCCTATGCTCATGCCGAGCAGTTCGGCTAACAAAGAGTCGTTAGCAGAGCTATGGCAGGACTTCCTCCAGCGAGAAGCAGGCGAAGGCTCCCGAAGAGGCAGCGAAGCCACTTCCCCGCCCCCCAGGAGCGATACTGGTAGCGGCTTAGGGATTAGCGAGAAGTGAGGATGAGGAAGACTGAACAGGACAGCATTTTCGAGAGCACCTTCTTGTATTTCTATAGGATACTTTTTTTGGGTTGCATGAGATGGGTAAACGGTTGACGCAAGGCATGATGTTCGCTTGCGGCGGAGCAGATATTGGGCGTTTTGGCGTTCCGAGCACTTCGAGCGATATGCATGGCAGCATACTAGATTTGCCTGAATGGATATGATACACTTCTTTCGATAATCCGCCCTCTATTGTTACAGTAGTCCATGTCCAGTCCATGGCCCAGGACCCCGATGCCCTTAGATATGGTGCAGGATCGTCCAACTTATCCAATCCGTCTTTTCCAGACTACCGCGTCTTCCACTCGGTATGCGTCAAGATAGGCTTAACCTCTCTCGGATCCGGCTCTGATATGTGCTTCCTCTTCGCCTCGTCACGGGCCTCGCGTGCCAACTGCTTCTCTTGCTTCTTGGTGGGCTTCCGTATTGACCACCATTTATCGCCGAAGATGTTGGTTTTGATCGCTAGAGCGCGTGTCAGGGCAATGCTTCCAATGTCTTGTAATCACATACCATCAACACAGTAGGGACACAGGAGGTGCGCCCGCTTTATCCTCCCGCACCCTGAGCATCGGTTCAATGACGTGAGGTCCTTCAATCCCTTGCCGGCCATGAAGCGCTGCCGCTTCTTGCGATAGGATGTCTTCTTCTTCGGCACCGCCTTGAGAATGCCTTCCCATATGTCCGATAGTGAGGGTATCGATGGCAGCGAGAGAGAAGGTATGGCGAGCGCGGCGAAGGGTGTGGGCAGCGTCCGGAAAGGCTGCGAGAGACGCTGGAGGAGCGGTAGGTTCAGGACGGGCCGGGCTGGGCCATTGAGGGCGGGCAGCAGCGTCTGCCACAGCGGCGGCAGCAGGCGGGCGAGCGCCATTGCGAGTGACTGTAGAGGAAGTGCGCCCTGTTGAGTGGTCGAACGGCCTGTCACAGTCTCTGGCGGGTCGTGCCCAGGTGGTGTTGAGAAAATGCACCCGTGGACCCCAGTCGCAAGCTCCCTCGCGCCTAGCCGAAACCCCCCTAGCGCGCTTTCCTTCGCTTCGTGGCTGCCCCTTTCCGCGCAGCAACACCACGAGAAAGTCCACGACCGTCGCCCTGACTATTTGTACACATCGCCCGCCGTCCCACCGCCCTCTCCATCGCCCCAATCCCCCGACAGCCTTCCTCGCACCTATTCCCGGCCCCGAGGCTCGCATCGCCCGCAATGGCTGCCACGTACGGACACCACCAGGGCCCCGTCTACCCTGAGAGCTATGTCGGTTTCGACAGCATCACCAAGCAGATCGAGAAGAAGCTCGTGAAGCGCGGTTTCCAGTTCAACATCATCTGCGTCGGTACGTTTTCTTCCCTTTAACACTGTCTCTGCAAGGCAGTGCGAGTGTATGCGCGAATGCTGCGTCTAACATGCCATGCAGGCCAGACAGGTCTCGGCAAGTCAACGCTCATCAACACCATCTTCGCCTCGCATCTCATGGACAGCAAGGGCCGCATGATGCCCGACGAGCCCATCCGCCAGACGACCGAAATCCAGACCGTCTCGCACACCATCGAGGAGAACGGCGTGCGTCTGCGGCTCAACATTGTCGACACGCCCGGCTATGGGGACCTGATCAACAACGAGCGCTGCTGGGACCCCATCGTCAAGTACATCAAGGACCAGCACAGCGCCTACCTGCGCAAGGAGCTGACCGCCCAGCGCGAGCGCTACCTGCAGGACACGCGCATCCACTGCTGCCTCTTCTTCATCCAGCCCTCGGGCCACGGCCTCAAGCCCATCGACATCGTCGTGCTGAAGAAGCTGAGCGAGTTTGTCAATGTCGTCCCCGTCATTGCCAAGAGTGATAGCTTGACGCTGGAGGAGCGCGCGGCGTTCAAGGAGCGGATAAAGGAGGAGTTTGCCTTCCACAACCTGCGCATGTACCCGTACGACAATGAAGAGCACGACCAGGAGGAGGTTGCCCTGAATACGTCGATCAAGGTATACATACGTTCAATGGGGTAACAGTATTAGGCTGACATATCACAGGGCATTCTCCCCTTCGCAGTCGTCGGCTCGGAGAAGACCATTCTCGTCAACGGCAAACAGGTCCGTGGTCGCCAGAACCGCTGGGGTATCATCAACGGTAGGCCATCACCACCCCGCATAACCTTTTTATTCTAACGATCCACAGTCGAGGACGAGAACCACTGCGAATTCGTCTACCTTCGCAACTTCCTCACGCGCACCCATCTGCAAGACCTGATCGAGACGACCTCGCAGATCCACTACGAGTCCTTCCGCGCCAAGCAGCTGCTCGCGCTCAAGGAGAGCTCCGCAGTCGGCGGCCACGGCTCCCGGCCCATCTCGCCATCCGCAGACCGCGAGCTCAGCCGGAACAGCCAACGGATGACCATGAACGGGTATTAGGAGTTCCCGGCTCATAGTCGGGTCGACAGCGTTGGAGCTAAGCCCGTGGGTCCACCTCCGCGCATGGACAGGGTGGTCAGCCCAATCATTGACGCTGTCTGAGGCACAAGGGCAGAGGGAAATGAGCAACGCTATGGTGAAAACGGAGAGTTGCGGTATGATACCATTTGCAGTACTTAGCACGAACGGAGTGCGGAACCGTTGGGGGTTGGCAGAGTATACTTTCTACGCTCACACCACACCACTTACACCCTTTTTCTTGAATATTCTTTTAGTGTCTGAAAGCTTCTTCACTTCGGAATCTTTCTTATGTCTTCAGCGCTGGTGTGTGGGGGTGGTTTGGGCTTGTATGATACTCGGGCTTATAACTGGTTATACCTGGGTTCTTTTGTTCTAGGATAGGATAGTGCAGTGGAGATAGTAGTGGAGTGGTAATTCGACCAAAAATGAGCCCGATATATTTCTATCTCACTCTCTCTTCGAGACTACTTTCAAAGGCTTTGATCCATCCCGACGGCTTACTCATGCTTCACCGCGCCTTCCTTCAGGACTACGCATCAGACCATTCCGCAACGGCATCGTATGATTCCCTCGTCGTGATATGCCGAGGCGGAAGGTACGGTATTTGTTAGACTGGGGGTGGATGCCAATGCTCTGGGATGCGGATCTGTCTTCCTTCAACCCATGGATCCTCCCAAGCCTAACCTTGCACTAGGCGGTCAATATAGCTCAGAACATGCACCAGCACCTTATCTTCAGCTCAGAAACCGCGATCCCACAAAATCCTCCATGCTATCCTCCCCTCCTTTCTTCTTCACCTCCCCATTTACCCTCACACCCCTTCCCTTCCTCGGCGAGCGGTCTTCTCCGGATGGCGAGGCGGACGTTCGATGGGAGGAAGGGGGCTCGTTGATGATGCGCTCGATGATCTTGGTTTTTGCGCCCCCGCGCTTGAAGCGGTCGTCGAAGTCGGCGACGGCGTCTTCAGTGTTGAGCGTGCTGAATGTGGGTGGGTCGGTTAGAGCGTGCAGAGTGTGGATGTGCTTCTTCAACCTCTCGTTTGCGGGTAATGGTGGCAGGTTTTCCCTTTGGGTCTGCTCTTCTGCGTCTGACTCGCTCGGCTCCTTCTCGCCATCGTCGTCCTTTGCTTTCGGCGCTTGCTGGGCTGGCGCCTTGGTGGAAGATGGTAGGCGGGATCCCCAAACAACTGCGCGTCCATGCAGATTCCCTAAGGCGGCGTACTTTTCGAAGCCCTTTTCTAAACCGAAGAGCCGCCCTTCGATGCGGCCAGCTCTGGCGCCGTCTGCGGCGCCGAGTTGGTAGGCTGAGGTGTAGAGGGTGTCTTCGAGTGTGAGGAGGTGGTCGAAGGGGTCTTCGATATTGGGATGTGTGGCGGAGGGTTGGGCCATGTTAGACGAGGAAAACGGGTGAATGGAGGGATGGAGTCGAACTTTCCCTATGCTAGATAGGGCCGCTTCGTGCTCCGCCGGTATGATTCTTTCGATGGCCTTGTGATTTGGTTTCCTGGCTCTTTCTGTGCGTGACTCTTCCGTTCAGATGGTTCGAGCCGGTGAATCTCGACGGCCAGTCTGATTGTCCCTCGATTCTTCGGCTGACAGGTGCTCCCCTTTTCGCAAGTATTTTCACAGGCTAAACGGTATGGATCAGACTTCGCCTTTTGTGATGTCTGCTCGACTGCGTTATGCAGGGGTTGAAAGCAGAGTGGCGCTTGTGGCTGGTGTGGCTGTGGCGGGGTACGTTTTGGCGGGGTTCATATTCGCGATTGTGTTTCCAGCTCCGTTGACTCACGAAACGCGCCAGCTCTTCTCTACATAAGAACGTGCCATTGGGGACTGCGTGTGCTCCGTACCCTTTCCCCCTCAATACCTAGTCAAACGTCGCAGTAAGTTCGCCCATGCAACTAAGTAGGGTACTGGCAGCTGAACGATTTCAGGCACAGACAACCGCCAACCATGCCCGAGCCCGAAAAGAAAAAGCTGCCCATCGAGGGCGAGAGGAACATCCTCATCACCAGCGCGCTCCCGTACGTGAACAACGTCCCGCATCTCGGCAACATCGTCGGCTCCGTTCTCTCCGCCGATGTCTTCGCCCGCTTCTGCCGTGCCCGCGGCTACAACACGCTCTACGTCTGCGGCACCGACGAATACGGCACCGCGACCGAGACGAAAGCTATCGAGGAAGGCCTCACGCCGCAACAGCTCTGCGACAAGTACTACGCCCTCCACTCAGATGTCTATAAGTGGTTCAACATCGAATTCGACCATTTTGGACGGACGCCCACAAAGCAACAGACGGAGATTGCGCAGGATATCTTTACGAAGCTGCACAAGAACGGGTACTTGGAGGAGCAGACTACCACGCAGCCGTACTGTGAGACGCATAAGAGCTTTTTAGCGGATCGATTTGTCGAGGGGACGTGTCCGCTTTGCGGATACCATGATGCGAGGGGGGACCAGTGCGATAAGTGTGGGCATTTGCTCGATCCGTTGGAGTTGATCAATCCGCGGTGTAAGCTGGATGGAGCGACGCCGGTACCGCGGGAGACAAAGCACGTCTATCTGTGTCTCGATAAGCTTCAGCCGCTGCAAGAAGAGTGGTTCAAGAAGAGTAGTGTTGAGGGCGACTGGTCTTCGAATTGCATACAGATCACTGCGAGCTGGCTCAAAGAAGGCCTCAAACCTCGAGGTATTACGCGAGATCTGAAATGGGGAACCGCAGTCCCGCTCGAAGGTACGTCCCGCGCCTCCCCTCATCTGTATGCCGTCCTATCTAACTCTCTTCTAGGTTACGAGGAGAAGGTCATGTATGTCTGGTTCGATGCATGTGAGTAAACATTCACCTGTTTGGTTTTCCCCCTGCTGTAGGCTGACCTAGTGTCCTCACATTTAGGTATTGGATACGTTTCGATTACGGCAACATACACTCCAGAATGGGAGAAATGGTGGCGGAATCCCGAGCACGTCCAACTTTAGTGCGTAATGCCCTCCAACATATTCCTCGTCACAGCTAACCATGAATCAGCCAATTTATGGGCAAGGATAACGTGCCATTCCATACGGTGAGAAAGTCCCGGCCACAAACTCGGTGCCATGTCTCGAAGTTCGCACTGAGGAGCTATCAATCCCAACTTGTGAGACGTTTTGCTGACTTGTTCTAGGTGGTGTTTCCTTGCTCCCAGATAGGCACGAAGGACAAATGGACGATGCTGAACACATTAAGCACCACCGAGTACTTGAATTACGAGAACGGCAAGTTCTCGAAGTCAAGAGGTATCGGTGTGTTCGGAAGCAACGCCAAGGAGACAGGCATCCCTGCGGACGTTTGGCGGTATTACCTCCTCTCCCACCGACCAGAAACCGGCGACTCGGAATTCGAATGGAAGGGCTTCATCGACGCGAACAACAACGAACTCCTAAAGAATCTTGGCAACTTTATTAATCGAGTCATCAAGTACGTCAACTCGAAGATATACGACTCTGTGGTGCCAGACTATACAAAATACCACTCCGAGTACTTCGATGAGCATAAGAAGAAGGTCAACGAGTTGCTCAAGCGGTATATCGAGGAGCTGGAGGATGTCAGAATCAAGGCAGCCTTGATGACCGCGATGCATATATCCAGCTTGGGCAACACTTTGCTACAAGATAACAAGTTGGATAATCGGTTAGCGAGTGAGGAGCCGGATAGGTGTGCGGCCGTGGTAGGGCTGGCATTGAGCCACATTCATCTCCTGGCTTCACTGATAGAGCCGTACATGTGAGTGTTCCTGTGGCTTGGAATGAGGAAGTAGGATCCGATCGACTTTCTTCAAGCTAGGCTATGCCTAGGTCGCTGCACATGACAATGCTAACATGTCTCATAGGCCCGGCACCACAGACCTCATTCTCAAGCAGCTCAACGCCTCCTTTCTCATCATCCCCGACGTCTGGGAGGCCCGCTCCATCCCTGTTGGCCACACCATCGGCAAAGCAACCTACCTCTTCTCCAACATCAAGCCCGAGAAGGAGCAAGAATGGCGTGAGCAGTTCGGCGGCGAGGAAGCGCGAAAAGCCAAAGAGGAGAAAGCGGCCAAGGCTGCAGCTAAGAAGGCGGAGAAAGAGCGCAAAAAGGCGAAGAAGGCTGCCGCTAAGGCTGATGGGCACGTCGTCGGTGGTGAGGTGGGTAAAGGTGTGGAGGCTAGTGAGAAGGGTGGAAAGAACGAAGTTCCGCCGGCGGAGGCGGAAATTGATGCGGTTAGGGAGGGGGTGGAGCAGGTCACTCTGCAGACTTCGTAACGGGATTGGAACGAAGGGGAGGCATGTCGATGCTGAGATCTTCTTGTAGAACTATGTGCATTTTCTGATAGTTCTGGCGCAGATACGGGGAGACGGAGTGAGGCCGGATAGGAAAGAGGTGTCGGTACAGTTGGAGTTTGGGGGATCTGCAAAATACGGTTTTCGGTTTGCCAGCCATGAATAGGGTTACGACGTAGACATGCATGTAGAAATCTCGTTACGAGGCTGTTGCTTGTCCCATAGATATTGCGAAGTAAGCCCATCCACGGAGCCGCTGCACGTTCCAGCGGATGGCGTTTCAGACGGGAGTAAGTCGGGATGAGTATGCGTTTGGCTAGACGCCGCACAATACGACCTCGAGTTGTTGGAAAACTGGAGTTGGTAATTGGACTGGAACTATCGGGTCCCCAGCCGGCTGTTAACATTCCGCTAAGCGCGCATCGCATTTATTTGGAGGCTCGAGGAGGGAGTGCGGGTTCCGGCTATCTGATATCCCCTTGCTGCTGACATAATCATGCTTCTGTGGAGGTGGGAGGTGGGAGGTGGAAGGTGGAAACATCATGACAGGGCCTTTTGAACGGAGGAGAGCTGTTTGAGTAGCGGCACTGGAAGATCTGCTAGGGCTAGGGAGTATTGGCTTTATTTGACCACAGTATTGAAAGCGGGGTGCGAGGCATTTAAGCTATTCGTTTGCAGGCTGGTTACTGAATCTGGGCGGTCAAACGACGCGCACCACGTTCCTTATGGAACCCTTTCCTTCGAGATGGAATCCCAGCGAGCGCTATAATTTGTTCCTGTTCTTTCGAGCCATGTATTCCGGTCGGCATTTGCGAAAGGTGATGGCCCATCACACTATTGATCAACCCGTTGGGAAAAGACCAGACGCCTCCACCACCAGCACTTAGGCGCCCTCTATACCTCGTTTCACGAGCGTGGAGAGACAGCGTAGTATTTCGACGTTTCACGAACCTAGAGAGACGGCGTAGTATTTCGAAGTGTTTTCCGATGCCGAACGAGCGCCTCGTGTAAACGCCCTTCCTGCACGCATACTCGGAGTCATACCCGATAGTGTTTCAACCCCCAGAGCTACGCGAAACGGAACGAACGTCATGCCGCATGAGAAAGGATCACGCAATGGTCGGGTTGGAGTTCATGATAGTTTGCGTTTTGGTAAAATGCTGGGCGGTAAAAGGTGCTCGATCTGACGTTCGGGCCAATCGTTCTTCGGATGTATCTGTGTTTCAACATCACAAGTGCGTGATGTAGGAGTTAGCGAGGTAAAAAAGGTATGCTGAGGGAATTCTAGGCGCGAACGCTTTGCTGCTGCGTTTGGTGATTGGGCACCGGCGGGCAAGGCAACATCTCCTATGGCAAAAATGGCCAATTGTGGTTTGGAAGCAGCGGCGTCGGAGTGTCCCGATTCACTGGCAGAGGGTGCATAATCATAGGCCCTCGCCTTGGAGAGTGATCCAGAAGATCATTGTTAACCGTGACATGTGTTCGTGTATCAGAGCTCTATACGTGTCGAGCTGGATCTTTGTGCGACCCAGTGGGCCGGTGCGGCGACGATGTATATCGGACCGCTGCAGAAGGTTAGCCGGACAAATACCGGTATATATGCTCGGTATAAGGCGGCATCGAACGTGCCCACCGAGAGATATGGAACGGCTCTTCTAGCTACAGCTCGAAATATGTTGTTGGCGCTGAGGAGCGACGTGTGAAAGAGAACGGCTAAGAAAGTCGACGGCGTCGGCTATATCGCCCTACAGTACGATGGCGTAGGAAAGAGCGATTCGACCTCCTGCCAAATCCACGTGTGGCCGTTGGAGCGCCACATGAAGAGCCTCCTGTTTTCCCAGTTGAGCGGCAAGAAACTATGTCTTCTGTCTTCAGCTCGTGTGCTTCTCGAGGAACAGGATCGGATCGGCTCAAGCTGTCATGGAGGGATGATGAAAGCGCGGGACGTGTATCGCCGAAAGCTAGCCCCGCTCCAGCAGCCCTGGTTGGACTGGGGATTGGTATGGGTTGGCGTTGCGTAACAGTGAAGAAGCTACCCAAGGTATCCAACATGTAGAGGTGATGCGGCTTGCTCCTGCAGCGTTCTCACCGGTGGGGAAGCGCGTTCATTCCCCGCTTACGCCCAGGCCGACGAGGGAAGGGGCGCACCATAGCCGCGGCTGCCCTGCCTAACGAAGTCGTACTCGCCACCCCCATTGCCTGCCGCATTCTCAACATCAGCCACCAGCTGAGGTAGTACTGCCATCGCACCGGAGCAGGGGAGTGAGTACGTTCCGATTGACGCCGTGAGACACCAAGACTACAATTTTGGCCCAAACCCAGCACCGGAGCGGCACAGTCGATTGTCCAGCTGCTCACCGGCTCCGTTGGATAGCGCATCCTGCCTTCTACACGAGTTGCGCGAGAGTCGCTGGAGGGACGCTCAGTTCCTCGTTGGGGAGTGCCGAAATCGCAGGGCGATGAGGCACAGTTGATAGCTGTCCGCCGGTTATCACCTCACCTCCAATGCTTCCAACACTGCAGACGGGACGAACTCTGCCGAACGCCGTCACAATACTCCAGCATCTATTTCCGGCAGTTTGGAGTCTCGCATCCAGCCATGGAAGCCGGCCGCACAAGGGGCCAAAACGAAAAGCGCCGACCAGAGGGGTGGGATTAGGAGGCGTTACCTCAGCACGCAGAGGGACTCCAGACGTTTTGCACCCTGTCGAAAGCGGCCCGGTGGACGTCACGAGAGCCATGCATGCTCGAGCCTGGCTTGCCGCGACTACATTTGGCTAACGATCGGTGCCAAGCGCGGCGTCCACCAGTAGCGGCCCGAGGAGGGCCAACATGGCGGGCATGTGCGGAAGGCTATTCTTATTCAATCCCGGGGGTGGGCGACGAACACGGCGACTGCGGCAAGCATCGCGGCACAGCACCACCACGACTCTGGGCCGGGTGCCACAGAACCTGCCCAAATGTCAGGTCGCAGCGCGTTCGGAAATCAGCTTCAGCTGGGGAGTGTTCCAGACTCCTGGATTGAGGACTGATCGGTCGAGTGTTGTGGACGTTGAAGAGTTAAGCGCGGTCCAAGCTAGGCTCAACGGGCGGACAGGTCGCTAGGCAGATCAGGCGCAACTAAGCGCAGAATCCTTCGTGCCTTTCCCTGCTGACTGATCTTGCGCCTAGAGACTTCGGGAGCGTATGACGACAGATATTGAGACAGACGCACTGCAGCCCGATGCGGAAGCGGATTTCAACGCAGGAGGATGGTTTTCGCCCGTGAGCGGATCCAGGCAGCTGGTTCAAATTGGGCGCTTCGAGCATGAATCGCGACAATGGCAACGCCATGCCGCCGCAGTTCCAGCTGTTTCTGATCTGCTCGGGAGCGGGACGGCGCGGGACCCAGGAGAGCAGAACCGCCAGGAGCAGAGTTGGAGAAGGGCACAGGAGTTGTTGGAAAAGACGGCCGCAGACCATGGCCGCGCCTACATCAACACCCCACGGGCGTCACGAGTCCGGAGTATCCAACACGCCAACCGAGGCCTAACGTGCATGACCATGTATCCGCTGGCCAGCACTATCTGCAGCAATTCTTAGAACATGATGGATCCACAGGCAGCGCCTTACGTCTGGACGAATATCACAATATCAAATACAGTCACCCGGCTAAGTTGCTGGAATCGCCACTTTAGCCGACCACTTGGCCAGGTGCGTCTGCGGCGCAGCAACTGTATTGGTGGAGGCTCCCCGCGGGCCATCAGGTGCGCATAGGCGGGCGCGTAGAGGTTGCAACGGAGTCGCAAAGCGGATGAGGTGTAGACGACTCGAGCCCGCAGCCACTCAACAGTCGAGCCGGCCATCCATCTCACCAATAGACGCGGCACCGACAACACATCGTCGACGACAAACGCACCATGTGCAGCGCGACGGCGGGCGGCCAGCTGGAAGACGGCAACTGAACTACGCCGCGCGTGCAGCGCATGCGTGGAGGCTGTCGAAGCGAGCGCCGGAGGCCAGATGACCGACCCAACCCACGGCGCGACCAGGCAGGGCGTTGCGGCGCGGCGTGTGAAATGAAACGCAGCGGCAGGGTCGTGATGATTCCTCATTTGAGGAAGGTCGTGAAACAGCAAGCGGTGCTGCGGGCGGTTAGAGGGGGCAGTGCCGAAGCAGCCCCGACGGCCTCTGGTGGTCAAGGTTGCCGCCGACACGCGAGCAGCTGGCGCTTAATGCAGGAACGCTCTCGTTGGCGACGAAGAGTTGCTGGAGCGAGGGCGGCGGCGCGGGGCGTTGCGACGACATGGTTGGAAGTGGTGCTTGGGGGTGCTGCGCGGCCGTCCGATGTGTAGCGGGAGCAGAGGCAGGGCGCGAGGTATAGGCGCGCTGCGCGGTTGACGCAAAAATAGGCACCTGTCTCAGTGCACGGGGCCCGACTGTGCAGCACGGCGGGCGCGGCCAATCAGCGGCCCGCACGCCGCGACGGTGTGCAGGACGGGCGCCGCGTTCCGCGCTGGGGCTGCCGCTAACGCCCATTGCGTCGCCTGCAGCCGCTCGAGCAACCCCGCGCCCGTGCAACCCCGGCCGCCCAAGACCGTCGTCTACCCTCCCCCACAGCGAAGGTCGCGGTTTAGGGCTGTAGACGAGGGTTTTCCGCCAAAAAAACGTGTCCGATGTCTTACAGGACGCAGGGGTATGATTATGTAAAAATCCCGGGGCTTGGAGCGCGGATAATGGGTGTTCGCGCGGTGTTCGCAGCGCTGGCGATCGGAGGTGACTGGTCCTTAGCCGCCCGCGGTGCAGGGGCCTGCAGCGATCATCCAATGGCACGCCGGGCGACAGGGGCCGACCCCGGCGCCCATCCGTGCGTGCATGGGCAGCAGCGGACAGCCGCCGCCGTGATCTTGCCCGTCCGCTGGCTGCTGCGCCCGCGCCCCTCCCCCGAGCTGCCAGAGGTGGCCGTTGTCTTTATACTCCGCCAGCTCGCCGTCGACGGGAGGCTCCTGCTGCTCCCGTCACCGGTATCGAAAAGCCCACATCGCTCCCTGCGGCCCCTCCCGGATTCCTGGATTCACGCCGCGCCATTCCATTCACCAGACACGACAGCCCATCTGGTGCCTGCCCCCCCGCTCCGGCGCGCAAGTGCACGACAGCGCCCCGAGAAGCACTGGGAAGACGCTGGGACTCTGGGTTTTGGACGCGGGACTCCATCTGCCATCTTGCACTCAGTGATCGCCTTGTCCTGGTGTAGACGCGAAAGCCGCCCTCCGCGCCGTGGAACACGGAAACATCTCGTCGGCGTGTTACAGTATTTCAAAGACAATCCCCACACCGCTTGAGAAACACGGCCAGATAGGCGGCAAACGTTTGCGACAGCCGGCCGGCACTGAGCGGAGACGTCATCATCGAACAGGCAGTGCGGCTAGACTACTGCTCTTCCGCCCTCGACGACAACAGTCACCTTGGCTGCCAGGTCCCGCGCGTTCTTGGTCGCCTTACAATGCCGTCTGTGGTACATGCGCCGCTGATCAACACCACTGGCTTCATGTTTAGAGAGAAGACCACAGAGTCTGTATCCGCTTTCACCGCTGTGAATGGAAGAACGTCGCCGCCCACGCCACGCAACCTGAATGGTATGAACGGCATGTCCGCTGATAGCATACACGTGAGAACGCTCTCTCGACCGACTCCTGAGCAGACGCAGGATCAGAAAGTCCCGCTGCCCGGACGAGACCACTGGAATTCCACGCCAAGGGTGTCTGAGAACGGATACCCAAACGGCCAGCACTCGGTATCTCCCTCGCTTTCCGACCAAGACAGGTCCCCTCGTAGCCCCGGAAAGAGGAAGCGATCGAGCTCAGTCGAGGACGATCGCTCCTATCCCTCACCGGACGACTCTTCAGTATCCCGCCAGCGCTTGGACTCGTACGCATCTGTTGGCAGAGACGACTCCCCGAATACTGCTGTCCAGGCCCAGCAATTAGCCATGGACCACTCTCAGCCGCGGGCCCGCCCTGTAATGGATAGACCAGAGTCTGAGAGGCCTTGGGATCCGTCGCAAGCCACATCGCATCACGGCTATCAGGAGACCCAACGTCGAGAACCACGCCTTACGGAACATCCACAGGAGGGTATGCACCCCAATTCGACTTCTCAGTCCCAGGCGAGCGCGGTTGACGCGTCGAATGGGCTCGAGAGGTCAAACACGACCGAAATCACTCGCGCCGGTGTCCAAGTAGATCCAAAGAAGAGGAAGAGGGTAAGCTCCGAGTTGAAACTCGACCACACAGTGCGCTAATCCTTACCAGCAATTCGCCAACCGAACGAAGACTGGCTGTGGGACATGTCGGCGGCGAAAGAAGAAGTGCGACGAGGCGAAGCCTGAGTGTACGCGGCGATCCCCTCGTAATGCACGCTTCATACTGACCTCCAACACAGGCAACAACTGCCAGCGCGGAGGATTTATCTGCGAAGGCTACGCAAACAAAGTTCCATGGCCGAAGAACGGCGCGCAGAAGCCCCACCCTCCTCTGCAAGCCAAGGATCGCTTTTCCGTCGATCCCGCCCAACTCTATCACAGGTAAGCGTCATGCAGCCCTATGCCTATATATCTCTGATCTTATCGCCAGCCACGGAACCAACCGGGAAAGCTACCACGACACCAACACAGCCAATGGAGCCGATGGCGGCCGCGGGCGACCGATTGTCGTCGAGGAGCATGACCGTCAACCTGCGAGAAATGGCTGGGGTACTTCGTGGAGCGAAGCGCGCGCCTCGTATCCGCCGGAGCAACACCAACCCCCAGAGTACACTCAGCCACCGCCCACGTCAAGCCATGGCAGGCCCCCATCAAACGACCACCATGTGCCACATCCCACCCAAGCGCCGCCTCCACCACGACAACACAATCCACGAATCTACCATCACACGCCACAAACCATGAGGGAAGTGGTGAACACATCTCCCATCGCAACAGCAGAGGCTGCGTTACACCACCAACCTCAGCAGCACCAACAGTTGATGGCTCCCCCAACTGCCGGTCCTCCCGCGCTGCCACCGGCCCATTATGCTCCACCACCGCCCAGGCCACCAAGGAGCGAGAAGGAGAAGATGCTGAATAGTGAACCATTCATGCCATTCAGCCAGCAACTGGTCGAAGAGCGCGAGAAATGCAAAGGCGCTTTGTACCGCTACAATTGCACTAGCAACGAGCGTGTGGAGATTGCCCGCGACGAGGTCGACCGACACTTCCGCTCCATTCTAGCGGCGAAATGGGTGCTGCCTCCCCGCGGGTCAGAGCCTTCCGTGAGCGCCCACCTCGGACGCGAAGTCTGTGTCGATCCGCCCTTTATGTGCGATTACGGATACAACCTCTCGATTGCGGACAGAGTCGACATCGGAACGGGTTGCACATTCCTCGATTCTGCAAGGATCACCATTGGGAGGGATACCACTATCGGCGCCAACGTCACCATCGAGACGCAGAAGACGCCGACCGATTCCAAAATTCCAAAAGGCAGTCGCCGCACTGCGATCGCCCACTCGGTCCACATTGGAGAGGAGGTCTTTATTGGTGCCAACTGCACCATCCTTGCGGGCGTCAAGATTGGCAGGGGAGCCATCATTCACCCCGGTTCTGTGGTCGTTCGGGTAAGTAGCCCAGAGGTGCTGAAGAGAGGATAGCGGCTGACTTTGCAAAGGACATCCCACCTCATTGCGTTGCTCGTGGTAACCCTGCCGAAGTTCGAAGCGTCAATTGGGACGACTAAAAGCGAGTAACATTTTGACTTTCGGACTCTTTTCTTTTATACCTCGCTTGTCTTCTAGCGCTACTGTGTGGCGCAGGAGTCAGGGCGCTGGTTTGTGCTCTCGGGAGGATACCCTGTTTTATATAGTGTCTTTGATGTGTCTAAATATTGGTAGAAGGGCATGGATGCATATACATGCATGCCAAATGGAATCCGAAATATCGCAACTTCTAACTATCTCTTTGCCCAATAATACGCCTGCTACTATGTGAATAATGCGTGCTTCCATGATATCGCCAAAGCCCGATCTTCCACAGGACAATCCGTAAATGGTTAGCTTGGAACATGTCTCACGTGCAATTATAGCGCGCAACGCTCGGGCCAACCGTCATCCCGAAAATATCCAACCTCATCGAAATCTCCAAATATCAATCCAACGCCAGTATTTTCAAGATGCCGCTCAAGGCGCCCCTCAATTGGGGTCTCTTACCCCCATCCTTTCTCCTGCCCTCATCAACACGCTCCCTAATCCCACTAATACCGCTCTCCTCCCATCTCCCGAAGCCCTCGCACACCACCATTCGCACCATAAAATCGACAAACACGCCGCGGCCCGACCGCTTCGCGCACCACCCGAAGAAGCCCGCTCTAAACAGCACATCGACTGCGGCGCTCGCGCGAAAAGCGCACTCCACGCCCCTCCGCACCGGCCTGCTCGCCGTAAAGCGCGGCATGACAGCCGTCTTCGACCCGGAGAGCGGGAAACGCACGCCCTGCACCGTCCTGCAGCTCGATCGCAATCAGGTTATCGCGCACAAGACGAGGGAGAAGAACGGGTACTATGCGGTGCAGGTAGGCGCGGGCGAGCGCATGGCGTGGAACGTGAGCAAGCCGATGCTGGGGCATTTTGCGGCGGCGGCGGTTAGTCCGAAGAGGTGGGTCGTGGAGTTTAAGGTCAGGGGGGAGGAGGGGTTGAAGGTCGGCGTTGGGGAGGGGTTGGGCGCCGCGTGGTTTACGCCCGGGCAGTGGGTCGATGTTAGGGGCGTGTCGAGGGGGATGGGGTTTGCGGGTGTAAGTCTCCTTTTTGAGTTGTGAAGAGAAGGATCAAATATGGATAAGGGGATGATTGGGTGCGATTGGGAGAATCGTGATTGGATGGAGGCTGATGTGTATGCAGGGCATGAAACGCCACGGCTTCAGCGGTCAACCTGCGTCCCACGGTCAATCGCTCATGCACCGCGGCATGGGTTCAGCCGGAGGTTCGCAAGGTTCCGGTTCGCGCGTACTTCCCGGGAAGCGAATGGCGGGAAACATGGGCAATGAGCGGGTCACGGTTAAGAATCTCAAGGTGCTGCAGGTCGATGAAGCGAACGGCATCGTGGTCGTGACTGGTACGTTTCTTCCCCTCCTAAGTTTGTGAATCAGGATACTAATAAGTTTAAGGCTGCGTACCCGGCCCAAAGAACCAGATAATAAGAGTCCAGGATGCAATTGGGAAGCCTTGGCCGAAAGGCCCAATGTCGACGCGGGAGATCGTGCCACCTTCGATAGCGCCGGCTGTTGCAGAAGCGGTGGCTACTGCGGCGTGAGACGTGTACGTTTTCGTGTAAATGTAGGAAAGTGTACCATAAATCCCATAAAGGGCGTTTCGGGTCGCATTAAGAGGTGCATTTTGGGAGGAGCTAGCTATGCAGCGTTTTTGTACACTGGCAAGCTATTTCTTAAGTTAGGGAGGCTATTATCCGTTAGCAAATAGCTATCGCTATCCGCGACGTTAGAGCTTAGAAAGGTATATGCCGCTGTCTTGAGTCCGCGGAATCGCTCACAATTCCTTGTAGCGAATAAGAATATCCTATCGCGCTGTAGCGCTCCAGATAGACCTGCTAACAGAGATGCTTCCTAATTAAGTTCGCGACCTTACGATCTAGTTCGCGACGGATAGTTACCAGGAAATGCTCTGGGCAGCTGCGGCATCTAAATCAATTTCATGCGGCCACTCTTTGCCGTGGTCATTAGAGTAATAATGTACACAGCCAAGATCCTCAGCGTAATCCTGTAGACCATGTCTCTTATAATAAAGATAACAGCAGACCCTGACTAGTTGTCGAAGGAGAAGAAATTGGCTGATCTCATCGAGGAAGTGATTGCAACAGGAACTGGATTTACCACAATTGCACGGGCGTGCCGCTCGAGCGTGGGGTGGCTGCGGGCAAGAAGTCAAACGTCGAAGTCCACGGGTCGTACGTCCGGACCAACCCACCCTAGCTGCATCGCGTCCTACCCTATGCAGGAAGCCCATGATAAGTCGAAAGAAGGGCGTGCAATGTGGATCAGGTGAGCACATACTGGCTTCGGACTGTGTAGTGCGCCACTGAATTGCAGCGTTGATAGGGAGTTTGCGCTTCCTCCTGACCACCTTGGCCGCAGTAGTGTCTCATCGTACTATCGGCGGGGGTGGAGTACGTACGAATAAGGACATGCGGAGGGTGATACCAACACCTGGAACATGCACGCCGGCAGTGCATGCTAGCTCAGCCTAATATCCTACACTCGTTCGTCGCCGAGGCAGCCTACGAAGAGACACGCGATATGAGGCTTGCCTTCCGGAGGCCTTGCCAGATGATCAACCTCTGCTCAAAGATGCGGATTCCCCGAATATGCACTCCTCACGACAAGGCAGTAAGGCCGTCGGCCATGCCGCAAGGTTTCATTAAGCCGTATCATCGCTTGTAGGATAGCTCGGTAAGTTGTGTTACGCCATCGAGAATTGCGCGCTCGCTGATATTTCTAGCTGAGACTAATCTGCAACATCTGCCGACAGGATCGTTCCGTGTCACAAGTATAGGGCACAGGGATGGGTATCCTTATTTCAGAATCCGCGGCCGGGATTGGGTGGGGAAGGGCTCATAAGGGTTGCGGATCTAGAGGCGGTGCGGGAATGGTGTGGTGCGGGGTTCTAAGAAATCGTGGGGCGCCTTCAATGGTTCCTCCGTGCGTGCCTTCATTAAATTGGCTGGCGGCATCGCTGACGGCACTTCCTTCGCGTATGCTGCTACTTCTTGTTCCTGTGTGAGGTGGCGTAGTCGCAGATGCCGCAGAGGGCAAGGCACGAGAAGCTCTCCATTAGGCCTGCTGCCTCCGCTTCTAAGCGGAGGACCTCCCCAAGGTCTCTGCTCACTGTGTCCCGCGCATGACCTCCCTCATAACTTGGTTCCCCAATGCAATCGACCCGTAGTGCATTGCCCCCTCTTGCTTCTGCCCTACAGCTCCGCTCACTAGCACTCTCGCGACCGCAGCGAGCAGAATCTGTAGCGGAAGGTCGAGCGATCTCTTCTACTTAAACCATCATGGCAGCCTTCCCTATGTTGTACTATATCACGCCGCTGAAGGTCGAAAGTCTATTATTCCTTGCTCTTCTTCCGCCGTGGCGGGCGATAGTTCATGTTTGGCGTAGATTGAAGCGGTTAACATCTTCGGTTGTAGTGTCTGCATGGACTACGAGCGCGTTTTTTGGGACGGGACGAGGCTGGGGGCAGGCCAGCTAGTTGGTGAGCATCTGGGGACAGCGGAGTTGAATGTTAGTAGTTGCAGCAGATGCTAGTAGAGTCGTAGCCAGGCGAGATGCGAGGCATATAGAGCGAAAGGGCAAGCTGTGGGGATAGTTGCGACGCACCTGGAACGCAAAATATAGACACAGAACAACTAACAATGCTCCATAAAGGGGTCCAACAGGGCAGAAAAGATTCGAGGGAGTGGGGACGATTAAGGGATAGAAGGATGAAGGATCGAGACACGGCGGAGCTCTCATCTGAGGATCGGTGCCAAGCCGGGATTTCTTCGGCATATCCGCCATCTGTGTCCGGCACATGTCCGTACCTTAGAACTACCTCCTCCATCCAAACAGCACGTTCTGTTCCTACCATGAGCAATCAGAACCCTCTACGCTCGTCTTTACGCTTATTGTTAGTCTCCCACTTAACCTGCGATACCTTCCTAGGATTCTTGGCAGGTGGCGGCCTAGCCCTAACACTTTCGAACCGCTCGCTCCACGGCCTTACTACCGCCGCAGAAATTGGTAGCAAATATGTACCATTAGGCCGCGCGCGCCATACCCTCATCCTTTGTGTTGCTCTCGGCTTCACAGTTTGGGCCCGCCGATTCTTATTCGCCACGCCTCGCTACTATGCAACCCTATTTAGGACCCTCAGCGGTAAGATTTATATCTGCATTCTTGAGATATTACTAACAAGAAAACTCTAGTAACGGAAATACTGTCTTCACCCACCCCCTACGCCAACGTTGGGCTCGCACCGCGTGTTTCCCTTGCGGATATCGCACAAGGGGAGGTCTTACGCAGCTCCCAAGATCGAAAAGTCGTTAAGGTTGGCTCGGACATAGTAGCAAAACTCGGATCAGAGCTAGACGAAGCGGAAGCAGAAAGCATGGCATTTATCCGCAGCCACACGACAATCCCGGTCCCGAAAGTGCTAAATACTTACGGGGAGGACGGGTATCGATATATTCTTATGGATTTCGTCAAGGGTGAACTATTGTCCAAGATCTGGGACGAGCTCTCATCCGCAGAACGGAGTGTCATATTGGACGAGTTGAGGGGCTACATTCGTCAAATGCGTCACATTCAACGTCCTAATGGCGCGCCGATTGGTTCAGTCACCGGCGGTCCTGCGATCGACAGACGCCAGTTTGGTTCTGCCACGGGTGGACCTTTCAATTCAGAAGCGGACTTCAACGAATGGCAACTGGCACAACTTCACGAAGAAATCCCACTATCGCGCCGAGATATGTACGCTGCCCTCCACAGAACAGACCATAAAATTGTTTTCAGTCATGGTGACCTCGCTTTCCATAACATCATAGTCTGGAGAGGCCACATTGCCGCGATTATCGATTGGCAATATTCAGGATGGTATCCTGAGCATTGGGACTACTGTAAGACCCGTTCTTTCGTATCAGGAACAGATGAGCTTTATATCTGTTGCAAAAGGATCTTTGAGAAGCAGTACCATGCCGAGTATTTCATGGATGAGTGGTTTACCCGAGAAGTGAGGCATGGCGGATTCTAGAGGGGTAACATTTTGGCAGTTTCGACGACAATGAGACATTATTAACTATCCTTGAGCGCTTGTGCATTGGGAGTTTCCGTCGTGAAAGGCCTTGTAACTGCTGCCATTTGCTTCTGAACCGCCGCGTTCTTCTCTGCTTCGCTAATCAGGCGTGCAGTCACCATTGCATCCAACCCTTCTCGAACCCAATTCTGACAATTCCATGTCCTGCTCACTTTGATGTCGACACCCTTAAGTAGCGGCTCTAACTCTGAATATCTGTTTTGCGGGATCCATGCTACGAAGTCCATCGACAGCAGTCTTGCGGTGTCCTGCCTCGGATCTTTCCAGTTGCACACGCGATGGAATGTAAGGCCAATACCGGGCGTGCCAGTTACATGGAAGACGTCGAAAGAGTGATCTCCGTTGTCAACCACAATGCCGCTGTGGCGCAGGAACTCTCTGGTATATCCGCGGTAAATTTCGCCCTTGTGCTCGTAGACGGTGACGTAAACCGCTAAATAGTTCATGACTTGTTAAAAGAAGTTAGTCGATGGCGGATTTCATAGACCTGAATGGTAAACCTACGGGACAGTCGCGTGAAGTGCAGTAGAGTGGATGAAACCTCTATCTCTCTGGGAGATGTAGAAGCTACTCCTAGGACACACGCATCACACTTAAACCTCGACGAAGAGATAAAGAGCCTTGCACTACCCTCTCAGCGATTAGCCTTGGCCATGCAGTCACTTCCATGTCCGTAGCTAGCAAATATTGCCTAGATTTCATTCGTTGCTGCTGGTGGAAGCCGTATCCGCTAAGGCAGGGCACTGTCAGGCTTCCTACACCGACTATACCTAGTCCGGAGCCAGTTCAAAACGTCGTTCAATGATTGGGGATCAATTCAGTCGCAGGTGCGCTCGGATGCAAGCGATCGAAACATGCTCCGCTCCATTTAGCAACATGATGCCTCTAAAGGCGGCTACCCCGACACTCCCTGCACCTATCTAACAATAGGCAACTCTCGATGACATGCACGTCCTCCGCAACGAGGCTGAGACGTCCCTTAGCCTTCTATGGTTGCCTTCATGCACGTTTCTTGCACAGCCTGCGATCCGACACCTTGACACCCCTTCTCAGCTATCTCGTCGTCCAAAAAGACCGCCAATGGAGACGGGAAGGATTCTTCGACCCAGTCCGCTTAAACTCACCCAGCGTGGCCTTCCACATGTCATACTGTGTCATCCCACGGAAGGTCTCAAGCCCATTATTCCTTGCTTTCCCGTAGCGAGCGATGGTTTATGTTCGTATGCGTAGACTGAAGCTGTCGACATCGCTTGGGTGTTCCCCGTTGGGATAGACTACGGGCGCGTTGTCGGAATGGCCGAGGAGCGAGGCTCGTCGGCGAGCTATCTGTAGATGACAGCGGAGTTGAACGTCGGGGGGAGGGGGGCGGAGTTTGCGGCATCAGATGCTGCTAGAGTTGGGGCCAGACGAGGCACCAGGCATGTGGAGGTACGGAGGGATGTTTGATGACTCGATGGTCTGTTGTTCCAGAGTGAGCGTGCTGGAGTGTGCTGACGACGGCAGTTGAAATTGGCGCGCAGCTGAACTAGAGAGCTTGGGAAGCATGTCTTTGGGTAGGACGTCAGCTATTGCAGCCGTTCTACGAACGGTATTGAAGTACCTGCGTGGTGCGTGGGGAGCTGGACGTGGGAAACACGTTTTCCAACCTGCACGACCGAAGCAGTGAAGTCCAATTCAATCCTAGTCTCAACTCGAAATATGGCAGCAAAAGTACCTTGCGTAGCATGCGTCGCAGATCGTTAGTGCGAAACTTGTTATATTTCCCCGCTTATGGTGGGGCAATATAAAATCTTCTTGTCAGGCACCACCTCCCTTCATCTACACCGCTCATGCGTGCGCTTGTACTCCAGAACTTTTACGGGACACAGTATCTTGTCGACCGCTCCCGCACTGTCTTCCAGTCCCTACTCGGTTCTTCCGTTCTGCTAAAGCTACCTCCACCTGTTGTCGCTTGAGTCCATCCAAGCCAGCTTCTCCCATCAAGAAGCTTATCAGAAGAAAAGGCCGATCACGGTCATCATGGAAAGCGATCTCGCCGACTTGGACAATTCACCACTCCCCTTTCTGCATCTTATGGGGTCCCTCAAGCGCCTGCCACGAACGGGCTGGTTGAGAACAATCGAAAACCCGGAGAGTGTCGCCGCTCACATGTACCGGTTATCATTGATGGGTATGTTGGCACCGGATAATACAAACATGGAAAGGTGTATATTTCTAGCCCTGTGCCACGACATGGCAGAATCAGTGGTCGGAGACATACCCACATTTGCTGGAGTAACCAAGGGTAAAGTGTAAGGTTTCTTACGAAGTTACCAAACGTTGACATCCGTTAGAACATAAGTACAAACTAGAAGACTTTGGTATCCTGTATATCGAGAGCCTGCTAGCCACCTCTAACCCAGCTGCAGGTAAGAAGATCAGGAACGCGTGGGTAGAGTACGAGGAATGCAAGACACCCGAGGCTCGATTTGTGCGAGAGATGGACAAATTTGAGTGTTTAATCCAGGCACATGAATATGAGCAAATGACGTTTGGTGAGAAGGACCTCGAAGAATTCCAGGGACTGTCTTCCAAGATCAGCTCTTTCGAAGGGAAACGTTGGATGAAGCTGTTGCAGCAGGAGCGGGAAGCCCATTTCGCAAAGCGAAGTCAGCGAACTCATGTCATCTTTGTCATTGGTATGACCACCCTGTTAGCCCTTAGAACAGAGGGATAATAACCACAGTATAGGCGGTCCTGGAGCTGGCAAGGGGACACAATGCGCTCTTCTGTCAGAGGAGTTCGGCTTCCAGAGCATAGACTTAGACGAGTTGCTGCGCGAGAAGGCTGATGACCCAACGTATTCCCATGCGAAATTCATAAGACGCTGCATCGAGGAAGACGTACAGGTGCCAGTCCAGCTAGCGATTAGCTTACTGGAGGCGAAAATCAACAAAGGAGTAAGGGAAGGGAAGAGCTGGAGTCTGGTTTGTGGGTTTCCGAAAAACATGGAGCATCTTATCGAGTTTCAAGAAAAGGTTAGTATTAAGCTACTTAGACCCAACTCCGCTTACGCCAGTAGGTCCAGAAGACAAACTACGCTCTGCTTCTGAGTTGCTCCCCAGAGGAGCTGCTCCGACGTAGTCAAGAACAGCATTCAAATGGAGCAGACGGTGCGTCGGATGTTCTGAGGAGAACTCGGGATATCCCGGTTCAGAATGCAGAAGTCCAGAATTGTCTAGCAATAGATGGATACTTTAGCCGGGTGAGGATTACAGTAGAGGCGTATAGACATCTACTAATTGATTTGCAGGTAAACGGAGATGGATCCGTGGCAGAGGTCTACGGACTTGTCAAAAACGCTGTGAAGGGGTTTGTGCAGCATGCTGAAGAAGGCAAATAGATTTGTTATGTTCAGCCAGAAAGCGTAACGGTCGCCGTGCCGTCAATAAATGCTTTTGACCTCATAGCCACTCTCCTCGAAAACCAAAGAACTTATCGTGAAGCCTACACTATTCGGATCTCCATCTTCATACAATGCACTCGCTTCCCGACCAATCAAGCCAACATTTCCTACTCAAGTCAGTGCCTTGAAGTGAATATATAGATATTCTCCGTAACTCACGTAGGCGCGTGACCTGTGCTTGAAGCCACTTCATGAGTAGCAGGACTCTCGGGTCATTATCTACCATCTCCTTCGATCCCTGTAGGTCCCATTCTATTTCCAGAGGTTTTAACCCCATCGAACAGTGAAAATGCGATAGAAGGGAGTTGCAAGAGATGGTCGCTTTCTCAATAAGCGTCTTGGGCTTCGACGGATGTATCCAGAAACCGATCTTGAACAGTTAGACTAATGACAGTTAAAGAAAGGGAGGTTTCGAACCGGATCTGCGTAGCGGCTCCAAAACAGGTTTCTGCCAATGTCCAGCTCACGAGTATGTAGGAGGATAGTCAATGCTATGGTCACAATCGGCCATTCCTTTCGATATCTCCTCTCCATCATAGCTTGCAGGTCCCTTAAGATCTCCTTGTCGAGTGCGATCATTTTCAACTCTAGCAGGTGGCCTATTTGATTCTGGATCATACGGGGTACAGGTTTAGTGCCGTACTATGCAGAGGATCTCTCTTCAACAGTGGCCATCCCTAGAGTTTCATCACCGGCAAATTGCCATGTTCGTCTCATAATACAGAGAGTAGTGTAGAGCTCTAAGCATCGCCTTATGATTGAGACCTTCATTAATTAGCTTGTCATTTGTGGACTGGGAAGATCGCTCACATCTTTGTACAGTTCTGCTGCCTGGAAGAAGAATGAGATTGGATTCTGGAAAGTGCACGCGTCACTAAGGGACGCTTCAACGCAGTCCCGAACGTAAGTTGATATATCAATTTGGGCTTTGCTCAAGCAATAGGCTGTTGTTCCCGTCCAATGCCAGCCGGACTGGTTTTGTCGGAGGACAGAAACCTGGTTCGGATGGTTTGCGAGGAATGGAGAGCATTCAATATCAAGGTAAGGACCGTGGGGATATTGCTGTAGTCTGGCAGTAGTCCTCGGACCTGTCGAGCCCCATACAGCAGTGAATAGAATCTCATATGATTCGTTTTTCCCTTGAAGACCTTAGCATTCCCACGGGGTGACTGAAGCAGCAGCGTACATTTTTCGAACGGTTTATGCTGTGTAAACCGCTCTGGAAGACATATCTGCATAGGAAGTCCATGTAGGATGCATCGTTCACAACGATATTCTCCTCCTACCCTACGGCACTGAGTAGATATTAGTCTTCCGGCTAGCACCTCATTTGGCGGGGCAAATACCTCTCTCCTGAAAGCCCAACACCCAACACAACGAGAAGGCCTGGCAGAAGGAGAGGAATGCTTCCTAGTGACTCGTGGAAGGGGGCCGAAATGACACGGCAGTTCGGAATCAAATAATCGTGCAATTGTTGGGTAAAACCGAGCCGAAGCAGCTTCAATGGGTTCTAGGATTGGAGTGAAAGAAGCAGTTGACGCAAAACCCAGAGTCGCTGCATGGTGTTCTGAATTGGTGGTATGGTCGGGAAGGTAGGGAAGAGGCTGCGCGGCAAGTGGCTCGAAAGTGGGTGTATTGCTTGTATGGATTTGAGCTGGTTGAAGATATTCTAGATTAACGGTATTATAGGGAAGGTAGGTAAGAGGCTGCGTGGTAAGTGGCTCGAAAGTGGGTGTATTGCTGCATGGCCACGTGGTCGTCGGGTACGCATGCTGAGGGCCCGGGCCGCAAAAGCTTCAAGTCCATTGCTAGGGTCGCATACTTCGTATTTCTAGCGTTGATAGCAGAAGGCAGAAACAGGCTGTAATCTCGTGGCTATTGGGATCAGGTTCTCTCGCGGAGGAACGAGGCAGACGTTGTGGCTTAGCGCCTTGGCATTAGCGCTAAGTGCTAAAGTGGCTAGCGCATCGTCTCCAACGGCTTCCTTGTCTCCTACACGATTCGTCGTTTCACGCCGCAGCCTCACGATGGCGCTCGTATTCAATGCCGCCTGTAGGGGTCAGTGCATCAGTATAGATTGGTGTCACGGAATACGAACGCTATTATGACAAGCTCCCGTCTTTGATAAACAGACAACACCCCGACTCCTCAAAGCACACGCGAGCTTCGTCCGTCATTTCAGCTACCTCCCTAGCCTATAAGCATTGCTGTGTCCTCGTTTTTGCATCATGTTCACTTACCTCATCCTCGCAATCGCACAACTATCAATCGCACAAGATGGCCTAAGAGACCTGCTTCCTTTTCAAGGAACAACAGCGACTTTTTTCTCCAACACGAGTAGCTTGGATTTGGCGTCTCCGCTCCAGCTATTCAGACGGCAGTTGCAATGCGAAGACCCAGGGTACGGTTCGTCGAATTTCCCATGCGGCCACAAGCACAGTCAGATTGGATTGATTGATGACTTGTTGAATCAGTCCCTTGTGCGGATGGCTTGCACTGCTGTCTGCCTACCGATGATTGCTATCCGGAGCTGGATATGTGCTGTATTAAGGGCGGCGTGACGTGCGGGTATCACGAGTGCTATGAGGAGGGCGCAACATGCTGCCCGGATACAGGCGCCTGTCTCAGCACCAACAACGAGACCTGCTGTAACACGGCATCGCGCAGCGGCTGTTGTCGATCCGGGACCTCATGCTGCTCAGAGGCCAACGCGTGCTGTCTGGAAGGCGAGACCTGCTGTGCTGAGAGTTGCTGTTCATCAGGCACAGAATGCAAGAACGGCCAGTGCGTATCTCCGGTGCCTGTTCTCGAATTGCCCTACACACCCCTCGTCCTCGACGAGACGGTCAAGAACATGTGTCTCTGGATCCGCGACCAGAACCAAGCGAACCCGAACGAGATTGAGCTCACGTACAGTATTGTACGCAATGATGGGGGGAAATGCAAGGGATGCTGCAAGAACGTCGCGGTTCCGCAGGGTCGGGAGTATGAGGGCGAGAAGACGACGTGCGATGAGGCGCCGTTTGCGAAAACATACGAAGCACTTAATTCGGGAGCGCATCTTGCGTGCGTGGATTGGTACGAGAATTCTTTCCAGGGATGGTGGTTTGGGCAATGGTCGCGGTACACGAGGGCAACTGTGCCTGGCTTCAAGGATGGATCCAAGTTTATCGTGCGGATAACGGGGCTGGAGTGTTCGACGGTCAAAGAGTCGGATCTTCAGGGCTGTGGTTCGTCGGGGACGCCTAATCCGACTCCAAGGCTTCTTATTAAACGTGATGATAGATCCACGCCGACTTCTGGATCAGAGAGTAAGCGGAAGGTTCATTTGTTGATAGGAGAGCTTACTTACTTTTCGTGCAGCACGGGTAATTCCCTCGTCAGTCGCCAACTCCACCAACAATCTTGTCATTGTGCCATTTGGGGATCTCGAGGCAGGAACGTAAGTACCGGTAATTCCAGCTTGATCCAGGCAAACCCGCTCACTATTCCCAGATATAGCATGCAAGCCAAGCTTTCCGGTTCTGTCGCAAATGCGAGCCTCTGGGATAACATGGGGGATGAAGTGGACGGGTGAGTAGCCCAAAGCTTTCCCTCTCGTAACAGCAACGGATGAACAAGCACTGATTACAATATCTTATATCTAGTTCGACACGCGCAACTGCCGACGACATTACTTCTGGAAACAGCTTCGAGTTCACTGTCTTGGACTCCGCTATAGGTGCTGCGCTGCTCATTGAGACGCAGCAGAAGGAGGTCAATGTAACATGGAACTTTCGGCCGGCTTCTTCAACAACGTCTTCGGTGACGACGGGGCAAACTTCGACGAACTCGCAATTGCCGCCATCGACCGCACCCAACAGGCCTTCGAGTGCTGTAGCGTTGGTACTCATGCCGGGGTCTGCGTTGCTGGTGCCCTTAGCAGGGTTGCTCTTACTTCTGGTGTAGGGCATGGCGTAGATCATCCTAGTTTATACATACCTCTTCTAGGCTCTGAAAATGTAGGGTTCGCTTCAGGCCAACCCCAGAATAAAATGTGACAGATTCCATGGTAATGGTGTCGCATAATTGTGACAAGAACCGGTTCGAAAGCTGGGCTAGATCTGCAGATCCAAGAGCTTATGAAGGATCATGTAGTACTGAGCTGTACTCTGGGACGCTAGGCCTGACAAACGGCGAAAGCACGAGAAATTGGAGGGCACGCGGAGAAAAGGGTCTTTCTTCACACTTTCGCAGGCATAAAGTAGTCGAATGAGATCATTACGTACTATTTCGGTCCTTATGTCATAACTAAGAGTGCTTGAGTTTAGTTCTCCAGACCCGGCGTCCGGTAGAGCTACGCATATTTCGCTATGCATGGAAAAACGTGTTGGTCGAAGCCTCCAGCACAGAGATGCCCACGGTGGCTCATTCTTCGTCGATGTCCATGTACTTGTGTATGTACACTAGTTGTGTGCTCTTCTCCAAGTGTTTGCCTATGGCATCGATGTCAAGTAGCTCATGAGCCCTTGCTCTATAGTAGATACCAGGATTAAGCTCATCTTCACGCAACAATATGCCAACTCTTCCCATCTCGCCGTGGCCGAGAGGCATTAGCCACGTGTTTTTCGGCCAACGTAAGAGATCGCATGTGATTTTAAGTCCTTTATTGGTGATTGAAAACTCAGGTCCACATGTGTCTGCTCCAAAGTACCATCGGTATCCGGCGAACTCTTGAGGCGACTCTGCCATGATTCCTCGGCGGAGCAACGTATTGCGTTCAGCTCTCCATGCAAACAGGGTGAGGTCGTTCGTCTGCTTTATTATTTGCTCCTGCAGTCTTAAGAATGCCTTCTTGCCCTCGCCGTATAGTAGTGGTAGATTGACGTTGAAAATCCCGAAGAGACAGTAAGCTATGTCTTCTTCCCTTGTCGTCTCGCGCCGTGCAGCCCATGACATTCGTGTCGCCACCGGTATACTGTTGAGGGGCAACGAGCCACGAATCACTAGCGACGATATTCCAGTGATATCGTCAAGAGTGTAAGCAAGGCCCTCTTTTGTTCCGAAAAGCTGCCATTGAGCATCGTAGAAGCGGACATCGCGTGGCGCGATCAGTTCTTGCAGGGTCCAGCCTCGTGTGAACCATCGACAGCGACTGATATCGGTGGCGCGGCCCGGAAGACGGAAGTCGCTCAGGTAGACATAGCACCTGGCAGACCTCCGGTACCACTTGAACACTGAAGAAGATTTGTCGATACAGCAGGTGTCTATCCAGACCCATGCATAGCCATCGTTTCGTGCGAGCTCACATGTCTTGAATATCTTCTCTGAACCCAGCTTCTGCCTAAGTTCCTCGACGCCGCAGTAGTCGTTGAAGGAGATCTCGTGTGCTTCCCATGTGTGCGAAAGGATAGCGTATGGGGGTATTTGCTTGCCGATGAACTCTTCGAACTGCAGGGTGACACAGTTGATAAGTCGCATTGCTGAGGATGGGTGTCATGTTGAAGAGTCTAGCTCGACGCTGGCTAGGCTGAGAAGACTGGGCTCTAGGGCTGAGGTTGGAGTTGCAGTCGCGCTATTCCCTTTTCGAACCGCGCTAACCGTATTTGGGTTGCGGTGGAGGTCTTGTTTGAACGTCCAATCAACTGGTTGTTCACACCTCAGGCAGTGCTCCGTCACAACATCATCCAGTCTCAGTCCCAGGTTAAAAGAGATGCGATTCCACTACTTCTCTCTCCTCTCTGCACCATTCTATCCTCCTTGACTCTGCTTCTCACTGCTACACAAGAGCCGGCCAACGCGAATTTCTCTCAAATCAAGCTGCAACCGTTACCGCTTAGCTCAACACTCTTGACGTACCAACATGGATACCATAGGCCCGGAAATGCTGCCAGAACTGCCATCGCGGGGATCGAAGAGGAAGCCCACACTCGGTGAGGCTCCAGTTACCAAGCGTCCGAGGAAGACATCGCACGCAATGCCAGCCGGGGTGTTCTCCTGCTTCACGCTGGACGGTAAGGACGCGAGTCTCCACCGGAGATCCGCATTCTCTCTTAAAAGGAAAGAGGAAGTCAGGGGCATCAGGAAAAAAGGCGCTTGTCTGAGATGTAGACTTCTCAAACGGGCTGTATGTCATGATTCCGCTAGTACTGGCTTACGCGCAAAAGCTGATGATGATAGTGCTCGGGCGAAGATCCATGCAAGACATGCATTGCTGCTGCCAGGGCAGCAGCGAATTCGAAGGCCTTGATGTGGATGGAGTGCATCCGACCGTCTTTTCAGATGATGAACATCTTCGACACAGGTACACTCCAGCCTGATCGGGATATTTATCGATTGCTGAAGATTATACAGGCCATCAACTCCCTGGCGAAGCCCGCGTCAACGACATAGTGAACAGTCTACTTGATGACGACGTCTCCCTAGGTTTCCACATTCCCTTCGCCCTCAACGTGGAAGCCGCATCGTCTCACCTCGCTCGATGGCTGTCTGACGATGACTCGCCATCTACATTCAGTGTCGTCGGGATCTTCTCCTGTAGCACGAATACAAATTTACTTCAGAACGCCCTGGATCCTAGCCTTGGGAGGGACCTACGACTCTTCGTGCATCTGACCACGTATATGTACACGACTGGGATGGAGGGTGGCTACCAAGAGTACACTGATGGGGAGATCCAATCCGTACGCGATTGCGTGGGGCATAGACTTCTGATATCGTTTGACGCGCTGCTCAGACCTACCGAGATGGAAGCCTCCGGGGATAAGCTTGGGAAGTTGAAGTCCTTATTCCTATTGTTGTTGGGCACTATCGTGGGTTTGAGGTACACATACCCAGAGGCAAGTTGTCCGTAGGAGAGATTCCTTGCCTTAGTCCATTGCTAACATAATGGCGTAGGTGATAGAGAATCCTGGGCCAGGACGGTCCGCGCTTGAGTCGAAACAGGAGGCATTACTGCGACTGCTGTGCCACTATCTCATCTACATCGGCAAAGCCACCTCCCTCCTCGAGAATTCGACTGACGAGAAGTCCCTCCTCACAAAGTGGAAAACCCAGTGGAACAAACCGGCGGAGTTCACGTGGCACCCCGCTAAAGGACTGGAAATGCACTACCGGATAGAGCCGCCCGCTGACTGGATCGTCTCTTCCTCCGAGGATGAATCGTTGAGCAGCATCGACATTGATCTTTCGGAATTCGATGGCATCGAGCAATTTACACAGAATGCGGATCTGCTGAAGTGCAACTCTTGCGGTATGTTCTGGACCAGCTTGGATGCGAATGGCTTTTGCCAAATCTGCCGGCCTGATACGTCTAGTGAAGGCCCGCTCTTCCTGCAATCACCATTCCTTGAGGGCTTTGATTTCATTGATATCTTTGGGGCGAGCAGTCCGAATAGTAACTTGGCTAACACCGAGTTGTCTTCCTCCTTCGACCACCAACCACTTCAACGCTTCTCAACGGCTTCACAGGAATCACACAGCACCTGCCTTTCCTGTGAGAAGGTGATTGAAGTCGGTAGCAACTTCTGCTCTCAAGCGTGTCGGCTATGTTATTCGGAGCACACGGATGTTATCGATCCACAGACTCCCTCCAAGTTAGCGATCGCCTACTCGCCGCTCACAGTTCCACCTATTCCTCCGTCCCTTAATGACAGCGCACGACCAGCTCAGGAACTAGGTCTAGCGCCGTCCGACCAAACAGCCAGCTACTGGTCCTCCGGCAACAACGCGGCTCCAGAAATTTCCACTCATTGGCTGGGGTTGGAAAATGGAGGGGAGCAACCTCCCGACGCGGAACTAAGAGCGGAAATGGAAGGGAAAGAGGAAATAATAGGCCGCTCTGTACCCGGACCTCAGCCCTCAATCCTGTTGCCGTCTTCTGACCATCTCCAAAGCTCTGCCAGCGCGGAAACTGACGGGCTTGACCCGAACTCACAACCACCCATCCCGCCACCTACTCTCAGTCGCGCGAACAATGGCCGTGCACCTGCAAAGCAGAAGAAAACATACTTCTGTGACGCTTGTAAGGATGAGATGTTTCGCCCGCCAAAAAACTGGCATTTCCATCGGACGAAATCTTCGGATTATAGGACCTGTGTATGGTGCGGGTCCCCTACATTCGACTACGAGTGCACCGGGAATTGCCGGGATGGTACGGATAGGACAGGGAGGCTGAGACTACTCATTTGATGAAGACCTTTAACGAGCTTTCTCATGCGGCTGCCAATATCTTGATGTACTGAACGAGTTTCGTTGAATTTCATTTCGCCCAATTCCTTCGTACATTTCTCCACTTTGGTACTAGCAACAAGAGAAATTATGTTTCATGAATAGTCCTATGTGATCGGCCTTTACGCATAGCCAACTTCCCTGCACCTCGCCTTCGCCTGGCTCAGCAACATCACTACACCCATTAGTCTCCTGCTTATACACTCACTCTGCCCTCCCTTGTTCTACGTCACTCACGTGTTTTCTCCACACCAATCAGGATGGGTGATAAGGCGCGATCTCAGGCCACTTTACACAATGAGCGAGCGACTACGTAGTAAGACCATTAATCTTTCTCCACACCACTTTCCCTGATACGAGATGCCATCACCGAGCGTAAACCGATGCTCACACCTACTCCCACTGTCTGTTGGTGAATCTTTCGGCCTGGGCAGTGAGTTGGGGGGAAGTGAGAGTTTCGTTTAGTTCGACGGCGACATGCCCGTGGGGGCAAAGTCTTGATTCGTCTTGGGACCCTACGTGACATGCAAGCCAGATCGTTTGTCTGCAACGTTCAGCGTGAGGTTGTTTATGTTCGCTCACCTACGTGAAATGCTCGGATCTTTCTCAGGTTAAAGTAGGTTGGCAATCGAGCGCTCCAGCTCCTCTACCTGTTCCTCGAAGATCCCGTTGACAAGGGCTCGTCTGTAGGGGGGTTCCTGCGCGCGCACCCCCAACTCCGGACTTGAGGCTTGCCCAAGCATCCGAGATGCGTTACCTATGCCGACAGCATATGTGGTATAGAAGTCAAACCTGTCCGTGATCTCATCTTCGGATCTTATCTGCCCATACTCCGCAATATCCGCATTCTTGACAATGTATAACAGCTCGGTTGTGTAGATGTCTCCCTCCTTCTCCCCCGCGAGGGTATCTGGCAAACATCTATATATTCTCCCCCAGCGTTCCATTAGGAAGACGCCTAAGGGTAAACGCACCCAGCTGCTGGGCTTTTGGCAGTTGAGAGGCATGAATATTGTGGGGTTTGGGCCTGGCAGACGCAAGATTGAGGTCTCAATCCGTAGACCCTTGTTGGTGAGAGTGAACTCGGGGTTCTTATTCACGTCTGTCTTGGAGTGTATGTCTCCAGCGGACGCAAATTCGCGTGGTGACCGAGCGAGGAGACCCCGACAGCATTGCTCGCCTTCGCTCGACCAGGCAAACAATGTTAGGTCGTTGCTTTCTTTCATGATTTCTTCTTGAAGCCGAATGAAAGCTCTTTCGCCTCCTTCGCCGTACAGGAGAGGCAAATTGACGTGGAAGATCCCAAAGAGACAATAAGCGATGTCTTCCTCTCTCGTGGTTTGCCGCCCAGCTGCCCAAGACATTCTCTGTGCAATAGAATATTCGCTGTATCGCCGAGACATTGTTGTCTTAAAGACAGGTTCCGGGATCGTTGTGATCTCTGAAAGGATGCTACTGATTTGAAGTCGTGACCCAAAATATCTCCAGTGGCAATCGAAGAACCAGACATCCCTGGGTGCAAGAAGCTCCTGCAACGTCCAACCTCTGTAGAACCATCTGCATTTAGACAATACTCTTTTCGCATTAAGCGACGCTGCTATCGGTTGATCGTCACCACGGAGCTCGTCGAAGTCAAAGTCGCTTAGATACGCGTAACACCGCCGGGCGGCCCCGTACCACTTGAACATGGAATTGATCGCCTCGCTAAGCTCCGCACTGCTGCTTTTATCGATGCAGCACGAATCAACCCACACAAACTCGTATCCATCTTGAATCGCTCGCTCGCAGGTCCTGAAAAGTTTTGCCGCCGATTTGGGGTGCCTGAGGTGGGCCTTAGGATTGTAATATTCCTTGAACGATAGCTCTTGCTCTTCCCAGGTATGTGAGAGGATGGCATACGGCGGTATATTTTGTCCGAAGAACTCCTCAAGATGACGTGTCCGACAATTGATGAGCCTCATAGCCTGGTGGTTCCTCGGCTGGAAGGGAGTGACCCGGCGAGGAGAAAGATCAATCCGACGAAGCGTATTCCGCTCCTGTAGTAATTTACCGCGGCCCAAACAAAGCGAGGCGAACTTGGAAAGAGATTGGCTCTGTGAGTTGGGCTGTTGGCGGAGTGGGGTAAGGCGGAGGATGAGGCCAGCCTAGACGCTCGGCTCTGGATTTTGTGATGCGGCAGGTCAATCCGACGACCACGCTCTAGCTCTCTTCAAGCCCCGCAGAGGTATATTTCCGGGAACAGGAAGGAAAGGAAGGGGAGATGTTGCAAGGTGTTGGTTGAATGGGGAAGGCTGAGGTGTAGCCCCGGGGAGAGCTGACCGTTTAGAACCCACTAGTACCCTTTCGGTTTAGCTCCACATTCGAAAGGAAGGAACGCCCAGCCCGTCTTCCACTGCACTGAATATGTCCAATTATCCTATTCGAATCATGCCATCTAGTTCGCGAATAGCTAACCTTATGCTGACTGAAATGCGGTGAAATACTTCCCATGTTCAAATTCCGGGTATCTGAAAGGCGTGCTCGTGCTTGCTTGCTAAGACAAAAGAAAAGAGCCAATGAATAACACAGGGCTCACGAACATACAGACCAGCCCTTTCCCTCTAGTCTAGTCTCAGTCAGGGGGGCTGTTCTTCCCTCTCTTGTTCCTCCCCTCGTTGGGCTCAGAGCTTTGCTCAATCGCTCTTCCAGTGACTGGTCAACCGCCCATCGTCATCCTCTTTCGATATCTTAAGCTCGATGGCATAGATGGCCATCGTGACGGCGAGGTTGATCCACCGCCAAAAATTCCCTCCCGTGTCGCCGCCTTGGTTCTTCCACCACTCGCCTTGTACGGCGCTTCCAGCATCGCCACCATTTCCGCTTGCGAAATGCTGCATCAACAGACTTGTGTAGACTGCTATTAGGATGCTAGGGCTGAACCACGTTAGGAACCCTAGCACCTTAGTTGTCTCGTCATCATCATCGAGACTTGGTTCTTGGGATAGCCCTCGCGCGCCGCTCTCCTTTACTGCGGGAATGATGCGAGCCGCCGCGTACATGACGAAGACGCGGTAGGCAAGAGATATTATTACGCTCGGGGTTACAGTCATGACGGCTCCGACCATGAGGTTGAAAGCAGTGTGCGTAATTGTTGGAAGCGACCCGAGGGCATGCAGGAGGGTGGTGTAGGAGGCCATTATTATCGGAGGAAGGGGCGGCAATGCTGGCTCGGAAGGCATGTCGGCGGCGGCAGCGGAGCCTGGCGATGGCTGATAATCGGTGAAGATCTGGTAGATGCACAGAGTAACGTAGGCAAACTGGGACTCTCGTTAGCCTGACGCTCGACGGGCGAAATGAGGAGCATACGAGTAGTGATGATTCCACCGGGTTGCCTCGTCCGCTAACAATGCCCCATGCACAGAGGAATATGGCTGTTGTGATGGCTACGCCGATGAGGATGGCGTCCACGTTGCTGATCTCGGGGAAGGTGGTTATCCGCCAGAGGAAGTAGACAGAGGTCGAGATGACGGATGCCGAGCCGATGAGGAGTCCGATCTGCTATGCCATTAGCCCCGAGCCGATCTCAAAGCCAGCAGGACTCTTACCATCCAGCTATCGCCCCGCTCTCTGTTCACAAGCCATCGCGTAATCTGGCCCGCAGCCTGGATGACTAACAGACTGCAGAAGCCCTCTCCGACCTGGAAGACGGGGGTGCTGTATCTTAGCAACTTGTCCCAGCTCCCGATTGTCGCCGTCTCCAACAGCCCGTTGACGCCAAATATCCACTCATACACACTCGTATCCTGCGCCCTCTTCCCGCCAAACGTCCGCTCCACCCAACCGGAGCTGTTGTCCGAGTCGATGGAAAATTTATTCAGGCTCCATATCAGCAGCGTGGATATCATCAGCCACTGTGTCCAGGCGAACAGCTTGCACAATGACCATCTAAATCTGGAGTCGTCGGGCGTTGCTAAGCGGAGGGCCGAGTAGACGAAGTAATAGGTGCTGAGAGACAGCGAGAAGGCGAGCCCGCATGTCCGGCCGCCGATGTCGAATGCTAAGGGTATCGTGAATATTATAGCGCCCAGGAAGACTGTCGAGGAGAGCACCCTGGTGAGCCACATCTGCCCACGCCGTCCTCGCCAAGCTCGTGCGTCGACGAGCTCGGTCTCTGACGTGCGTTGCGGCTGGATGGAGGTGCAAGAGGCGCGTAGGACGCGCAGGCTGCGCGGCGGGGGACGACGACGGTCAGCTGCGGCGCGGGGAGGGGTCGTCGGGCGGCGGCGGACGTGGTGGAGTTTGTCGAGGCGGGTGTGCCGCGTCTCGCTATTCTGGCGTCGATGCTTGGCGGGACCACCTTATCTTCACGTGCAAACGGCGCCGTGCGTGGTGGAGCTCGAGCTCGGGCGGGGAGAAGGAGGATAGACTGCGGGAGGTCAGATATGGCAGACGGTGTGCCAGGACGGCCGAGGATGCAGGCGGAGAAGGGGTGCAGGCAGCGGCGGCGGCCTCAGTCTTCGCGACCAGGCACGACCAACTCATTGGCTCTTGATGTCGCGTGCGAGCGGCCAGGATGATTGGAGATCCCGCAGCGCCGGGCCAGGGGCGGGCAGCGGGCCTGGGGGAGGTACTCACCGCGTCCGCCTCTCAGTGCCAACGGGAGCGCAAGGCAGGTCCAGCAGCTGCTCGGACTGCAGCGAGGGGACGGAAAGGACAAGTTTCTGATGTCAAGCGGAGAGGTGCTCTCGCCGCGGTGCCGAAATTGTCAACGGGCTTGCCTGAAATTGCGTAGCGCCCGCCGAGGAAACGGCCCGCCAGATCCATCATCCGCCAAGCACCTTGACCTCACTTTTATATGCAGCCGCCGTTCCAGAACACCCCGAGCAGTGAATGTGTGGCCCGAGAACCAGCTTTGGCCGACTTGCTAGAAGCCTCAAGACTGTGCCAACGCGCTCCGTTCCGCTCCGCCGCCTTCAGCCCTCTCATCTGCGGACCATGGCCACCGAGAACCCCGCGAAGAAGCTCAAAATGGACGGGCCTCTAATAGGGACGCATAGGCAGGTCCTCTGCGCTGGCTGAGTTCCGTCAAGCTAACAGGCACCCCAGCGGCCACTTCCACGCCGACGAAGCCCTCGCGGTCTCCATGCTCCGCCTCTTGCCCACGTACGCGAACTCAGCCCTCGTCCGCACCCGCGACCCCGCCGTGCTCGAAACCTGCCACACCGTCGTCGACGTCGGAGCGGTACACGACGATGCGCTCAAACGGTATGACCACCACCAGCGGGAATTCACAGCCACGTTTCCCGGCCACAGCACCAAGCTATCCTCCGCCGGTCTCGTATATATGCGCTTTGGCAGGGACATCATTGCGGCCGTGACAGGGCTTGCTCCTGGCCCCGACCTTGACATCCTTTACGAGAAAATATATACCGACTTCATCGAGGCATTCGATGCGAACGACAACGGCGTCGATGTCTATCCGGGCACGCAACTTCAGGCCGCTGGTCTCGCGAAGAGGTTCGAGGACCGTGGATTCAGCATCGCCAGTGTTGTCAACCGCTACAACTACACCAACTCCAAGGCCGATGATTCCGGAAAGAGCAAGGAGGAGAAGCAGGCCGAGGAAGACGCGCGCTTCGCCAAGGCATCCGCGTTTGTGGGCGAGCAGTTCCTGCTCGAATTGACAGACCGCGCGAACTGGTGGCTCCCTGCTCGTCATGTTGTCAAGAAAGCATACGACGAGCGTCTGCAGTACGACCCTCAAGGCCGCATTCTAGTCCTCCCGGAAGGCATGCCGTGGTCTGATCACCTCTACACGCTCGAGAAAGAGTCTCCCATCCCGGAGGGTGTTGCGCCGGAAGTCCTCTACGTCCTGTTCCCCGAAAATACCGAGCCCGGCAGCAAGTGGCGTATCCGCGCCGTTAGCAAAGAGAACGGCGGCTTCCAGAACCGAAAGGACCTTCCCGACCCATGGAAAGGGGTTCGCGAATCTCAGCTCGACGAAGTCACCGGTATCCCCGGTGGTGTCTTCGTGCATGCTTCCGGATTCATCGCCGGGAACAGGACTTTCGATGGCGCGCTCGCGATGGCGAAGAAGGCTGTAGAGTTCTAGGCCTCATTTCACCGTAATTGGGCAAACCAGGGGGGGATGATGCGCATTCGGGGACAGCTATGATATGATCAAAAGCTGTCTGATACACCAGCACAAGCATGACTCGGCGTTTTAGAGCATGATAAAAGTTATGATACCATGAAGACTATGGTTGGATTTCTCTACGGGAAAATAATAGATGGGTACCATCAAATCGATGGTTTGGTTCTCGTCCTCTCCTTCGCGTAAGCCACGTGTTCTCGCTTCACACCTTTCATCCCCGTTTTGGTTTCTCTTCTCGAGATCTCTACGTTGCAAGGCATGCTCGGTGACATCCACATCTTCCCCTTGTTCGACTTCTTTTGCGTGCTCTAACTCCGCGTAGCTAGACAGTCCGTCCCCACATGCAACGGGTCGCGGCAACCAGTCTGTTCCATGAATGCAATTTCCCACATCATGGCCTCCAATATTGACCCCGCCATCTGTCATTCCTCTCCCTTGGATTCACCACCAAACCACCAAACCACCCTCACGCACACCTCTTTACCTCAACCACCTTCTCGCCTCACCACGTGCAGACCAACCCTCCACTCTCCCCTTTCATCACCATCACAAACAAGCCTCCAAGCCCAGTCCTTCAAAGCCTTATAAAAAAGCTTCTTAGGCTCCTCCACATTCGCCGCATGCGCAATCTCTATCACCGCTCGCACAGCTTCCAAGCGCTCTCTTAGCAGCTCTATCAGCACGTCGGTTACTCCCCTCTCGCCAGGTCATTTTTTACATCCGATAGCTCATGCGGGAATCTATAATATCCTCTCCATTAAGTCGCCAGCGGCAAAGTAGTCGACGAAACAAAACAAAGAGTAGCCCGAGGAACTGGGCTATGTTTCGTGTGTATGGCACTGTTGGCGTATGATTAGGATGGGAGCGGTGTTCATGGAAATTGATAAGCCTCATCCTCTTTCGCTGTTGCTCGATGTGTGCGGGGGAGGATGTAGCTGTACGGACTGTTATTTTGAAAAGAGAAGCGGTATATTTAGGGGTGATGACTAAGCATTGTAAACCGACCTGACCTAGCGAAGTTACAAGACAAGGCACCTTACGCGCGATTTGAAGCTCGCCTGTACTGCAGCGCAGACACTTGGCAGCCGAAGGCGTAGACCCGGCAGAACCCAGAGGGTAAAGGCACCTAGGTTATTCCTTCTCGTCGAACTTCCCGATTTGCTCATCAAGCAGGCTCCGCATTCGCCTCCCGGATAAGCTAGCCTCCGACTCTCCTCTCAGCCACCACCACCCTCTCACAAACGATCAGCCCAGGAGCAAACCTAGAAACCTCCTTCCGCACCATCAGAACCCCCGTATCAAGCCGTACATCATCTCCCCCAACAAGATCCTTCGCATAGCGTGCAGCCACATCCACCATCTCCTCCAGAATGCTCTCCATTTCCCGGCCCCCAGCATTCCTACTCGCGTAAACCAGCCGCAGCCGCACGGAAGCTTTCCTGCAGCGACCGTACAGCGCCTCCATCTTAGGCGAGCCGCGAGGCCGTCCTAGCGTACGGTCGTAGTCCCAGAACAGTTGCAAATGTATGTTGCGTACGTCCAGCGTGGCCAGGGACTCCGCGAACAGACCGGAATCGTGGGATGTTTGAAGCACACCCTCGGACCGTTTACCATCCAGCACCATGCAGATATCCCAAGCAACCTTCCTTATACGCCCGCTCATCAGCAGCGTGTGCTTCTTATCGTGCACCTTCTGCGGTGCTGGTGGGCCCCAGCTTACGTTCAGGCACCTAGGTACTCCGTAGCGGAACTGCGGTCCGAAGATGCGAGTGCGTGAGAAAGCTTGCATTGCCTCGTCGAGGATGAGTTTGCTCGTGCGGATCCATTTGGGTAGGCCGATGGCGAAGTCCTCGCCATTCTTGGGAGCGGCTACGCTCCATATGCCTCGATACTGGAAGACGATGCCGACATTTCCCCATGCGTGCTCGTAGATCTCGTCTCTGAGCTCGCGGGGGAGGAGGTAGAAGGGCGATGTAGTGTTGTGTTCCTCGGCGTTCTGGGAGCGCGTGAGGCGCTGGCGTTTGGTGAGGCAGATTTCGTTGCCGTCGTATTTTCTCTTGCTTCGGAGAAGCATGGTTGGGTGGAGGCGTTCGAGGTTGTGGGTGTGTAGGTTGTGGTGGGGAAGCTTGAAGGGAGGTGGTTTTCTTTCTGTCTGGGGTTTTGCTTAGTGCTTCGCCTTACTGTTGGGACTCGGTTGACACATAGTTCCAACTTCCCTACCATACGGGTCTTAACATACGTATCCATCCTTGGAACAAGATATTTCCAACCCCGTTTAAGCGCCCAGGCTAATGCCTTTACACGTGAAAGGGACAGGAGCCATTCCAAATTAGGAAGTAGCAGTGAAATAGGTTCTCTATGGGCAGTCGGCGGCAGACAAGGATCGATTAAGCAGGTCAAAATTGTCTTGTCACAATTAAATGCGGAAACGTATTTCATCGATACGTACGAATGCTGTGCTCCGTGCTTATAATTTGCTTTCGGCCATCACAGCTTTTTCTCCTATCTCTCGTCGCCGCCTCACCTCAAGAGCGACGTCAAAGCCTATGCGGAAAATGCGTGTGCGGGGAAATATGACAGATTTCATCATCCTCTTTGAGAAATCTGTGCAATCTGTCTCCTAACAACAGGCGCAGGCCGGCCGTTTTGCATAACTGTTAACCATCATCCGCAGTGCGTGGGATAGGGTGCGCAATGGAGGGAGGAGCTGGACGATCGGCGACGAACGACGTGGTGCTGGCAGGGGTGGTTGCCAGTTCCATCTGGAGTGTGTCATTGACGGGCTTATCAAGCGGGCACCACGGTTGTTTAAGTAGATATCGCCAGAACATGCAGAGCAGTAGTGTGTGCTTTGGTGGAAGCCGTCCGATGTCGTATAGACTCTGTGATGCCGCAATATCAGTTTCGGAGTGGAGAGAGGGACTCAAGTGGCAACCTTGGAAGGTAGCCCTTTGGTGTGGGGATATCAAGAAGGTGCGATTTACTAGGACGGTTGGGAGCCTTGCAAAGCTGGAAGGCTACCGCGTGTACGTTACGATAGAACGAAGGTGCTATCGGAAAGCAAGGAATGAACGGCCCTTGGAGGGCTACCTAAGCTGGAGAAGTATAAGCTGACAGCTAGTGGACGAGGTGTGGATGAACCGTAAACGGACATTCTGTTCTGTATAGCTAGCAGCTTTCGCACTCTCCCTTCACGATTCAAGGCCGTATCAATCCATCTGATACAACCCAACTGCCGCCGTCTCAAATAGACTATACACGAAGTGAAACTCGTCATCCTGTGTCCTGACGGACCATGTGACATGTAACCAAAGAGATAATGGCCGGTTCGGCGTATGAGTTAAACAACCTGACGAAAGGAAACCCAAGGAGACAAGCGGACGTGTCATCTAGACACACTTAATATTGACCGAGAACGCCGGACCTGGCCCCGTAGCCCGTGTAATCCAAGGAAAATCGACCGTGGTGGCAGACGCCAACAGCCACATTTTGGACGCAGCCTCCGAATTAAGCTGGACAAATTCGATGACGGAGAAAACAACGCATGTGAGACAGGGCTCCACAGCGCCTATGCCTTCGCCGACTCGTCGTCTTGCTCCTCCTTCTCGATATCTTCGGCGGACGTTTCTCGATTCAGGCTCGTTTCGCGGTGCAGGAACGTGTGCTCCTTGACTGGGCTGCCGCCGCCATGGCCCTTGTCCTGGCCGTTCTGCTGCCTGTTATCGTTATACGATGGCGGAGCGATGTGCGGGATCTTCTCGGGCACCGGGTGCTCGCGGCCGATTTGGGTGACGCCGATATCTGAGGCTTTGCCGGCTTTGGAGAGAGCGTAGTCGCCGCTGTCGAAGTACTTGCGCTCCTGCGGGGTAGGCAGTTAGCAAGGAGCCAGCGAATACATGGCCGGCCAGCGTACCTTGAGCTTGTTCTGCAGCAGGTCCTTCTTGTTGGGCAGCTTCCCGTAGAGGCGGAAGAGGCGTGCCTCGTCCGGGGACAGTTTCTGTGTCATTATGTCAGAGCTCGTTGTTCCTAGTGCACTGCGCGGCGCTGCGAGATAGCAGCCCACATGGCAAAATGCCTGCGCAAGGGGAGCGCCGTTGACGTACGCTGATGTCCACCTTGTTCTGCTGGTGCGGGTTCATTGTTGCGGATGCGGATGGTCGGTAGGCAGCGGAATGCAAATGACGTGGGCGGACAGAGGGGGTTGTTGTGTGCGAGGAGGTGGGAAATGTGCTGTGTTTATTCTTTGCCCTGCGGTCGCCAGGGAGAGTGTTCAGGGTCGCAGCTCGTTAAAAGTTCCGACGTCGTTGGCTCGCGTTGACTACGGGGAGCAGGGACAAGGACAGGGTGAATAATGTTTCGCCGTCGCTCCGGCACCCAACGCTGAGCAGCGCGCGATTGGGCGTCGACTGGTTTGGGCGAGTGCTTCTGCTGCCGTCTGCCAACTCAGACCGTCAGCGCCGCCGCGACTCTTATGTATGTCTCTTGTTGCGGGGGGGCGGTTGCGAAGAGGACGTCGACAGGGACCCCTCCTGCTGCGATAAGATGCGCCGCGGTTCCGACTGTTCGGGACTGGTCGCAGTGCAATATGCCAGTATGCGCGGCGTCGACGCCTATGGGCTGGTGCAGGGCTGGGGATATGCGCAGCGCAGAGCCTGTGTAGCCTGGAGAGCGCTGGTGGTGTGCGTGTGGTGTGGTCTGGCTCCGCGTGAGTGGTGCTGTATGGGAGGCGGGTGCTGGAGAGACAGAGGAGGGGTAATTGCAGCAGATATGTAGCAGAGACACAGTGTGGGCCGACGCCAGCTACTACCACGCTATTGCTTATTCTGCTTGATAATTCACCCAGAGACGCACGTACACAGTGCGCAGGGAGCTCGACAAGTTCGATGGTCGTCAACTCTGCCATTCGGGGGCACGGTGCAACTGCTCTACAACGTCACGCGTCCTAGCCAGTGGGCTATTGGGCTCGCGATCGCCAGGGCCGCATCAAATCCCACGGCCCTGCTTCTTGTCCTGTCAATTGCATTCATTGCACTCCCGTCACATGCCCTGCAGCTATCAACCAGGAACTGCCACACGGACAAGCCGGGAGTGGACTTCCTGCAAGCGACCACCATCACGCCCAACGGCGACCCAGGAAGGGAATCGCAAAAGGTTCGAAAAAGTGCCGTCGGCCTGTGATTGGCCAATTCATCCTGCAGCGTGCAGCTGACTCCCACCCCAAGAAAAGGCACGCCGGCTCTGCATTCCGCCAATTCCTTCTCAGAAATGGCCGACCCTAATCGCTCGTCGGGCAAGGCCTTTGTGGTCGAGCACTTGGATCCGGAGCTGGAAGAGTGGTCGTCGCTCGAATACGCTACCATTGCCGCAGAGTGCCATGCTGCGGGTTCGCAGTTTTTGCTCTCCTCAGTGCCTCCCTCCTTGAAGCTCCCGGTAAATCTGCAGCAGGCCAAGGGCTTGAACGTCGAGACGAGGGGCATCGAGGAAATCTACGCCGACAAGAAAGATAAGGTCTGTTTGCTGGACCCTGCAGCATCCAAAGACCTGAGCCCAGAAGATGGTGACACCTTTGACATCTTCCTATTCGGCGGCATTCTCGGTACGTGTGCCGTTTGGCCCTTCTCCAATGGCATGTGCCTTGGACAAGACTGACTTCGAGATAGGAGACGATCCGCCCAGAGGTGTGTGCTACCGCTTTGGGGACGTACAACGCGGCCATATGTCGGCTGACATGCACCCATCGTAGATCGGACATCGGAGCTGCGCAAGAAGGGTTATCAAGGACGCCGGTTGGGGCCCGTTCAGATGACGACTGATACTGCAGTGCGAGTCACCAGGATGGTTGTCCAGGACAGAAGTAAGGCGACAGTGTCGAATTGACAAGATCAACCGAATTTGGTGCTGACGGCGAGCAGTGCCGGTCGAAAAGATCCCTTACCTCGATCATCCCGAGCTCAAGATCAACAAGCACGAAAGCACGCAGATGCCGTTTCGTTATGTGATGGGCGAAGATGGGCGACCCATTATGCCAGAAGTAAGTGCCTAAAATGCCGCGATGACGCAGCGTTTCAGCGAGAGTAATATACTTATCTGAACGGGCAGGGGATGGTCGAGCTGATCGTAAGGGACTCAGAAAAGGGCCTTGGAGACTTGTTATAGGGTCTATAATCGCTCGTCTCCGTTGCAAAGGTAGGCCTCAAGGGGAAGCGAGCAATGCCGTCCGAATGGATTCTGCGCCACTGTGGCACGCAGTCTTCTACGAGATGGTGAATGATGCCCTTTCGGGTAGGTCCCTGAGTTTGCATGCTGCATTTGGCAATAAGGAATTCCAACCGGTGAGGGAAATTGGAGCCATGGATGGTAGTCCTGGCGGAGCAGCATCGATGAAAGCAAGCGTGCAGCTCAGCTTTACAAAGGGCGGCCTTTTGATGGGTCCGGATGAAGTTCAGGATAGCTCTTTAGAGGACCCACGGTAGCCGTCAACCGGCGTTCACAACGTCAAAAGACCGACGTGACAATCCTATCGACATCGCGGTGATGGAGGAATACGCATGGTGTGATTGGTGGTGGACAGATCTCTTGGCCGATGGCGGCTCGTGGGTTATCCCCTGAGGATCCGCGCATAAGCATGCCTTGAAGTCCTGAAGATCTAGGTTGACACAGGCTTGAAGCAGGCCGTAACGCCCCAACAGTGTCAGAGCGACGCAGCCATGGCATGTTCGAGGGCAGGAGGTGAATTCGAGACGCGGAGGTTCGCCGAGCCGAAAGCAGGCGGGGCTGCCTGATTGGCCCGTGGCGTCTGATCCATCCGTGGGTCTGGTCCACGGAGCATCTGGACAAAGCTCGCGAAAGCATTCACAGCATTTCTCACAAGTCGCAATACCGGTAACCACAAGTCCCCTTAAATCGGCGTATGTGTTGACGCCGAGCCCGCTTCAGAGCGTCCCTTTTTTGTTCCCGTGGAATCCTCCGCGTGCCAGTCGGCCTTCTGCATCCCTGTCCGCGACTCGTCAGCAGCCACTGCCACCTAACCCTTTCGCCGACCCTCAAGTATCCTGCGAAGTATCCAACGCGACACGTCTCCCAGCGCCTACTGCCTCGCTGCGTCGAGCCGCACCCCTCGCTTGCACCATACGCCGCACCGTTCGCTTTTTAAAGAAGCGCGAATCTCCCATGAGATAGCGAGCAGCACTCCGATCCTTCCTCGGCTCTCCTTCAGCCCTATATTTCCTTCACAATGCTCTTCACATCTGCGCCGTCCCGATGGCGGACGGCTCTCCTGGGCGGCTTGCTAGCCTCGCTGTCCTGGCTGCCGGGCAGCGCTGCAGACAAAAGCCAGGCCGATTACTTTATACACGAGCTGCCAGGAGCGCCAGAGCCGCTCCTGAAGATGCACGCTGGGTAAGTTCTATTTTGGGAACATAGAGTCGGGTCTAACACTAGGGAACAGACACATCGAGGTTGACGCGGAGCACAACGGAAACCTGTTCTTCTGGCACTATGAGAACCGCCACATCGCGAATAGGCAACGGACCGTCATATGGCTAAACGGCGGCCCCGGATGCAGCAGCATGGACGGTGCGTTGATGGAGATCGGGCCGTACAGAGTGAGAGAGGGCGGCAAGCTGGAATACAACAACGGCTCCTGGGACGAGTTCGCCAACCTGCTCTTCGTGGATCAGCCAGTCGGAACGGGGTTCAGCTACGTGAACACCGACAGCTACATCAGCGAACTCGACCAGATGACGAATCAGTTCCTGGTTTTCCTGGAGAAGTGGTTTGCACTGTTTCCGGAGTACGAGCACGACGATGTGAGTCGGTCCTAGAAATCTTCCGGAAGGAATAGTATCTGACGCGGCGCAGCTATATATCGCAGGTGAATCGTACGCCGGCCAGCACATTCCCTATATTGCCCGAGGCATCCTCAACCGAAACAAAGACGCCTCCAAGCAGCCCTGGGCGCTAAAGGGCATCCTCATCGGCAATGGCTGGATTTCGCCCGTCGACCAGTACCTCGCATACCTTCCCTACGCTTACCAAATGGGTCTTCTGCAAGCAGACACGGACGGCGCGAAACGCGTTGAAAAACAGCAGGCTAACTGCGTACAATCGTTGAACAACGGTGCGAAGGACCACGTTGACACTTCCGAATGCGAGGCCATCATGGTCTCGATTCTGGAAGAAACAAAAGATAGGAGAGCGGATCGGAATCAGCAGTGCGTCAACATGTACGATATCCGCCTTCGAGACGACTCTTCATGCGGAATGAACTGGCCCCCGGACCTAACGACCGTCACTCCTTATCTGCACCGCCAGGATGTGATCAAGGCCCTACACATCAATTCCGACAAGAAGACTGGCTGGACCGAATGCAACGGAGCAGTCTCCTCTCACTTCCGTGCCCGCAACAGCCCGCCTACCATCACCTTCCTTCCCGAGCTTCTCGCTCAGATTCCCGTCGTTCTGTTCTCCGGTGACCAGGACTTGATTTGTAACCACCTCGGAACCGAGGCTTTGATTGACAACATGAGCTGGAATGGAGGGAAAGGCTTCGAACTTTCGCCTGGTGTCTGGGCTCCTCGGCGCGATTGGACTTTCGAGGGCGAGCCGGCCGGTACTTATCAGGAAGCTAGGAACCTAACCTACGTCGTCTTCTACAACTCCAGCCACATGGTCCCTTTTGATTACCCGAGGCGCACTCGGGATATGCTTGATCGGTTCATGGGCGTTGACATCAGCGCAATCGGCGGCGACCCCTCCGACAGCCGGATTGATGGCGAGAAGGGCCCGCTTGTGAGTGTCGGAGGACATCCGAACTCTACGAAGGCGGAAGAAGACAAGACGAAGGAACTGAAAGAGGCTGAATGGAAGGCTTACTACCGCTCAGGAGAGGTTGCGCTCGTCGTCGTCGTCATCGTTGCCGGCCTTTGGGGTTTCCTCATCTGGAGAGATCGTCGAAGGCGAGCTGGGTACAAGGGCGTGGATGGTGAGGAGGGCCGGGAGTCGCTGATCTTGGGAATGGGGCTCGACAACTTCAGGACCAGGAGCGGCCGGAGAAGGGACCTCGAAGCCGCCGATTTCGATGAGAGGGAACTGGATGATTTGGAGGACGGGTCGCGGCGGCCTTTGAACGGCCACACTCATGGTAAATTGGGTGAGAAAGAGAGGCTGCCACAGAATGACTCTACGTTTAGCTTGGGAGGTGCTAGCAGCGATGGGGAGGGCAGCGGAAGCGAAAGGGATAGGAGAATGGCGGCGAGGGAGAAGTCGTGAGATTGATTGCACTATTGATACTCTTTCCTACTGTTCGGATACCTTGGGTAAAAACGCACCGTCGGTTCTGAATATTCAAGACGGGGCAGCATTTTTCGGGCGTTCGGGCTTGGACCATTTTTGGGGACACCGTCACTTTGTATACGTGATTTTAGGTCCGTAAAGATTAATGTCCGTGAAGCTTGTTGGACTACCTGAAGTGTTTTTATTGCCTAAGATTGATGCTTGTTGAAGGGTGTCCAGACGGCAAGTGGGGAGTGGGTCACGTGAACAGGCTGCCTCGGCGCGTGTTTGCCTGTTCGTTCCAAGCGCGTCATCAGCCACCGGCCTTCAACTTCTATCCAAGAACATCCTAATGCCCACCACGCGCTGACGCCGCGACAATGCCTGCGTAAGTAAACCCTAGCAGCACATTCTCCACGCAGCATATTTATACTGTAACTCTCTCGAAACTAACGCTGTACAGCCCCGGCGACCAGTACGGCGACATCAAGAATCCCTTCGTACCACGCGTCGTCAATCAGTTCACAGCGCAAGAAATTGCCACATTACAGAGTCGGCTGAATAGACAGCTCGGGCCGGAGTATATATCGCAACGACCGGGGAATGGAGGGGGTAGGGTGGCATATTTGGAGGGGAATAAGGCGATAGCGCTTGCGAATGAGGTGTTTGGATTCAACGGCTGGTCGAGCTCGCTCGGGCAGGTGCAGGTCGACTTTGTATGTTGTTTGGTTGCGAATGGCCAGAGTGCGCAGGGGCTGATACATTCAGGTCGACGAACACCCCCAGGGTGGAAAAGTCAGTCTCGGGCTTTCGATCAATGTGCGGATTACTCTGAAGGACGGCACATACCATGAGGTAGACGCTTTGCGCCTCTCGCTCAAGCTACATTCTGACGCTTTTGCAGGACATCGGGTATGGATCAGCTGCTAACAACAAGGACAAAGCAAGTGCGTTCGAGAAGGCCAAGAAAGAAGCAGCAACAGACGGACTCAAACGTGCATTACGCACATTTGGCAACGTTCTGGGCAATTGTCTATATGACAAAGAGTATCTCAAGAAGGTCCAGGCAATGAAGGTGAAGCCTGTCAAATTCCAGGAGAACAACCTATACAGGCATCCGGATTTCGCACCACAACCAAAGGAAGAGGATGCACTCATAAAAATGGAGCCGCATCGGACGCCAGTGAAGCCGAACCAGGCTCTAAGGACACGCACGGAACATCTTAGCCGGGAAATATCAGGAGAGTTCGATGATGAATATGATGGGAACTTTTTCGACGGGGTTGAGATCACTGAGCATCACACCGACGAGTTCACATTTGAGACGGTCTCTGCCGCGGAAGAGGTAGCGCCGAAGGCTCTGGAAGCCTCAAAGCCAGCGAACGCACCGAACGGAGCCGGATCGAGTCGCCCAGCAGCCGTCGCGGATGGCGGTCCTCCCCGCCAATCTAATCCTCGAATGCAGACCACGCCTGCCATGCGGAGCCAGGATGGGACACGGCAGCAGCCTCATCCGCAGCAGCCTCCGCAGAATCAGGGACCAGGAAGACCACCAATGCAGCCGCCCAATTCAAGGGGTCCGCAAACGCCGATCCAACAGCAGAGTAGCACGAGACCGGACATGACCAGACCACGAATGCCACAACCAACAGTAGATATCCATGCCGCTCCTAAACCGCAAAATGCGCCGCAACAGCCGTCCCACCTGCAGCAGAACCAACCGTCCCGAACGCCTCCACTACCTCAACCGCATAATCAGGTACAACAGCCCAAACCAGGGACTACGACACCGACCGCAATCCCTCCACCAAACCACCGACCGCCTGTTGGTTTTGTAACCTCCCGCGCCGCCGAACTAGTGCAAAACTCCGACTCCGCTACCTCCTTCACGCACCTCCCAGCCTTCAATCCACATGCCGACTCTCCAGTACCAAAAGAGCAGCGCACCCCTGGTGTAGACCACACGCGCAGCATCCCCATCAAGCGACAAGAAGTCGGTGCGCTGCCGCCCCCAGCCCCTCAACTTGGAGGCTTTAACCGGCCAGGTGGTGGTGCGGGGAGAGGGAACATGAACTTTGTAAATCCGCAGCAGGACATGAATAGGCGGATTGGCATGCCTGGTGCGAATGGAATGAGTCCGGGTCTGAACAGAGGCGCGTACAAACCGCCAATGAAGAGGCCGCCGTTACAGGATGTGAGCAATCAGGCCGGGAACCTGAAGCAAGAAGGGGAGCCGGAGGCGAAGAGACAGAGGGTTGATGCGCCGGGAAGTGAAAATGCTGGTGCAGGTGTGGTGGGTTCATGAAGGCCCTAAGAAGAGCTACAGGTGTTTTGAACCATGACGAAAATGGAGTGCGTAAGGGAAGGCGTTCATCAGGTTGACAAGGCATAAATGGCGTTCTGGGTGTTAGATGAGTGGGCTCTATACCAATGAGCGTGACCATTTTTGGGTCTCCTCTCTTTGAAGGCATTGAGAGCGAGTAAAGCAGGCATCTATTTCAATGCCTATTGATAACAAGAGCTCAATCTTCATAACAGTGTATAGCTCCTCCCTAAGGCGGTCAGCAGGCAAGTAACACGCTCTCTACTAGGTCCTACGCGTTAGAGACTTCGGTAGTCATAAGAAGACAAGCTGGCAAGAAAACGCGAACATTCTGCAACAGCAAGTCTTCATTCCATCCTTTTGATTTAGCTATGGAAGCCCGAGCCCGTAGGCCTTCAATATCTTTACCTCCGTCCAAAACTGAAGCAGGCATCACCCGTACGCCGAGAAATCCCTACCCGTCACCCGCTAATGCTCATTTGATGAAAGAAAAGAAACATCCAAGCCTTCCGTACTGCCGTCCCGCTGGTTAAAACTAATCCGTTGTTCTGGCCGATTCTGAGGAACTTTAGGAAGGTTTGACCGGAAGTGGCGCCTTCACTAGAGTGCTCGTCGGAACAGTGCGCACACCCCCTTTGGAGAGAACAAGAAAGGTCAGCAAGATAGATCGTTCCCTTTATTCAGGGTTTACCTCTTCTTACTACCGGGCCTAGGCTTGCACTCATCTCCGATCACCGGGTGCAATTTGAGCTTGATCGGGTACTGAGGTGTATTCGCGGCGTACCCCTTACTCCAGTCGTAGCTGACGGCGTACGCGAAGATATTGCCGTCCTTGTTGAAGCCGGTGGCGGTGATGCTGCCACCGACTTCGGGGTAGCCTTTCAGACGGTGCTTGGCGTCCTTGTCCCAGAAGTGGAAAGTGCCGTCGGAGCCGGCGGTGCTGAAGGTGCCATGCTGTGGGTGGAAGGAGATCGCGTTGACGGAGTAGACTTTTGCGACGTCGCGCGCGGTGGGGTCTTGTTGGCGGTGGCATTTGAAGGAGAAGTTGAGGCTGCGGGAGGCGTTAGCTTTGAGCTCTGAAAAGCTGCCTTTGGGAGCTTTAAGAACTTACCTGGTGTCCTTGTCCTCCACGTACTGAATCGCACATCGGCCCTCGATCGATCCGACTGCGAAACCCGTCGCGTCCGTAAAGCAGCTGACGACCCTCGTCTGCCACTTAAGCGGACTCGTAATGGTCTTGTAGATCTCCCCGGGCTTGTTCAAGTTCACAATATGAATGTGTCGGTCCGCTGTCGCAACAACGAGCAACTGGTCCTTGACGTCCATGGAGTATACACGTTCCTGGCATTGCAGCGAGCCGATCGGTTCTGTGCTGGTTGATAGGTCCCAGTATTTGACCAGCTTGTCCCAGGATCCAGTTACAATAATATCTTTACCGCCGGTCTGGAACCAGCGCAGGGACTTGAGACCTTGTTCATGGGCCTTTTCGATGACGCCTGTTGGCTTGACGTCGCCGCCACTGCCTGCTTGGCGGAGATCCAGGAAGTAGAGCCTGCCCTTAGTGTCGCCGGCTGCTATGCGTGTGCCGTCCTGCATATTCTGTTAGTGATTGTACGAATCTACCTGTCGAGGACGTTGAGGAGTGAATTCGTGCAACTGTGCTTCATGCCATCTTGTGCTCCCGACTTTTGCAGACAAAAAGATATAGGGTCACTCTGCCTGAAGGGCTTCGCATGGTTTACTTACCCTTGACCAACCGACACACAAGAGCGCATCCTGGCATTGCAGAAGCCACTTGCCCGTCGCGCCGCTATTGTTCACCTCGTAGATATACACCTTCGAATTCCAGGAGCTGACTGCGAGGAAGTCGTTCGTGGGCGAGAACATGAGATCTGAGATGCTATCGTCCGGAAGCTGGTTCTGCGGGACTTCGACATCCTTGCTCGTGTCGCCGGTTGTGGAAGTCGTCGAGGACGGGGCCGCGCCGCCGAAGAGGGTCGCCATGTTGCAGTTGTGGAGGAGAGACGAAGACCTGGTGTTCTTCGGGGGCTTTTCGTCGGCTGAAGCACGGTGGCGGTCGTGGAGGCTCGGTCGGTCGTTGGTGTTGGTATTAGAGCTTTGCGCAAACTGCGGTGGTAGCCCTGGTAGTGAGAAGTATGCGCGCGTGTTTAGCAGTCGTGTGGGGTGGTGAAGTGCCCGAGCGAAGGATTAGAGGAATGGAGCGCGACAAAGAAAGAAAAGCGCCGACCACCACTCTTTATGTCTTTCACCCAGCGCGTGAAAGAAGATGTCCCGTTCTTGCCAAGGCCGCAAGCTCTCCAAGGCACCGATGCAAGGCACCAGCCCACTTTCCGCCTAGCGCTGCCTAGCTCCGGAGAAACTGCTTCTCCGACGCGTCCCCAGAATAAATTTCTTAGGCCGGTCTGCGACTTTCGGTCCTTCAACGTTCCCTCGCTCGAAGAATCGCAACGAAGCACACGCACAGAGTGCCGCAATGGTATCTCTTCCCATGCTTTGGGAGAAAGTCCCCGGACATCGGGTCCTCGTGACCCGCACCTTCAGCAACGAACCGCCATAGAAGCGCGGCCTCCCCACGCTACAACCGCCTTCTTCCCCCCATTTCCGTTTGCACTCTTTCTTTTATTCGTGTTTCTAAGGTCGTGAGTGGAGGGGCTGGCACCTGGACGATGATACGAGTCCGCTGGTTTCCGAAACCCGCGTGCTGAAGGCGTGAGCAAGAAGGAGGAGGGGTGGGGTGAGCGATCGGTGGCAGTGGGAGAGGGTTTTCTCGTCCAGTTTGTGGTTATGCGATTGCCCGGTCCGTTCTTTCTCAGGTATATGAGAGGCACGGTGGGTAACTCAATGGGGCTTATTCTTGAGGCGAGGGACGTTCAACAATTTTCATGGGTCTGAGGACAGCTACCGTCTGGTTCTTGTCCTTCGCGGCTAGGATTGTTAGGTAGGCTGCTCCGCTGCTTGGTCGAACAAGCCAGACTCAAAAGCCATCGTTCAGGTGATGAGATTACAGAAATAGAGTCAAGCACGGAGGCCACCTGAATCCCAATGGGCAGGGTGGTCACTGGCGAATAATTTCTACGACGGTATCTGATGAACAGCATGGCTTAGATAGCTTTCGGGAAATTCAAGAAGCTTTCTGGAGCTTATATGTTTTTACCGCCATTGTGACGTATATCTTCTGTTCTATGTCGTGGTATCTTCCTTCTAATGTTTCCGTGTTTTTCGTTGTCGTGACCTACCAGCGCTTGGGAATAGCTTAAGAGTTGCTGCTCTCCCCTAAGCATTTTTGCCTATAATGAACTCCCGCACCTCCTGATACGCCTTATCCAAATCATCGTTGACAACGATCTTGTCATGTGGGGCCTCGGGACTCTTCGCAAACTCCATCTCTACCTTAGACTGCTTCAGCCTCTTCTGGATCGCTTCCTCCTTGTCCGATGCCCTTCCTCTCAGTCTCTGCTCCAGGACTTCCTCTGAGGGTGGCGACAGGAAGAGGAATCGCGGTCGTGGAAAGGTTGGATGCATCGCTACCTGTTTGACGCCCTAGTGCAAGGTAAGCACGACGTGAATAAAGTGAGAAGGATAATGATGCTCGAGGCTTGCGTACCTCCATCTCGATATCCAGTATACATATCCTCCCCTGCTCCGCAATATCCTCCACCGCCTTAATACTTGTGCCATAGTGGTTCCCTCCAAATTGTGCATGCTCAATAAACCCGTTCTGATCGACCAGATCCAGAAACTCCTCCTTCGTCACGAAGTGGTATTCGCGGCCGTGCTTCTCGCTGGCACGGGGTGACCGTGTGGTGTGCGAGATGGAGAAGCCGAATTTGTCGGGGAACTCTTCGAACAGTCGCTTGAGGATGGTGCTCTTACCGGCGCCCGATGGCCCTGAGATGACGATGGGTCGGTTGGTCTCGATGGCATGGGTGTCCACGGTGCCTGTGGCGGGGGGAGGGGGTGCCATTGTGAGGGCGGAGAGGGCGAAGCACCGGGCAGTGGAGGAGAGGCGGAGGGAGCGAAGGAGAGTGCTGGAGGCTCCCTTATGTGTTTGGCCGAGAGGTGCGGACGGCAGGGCGAGAGTGCGAGTGTGAGTCGTGGGGCTATGACTGTGCGCTCGGCAGGCGCCTAGACCGAGCAATTGTCGACTCAGAGACTGCTGGAGGGGTGCTGAGCTTTGTGGAAGAGTCAATGGCATGGATAGAACAGTAGAAGATTGCGCGGGAGGGGTGCGGTGTGATTGGCGGTGAGGGGAAATGGTCTGGCAGTGTTTTGGCGGGGCTCGAAGTGGGCTGGTGACATCGCGTTTTCGCGTAGCTTTGACCTCAACTCAAGCTTCAAGCTTCTACCTCTTCAATTTCCTTGCTCCATGGCTCCATAGTAAGGCTGCAACTGCTTCTTCGCCGAATAAGCCTACGAGGAGGACGCAATAGGTCGCTCAGCATGGTACTGGCTCCCTCGCCCTAATTCCACTCGAATTCAGCGTTGACCACCCCCACAGTCGAAGCAATATCTCACCCTTCACACTATCGACGACGCCCACCCCTCCGATATCTTCGCTCTCGCACCCACGCCAAGCCAAGTTCTCTCCGCCAGTGGCTCCAGTTCGATTCGCATCTACGACACTACATCGCCTGACTTTCCTCTCGTCCAAACGCTGGAAGGCGTGCATCCGCTCGGCATACACCACCTAGTAACCGCGAAGGAAGCGAGACGCGCTGCGAGCGTAGGCTTTGAGGGCAAAGTCAAGATATGGACTCAGACAGAGGAAGGCGAGTGGAAGCAGCATGGGGAGATAAGCGGTAGGTACGCCGAACATTTCGATCGTCCTTGGAGAAGAAAAGGCGGATATACATATATGCAGGAGGCTAACGTGGGGCAGACCAGGTGAAAGCGGGCGATATCTGGGCAGTAGCTCTTAGTGCGGATGGAAATTACCTCGCCAGCAGCAGCATCAACGGGAAGGTGCATGTCTGGAGCGTGAGCGAAGATGGCATGCCCAAGATCAGGGAGTACGAGACGAAAGGCAGCTTCGGGTTGTGTGTGGGTCTGGTGTGTCTCTCCTCATGACGCTGCAGATATAGCGCTAACTAGTACGACAGAGCCAGGACGGACGCTTCACAGCATCCGGACATGAAAACGGTTCGGTCTATATCTTCAACAACGACACTGGTCGCCTTGCACACTCCCTTGCCGGTCTCGTTCACCCCGTCCGCAGCGTAGCATTCTCTCCAGCGTCAAAACTCCTTGCCGCGGGCGGTGATGCGAGGATAATAGCACTATACGATGTCAATTCGGGAGAGCAGGTCGCCAACTTCACGGGGCATGGTGGCTGGATACTGTCGCTGGATTGGAGTGATACTGGAGAGTACCTTCTCTCAGGGTATGTTTAGGTCATGAGATGCAGTTGCTCAGTCGAGGACTATCTACTAACTTGCCCCTAGTTCACACGACTCCAAAGCCAAAGTCTGGCGCATCGAGACCCGATCCTGCGTCGCCACTCACTCGCATGGGGACAAGCCCTTGTGGACTGCGAAGTGGCTGCCGAAGAGCACCCGGAGCGAGATGTTTGCGCTCGGTGGAGGAAACAATGCGATTAGCTTCTATCGAGAGGCAGCGGGTTGAGGAGCAAATCGTCCGAGGAAGTTTTGAAGCCGCCCCATGTATCATATATGTGGAGTCCATGATATCGCGTGGATTTAGCGGGAAGAATAGCGGTTGTCGCGATGACAACGACACGATCAGCAAAAAACAGGGGAGGTAGGAGACGTACCTGCTATGGTCCCCCATATCGTGCGATCAAGCATCTACAAAAGATCGATACCGGCTGGTTGGTCAAGCAACTACCACTACGCGCCCTACCACCGCCAAGAAAACAGGAAATAGAATACTTACATCGGAATCAATACCACCATTTCAGATGACCTTGCGCGAGAGAGGAGAGACGCAAGATGCAGAGTATGTCAGTGGATGACCTGAAGGCTCAAAGAAAGAAGAGACAGGTCGTTGTCGGCGCGGTTGCGTCCCACCCCAAACCTTTGTCTTTTGTCAATCCCTATCCTCATCGTTTTATATGCGGACCTTGAGGAGCTGGCTTCGAGCGTCCTGAATTCGCGGCTTCTTTAGCCTCATCGAGCCAATCGACACCTCCAAGCGAGTATGATCCGCATCAAGGAGGTTCGTGGGCTGCTCTTACGTCAGTTTTCGTGTGTCTTCGATGAGGGATGTAGAAGCATGGGTAACTTACAGCTGAGTAAAGGGTATGTTCGAAAGGCTAACTAAAATGCAACGCAGAAAAAAGAGCTCAGACGAGCTATTACAAAATCAGATAATGCGCCAACTTCGGGCGCTGTGGATAGGGACGCGTGCGGTTGTAAGGGGAGGACGGGCCTCATCGGTAGGGGCAAAGGGTTCCTGGAGGAGGTGTTAGCGAACTGCTGTGGTGATGGATGGTTTGCAGATGGTCAGCTGCCGGTGGTAGTTGCCTGACGGCGTTTACTATAGTAGGTTGAAGGAGTAGGAAGTTACGCGTCAGCAAGGCAGATGTGCGACGCAGAGTTAGGATGGATGGCTGGAGCGGAGAGGAAAGAAGATGATCCTGCGGAGAGAAGAGTCCAGCGTGGTAGTGGCTTATCTAGTGGCTTAGTTTGCTCTTCGATTGCTATTTGCTAGAGAAGCAGCAGTGCTTCTGGGTCAGTTCGATTGTTTCGGCTCAGGAAGTCCGAGGAGAGATTGTCAAAACAGTATTGTAATAGATTAAAGGCTTGTAGGGTAGTTGGATACCTCAGCTTGTCGATGAAATCTATGGGGGACATCTAGCGAAGCATCAGGACCACACCAGCTTTGACTGCTGAACCGATCCCATCTGAGTGACTCCGCGTAGTTCCCCTCGAAGTTTCTAGTTCAATAAATTGCGATAAATTTAGATATAGTCATAGCGAAGTTTGGGTCCCTTCCGGTTGCGCAAGGATCTAACCAGGCTGTGAGGTTGAGACAAGCGCGGAAGCGACCCGAGAGCGTGCGAGGTAAAACGGCATAGGAACAACGAATAGATACAATAAAGACAAGTACATGAAGCGAGAGTAGGAGTCGTTGATGTTCGGTCATCAAAAAGGGTTTAGCGCCGCCAAGCCCGTCGCTCCGATATTTCCTTCTACCATCCGCCATTCTTTTCTCCATACATACATATACCGGTCTTGAGGTTCGTTGAGGCCAGTATTCCTTTTCATGGACCTGTCTCTTTCTGATGGACCAAGAGCAACGGCCGTTCTAATCCTGGGGTTCGTCTTCGCTGGCTTTCGAGCCGGTCTCGGAGCCCCGGGTTCGCTTTACGCCTACATTCATCATCTTCGCACTCTTTCAGACGGTGATTTTGGACCAGTTGCGCGTATCGCTGCGCGAGTCATCGTCTTTCCTGGTGTTATTGATGAGCATGTGGCTCAACGGGCGGTCTGGGCGGTGCCAACGGTTCCGACTCACAACCCTAGAGAATCACTGCTCTTCGAGGCACTCTGATGACAAGTGCTGACTCCGTGCGGCGGCGGTGTCGGCAGAGGCGCAGACCTGCATGCAATATGGGAGCCGCGACACTGATACGAGACCATTACTCTTGTCGAGTATAGTGGCAAACCGCTCAGCGTGTACGAGCGTAGCCGCGTGTCACCGCTCCACTCGGCTTCCGCTCCGCCCTAGATCTATGGCCGCTAGGAAAGATGGGCGGGAGGAGTACCCTAGTGACCGCTGATGGAAGCTTAATCAAAGTTGATATCACTAGTCTTCCTCACCGCCCTGTCTGTTAACACCCTCAGCATCGTTTTCACGAGACCGGCCGGAGAAGTCAGGAGAGGTCTCGCAGGAGCCATGTCAGCGGGTTGACTCGTTGGGGAACCGGAGCGGGCGGTAGCGAGAAGCATCGATGGCAGCAGCGTGACACACGTTGCACAAGGCAATAAAGGGTTCCTACAGAAGACCGCGTCGTGCAGAGGTTTAGCGGAGGTGAACAGCCGCCGTGGTTCGTCTGATTGGATGGAACATCTCGCGAAACTCCACGAACGCGAGAAACACCGAGTCGGGTCGGGGCTCGCGCTTCCTTGAACTTGCTCCCATCATCCCACATGCCGGCCAGCTGAGGGATTCCCCGCAACTCTGGTTCCGACTCACCGGCTTGGAGAGGCACGACTGGGCAGCAGTCGCGTGGAAGCTCAGGATACACACAATCAGCTGAGAAAAAGCACTTTTCTGCCTGCAGCTCTGGCGCATTGCAATTCGCCGGATACACGTTGTTTCGACGTCAAACACACTCGCCAGATATTCCTGTTCCGGGCATTGCCTCGAGCGCTGGCCAACTCACCAGCGGTCCTCGGGTCAGAACCTGATGATCCCAACCGATCCCTACCATGTGCAGCGCCCTAAATCCTCTGAACCGGGATCGCCCACCCGCTTGAGTGACGCGCCTTTCGGGCCTAAAATGCCACCGCCCTCTTGATGGCGCTCGTAGGCATGCGTCTCACAGCAGCATGGCTGATGAAGGAGGCGCTGGAGGCCTGCCAACGCGTTGCGCAACGGTCAGCATCTAGCAGGTCCGCCCGGAGGCGCTGCGAATGAGAGCGGAGACTGAGCACCAGACCTGTCCTGCATCCGCCGCTTTCCCTGATCGTCTAGTGGAGCGACTTCTCAGCCCTGTCATATCTGAACTTGCCTCCGCTGCTGCGGGTTAGTGGCTTTCGCATCCTTCACACGTCGATTGTGATCATTGCTCCTTTCCGTCTCGAGCACCCACGACACTATCACGACTTCATGTCTGTACGCTCCGGGGAGACATGAAAGCCGGTCATGGCATTCATACGGTTGTGCCTGTTCGCTGCGCTTAATTTTGCAGCCCGGTCGCTCCAAGCGAAAGACCCCATCAACGACTTCTGTCGGCGATGGGGGCACCAGACCGCCCAGGTTGACGGCAAGCTCTACATAGACGGAGGCCTGGTAGCATGGAACCCTCTGTCGGCAAACCCTCTCAACTATACCAGTATGTTTCGTTATTGCAAGCATACGAATTAAGCTGACACACATGCCGCAGACACATGGCTCCTCTACAGCGACCTCAACTCCTCGACCCAGAGCGTGGGCATGCCCAATCAATATGCGAACCTGACGAAGAACTCCACCGTTCCGAACGTATCTGGGGGTGTGCTGTGGGCAGACGAGACAAATAAGTGTTTCTACCAGTTTGGTGGGGAATACCAGAGCAACCCGTCCGACTTCAGTTTCTGGGCCTATGACACAGTCCTAAACCAATGGAACGAGACGGAGTACACGAGCAACGTCAACGAGCTACGACGCGTGTCTTTCGGTGCCGGAACACAAATTGAGGAGCTAGGTGTTGGGTACTACTTCGGAGGATGGATGAACAACCTAACAATTCCAAGCTGGGCCGGACCGCCGATGGCCACCAGCAACCTGATTACGTTCGACTTCACGGATGGAACGTTGAACAACAATACTGGACCCGACGGTGTCGGCAGAGCTGAGGGACAAATGGTGTATCTCCCAGCATCGGACGGGGGTTTGCTTGTCTATTTTGGCGGCGTCGAGGATCCGCACCACAATGGCAGCTTCGTGGCGGCCAATATGAGCGTCAGTCAGGCATCCTGCATCTACGCGACGTTTAGTTGACCTCTTCTAGACCATCCACATCTTCGATGTAGCTTCGTCTAAGTGGTACACCCAAAATGCCACTGGAGATGTGCCGCAATCCCGACGACAGTTCTGCGCAGGCGCTACCTGGGCTGATGATTACTCGTCCTATAACATCTACCTCTACGGTGGCTTTGGCGTCGAGACCGTTACAGGGTACGACGACGCATATGTTCTGACCCTGCCTTCTTTCACGTGGATCAAAGCATTTCCCACCGACAACAACACGCAAGCCTACCCTCATGGAGGCTGTTCCGCGAACGTGATAAATAGAGATCAAATGATCATCATTGGTGGCTGGTTTACTAACTCTGATATTTGCGATTCTGCGGAGTCGCAAGGGCAGCATAATATGAATCTCGGATACAACGGCCCGGCAAACACCCTATGGGATAAGTACGATCCGAAAGTTTCGAAGTATTTCGTGCCGACTCCGGTAATCTCCGCGATTGGCGGCGGGTAAGTGGTCCTTCTGATTTCGAGGTGTAGCCGTCCCTGACATTATACAGGCCTACCGGAGGCGCAACGGCTACGAAGCCCAGCAATTGGGCCAATCCCGATCTCGCCGTCTACTTCACTCGCGTCCCAACGTTCACAGCCCGAGCAGCCACACGTACCATCCCCAGCGGCACTACAAGTCCTTCGAGCACTGGCAGTTCCAGCAAGACAAATGTCGGCGCCATCGCAGGCGGTGTGGTTGGTGGCCTTGCGGGTCTCATACTCATCCTGTGCCTGATTCTCTTCTGCCTCCATCGCCGCAAGAAAGCCCTCAAGAATAAAGAGGAGAAGAGGGTGAAGGCTCCGACACCGCCACCTGCAGAACTCGCGGCCACATCTCCTATCCAGGAGATGCCCTCTCCCGGCGTTGCGAAGTACATGAGCATGCAGCAGCAGCCGGATTCGAGGATGCACCCTGCCTATTCAGGGCCAACCTCTCTACATTCTCGCTCCCCGAGCGACGATTACAACAGCCCAGCGGCTCCTTATCCGCCTCAACAATACCAGTCCACCTCACCAACTACTGCAGCACCTTACCCGTCCCCTTATGGACCCGATTATCCCCATCAGAATGGCTACGCGCCTTATTCCGACAACCCAAACGCTTATGATACCCAAACTTACGATGCTAATGCCTACCCGCCTCCCTCAGCCGCCGCCCAACAACGCCAGTACACCTACCCCTCTCCTCACTCCCCATCACATCCTCCCTTCGCTCCGACGCAGCAACAAGTCTACTACCCACCGCCTCCCGAACCTTCGACCCATTCTCATTCCCACCATTCTCACTCCCGCTCACATCACTCGTTCTCGGATCGGATGGCAAGCCCGGAGGGAACGCAGTACAGCGGCTCTACCGAGACCGGACCGATGCCGCCCAGCACAACGAATACGCCCGCGCAGTTCTACGCGCAACCCGTGCCGGTCAATGGGCAACATCTTATGACCGGGGCTGCGGGTGCAGGTCACTCGCCGGGCGGATACGGTGGGGAAGGGGGTGTGAAGGACGATGGTAGTTTCAGAGGCAGCATCGATAGTAGGAGAAGACCGGTCAGGGGAAGATTCGTGGAGGTGGATCACATGTGAGCGGCTCCATGCATATACCACATGTTGGCATGAATCTAGATACCACCAACGTACGTTGAGATGAACGACAAAAGCGGAGGTTTTGAGCGATGATCACATGCATATTTGCATACATACTGGATACACGGACGGATAGGATTTGGACTGGGATTTGCTTTTGGGATATTTATAGGAAGCGAGCATGTACTTCGCTCATAGCATGGCGTAAGAGATGGAGTTTTTCTATGGGATGAAATCGGATAAGCGAGGGATTTGGTATGCTCTCTATCAAGCCACAGTACGTATTGGATCTTTGGAATGTAATTTGTGTAATCTAGTTCAAATCTGATGTGTTCGAACCTAGCCATGGGCTTCCTGGACCTCATGATCGCCGTCTCATTCTGTCAGACTGATTCCAGTTGTCAGAATCCCATTATGCGGAACTTCCCATCCGAATAACCCAACACGAGGCCACCAGGCTGCGAGGTCCGGTTTCAGAATGCGGTGAGTGGAGGGGATTATGCCCAGGTTGCAACTTGCAACGCGCTAACCCTTTTCAGCTGCGGTGATGGACGTCGGTCGAGCCTTCCAATCAGCGCGCTTTCGTTCAGCCTTCCGACATGATCTCGCCTCATCATCTTGGCCCAGCTTGCAAGTATATAAACACGAGTCTTCTCAATCCACACCTGCGTGCGGTTTCACCTTCCTCTCACATTCTCGGAGTGATGGACCCAGAGCGGACGCCACCTCCATTGAGCCCGGGCTCACAGCTTCTATTCTCTCTTTTCACGACCCTGAATGAGGATGAGTGTGTACGCGTTTTTGCCGAAGCAGAACCCAGCGCCTTTGCTCTCCAATCTGGCAATGGTCATGACGCCCTCGATTCTCGCTTTTATGATGCTATTTCGGAACATTCACTCCCAGGAAACGCCGCTCGTTCGCCTGTCCCGCCGTCCCAGCCGGAGTCGCATGAATTGTTCGGGGAGCAACCGGCCCTTCGTGCCGCCCCATCGCCGACCACTGCCCAGGGACCGCTGGCTCGCAGACGGCAGAAGTCCAAGCAGCAAAGGGCTATTCCATATGGAGAGATATGCTTTAGTCTCTCCGGAGAGCCAATCAAACCACCGCGGCGATCTGCGTTTACAGCAGAGAGGCGCAAGGAGGTGAACGATGTCCGGAAGCGAAAGGCTTGCCTGAGATGTCGTCTGCTTCGGCGATCTGTAAGTGCCCGACTATATGCTTCGAAGTTGATAGCCAGACTGATATCCGCAAGTGCTCCGGAGACGACCCTTGCCGACGCTGCCTAGAGGATGCACAGGGCGCGGCAGGTTCGCGAGTGTTGATGTGGATGGAGTGTGTCCGCCCATCCTTGAGAGACATGAGTACCTTTGATACAGGCATGGAACCTCTTTCCGATCTGGAGCAAGACTGACCAGTATAGTGACCTGCAAGCGAAGTCACGCAGACCTTTTAGTGATCTCCGATGCCCTCTTATCCTTGGAGACTTGGAACACCACGCTCCCGTTTCACCCGGACCCCGGATCTGCCTCCCGGTATTTTGCCACTTGGTTGGCCGAGGGAACAAATCATTCGAGCTTCTACATTCCGCGCTTCTTACGCTCCGAGCAATTGTTTCGACTCGTCGAGCAAACTCTTGCACCCGGCTTGACCCGTAGACTTCAACTCCTCTTGTACCTCACCAAGAAGATCCATTACTGGGGTCCGGGAGCTAAGCATAAAGGCTTTGATGCCGATGAGCTGCTCTTCATCCGGCATGAACTGGGCAACGTCATGCTCAAAGAGGTCGAGGCCATACTCAGACCAGCTCAGCTCCAGGAATCGGGACTTGACAAATTACACGCGCTGTTTCTGGTTCTCTTTGGGCTCTCATGGGCGGTCAGATACATCTTCATTGACGTGAGTGCATCGTGATCTTTCCTGCCCCATGACTAATGTATTTGGCTTGCAGAAGATTCTGAATGGGGAAGTCGTCCAGGAAGGATTAACGAGAAATGCGGAAGCTTTAATCCGCTTACTCACGCATTATCTCGCGTATATTGGTTCGGTGACTGGCCTCATCAACTCTGCTTCTGTCGACTCCATACTAAAGCACTGCGATTTCTCCTCAGTTCGGCGAAGTACCAAAGTCCGCGAGGTAACCCCCGATAAAAAGATCAATGGCGATGAGCCAGAGATACATTTCCAAGGCATACAGGAGACCCCAGTGCCTCCCCATGTTTGGTGTGTCCTCTGTGGTGCATCTTCCGACTCGCTCAACGCCGATGGATACTGCAAGAGCTGCCCCCGACCGTGGCACAAACGCGAGCTCACATCCAACGAGATGGGACGATCGGGGTTCAACGAGCCCACATGCGAACCTAAGGTTGATGGCGATTCGAGGCAGCTATCGCACTGGACATTGTACTTTCTTCAGGAGGAGAGTTTTGAGATTTACAACCCACAAACATGCCGGTCTTTCGCTTACAAGTACAAGCCGGCCACTCAACTCGCGCGATCCCCCAATCCAGCTCTATGCTCACCCCCGACCACCTCTCGTCGACGTCATCGGCGCTCCAACCGTTCGAGATCAGACGAATCGCCGTGCAGAGCATGTCAAGGTCCAATGCCAAGAGACGGCCAGTAGTACGCTCAGATGTCTGTCTAGCATAGGAAGTGTGCGTGTACTCCGCGTTTCGCCGGCAGATTTTGGGTTTATTTCGGAGGGGCAAGCAGGGTTTCTGTCTCTCTAATGATACCACCTTCAACACTTGTTTCAGGGTTAGACAATTCTATTGGTATGAAACCATAACGCGTACGTACCGTCAAAGGCGCCGCGGGTTTGCTTCCCGTCTCGCTGCTTCTCGTTACCACAATATGACAACCGCCACACCACGCTGTTTTCATCGCTACGCGGCATAGGCACAAGCGCTCATGCAACGTTCATGCAGTGATTCGTCCTTCTTAAAATGGCACTCGCCCGCTCAAGGTGTGCCAGCACGCCTCCAACGTCCCGCGCCGTCCGCTCTAAATTGTCGATAACTTGGACCTAATCAATACTGCTCGCGAGACGACATCAACACGAGAGGAGTTATCATCAGAGAAGCTTAAAGCCCTACTCGGATCAAGCTTTCCAGCGTATCACTGTGACCTGCAGCGCTGGGGTTAGCGCTTACGGCGATAGTTTCGTGGAGGAAGTCCTCCATCAACACGACTTCAATTCGACCTCACAATTTAGAGAAGTGCCGTCTCTCAAGACCGTGAAGCTGTTTCTGACTTGGCTCGTCCGCACATCAAATCCGATCCTGGATGACGCGGAGGGGTTCTATTCTAGGAGTTCTGTAGAGGGTGTGATTAATTTGAACCGCTCTTGTAAGGCATCAGGTGTGATGTTTCGTGACATGGTTTACTCTTGATGGCTACGTTTCCCAACAGAACAAGTCCCATGGAAGCATTTTGATTGAGTCCCACTTGATACGTTGTTACCTTAAAAGGCGCAATTTTCCACCAAAAGCGCGTACAGCGACGTATTTAATGCCCATCCCGTCAACTGACAGCGAGCTTATTTTTCACTCTCCTGCCACCACCTTCGAAATGCATTGGACATCGCTAGCCGCAGAGCTCAGAGGCATGATCCTCGAAGCGCTGGCACATGAGGGCGACGTAGCACACTGTGCCTCAGTGTGTCGAGAGTGGCAAGCAGCTATTGAACAACTCAACTTTCATTCACTCAAACTCACAGCCCGGGACATTCCGATCTTCAAAATAATGGCAACACGGAACCTTGGCCTGATTAGATACATCTGGTACTCTATCGAACTTCGGAATTACGACTGTACGGAATGCGACCTGGACGAAACAGAGGATGTAATGGATGCCAATCGGGCCACTGTCGAGGATGGCATGCGGACGATGTTCTGTGCTCTTAGCGAACGTCTACCTGATGGAAATATGACGCTCGACATCAGCATTCATTCTCCCTCCGGCTCACAACATCATTTCAAGTACATACGCTTTGAGCCAGCTAACACACTTAGCTCACGCGATCCCCTGAAGCCTTCGTCACACCATGACTCAGTGCACAGCTCATCAGCTCCACTTCCATCTATCGCTGCCATTGACCGGATTTCCCGGACATCGAGTTTTCGGAGGGTGAGGACGATTTCTGGACTCCTGTGCCCCAGGTTCCTTGCGTTACCCATCTTCTGTTGCGACGGCAGACACGTCGACGATGGGATCCTGTCGCTCTCAGTCGACTAACTGCCCGCCTCCCAAATGTACAAGATATATGCTTTGAACCATGGAGGGAATGGGGGCGATTGAACCAAAGACGCATGGACATACGTAAGTGCTGCCGGTACAACATGCAACCGATGCGGAATGTATCGCTAATTCTCTCCTACAGGCTCGGAGCGGTTTCTTAAATCCCTCATCCCCAACAACATGGAAAGAATGATCACATTCGAAGACTTGAACGAGACATACATATCTGCCAATTCAACCGGCCTCCACGAGTCCCTAGATGCAGAACCTATTCGAACAGCAAGCACACAAGTGACCAAAGGACTCGCCGAAGCAAGCCTCGGTCTCCAACACTTGTCTGCAGCTTTTATAATAGACGCAAGTCAATTTTGGGAAGTGCGCCAATCAAACTGGGTATGGGAACAGCTTCTGACGTTATCCCTTACCTCTCGCGATCTCGTGCCACATACAGAACCGAAGGACATTAACGGGTTGATCCATTCGGCGGCACGGGCAATCAAGAAGATGCCGAAACTTCGAATAATGGAGCTCTGGAATGGGGGACAAGGGCACGCTGCTGTGTTCAGATACAAGAGTGTCAAGGCTGGTGGCTGTGCTAGCATTGCCTGGCGAGGTAGTTGGAGTTTAAAATTCGAGACCGGAGTGGTTACAGCATGGGAGAATGTTGCAGGAGCCAGCCACGCTGGGTACCTGCATATTCAGAATGAGCTATTACGACCCTTGCAAATCCGATCTCATGGGGAAGCGGTCCTGATTCTAGAACTTGAGACCGAGGTGGCTTGTCCCGTGTCGATCCAGCAAATTCACAGAGAGCATCTGCAGATTACGACTTGATCGTGACAATTGAAAAAGACGGATGTTATGGGACTCTTGCGCTTGACATGGTCGTTTATGCTTAGATGCATGTGCCTGTAGAGGCATAGGGATGGGCAGGGAAAAGTCATTCACAATCAATCCGGTTGTACAAGAAAGAAAACGGGCTCGAGAGCGACGATGATAGATTTACAATACCATAGGTAATGAGAAGAGGTACTAGCATTATCAATACATCCAAGATTGAGCAGAAGAAGAGCGAAACAGAAGAATTCAAACTAAACCAGGGTATCAATTGCCAAAAAGCAGAATAAGAGCACAACAGTAGAATCCAAGCGAATTCCGGGTATCAATTTGCCAAAAAGAAGAAGAAAAGAGAAGAAAGCCCGAGATGATTCATTTGGACCTTGGTGACGACATGGGAAGGAGCTGAACATGGTCGCCAGACTCGTTCAGGCCTTGCTTCTCTTGCTCCAATGTGAACGCCTCCCGGTTGTCAGGCGAAATCGTCTTGAGCCGCACGCGAATACTTCCGATGCGCTCGTCAGGCATCGTAGCAGCCCTCTCCGCTAGCGCAGTGCCGCCTTGCGACGCGCAGAGCATAACGCTGCCGACGTCGTCAAGCTCCATATTGGCCATACCCTTCCACAGCCTAGTCCACGCCGCCGCTGCAATCCAGATCAAAAGTATGATCGTGTTGATGGCTAGCACCGCGACAATGTAGATCCTGTCGCCGTACGTTACGGTCGGCAATCCTACTTCAGCAACGACTGGTACGGTCTTGTTCGCTCCAATGAGCCTAGTAGCTGATAACATGCCCAGACCGTTGTCAAAAAGAGATGCAATGTGGTCTTCCAGTCCTCGATATACTGTGTCAGTACTGTTGTCGCCGGTGATCATCTTCAGTTGGTTGATGTTCATTACAATGGAATGGCCTAACTGGGATCCGAAAAGCATACCTTCGTCGGCGGAGTAGCGACAAAAAGGGTCGTCCAAGCGCTGCAGTACAGTATCGGTGTAGTCGGGCCAAGTGACTGAGCGTGCCTCTCTCGTGGAAACGGTGCTGGCTGTGGCGTTGACCAGGACGGAGATGTTCCTAGCCTGGTAGTTAACTTCGCACTGAACCTTATCGAATTGATGGAAATCCCAGTCGTTTAATGTGGTATTGGTATCCACTGCGAGAGACATGTAGGTCTTCTTTTGCGCAGGGTCGTATTGCTGAGCCCAGGCGAAAATATCTTGTCGCTGGGACGTCTGCTGAGGATAGCGTGGTAATATATAGACTCCATTCGCGAGCGATCCATTCGCCGTGAACTCGTGATAAGATTGGGCGTCGTTGTTGACTAAATATGAAATCTTGAACGCAGAGGATTCGTTGCGCCCGCATGCAACTTCGGGGAGGAATCCAACTTCTTGGTAGGAGTACCACGTTGGGTGTATCGTCTCGGGTATGTCGATCAAACCGGCGGCAGCGCCTACGCCATAGCTCCGATTAAGATAACGGTACCCCGTTTGATCAAATTTTCTACGGGAAGAATCGGGTTTGCTTGTGTTCGACGCAGTGCTTGCTATCTCCAGGAACGTGCCACGTAGAGTCGCAACAGATAGGTCGAAAGTGAACAGACCTTTGTTAGTCATCCAGAGATCGCTGAGCCCATATCCATTTGTTTTGGGAGCATCTGTGCTTCCCGAATCCCATATGGCAGACAGATTCTGTGATTGGAACGTTGGAATATGCAGGATCCGTGTCGTCTGCGTCTCCGCGATAGTAGGCGTTATCGCGCCAGCCCAGAGAGCACCTGGGAGGAAAGAGAACCCAACAAAGATAATGGAAGAGAGCCAATATGGCCATCGTGAATTCCAAGCAATGCTGGGCGTTGAGGTGGAGACGATTAAACGAATAGCGTCCAGGGAGGAAGCGTGTACCGGGAGCGAGACTCGAAGAGAGGACGTATTGACGTAACCTAGACGCATGCGTAAGCGCTTGTTGTGTAGGCTAACACCCGTTAGGAGCTGTGGGGATTATGTTCCCTGGACCCGTTTAAAAGCAAGGATGATAGAGGAAAGACCCACCTAGGACATGGACTTGAATCAGCCCAAGTGCTTGAGAGACTATCTGAACAGCAATGGCTATTGTCGACCGGTGCTCGAGCACAAAGATCGCAAAATTTTCCGAGCTTCTCCATTGACCAACATTCAGGGCAGCGAGTGCGATGATAAAAGCAGTCGTGATGATCAGCCCAAGGCTGGGGAGGATCCAACTTGCCGAACGTCGCAGGGGCTTCGTTTGACCCAAAGTCTGTGGATACTGGCGCGCCATGCTTGATATGCCGGTGGGTATGTTTCTGATCTAGTCGAGCTAAGGTCGTAGGACGGGATATATCTATAGTTGTCGGGACGGGGCGTTAGCCAAGGTGGGTAGGGGCGAAACGCTTCAGTACTTAATCATCACGAATCGCGATGAGTCGAGAGAGCAGAAATTTTAGTTTGAGCCGTGTGACTGACATAATGCAGCCTTCTTGCCCGTCCTTTTCAGCTCAATTACTCTAGGATATGATCTCCACAGATCGTCGACGACCAACTTGAAATCGAAAGGGAGGCATGGCGAAGTATGCAGAGTTCGGGGCTTGAACGGCTGTGGTTCGCTGTCTCCATGCTTACTGTTACACAATGGAGGGGCGCTCCTTGATACATCCAAGGCAACGATGTGGTGACGATCAGTGATCCTTGTGATGTACAGAGCCTCATCTGCTCTGAAGGCGCGGAATCGCCGATATATAGGCCATGCGACGAAAGTACTAGCCCCAAGCGCTAGCCTGATCAGGACCTGGGACTACGCCATCTTTCACGCCGATTTCACGACCAGATTAGGCAAAATCAGGATACCCTAGCTCTCATGGTGTGCGATTCGCATAAATAAAACGTATAGTTTGTTGCACGAGTAATCGTACTATTTGTAGGGCGATCCTTTGAATTTGGAGAATTCTCTACTGCCAGAGCCTAGATCAATCACTTGCAGCTAGTATAAGAGCCGTTCTATTCCTTCAGGCCGACCAAAAGACTCAGAACACGGTGCCATCGCTTTGGATGACGATTGGACTCGATTTCGTCTCCGGACGACGCTCTGCCGCAATCTCACGACCGGACTTCCACGTTCCAGCCTCAAGTAGCTGCGCCATAGTCAAATGAACTCCACCCATACGAGACAGAATCATACTATATAGTTTGTCAATCAGGACTAAAGTCATGGCCCGCCACTCAACAATAACATCATCCCCTGCCTCGAACAGTGGCAGTGGCCCGCCTGAAGCTTTCAGTCCTCTCTCAAGTGCTTCCTTCTTGAGCGAGAGCGCTCCCAAATCAACGAAGAGACCACCGTTGCGGTATTCGGCCAAGGCGGTCAGTGACTCGGTGTTAGTCCAATGCAGGCCCAGTATCCGCTGGAATGGTACCATTAGGGAGTAGGTAAGCCATTGAGTGAGCTTGTGGAAGGGTTGAATGGACTCCACGTCGCTTCCATACGGGGTCGAGGATCCGGCCTGTCGCTGAAGAACCTCTAAGGGCCATGCGTCACCAATGGGGTGCCCACCGATGGTTGTGCGATCTTTGGGCCAGATTGGGATGAGAAGAGATTGGAGAATGTCCCAGAATATCATGATGTCGAGTTTCGAAGTTTCGTGAGCAGATTTGACCATCTGGTCTACGTATGTCCTTAGTAATCCTTTTGGGATAATGCAATATACATATAAGTGCACCTACCGACAAGATTTCCTGGACGGCCTTCGTCGCCGAAGACATCTGAATGGGCGAGCAATGATCTTCCCAAACTCCTAAGCAGGTCTGCCCGAGACTCAATTCCCAGCATGGGGTTATGGTCCGAGATCTGGAACCCTTCTTCTAGTGCGTTCGTCTTGAGCTGTTTTAGGCCGTTGCCTGCGAGTCGCCTAAATTAGCTTGCTTGCAAACTCAAAAGACAACTGACAATTACCGTCAACGAGTGGCCCCCTTGCATCCTTGTCCGTAGCGAAAGCCAGCGAGTTAAACATATACAAGCTAGCCACTGCAATGCCTTCACTGCGTTCGTACTTTTTGTCCGTCCCAGGCTCAGTATAACACCAACGATCACCAGCTCCAGCATCCAAAAGCACCGAGACGAAGAACAAGTCGACCAGGCGACGAGTGGTCTCGAGATCATCGCATCCATCTTTCTTCCAATTGTGCATTATGTGCGCGATGCGGGGAACATTCCCAACTTCGAAATGCTGCCAGCGACCATGCGGAGGGATTGAGTCGAACTTGTCTGGTCCAAAATCGCGCTAGCGAGAATAGTTAGTGCGATCCTTGCCATAGCCTCGGTGGGTGAATCTTGAACGGACCTTGATGACGGAAGTTACGTAGTCTGCAACGTCGTCCATCCGATCTCCGTGGAGGTCGAAATGGTTCAGCTGCCCAGCCTCTGCAGCGTCTCCTACGATTGCGGCTCGTTCGCGTATTGCACGAAGCGATAGGAGGTATTCGATATTTGTCCCCATCTTGATTTTAGGAAATGCAGGTAAGGTGAGCGGTGCAAATTCGTGCTGAAGATAGTGCGGGGTTTGTGTGTATCTACGCCACATGTGGCTGCTTAGAGATTGATTGGATGAATCCCCTTACAGCCTCATTCACGGCGAGCCGCAGGCTGAAGCTTCTCAACGATACGCGTCTTCACTTTCTCGAATCCGAGTATCCCGAAGCGGCCAGGAGTTTTCACATCTACTGATACATTATAAGGTTTGCACATGTGCTTGTCTATGGAGCCTTTCTCCTATCGTCGAAGGAATGAATTCAGGGGAAATGCGCCATCCTACACATATTTCCCGAACCATTTGTGGTCTCACTGAGACAATGCACAGCGGCGGTCATAAACCCAAATGACTTCCGGACTTTACTCACCCGCCGCTAGTAGTAACGCTCCCCAAGCGAAAGCCTCTACTACAGCCCAACTCCCGATCGTGGGCTATCTTTCAACGCCCGGCACCCCTTTCCCTCATCTTGTCTCTCCAAAGCTTCCCATAGCTCCACTCTAGCTGCGCCAACCCTAAACATCCCATACAAAGGCCGCCAAACAGCGTAAACGTCCACTGTACACCAATGTTCTCTATGAATATTTGAACAAGGGCGAGGCCCCCACCTGCGAGTAGGCAACGGACGATGCTGTTTGCAGCCGAGGCGGCTGAGGGAGTCTTCGGATGCACATCTACTAGAAGCGTTCCGCTCATCTATTAAAGCATCAACCTAGGTCTATAATGGGGTTTAAAGACCACAAAGGAACATAGAGGTGTGCCTACATTGAAAACCATAGCCGTCGAAAAGCCTATGATAAATTGAAGGACCAGGGGGATTGCGATGTGCTATGAACACGCAGTATTAGCTATACCGAATAATTGCCTTGATGATAATTATTGCTTACTAGTCTGGAATTTAGTGCCCATCCATAACCTATTGTGCATATTCCTGCTGTGCTAATGGAATACCAGATGCTTCTAAAACGTGCCTTTTCAATAGGAAACATATTTATATCGTCACCACCTTCGATATTTATCGTTATGCCATGCTTACGCGCCGTGACACGATAGTCATACTTGAGTACGAATCCTGTTAAAAACGATAAAAGGTAAGTGAACGCTCTAGATGCAGTAAACTGCGGAATTTAACGTCAAGCCAATTCATACAAGCTGAAAAAAAAACTCAAAGAGAAGGTCTCATGCTTACCCGTACCATATGCCCCAATAATAGACCCAATGCCAGACGGCAAGTAGACTAAGCCTGATTTGAGGTCCGAGATTCCGTAGAGACTGATAAAGAGGGTTGACGTTGAAGCCTGTACACAGCTGAGATTCATATAGAAGATACCAAATATGAGAACGATTAGGATGCAGTCTTTGGCCCAGAGAAGTTTCAGACTCGCTATGGGATTGGGGACATGGAGATTCTTCCGAGCAGAGACTGAGCCTGGCGGTGATTGCCCATTCTCTGCATTACTCGACTTCTCTGGGGGGGCTGGCAGCCTCGAAAGGCGAAGGTAGGAGAATAAAGCTCGGCGAAGACCTGAGACAGGTGCAGAGCCATTGCCAACTACCGAACGGGCTGTTTCTGGGAGGAAGCAAGCAAGGCTGAGAAGGCAGGTTCCAGAAAGAAGACTAAGGAGCCAAAAAATCCAGCGCCATCCTGGCGATTCAGCTAGAGCGCCACCAGCGATAGGACCTATGGCTGTCGCGATGTTTGGTCTGTGAGATTCAATCAGCCTTGAGACATTGTCGCTAAGCGCTGTGAGTACCACAGAACTTGGGATCTAGAATGGGCGGGATAATTAAGTACTAGAAGTAAGTGATGACTTTATAGACTTAGGAAAGAGCTATGTTTACCCTAAGACCATTCCAGAAACAAATTCGCCGCGTTCAGCAGGTGTGGCAATATCCGATACAACGCCGTATCCAACAGCAATGGTAGCTACGATTTACTATTAGCCTTCTTATGCTTGAGTTAAAGAAGCTAGATGATTACGTACCTGCACTACCAAAACTCTGTACCATCCTCAGAACGAAAAGTGCAGCCCAATTACTCTGCAGCGCCAACCCGACGTTGGCGACGCAATAAATGCTCATCATCAAGAGATAGACCACTCGTCTTCCCGTAGTATCAGCCAAGTCGCCGAGAAGGGCAGGAGCAATGCCGGCTACGACCATGTAGGACGTTATGGTAAGATTGATCCTTCCAACCGAGACTCGTAGAGAGTCGGATAAGGCTGTGATGGCTGGAAAGAAGATGAAGGATGACAGAGGAGAAAATGCGGCAGCAAAAGTGCTCAGAGAGATTATCAACCATTTTTGCTTCCTAGTGAAGGAAGAATAGGGTAGCGAGCTCTGATCGGAGGCACATTCTTTTGCGATCGAGGATTTTTGTGCCTTCTCTTTAGGCGATGGTTGAGCTGGACAGGCTGCGTTTTCTCTCGGAGTGATTTCATCAACTGGGTTGCCACTAGACATACTGGCCATGTCTGTCTAGGTCGATTCCGAATGTTTCATGAAGCTTTGGTTGTAGAGCGATAGAGCCGCAAAAGCAGTGGGTACATGTGAGGCAGCAGGACTTCGCTTAGTAATCAGATAGCTCGGCAAATTTTAATGGTCCTCAGCAACACCCCAACCAGAGGCTGAGAGGCATGTTGCCGAAGCCCGAACGTGCGTGAGACACACGCAACACGCAGCAATGTTCTAATGCCGCACCAGATTGTTCAGCAACGCTATGTATCGATTGGGTCGTCCGTCACGCCGCAGCTGCCCATCTCCCGCCATCGGAGCGTCCTCCCGTTTCGTCGAGCATTGGGTCGCGATATCCAAACCGATTCGAGCCTCGATCCTCTCCTACCGAAGCATGCATACGTATCGCATTTTCGAGTGTGAATAGAACGTCGTGGGTGGAGGATGAGGTAGATTGTGGGGCATGTAGGATGTAATATGGGCGGACTATGTGGAGAACGTCGGGTACGTTTTACTCCGAAAGCTAAGAAGCAGCTAAGAAGGAGCTAAGAGGAGTTGGAAAACAGACTTCTAGACGACTTCTTTGCAAGCTGTTAGGGATTATATTATATCACAACGACGCCCCCAAAGCACGGTCTACTGGGGCAGTAGAATACACATGCGCGATGGCCAATTCGAAGGATTGAGAGAGATTGGCTACTATTGGAATTCTCAGGGGCAACGTTCGCAACGCAAAGCAAACGCTTCAGAGTACAATCAAAATGGATTTACAAATCCGACGAAACGTTCATTTCGAGGCCGTTAAGTACTAATTTACTAACATGTTGCCCGGGATCAACGTGCCTCGCCTTTACGCCGCGATATCTACCTTGCTACATTGCCTCCGCAATGGCTTGTACTATGTCCCTAGCCCTCATTTCCAAATCAAGTGCAAACTCATGCTCATCAGATTTCGTTTCTTTGATCATGTTGCCAGCTGCAAGAAATTCCTCAATGAGGGTGGTATAACGCTTCCCCATGGCGGCTTCCAGCGATCTCATAACCATGCTGCGCTTGGCTTCGGTGAGGGACGATTTCTGGGTTGCCATTTTGCCGAGTCTCGGTCTTTGGATCGCCAAATGGGAGAGTAAGAGCTCGTGTTTCAGGCCCATGAGATCGGGACGAGACGGCTCGGCTCTGGATTTATGAAGTTCGTCGTCCACCTCTTCGAGTGCATTGGTGCTAACTAGAGTCGGATCCGACATCGACCTCTCGGGCAACGGTGACTCCGTAGATTTCGAACCAATGGTTGAGTGGGACTCAAGGATTTGTCGGAGACTAGACCAAAGCCCGATTTCTAATAGCGTGCACCCCACGCTGAATATGTCCAAACTCTTATGGTACGACTGTCGCGCACTGCATAATAGAGAAGGGTGACGGTACAAGTCCGCTTCCAACTCTGACTTCAGGGGCTCTGTCATTTCACCTGGGCTATCCAAACGCGAGTAAACATAGCCAGCGATAAATACTGAGTAAGTTGAAAGGTCGTCCCTAGTAGTTCCGCTCCCGTATTCTGTTCTTCGAATGAGGATGATGTTGTCAGAGCGAAGCTCCTTGTGCAGCCACCCGGATGTGTGGAGATTCAGCAATGTATCGAGCAATGTGACTGCAAGGGATAGCCTTATGTTAAGGGAGGGCGTGCTTGATTGGTCCAGCATTTGTCGTAAAGATCTGAGCTCTGGCATTGGCTGCATCGCGTCCGTATCTGAGGTTGACAGTCTTCGAGGATGCGACGGCGGATTTAGATCATCCGGAAGATCGAAAATATAACCATATCGTTTTGCGACATGATCACTGACGAAACCTCGACACTTCAAGCTATGGAGTGTTGGACCGAGGTCTTGCAGCAAGGCGGCAACTTGATTCACTCTCTTGAAGATGGTTGGATCCGTCATGCCCGCTACATATTTCCACTCCAGTAACACAACTCGGCCGTCGTATTTTGCCAGCGCCCGGAGAGGCTGAGCTCTTGCTCCCCGGGATAAGGTCAATAGCCTCATGGAGACTTTCATCTCTTTCGGAGGCACGTTGAGAGTACTAGGGTTCATGGAATCGTGTCTCTCGACAATGGTGCTTGTTGAGACAGATTTTGTGAGCGTCGTCATCGAAGATCCCATGGCCCAATCTGGAAAGCCTAACTGCAGTCGGGTCCGCTTCAATCTCGCCGCGGCGGCAATGGCAAGCCTTGAGGGAGCGTTTTCATACTCTTTTCCGATGATACCAAGCTCTTGCTGCCCGGTGGCGTGCAAGATTGTATTCCGGAGGCATAGCTCGAGATATCTGTCCCGCCTTTCTTGTTTCGCCTGCTCGAGAAACTTCTCTATTTGTCCGATGTAGCTTTTGGCCTTGTCCAAGAGTCGGTCGAACTTCCTGTCATCCAAAGTGACCCATCTGAGCCTCTTCCACGGCTCCTTTCTCTTGCGAAAGATAGTTATGTAGGCTTTCTCGGTGCGTCCTCGTTGGCGGTCCGTTTGACCTAGCGCTGAGTCCTCGTCGTAGAGAGCTTCGACGTCCTCTGTAGTCGACTGTAGATAGAGACTAACCAAGGTGGCGGTAGGATTAGCAAATGTTCGATATTCATATTAAGAACTCTTACCCGTATCTCTGCTTCATTTGGTTGAGATCTAACAGGAGCATTTCTAGCTGGCCTAGGATCTCGGGGACAAGGGCGGCATGGTTTGCGCTCATCAACAATGTCGGAGGATCTTGGGTGAGACCGGCTTCTTCAGCCCATGTGATGAGAGAGTGCAGCGTAAGTTCGGTCTGTAGCCGGACATCCGTGACGTCTCGATTGTAGTGTTTAGCCTTGCCAAGGACGATTAATCCTTTGACACAGCCATGGAAGCAGGTAAGGCTGAGAGCAACAATGCTCACTACGTCGGGCATTTTGACCGGATAACGAGCTCAAATCGGGCTCTGGATGAACATATAAGTAACGTGAACACTGAAGGAGAGAAGAAAAGGCTGAAAACGAAGCGACGAGAGGTATGGAGGGAACGTTATACCCGGATATGGTAAGGCTGAAACAGCCTGTAGGCACCAGGCAGTGCGCCTCCTGCAGGCGCACCAACTTTTCTTTTGAGTGCTGCGGGGTATGGAAACTGCCAGCGCTTATCATCCGGCCTTACCTCACAACAACCTCGAGAATATCCTATTGCAAATTTGCTGAACTCTCCTTCGTGGAAGCCCCTACCCGAAGCCAAAAATGGCGCCGAAAACCATCTCCATCATCGGCGGGTTAGATTACGATCTGATCATGATCGCAAATCGCATCCCGGAGGGGGGTGAAAGTCTTCTGGCGAATGAGTACTTGGAAGCTTTAGGGGGGAAAGGTGCCAACTCTGCCATTGCAACATATCGGACCTGCCACAAGAAGCCTATGGATGTCCATGAAACGCCGGCCGTAGAGGCCTCAATGGAGCGAGACCACAAACAGGCAGATCCGACAAAGGTTGAGGAACCCACGCCATCTCACGATCAGTCCGTCCAGACTTCTGAGATTGAGCTCGAAATCAATGTCAGAATGGTCGGCGCAGTCGGTGATGATAAGTACGGAGAAAAGTTCTATGCCGAATTGACCAAGAATGGCGTGGATTGTTCGGGCATCATCACGGTGCCCAAAACTCAATCGAGCATCTGTTTCGTTATGGTGGAAAACTACACTCGCGAGAATCGGTGCCTCTTCACTCTCGGCGCCACGGCAACCTGGAAGAAAGAGCATTTCTTGAAAGTCGAGGATCTTGCGCACGGTCTACGGCCAGACCTTTGTGTTGCACAAATGGAGATCCACAAGGAAGTGGTGGAGCAGATGATCGAGACAGCTGGCAGAGCTGGCATCGATTTCTGTTTGAACGCAGCACCAGCCAACCCGATCACGAAGCGTACCTATCGATATATCACTCACTTGTTGGTCAATGAGTCTGAAGCAGCCATCATGTCTGGCCGCGACTTGGATGAGGTCAACAAGGACACGTGGCCAGTCATTTGCCAGGAATTCCTAAACCGCGGCGTCAAGAACGTGGTGATCACTCTCGGAGCTAAAGGAGCTTTCTACGCAACGGCAACGGACCGTGGCCATTGCTTGGCGTACAAAGTCAAAGTTGTTGATACCACAGGCGCAGGGTGGGCTTCCAGCATCCTCGAACCTTAGCGGTGCTGACTAGATCTTCAGAGATACGTTCACCGGCGCATATGCTTCTGACTACTTACGACAGAAGGAAGCAGGCTATTGGGATATCAAGCGCGCTGTCGTTCGTGCGAACAAAGCTGCCGCATTGACAATCACGAGGCTGGGTGCCCAGGGAGGCATTCCTTGGTCCGATGAGATCGATCGTTTCGATGCTCCCTTCAACGATCTGGATATTTCAACGCTCACTATCTCTGAGGAGGCTCCCAGCACTCTTGTAGAGAGCGTGGTAAATATAATCCTAGAGTGACGCATTAAAAGTCGCCGTAGGGAAGTGCGGGAAGAGGATACATAGACAGAGCAACTCGAATTCTGTCCGATATCCCGCCCAGGGTAGTGAGGTGGCAGGCAAACGAAATGTAATCCTTCGTGACCGTAACGACCACCCGCCGAAAGTCCGCACTATGCCCAACTCCATGCTAAAAGACAAAGTATGACGAACTATCAATGGCGCTGAAAACCGACTTTAGTCTTGTCCTCCCGAACCTTTCGGGAATCCCAGACTAATCGCTATATCATATAAAACCAAATGCAATCCAACCCTAGAATAAAATTCCGAAGTAACCTGATGCCTAGTTCGCCTGTCTCTACTATGTATAATCCACAATTGAAACAATAATCGTCAGAAACAGGTGGAGCAGAAAACCACCTCACCCTCTATTCGAAGCCCTCTCTTGATGTCTCTCGCCTCCTTCCTTCTCTGGACACTACGCTCTAACATCTTGAAGGTCTGCTCCTTTAACAAGATCCCCACAGAATCACTCTGGGGTACTATCTCCTCTAGCCAATCGATGACTCGGTCCAGGTTCTCTCGGAAAGCATAGGCATTGTCGCGATGTTGAACGTACCGGAAGGCCTGAAAATCTTCTAGCCTTCGTTTGTATCTGACAGTGAGCATTTCACTGAAGACACACCCCAGAGAGAAGACATCAGCGCTCCGTCCTCGTGGTTGGCTTTCCGGAGCCCAATACACCGGCGTTCCGAATGTAAGCGTGTCCACAGAAGTTGAGCTATCCAACCCTGAAAAGTCCTTCGCGCAGCCAAAGTCAGCCAGGTATGGCTGATGGTCCTTGATCAGAATGTTGCTAGGCTTGATGTCTTCATGCTTGATATGCTTCGCATGTGCAAATGCTAGCGCGCTGACGAGACATCCAAACCAGGAGGTGAGGTAAGTCAACTCCGTTCTTGGGAATTGCTTGTCGACGCATCGGCGAAGAAAGTGACGGAGATCGCATTCGGCGACGGGCAACATGATGATGCTATATGTATCGCCCTCGAAGACGTGGAACTGAACCGAAGCGATATGATGATGGCGAAGCTTCTGCATGATGGAGACTTCATTTAAAACCTCTTTCTCCACCCTAGGCTTCGACCTAGGATCGGTGACACGTATGAGCTTTTGAGCATAGAATGTCCCCGTAGAAGTCTCGCGAACCTTCGACACTTGCCCATATGTACCTTGTCCTAAAGTCTCCTGCCATTCAAATGATGCTCTTGTAGTGAATGGGTTCAGCGGGCCTAATGTACCGTTGTAGTAGCTGAATTGAGAGGGCGTCTGTCGGGCGGCTGCCTGCTCTTTAGCAGCTTGGATGACCAACTCTTCCCATTCCTCCTTCAACTCTGCTATTCGTTTGGATGCGGATCCGGCCTGTTCGACGAAGGTTTCGAATTCGGCTGCTTAATGTGTTAGGCCAGTATTCATTCTTCTTGCCGCCTCCTCCAAACTCACATTCCATTTGCGGTTGTTCAAGGTGTCGTAGTATCGTCTCATAACATTCCATGTATATTGCGAATATCATTTGTAGCGGTTTCTGAACCTTTTCATTATCCGGGAATAGCGATAGGTCAGGACCGAAGGCTGGAATAATCTCGCCGAGCTTCGGGAGATACCGTTTAAAGAGGGTATCTCGCTGTCGTGTCTTCAATGCTCTCTACGTTGGCATTAGACAATAAATTCAAGTGCTGGCTTCTCCAAGCATCTTACCCGGACAGTTTCGAAGGCCTTAGACCAGAAGACGGATCCCAGACAATTGGTTACCTCCAGACCCGTACATTCATCTACCGCGCCAACGAATGCCATGATTTGATCATGATGTCTGACGAACCTGGCCAGCAGTCGTTGAGGGTCCCTTTCGCGTATCTCCGTGCAGATCTGTACAAATGCGCGATGGAAAACGTCTTCGCTGTGGATCGCTGCGTGCTCCTCCGGTGCTGAAAGGTCCGACAGGAAGGTGGACCAAGTGGATGAGCTGTCCGTAACCGACATCGTCTAACCGTGCGCATGGATCGCGGCGTGGACGAATGACAGTACTGCTGCGCTGGCTACGGTGGGCGCCGTGGCATTATTTCGGGGTTTCATTACACGGCAACTAGCCTGCTTGGTCCGGTCTTCGTCGAGATATTGACGCTTAGGCGGTTGAACGAGGGGTCGAACGAGGCTGCGTCTTTCCGATAGGACGTCTGGGGCGGCGGGCCATATATTTTCCGAAGACCCGTATTGAATTCGAAGGAAGCGTTTATTTTCAGGCAAAAGTCCCAAAATACCGGAGGAGTCGACCCCAACATGTGAATTCTGTGTAGTATGTCGATGATCACCTCGTAATCTCGGCATGTACTCTTCGGCGTGGTTCAGCCCAGTGTGGCGTGGCACATCTTCACGCAGCGAAAGCAACGCCATACTCTAGTATCAGTTCCCATATCTTATTGTATAACCGTTCAACGCCTAAAACCTGGCCTCAACCTTCTGCTCCGTATCCTGCAGCGCCCACTCACTCCGCGCATTCTTACTCCTCACCGCATCCACCTGCTCCTTCGTGAAGCCCTTAGCTACCACTGCGGGATTGTACCATAGACCTGTAAGCTTAGCTACTTCTTCATTCGACAGATCCTTCGCGGCGCTCCCATCGGCACGCTTATACACTGTGACCACGGCCGCACCACCAAGGCCCAGGTTATGCTGAAGGGCGACTTTGGTGTCCTTGACGGAGCGGTTGTTCGCCCATCCTCGCATGTGCCATACAAGTTCCGCGCACTGAGCAATACCCGTGGCACCAAGCGGGTGGCCCTTGGAAATGAGACCTCCGCTGGGGTTGATAACGAGCTTGCCGCCATATGTGATGCCACCCTTGCGGACAAGCTCGTGCGCCTTGCCCTTCGGCGCAAGCCCCAGCGCCTCAATCGTAACCATCTCATTCGCGGAGAAGCAATCATGCAACTCACACACCTTAACATCATCCGGCTTCACATTCGCCTCCTGCATCGCCCTCTGCGCAGCCAGCTCACTCATGCTGTACCCCACAAGCTCAATCGCACTGCGGTTGAATAGCGCCGGCTTATCCGTCGCGAGGCACTGGCCTGCGATAAGTATAGCCTGGCTCTTGAGCTCTGGTCGCTTGTCGAGGAACGCTTGCGAGACGAGAACAGCTGCGGCGGCACCGTCCGATGTAGGACAGCATTGCAGCTTTGTGAGGGGCTCGTGGATCATGGGCGCTTTCACGACTTGCTCGAGCGTGTATTCGTCTTGGAATTGCGAGTAGGGGTTGTTCTTGGAGTGTGCGTGGTTGATGCGCGCGATCTCGGCGAAGTCTTCGAGTTTAGAGCCGTACCTGGAGTCGTAGTCAGAGTGAGATCTACTACGAGGAAGTCGAAGGTGTAGAAAAGGAAGGCGTACTTTTCCATATGCTCTCGCCCCGCATTCCCAAACATTTGCGCCGCGCCGGGCGCCTTCGTAATGCCCCTCGTCTCCTTCATCATCAAGCTCGTCGTCCCCGTCGGATTCGCTCGATCCTGAAAGAACGTCTGCAGACTGCCGGGAAACATCTTCTCAAAGCCCACGACCAGCACGCAATCCGCCGCGCCATGCGCAATCATATTCCTGCCCATGAAGAGGCCCGTCGAACCCGTCGAGCAGTTGTTGTTGACGTTGTAGACGGGGATGCCTGTCATGCCGAACTGGTAGAAGACGCGCTGGCCGCAGGTGCTGTCGCCGTAGCAGTAGCATGCTACGCCCTGGTCGACTTCGTCGTAGTTGATGTGCGCGTCGAGCATGGCTTTTACGCCGGCTTCGAAGCCGAGCTCTGGGTAATCGACTTTGCCGCGGGGCTTGATGAATTTGGTCATGCCTATGCCCAAGACGTAGACGGGCTGCTTCTGGGATACCATGACGGCGGTCGGGGTGGACGCGGGAGTCCGATGTCGAGTTAGATGTTGGGATGGAGAGGAGGCGTGCGAAGATCACGTCAGAGGAAGTGGTGGTGGAAGTACAAAGGACGGAAAGACGGAGGGAATACTTGACGCGTAAGATATGAAAGCATTGAAGGTATGTTGCCGGTTCATAAAGGCTGGCGTCAGAGCGTCTGGAAAACGTGGGGAAGCACTCCTGCCGAGGTAGCCTGTCATCCTTGTTCGGTCCGTGCGGTATAGGATATCTATTGCCGAGCGTGCGTACGCCGAAATCTGACCCTGACGACTCTCGTTCGGAATTTCTCGTTCGGAATTTCTGATTTTACATGCTGCTGTTTCGGCCTAGGCTGCTGTGCTTTGGGCACTTCCGCAAGCCGGCTTCCATAGCTGGAAGAAGCGTCACATGGAGAGCGGCGAGCTACTCCCTGTGCTGACAAGCGATCCTCTAGTCAGACATGTGTTCCTCGGTATGCCTTCGGACACCCCTAGACCGTTTACTGTCCCCATTTGACGGTATACGCTGCCTCGGAAGGAAATGCTCTCTGTCGACTTCAGCGTGCTAGGGCTGCTCCATCCACAGGGCACATTCGGCGTCGGAGATATGAGATCGGAACCATTTGTATAGCAGAACTTCGGTATTCTGTGGCGCAAAGGATATGTACAATAATGACTATGAACAGCTGAGCTATCAATAAAGAAGCCGTGCCAGCATATACCCACGGCGATCTCCAAGCAGTGTCAGAGTGCCCATATGCGCCGGAGAATTTTCCGGCCCGCCCTGAGAAGAGCAACACGAGATATCCTCACACGCCACACTGCATGCCCCGTATAGTCGTCAAACAAATAGCCTCCCATAACGCAAGATGGAAACGTTGCTACACTTCCAGGCGCTAACAGTAAACCTAGCGACGTGCGCTGGAAGGCATTCAGCCTCACTGTGGTCTGCAAACCGTAGTTTGCAAGGGGTATCAATCACCTCCGACTCGGGCTCCCTTTCTCAATCGCATCGAAACCGATCGGGCTCTTTGCAGTTACCGAGCTCGTACTTTCTTCGCTATTGTGCCGCGGAGTCTGTCCCTCTGGCCAACTGCGGCGCTCTCTATGCTCCACAGATGGCAACGCATCCTTCTCCTTGTCTTTACTCCACCTGTTCTTGATTTTGCTCCATCGCTTATGCTTTTCGCTCATGCCCATGCTGTCGCGCCTCTCTTGTTCAGCCGCTGACTCCCTCCTCGTCTGTTCATCCCTGACCGGGTCCGACAATTGCCTTGCAGCTGGGTAGGCATTGAGCCAGATGGGGAATAACGTTCCTGCAGCATATGCGGCGACGATCACGCAGTACGCATACTGAATGTTGCGAGCTTGCGTAGGGCCGTACATAATGGGCGGGAATACTGCGCCGCCACTTATCGCTGCGGTCATGAGAACGGAGGCATCCTTAGTGTGCTTGCCCAGGCCACGGAGTGATTGGGCATATATAATCGAGAAAATAGGTCCTTCGAAGAACATGACCATTATGATAAGGGTCGCAGGAGCAGCGCCATAGCCAGTCATAGCGGCAGCAGAAAATGCGATGGCGCCAGCAAAGGCGAAGAGGAGGATAAACCGCGGTTTTACCCATATGTTTGTGAGAGCGCCGAGAAACCGGGATACGGCGAAAGCGGTGTGTCCAACGGACTGATGCCCTACGGGGTCCAAGGATGGCAGGACGCGCTTCAGGTACTCCGAGAACGTAGTGGAGGTCGACTCTTGTCCGCCAACGTAGCAGAATTGCGAGAAGACCCCAAGGCCGAGAGTGATCCATATCACCTGGAACTGTTTCGAGCCGATGTTGAAAGTTGCGTCCCGCGGTATAGGCATACGAGCACTGGCATCCTCCAGTTCCTCGTCTGTAGCTTCGGGGAGAGGGACGTAATAATAGACAATGGCAAGCATAACGGTGAAGAACGATATGCCAAGATACGCCCATTGAACATCAATCAAGCTGTCCGCCTCAGCCTTGAAGAGGGCCTTCCTCGCTAATAGCGGCGAGCAGACGGTGCCAATGGCCTGGACACCTTGGGATAGATTCAGTCGCACTTCGGCGAACTCCGGAGGACCACAAAGCGCTATGAATGGGTTGGCGCTCAGCTCAAGGGTCGACAGTCCAAGGCCAACGATAAAGTTGGAGATTAAGAAAGCTGGGAAGGAAGTCAGGACTGCGGATGGCCAGAAGATCAGAGTTCCGCAGGCGTAAATCATGAGTCCAACCATATAGCAGGCCTTGAAACCCCAGTGGCGGAAGACCAGCCTCCCAAATGTGAGGGGTCCTACAGCGTAGCCAAAGAAGTACGCACTGTGTTGGGCGATGGTCTCCCCGTTGGTCATATGTGCTACTGCCGCGAATTGGGCATTAAGGGTATCCAGGAGTCCGTAAGCAAACCCCCAAATAAAGAACAGAATGGTGACCATCAGGATTGGAAAGACGGACTCGCGGTTGCTCCTCAGGGTAATGTTCTTCTTGGTGCCCATGTCCACGAAGTCGAAGAAAGCAACTGAATGTCGCCGGGTTTGAGCGGTGGTGGCGTACGTTGCGAGAGTGCTGTTCCGGTTGAGATCAGGCAGCTCGTTCATGTCCGGCGTGGTCAGGAAAGCCATCATGTCCATAGGCTCGTCTGCGCCGCCTAGCGCGGGTGGAGGCTTTGTAAGCGGCGACTCAGGGGGACTCAGCGGGTTGGGTGTCCTGCGCGGCCCTCCTAAGTCGGGTCGAGGGAGCATGCTGTCACTTGTTTTGCTGGACGTCTTATCGCGCACAGTGTGATCCAGAACCCACTGTGGAAGGAAACGGCTAACCAGTGGCTTCAAGGCAGGAACGCAGGCGCACATGATTCCAACGTTAATCTCGACTGCACTCCACATGAACGACAGTGAAGCATACCACGGAAAATCGCCCATATTCCGGGAGTCTGTTCCGTCGTCGGACTGGTGCATCTGAAGCGCGCGAAGACGGTCGCGCTGTGCATCTTGGAGGTAGTAGATGCGGACTACATCCACGACAGTGACAAACACTCCAAATCCGAAGGTAATAACTAGGATAACCTTTTGCTTCGTCGGTAATCGGATGCCGGTAAGGATTGGTATCGGGAGGAAGAAAATAGCCAAGTCGGTAATGATATTCAGGGGTGCGGAAGAGAGATAGATGGTGACGATGTTGGTGCAACTCGCCGAGGCTGGGACGGGCGTCTTGAAGGCGGCAGTGACAGGCGTACACTGAAAAGCGTTCAGGAGAGTCAAGGCCAGACCTCCAACATTGACCACGACGAGGGTAGCTATGGTGGCCCATCGGAAGACTTTGAGCGTTTTCGACAGCGTGAGATAGAACAGGAGGATAGAAGTCTTGGTCGCCATCAAAGCTGGGTTCTGCATGTCTCAGCCAATGAGTCAAAATTGTGGAGCTGGGGGACGTACATAAAGGACCGAGAATGCGTAGGCGGCCTGCTTCATGGGCTTCTTCCACTGCGCAGGGACATCCCATTGATGCCGCCCCAGTCCCTTGGATGTGCCATAACAGATAGAGAACGAGGTCCCAAAGGCCAGCAACCACGCCAGTATGATTGTATAGTCGTCCCATCCCGGTTTTCGCACAACGCCAAATCGCGATATCATTCGAAGGAAGACGAAGACGGAGCAGCAAGCGAGCGTTGCAGCCGTAACGGCCAGTACTCCGGGGGCTCGAGTCTGCAAGTCGTCCGTCGCCATCTTGTCCGTTTGAGCAAACTCGAGGCTCCACAGCCCATCGTATCGCAGAGAAGGCGCGCAGGGGGTCGCGTGCTTCTATCGCGGTCGCGGTCGTCGATGGTACCGGTGCGCAACCCACCGCATTCTCCAGACCCCTCTCTTCAATCCTTCAAAACTCCACGGAGGCCTTCAGAATACCAGGTGTGACGTCTGCCGGGCGGGCGATCCGGGAGAATGGTAGAAGGGAAATAGGGCTCTTTAATCTGGGGAAGACGCTCTAGGGCCTTGAGACGGCACAGCGGGGCGTCAATCTGGGCGCAATCAAGGGTCCCGGAGGGCGAACCCCAGAATATTGCCGCAAAAATGGTGCGCGACGCGGCGAGTCCGGCCAGAGCAGCGAAACGACGTGGAGGGTTGCAGCCGCCGGAGCCCTTTGGCGTTGGGCCGGAGCATGGCAGCGGCTGCTGTCATTGGCGAAGGATGGGTTGGGAAATGCGGAGGGCCCCAGTGATGATGGCATGGCGTTCGGCAGCTCGGCGCGCTCTGCACCGTGGATCGACCGCACGCTTTCACGAAGCATTTTTCGCACGCTGCGGCGGAACACGGCCAGACTAGTATTAGCCATTCTGGCTGGTGCCATTATTGCGCACACCACGAACTCGGTCTGAGGATGTGTTCGGCTGCTTGTGGCTACGATGTCGAGTTTGCGGGATCAATTGGTCTGCATCCCAACAGAAGCCACCCGCACGAAACGTTGAACAAACTGTCCAGGCCGAGAATAGCACACACGAATCCTCGCGGGAGTTCTTCCGTGGAACTCTGTTGGAAAAGTTAGTTTCAACCCGTTTCAACTTACCTTCCCTGCACCGCTCGGAGTCGGACGGGACAGAACATCCGAGGTCGAAGTGCTCCCCGAGTCTTCGTTAGCCTCACTGCATACGCTTTCCGATTTCAAGGTTAGATATGGACCTTCTTGAAGAGCCGGGAGTCATGTGAGCGGGTAACGTGCCTGATAAGGCGTCCCATGGGTCACTTCTCTCTCCGCAAGCTCGAACAACAGAACTCAGCTCGATTCAACCAATCTAGCCTATCTGCTCCCGTCAATCCAGTGTCCGCATCCATACACTCCGACAAAACGATCCGCATTAGAGATTAACAGTACCAGCATATGTAACACTCCACAACACGCCCGTCCAGCTCCCTTATAGAAGTCCAGCAAGGCCAAGCAGAACGGCGAATGCACCACCCACCGGCGCAATGATGGCACTCGCGGCACCAGTGTTGAATGATGAGGCAGCGGCTCCGGTGCCCGTCGCTGTGCTCGATCCGGTCGCGGAGGCCTGGGTGGCAGTAGAAGATACGACGGGCGCAGTCTTCATGGCTGACTTTGCGGAGGCAAGGGAGGCGGAGCTTAGACTACATTGCACGCGTTAGCAAGCTGCTGCTCATGCTAATGCATCATGGTTCCGATTCCACCCCGAAGCATTCCTATACTACAGCAAAGGAGAAACAGCACTTACGGAGCCGCAGCATTGCAGTACTGCGTAACCTGATTCTGCACCGGTGGCCTCTCATTCGAATCCGGGCAGTTGTTGTAGCACGTCAAGAGATTGCTGTAGTTATCACACAGGCAGATCCAATCGGTCCCCTCGCATTTTTCAATCTGCGTTTCAATGCCCGCGCGGCACGCGTCGACAATGTTCTGGGCCTGGCACTCGGACGAGCTGCCCGTCGGCGAGGAGCCCGCGGCGGTCGTGGTTTGCGCAGCGGCAAGGCTGGCAGCCGAGAGGAGTGCAAAGGCGGCGGCGAAACGCATGTTGATTGTGCTTCGGTGGATGATGGGATGTGTCGGGAAAGGGGGTCGGGAGGGTGATTGAGAGCGAACGCGTGAAGAGGTAGATTAAAGACGTATATAATTAACCCAGAACGAGTGATGGGCAACGAATTACTATTCCTTCCTTCCGTTGGGTAGGAGACGACGAAGAATGCAGCGGAGGGACGAGGACCAGAGAAAAAGACAGCAGCGGCGCGCCCCCGGAATTTTAAACAAACACGCCCGTCCACCCCAGAGTCAGACCACAGACCACCGCAGCTGATTGAGCAAGCATGGCGCCGTCAGTGCTTCTTGCAGCCGGAACGCGGGCTTGTCCTCGAATTCGATATTCCCCTTACCTAACTCGTCTAGTCTTTTCCCCAAATATAACAACCCGATGCACCCTCGGATGCTTCTAGCATGCCGTTTGCCTCCCACTCAATAACTCTTGCATCAATCGTAGCTTGTATCAGACAAGCGGCCATCCAGCGTGCGCGATCTTGCCTCTCAAACCTCCAATCGCTGACGTCTTGCTCGTGAGCATGCTCAGGGTGAAGCTGAACACAAAGACCTCTGATTCTCGCTTACTGGCGCCACCGTCCACTTCTTTCCGAACGGCTGCCGCTACGATTGGTGGCACTACAGTACCGCTTCGATCGTCGACAGGGAGGTGGCGCATCAGGGATGAACCCATCCGCTTCCAGCATGCACTAGAAATTGGGCCTCGGAAACTCTCTTCTGCACATCATGGCGGCGGCAAATGGAAGATTGAAGAAAACTCCGTTGAATGTGCAATGTCAGTCATGCGTGCAGAGATTCTTGAGGGATGTTCATTCCAGTCGTTGAAATTGGCCTCAGTGATAGGGTGTCCACGTGCCCTCCCTGCTCTCTCGGCTCCATTCCGAGAAAAGAAGCTCCCCTAATCTCGCTTTCCCGAATCGTGAAGCCACGGCGCCAGCTCCGAAAAGCGTGATCTAACCTTTCAAATTAACCTTGGAAGCTGAGACGCCCGGAGCGAAATGACGGACCGACAAGAGCATGAAGAGCGTAAGTAAATAGATATCATTCCTCTTCCAATCCACCGCACAGAAGCTCTCTATTCTAGACCATTGGCAGCACAACATCAATCGGGGAGATTTCAATCAACGTTATTGCAATTGCAGCCTGCTCCCACCCACTCCATGCAGTATCACTAGAAAAGGACGACCTATTTCACCTAATCCAACCCGCTTGGCCGAAGTAACGCCCTGACATCGCGTCTCTCAAACGGTCAAGTGCGCGATCATGGCTGAGAACCCAAAGTGGAACGACCTCTCGACCGTAAATTATATCCAATCCTCCCTTGATGAATGATGCTCATGTACGATCCATGCTCTCCAGAAGCTGTCTCCATTTCACGCTTTTGTACACAGGTAAGTTGCCAAGTATCCCCTCTCCTTCACTCCTCGCGCGTGAAGCTGTGTATGGACCGAATGCGCGGATGTGGATGCATAGCAAACCCTAGCTGACTTTCAAATGCTCTTCTACTCCTGTCCAAATCCAACAGTTTCCTCCACAGCAATCGTGAGCTTCTGGTTGAGCGCCTCGTACGTCTTGTACGGCGGCAGGTCTAGACGATTGAAACTGTTCAATAAGTCAGCCTGTTGTTCTGCTTATATTGAAATTGATAGGGATGACTTACCATGTATGGGACTTCGGCAGCTGAGTCGGCTCGCCAGCCTTCTCGATGGTAAACCTTCTCGGGCCATCGCTACCCTGCAGATCTTTAAATCCGTTGACAGGAATACGCGACGTGCCTGTTGCGAACTGCAGCAGACGAGACTTCTGTTCGGCGTCCCAACTCCGGATGCACTACTTTAGTTAGCTTGGAACATTCAATTCAAGGGGAACTTCAACGCACCTTCCAGAAGTTGACGATGACCTCGTCACTTTCTGTGTAGCCGCGGTAATCGGTGTGCTTCTTCCAGTCGTCTACGTCGATATCCGCGATTCCACCGATGAGGAGTTCCAGTTCTCTTTCGTCGAAAACATTGACAAGATCCGGAGGAATGAGCTCGTTGAAACCGGATATGAATGCGTTGAACTGTTCTTCGACGCGCTTTTGAATACGCCATTCCGTGATGAGTCTAAAATGATTAGCAACCAACCACCTCGGCAGTTGAAGGGGTACTTACTCGACATATTCCTTCTTGTTCTCATTCGTCACTTCGATGTCCTCGCCTCCTGGCTTTAGTTCGATGCTAACAGTCTCGCCAAATCGCTCGTCTTCGGTGGAGAAGGTCAACTCTAACGCGTCGGTGATGTCGTTGTTACTTCACATGTTAGCTCAATGCCTCCGTATAGCCATAAGATGACTTACAGCATCCACTCAAGATTGCGATGGAAGTCGGCGTCCACACCCTCCATATCCGCGAGTTGCACTCTTTTCCTCAAGATCATCTTATAGAAGGCTCCAATAAAGAAGGCATCCAGAAAGCGACGGTGGAAGATGGCCAGACCAACGACACGCCCAATGAATTTGAAGTAGTTGAGATGTTCGGGGTTGATGCCGGAGTGAGGATTGATTTGAAGGGTGTAGTTGTCATGAGCGGAGTATTCGAACAAACAATAGAAGGGGTTGAACATCTCATGCGAGAGCAGGAAGAAGAATTCTCTGCAACAATGTGTCAGCATTTGTTACCACATAAAGAGCATTGTTGACATACCGAGAAAGACCTCCATAATCCAGACCGTCTTCGCCGTCGAACTTGATCATCAATCGTTTCTTGAGATCAGCAGCGCTCTGCCGCATGATCTCATGATATGAATCTTCGAAGATGTGCGTTCTTCTGACTTTAACGTGACATTGCCCAGAGACAATGCGAAGAGCCGGTTGCGATCGGAAGTAGATCAGTTTGCGGCGGAAATCACGCTTATACTGAGGAACGTTCTGGTCGAGCGAAGAAGGTAGTCGAGGGTCGTCCCAGGTGGTAGTCTTCGTGTTATGGTCGACGAAGTATACTCGCGCTGTGTTGGTGAGTCGCATTTCCCATCCTGACGGCAGTGGGCCAAGCTGCGACACGGGCTGTTGCTGAATGGTGCTGTTGTTAGCGTTCTGCCCGCCATACATGCGGATGTACTGCTGCCTCCGAGGATCCACCCAGGTCGTGGTACGGGTGTTGTGGTCGACAAAGTAAGGTCGTCCTTCCGGAGTATGTCGTTGTTCCCAACCTGATGGAAGCTCTCCCGTTCCTGCTGTCGTTGCTCCTGTAGCCATCATGTTCACTGCAGTAGACGAAGGTCCCGGCGGCGAAGGCTGGCGTTCGGATAGCGTGGGCGAATTAGCGCCAGTGCGATCCTCAGGCAGCATGCGGTTCTGATGGCGGGTACGCTCCACCTGCGTTTGCGCTGCTAATGCAGTTCTTTGATCAGCCTCATTAAACCCGGCGCCCGGCCTTATCCACGTAGTCTGCCTGGTATTATGATCGACATAATACGTTCGGCCCAAGTGGTCTTCTCTGCGCTCCCAGCCCGGCGGTAGGCGTCCCTGAGCATCCTCAAAAGCACTGTATCCGCGATTCTGGGACGCTCCATTCTGGGAGGTCGCGACATGAGGGACTTGAGGAGTGGGTTGGCTGAGGCGCTGAGGAGTCGGCTGGGCAGGCACTTGGGGTCGCTGACCAGGATACATGTCGGGGTGGAGGGTTTGCGTGGACTGAAGCGGTGTTGTAGCAGCGGGGGGAGCACCGCCTATCCCGTTCACGGACGAATGTGCTGATAAGGAGGGGCGGTTCGCATTCTGGCCGGCTTGGTTGATGGGGGTGGTCAGGTTTGTGGACAGATTGAGGATAAGTTTCCCGTGCACGACCATGTTGTCATTCGACTTCTTAAGGTCGCGGGTCAGCATCTCTACGAGTACCGCGTTAGCATACTTCTAAAGTCGGTTCGGGCAAGAAATTACCGTCCCCGCCCGCGTCCAAGTCGATAACGCTCCCTATGCGCACGTTTATGACGCCGAGGAAGCCTTGGTCCTTCTTCTTGAACTTCTTCTGGTCGAATATCTGTACCGCCAGCACGCTGTCCTCCGTCACCCGCCTGCCCACCGTATTAGCGTCTATCCGGGGCATCTTGCTCGCGAGATCTGAGGTGTGACGTACATATCGAAACTCTCGTTCCAGTACGGGTTCAGCGTCTTCTTGATCACGCTCGTGGTGCGCGTCTGCTCGCCATTGATGGTGGCTACGGCGAAGGGATCCGGGAACCCTGTATGACATATGAGCGACTTATCGCTGCCTCTTCGCGCAGAGAGAACGTACGGAATACATCACGCTTGTAGAGGCCATCTGCGGCGATAACTACACGCTGTTAGCGGGCCTCGTCGAGCTCGAGGGCAGGGGTTCGTCGAGGTAAGACGCACTTGTGACCCGCAGGTTGGGTTGACCGGCTCCGTCCATGCTGTGCGTATCTGTGATGGGCGTGGAGATGTCGTCGGCGATGCGGGCGTGCGGCTCTCAGAGCTCGCAGTGCGGTAGACGTCTCGTTCCGGTAGCACGAGGGGTGGTGATGTCGCCGACAGCAGCCTGTAGAGGGCGCGGACGAGGGTCTGGGGTGGAGGAGGCTGTGCGGGCGAAACGGGCCGTGCGCAGGTTACAAAGGCGGCGAGGGGCGCGGTCGGGCTGCCGGCAGGCTGTCGATGCGCAAGAGACACACGACGCTTATCCAAGCTTTGCAAATCTCGGCGAGCAGACTGTCCAGCGCCAGAAGGCGAATTTCACAGTCGCAGTCGTTCGTGGCCGGTCCTGCGAAGTGGGCGGCTCGCCGCCTGGTTCTCTTGGCGAGTGCCCCGCCTGGCTGTCACGAACGAGACACCCGGAGGCGCACTCTCCTCCCGTCCTGGAAACAGAGGGCAGACGACCGCTAGACAGTCCAATTCAGTATTGCTGCGCCACCAGTCCCGATATCCGGCTCCAGATTCCACCTATTCTGTCATGCTTTGACAGCAGCGGAAGCGACGAGGCTCGATGATGTCAAACCTCGACAACACCCTGTCAAAGCGCTAGGGGTGCGAATCCCGGCATCAGGCGATAGCAGCAGCAGTCCAAGCAGTGATGTGAAGGACTTCAAGAATGGTAATCCATCGAGTCGCCTTACGGATGGATCTGGCCATTTCACACCCTTCTATCTTCCAAAGAAGCTGTGGCATCCCGGCACTGTCCGGATAAGTCAGAAACCGACCACTGTATCACAGTCTAAACGCTCTGTAAACGCCCTCTCAAACACATTCCAGCGCCCAGCCACGACATTCCATAAGAGTCCGCTGAGTCTCAAGCTCACAGTCTTTCTGCTCTGTTCACGATGGCTCATGTGTTCCGCAGAATCACGCCCAAATAGGGAGTAATCCGCGCATTACCCAGCTCGAGCCCCCGTAAGCCCATCGGCGCATACTGTATACAACCAATAACTTGAGTCAGCTTTGATAAGGAGATTGCACTTGCATGAGTTCTACGGAGCTGGCCAAGTGGTCTATCCAATTCATGCAATTTAGGGATGTGTACCTAGGTGCTTCATCCTCCTGTTAGCCATTTCAGGCCACCGACATCGTGCCGGCCCGCTGTACAACCTCAATCACCCTATCCCAGCGCAGCTGAAAAGTGCCACAAGCCCCACAGGAGCTTATGTATTCCCTATCTACAAATGTTGCACCGCCACAGTGCCGCGCGGGTGCCGACGTAAGTCCGGGCAAGCTACGCCTCGGTCTCGAAAGATATGTACACACTCCTCATCTTCGAGCCCACCTTTCTATGAATATCAACAAGACCCATTCCCAAGTTATCTATCCAGTGGCGGTAGAGCCGACATTACGCTTGGTGGCTACCCACCGCCATCTGCTCCATACCCAGCATCGCCCTCAACTTCAAATACGTCTCGTAAGCCTCCAGCTGCAGCTCCACGCGCATATGCGCACTCCATGCCCGCAAGAAGGCGATGAAGTTCCAAGGCCAGAGAATGCACCCGTTCAACTTCTCCAGCTGTTCTTCGTAGACAGTCCGCGAAGCGTAACGCGCGAGAATGAGGAAAGTTCGGGCAGGCCCTTGACGAGTATGGAGACCCTCATCTAACGACCGCGCTGTCAAGTCGTCAGCTACAGTTACATGATAGGTCGAAGATCTGGGCAAGTACTCACTAAGATCATTTGTCTTCAGAATCAGCAGAATGACCCGCGGCACCTGTCCGAGCAATTGAATCAAACTTTCCAACATACCGTCGCCCAATGCTTCGCCAATTACCTCCTTTTCCTTCTTACTTCTCTTGGTTGCCACATCCTGCATCACCACACTATAATCTCTCCCCGTAATCGCACTCGCAAACAGTGGAAAATGCTCATCCCCGATGCCGGCAACCTCCTTCGCGTACTTCCGCATGCGAGGCTCGTCGGCATCCAGCACGGCTAGCCAGAGTTTGGCGTAGGAGCGCCGTAGGTAGGTCGGGATATCGCGATAAAGGCCATGGTCGTACATTATGACGTCGAAATTAGATCCATGAGGTCGCGAAGGATTATGTCGGACAGCAATGTTACCGCCGTGCGGGTCGCAGTGCAGCGGCGCATTGGTGCCAAAAATCATTTCGTTGAAAATTCGAGCCAGGGCTGCAGAGACCTCATCGCGGTCGATGCCGTGTGAGTCGAGATATTCCAGGTCGTCTGGTCGGTGGCCGCTCACGTACTCCATGACCAATATCCTGCGCTTTGCCCATATCACTTCTGGAATGATAACTGGCGCATCTTTCACTCTAGCAAAGTAGTCTCGTGCCCGTATGGCGTTCTGACCCTCGCGATGGAAATCCAGCTCTTGCGGTAACGACACTTCCATCTCTTCTGATAACCATGTGAGGTCGTACTCCGGAAACCAGTATTTCAGTGTCTCAAACGAGAATCTCGTCAAAGCCAAATCTAGCTTCGCCCACTCATCCAATGCCGGATGCTGCACCTTGACCGCAACCTTTTGACCATTTGCCCTTATCACAGCGCAGTGCACTTGCGCCAGAGAAGCTGCGCCAATTGGTTGCTCCTCAAAGTCTGAAAAGTATTCTGAGAGATCGGTGCCTGTATCCTTCAGCACCATCTCCTTTATCGATTCGTACGAGGACACCGGACATTTGTCCTGCAGCGGTATGAACGTGTCACACCATTCGCTCGGTAGCAGGTAATTGAGACTGCTAAGGTGCTGCCCTAGCTTTATGAATATCGAGCCGTTCTTCTCAAGTGTGCGAAGGGTTCGTTTCGCGCAGCGTAGGTGGCAGGCTTTGAGGAGGTCGTCGTAGTCTTCTTCTTGATCTCGTTTCAGCGTATCGCGGTAGCTGCAGGAATCATAATCAGCTTTGCTCCCACGTAGCTCGGAATGGGCGCGCTCACTCTTTTATGTTTCTGAACAGCGTCGACACCACCCTACCGCTCCTCTGTACCGCGGTATACGCATGTTTCGCATCGTCGTTGATTGTGGTAACAGCAACACTAATTCCCACTCCGCCTCCTGCAACCAGCAATCTTCTTCTTCTTTTGTTCTTCGCAATTGGGTTCGTGGCAGGATTCGTCTTCGTCGCAAAGGCACTGCGCTGCTGTGGCACTGCTTTTCGGAGACATGCGCGACAAGTCCATGGGACAGCCCGGCGAAAGAAAGGAGAAAACGCGCTGAATGAGGACATTATGGGCGCATAGTTACAAAGAGTACTTCTGAAGTCTATATTAACGATAGAAGAACTGAAAGGCGCACAAATAGGGTCGACGCGGCGGTCGACGCTGTTTCCCGACACTTTTCTTCCATGGAAATCTTTTAGCGCCGGATCGCGCGTGTATGGCCTGATCCCTGTTCTCTTGGCAGTGAACGTCACGACGGTCCCGATGCCCCTGATAAGGATTGCTCAAGAGGATCGCAAACTCCTCATTATGAAGGCTTCTGCTTGAATTTCCGTGGCAATACCTTCTTAGACCTTGGTAAATAACAATCGCTCGCTTCGAACTCAGACTGTCCACCCGCATAACTCCGTGCATCATGGAAGACCACCACCCTTCCGCATAACCGAGAGAGCACTTTCGAGCGCCAGCCATCTACCCATCGACTCGCTGCGTTCTATGTTGTCCAAATTAAAATCCCATCACCTAAAACCAACGACCGTGGCCGGCATTTGGTCGTTGTGCTGCTCGTTACATGTCGATGCTGTCATTGAATCTCAGCACTCCATTTCCCTTCAGGATGCCGTCAACACCGTCCGGTATCGATTCTCCTCTAGGCCTTGCGACACCTAAGCTACCTTGAGCGCCCTCTTGCGATGCGAAATCGGAGAGATCGGCGACGAGCACGAGCCCGGCGGTCTTGATGGACTCGATAAGTGCGGGAGCGAGATCCTGAAACCACCGTTAGAACCTCTCTTGTGCTGGGAGGATTCCCGTCAAGTATACAGACGAAGGGAATATAAACCGTAAAATAAGCTTACAAGAAGGCGGGAACTGCAAATCAAGCCCATGAAGTTGTTGTCTCTCGCAATCTGAACAGCCTCCTTTACGGAGATTGTGGTGCGTCCGCTACTTTCAACCGTATGTGACTGGCCGTAAGGCGAGAGGGTACCGTCGGCGCCGAGTTCATTGCACAGGAGCACAGGGTCTGTCCATGCAGTTAGCCAAATCATTCAAAATGGAGACGGCGGATGCTCACAATTCGGCTGCTTCCAATTGATCACCGTGCAGATGTCTTGGTTGAACGAGCTGAAGACCACACTCCTTAAAGTCCCATCGATCTCTCCAGCCCCTTGCTCCCTTAGCAGTCGGGCATGCTCGAAGACGACGGACAGAATCTTATCCGCGAAGTTATTCATGTCTACAGTAGGACCGAGCTTGAGAAGCTCTTCTTCCAGCCGCGACGGGAAGAGCACATGCAGCTCGACGTGTATATTGACCGGCAGGAGGGACAGCGCGTCCTTGAGAGTTACGGATGAGGTAGCGAGAGCTCGGTGGATCGTGGGAATTTCGTCGGACGTCGCATTGCTAAGAGTAGCAAGCTGAGCTCCTGCGCCAGGGTTTTGTCTCGCCCCAATAGCAGCGAACTGCGAATATGTGAGTATATTGACGGGGACATCCAAACCTTCGTGGTTGATCTTCCACGTTGGATACAGTACGGGCACACCATCAGCAGTCAGTTGTACGAATAACCGTACATATTCCCCGGAGAGACTGGATCCAGTGATCAAGGTATGAGGTTGTGAATCCAGCTGACTTGTTGCCTTCCAATACGTGGCGAAATGAGTGATCTCCAATGGGATGCCATGGAAGGGCTTCACAACCTGAAAATCGAACGTTATCCGGCCGATAGCTCGCAGCCGCGGGTCAAAAAGCTCAAGATGCCACTGACCCGTGCTATTTCCCGGATTCGTGAAGACCTTTGACGATGCCACGCCACGAGCGATGACCTTGGAGCCGATGGTTGGGTAGACGTCGAAGTCAATAGAGAAGGTGTCGATGTTCTCGATCTGGAAAGATATGACCTTGAACTCGTCCTGGATGGGAAGCAAAATACTTCTTGGTATAAGGTCCGAGCTTTTTGATGAGATTGTGAGTCTTGCTGCGGGATATTTCTGTGCATCGAAAAATTGGATCGCGTCTTTGCCCAGTCTTTCGAAGCTAATGACCACGTACGTCTTGGTGTCTAGGAAGTTGTGCCCATATCTCTTGAATGGAATAATGGGAGGAGGTAACGTGAACTCCGGAATCCCCTCCACGTCACCTTCCGTTTCCATGGGGCCGGGCAAGGTGCCAGAGGCGGTCTGCGTCGTGATTTGAGGAGACGCCTGTCTCTGCGTCGTCAACCCGACCCCGTGGCCCACCGAGGCAAGTAACCTCATGCACTCAAGATGGCCTTCCCAGGTTGCGTAGTACATTGCCGATAAGCCTTTCTCGTCCACTACGTCCACATCGACCTGGCACTCAAGGAGAGTCTTGAGACACTCCACATGGCCTTCACTTGCGGCGTGAAAGAGAGGTGTCCACTGATAAAGCTTGTCTGGCTGGTCCAAATTCGCACCGTACCTCTGGAGCAAGAGGAGCATCTGTGGGTTCTTTCCAGATCGCGCCACCAGATGTTGAGGGTATAGGCCTTCAGCATCCGGCAGCATTTCCGCATTACCCCGAAGAAGCAACTCGACGATGTCCATCGACGCGTACTGGCAGGCGAGATTGAGTGGTATATTCTCTGCAGGCCCAAGCCGCGTCATATGGCCTCCCCGAGAAAGCAGTGTCTGAACGCAAGCGAGCTGCGAGTGTACGATCGCATGTATCAACGGCGTGAAGCTGTCTTGATCGCGGAAGTTTACGGTATCCGGTGCAGCGTTAATGAGCTCCTGCACAACGTCGACGTAGCCATGGATGGCAGCGTAGTGGAGCGGTATCCGACCATAGACGTCTGTCGCATGTACATCAACCCGGCCGGCCAATCCTATTCTCAACACGTCCATCCTTCCGCAGATGGCGGCCTTATGTAAGCAATTTCGCTCGTTGATCTCGTCCTCCTGTTGTAGATCCACCTGCTTCGTCTCAAGCATGATCTTCAATGCCGCTTCTGGGGCTTCCTCCACAGTACTCAAGAATGCTCTTGATATTCGTTCTTGCGCATCGTTGAGCTTCGATAGCCGAGAGAGGCAGTCTTCGATCTGAGCGGTATTCGCAGTATTGATAGCTTGTACGATCTGGTTATCGAGTTCGAGGTTGGCTTCTAATAAAGGTTCGGGAACTCTGGATTGTGGTGTCTCCTGTGGGGCATGCATTCCTTCGCCTTCAGCCCATCCAGAGAAGTCCAGAAGCGCTTGTGTCGCTTGATCCGAGAGACTGCTGATAACATCGCGGTTAAAACAGGGTTGCACCTCAACGGCCCGCGATAGATATAGCTGCTTTTCCCTGGACTGGCATGAAAGTCAGCCAGTGTCGAGTAATTCTTCTAGGATAGTATCCGACCTTAGACGTCTTGTCCCACTGTACATGTGTTAGCTAGAGGCTGACAGGGGGTTGAAGGGAATACCGAACCTTTTTCAATATTTTTGAGAAGGCGGTCGCGTTTACTTCGACGAATTGCTAGTCAGTGTTAGCCTAACATAACCCAGGAGTGCATGAGGTGGTTACCTCGAGCTTGTTCAGGTCCATGCTGAATTGCTTCAAGCCCTCTTCAAGCGCTATGTATCTTGAGGAGGCCTTGGAGACCGACTGCGGATGCTGCTGCATGACCTTCTTCTTGTCGAGGAGCGTGGCCAAACGGAGGCGCAACTGGATGTTGGATGAGCCTCGTCACCAAAATGGAGGCATACGGAAGTACCTCAGCTTCTTTCTGCAGGTAGAAGGTGTTGACCTTCTCCAGCTCTCGTTCCTTGGTGGAGTGAGCAAAGCATACCGGGTTTGCGCGATGGAGTCGCTCACCACTCGGAAGAAAAAGGTGGCCTTGTTGGCTTGCAGAGATGTCTGCGGATCCAGAACTTCCGATCCATGACTGCTATCCCCTTGCGGCGGTATCACTGGGGTTGCACTGAGTTTCTTAATGAGCTAGAAGGTGTTAAACCGTTCTGTAGTAACATGGTGGAGCGGGGGCGGGGACCTTCTTGAGGGCCTTGTAGTCCACAAAGCTAGCGGCATATTCTGGGATCTCCAGCTGCCGTTTCTGTATGTGTTTTCCGAACTTCCTAGAAAAGCGTGCCGAGTCAGTTTTGTCATCTTTGGAAGCAAGACTTGTCGCCGATGCTGTCTTTCTCAAAACCACCACGGGCAGCGGACGATTCGGGTCCATCGGAGTAAGACATACATTGCGATGGTAGCAGGAAAGGAACGGACAGAGCTCCTCTGGAGTCCTTGAATGCGGTGCGCAAATGATGCGCAAGCGAGGAACCCAAGGCCGGGAGTTGTGCGGATCTAACCATACAGGTCGGGACTTGACAGGTGGTGCTCGTCAGCAGGCGCCGATAGGACGGCGGGGACGCACGAGGGAAGGAAAAGTAAAGTGAGGCTCCTCGAGGACAAGGGAAGGACGTGCGCGGGCGGTATAAGAGTCATCAGAGAGTGAACGCACTGTGGATGCAGTTGCTAGGAGCGATCAGTCCAGACGCTCGCGCGGACCTGGTGGTACCAGACGGTTAGCAACTTTTTGGCAGGCGCCGAATGAGGGGCCCGCATCAAAGGGACACTGAGGCGCTCATCCTGAGAGGGCCACGAGGCACTGCATACGCTGGGGTTGAGAGGGCAGGAGCCCATGTCTCTACGCAGAGGTCGAAGCAGACCAATGGCGATGCGTAGATCGCGCACGCCTCCCGGGAACTGCTCGAGCAACGAGATGCTAAGGAGCGGCAGGGGTGGGCGGAGTAAAGAATTATTCTGCCGAGGACTAGGCGGAAAACGTTGAGAAATGAGCAGTGTGTCCAATTGAACGTGCAGGAGTGTCGGTAAGTTTGGATGCGGCAAAACGGAAGTTTACGTAACCCGACGTTCCATCCCAGAAGCGGAACATGCTAAGCCCAGTGTAGAACTAGCTCCATCCCGCCATGAACGAGCACGTGGACGTAACTGCTGTGTCCAGGTGGGTACCCAGGTAGTTCCACTACACAGCATGAACGTCTTAGAAGTGATAGCTCGATGAGATGTTACTAAAGAGACGATGTAACGAACGTGGAAGATTTGTTTCGGCAAACGGGCGGCATGTACATATTCTGTCTATTACTCCACACATCGAGGATATCGTCTGAGGCCTGCAACATCCTCCCTCCACCTTTTTGTACGCAACCCAAGCCAGAGCGCCTCCAAGCTACCTGTCTCTGCACTGAATAAGGAATCGCAGGGACCTGATCTACCGGGTATTGATATCTGCTCGCAGATCACTCCGTTGTCCAAACCTTCCTTCTCGACGAAAAATCAAAGTACAAGACGTGAGCTCTACTTTTTGGCCCGAGCGCCATAATGCGGAGCCCGCTATCGACTGTACTTCCGCATCACAGGCCATAGACATCCCACCCATCAAGGCCGCTTGAACGCTTCGTATTGGCGTCTACAAAATCACCCCCATGGCTCGGTCTATCGAATGGCGTGCGCGTTGCGGTATGCGCATTGAGGTCTTCCTCCAGTCACAACTCGTCGTCGTCCATCTCGGAGGGCTTCAGCAGACCGCCAACCTTCATCGCACGTTGTCGTTCGTCCTCTTTGGCCTTGGCGGCTTGCTGCTCACGTTCCTCGGCAAAGAGCTCGGCATTGTCACCAGAGAACTCCTTCAAAGAGATCAAGAAGTCTCGCAGGATGATCTTGAACTTGGCGAGGTCAGAGTTGGTGGCGAAGAGTCCATCGATGAAAGAGGCAATTTGACCGCTGCATGGGTCAGCAATGTCAGCAAGACGGGATAATTAGAAGCACTCACGTCTGAAGGTTGGGAAAAGCCGTCGCGAGCAAGTTGCCCACGAAGTTCCGCAGGAACTCGCGGTTGGATGTTCCAGCAGGAGCCATGTCGGGCGCTGTGTAGATTGGGCCCTCCAGCTTACCCGACTCGACGAGCCAGAACATCTTGGCAAGAAGCATGGACTGTGACTTGAACCCGGCCTTGTGGTCGCTGTCTGTGAGGACGAAGAATACATCTTGCAGGATCGTGGTGAAGAAATTCTGGAAGAACGCGTTGCGTGTCTGCGCATCGGTATCCGCCATGTTCGATATCAGCTCGAAGCACATGGACAGACCAGCGCTCTCGACTTCGCGGTTGTCATGCTTACTCGCCCACATGCATGAATCGATGACGAACTTGAATGATCGGGCGTCGAGTTGTAGCAGTGCTGGAAAGCACCGGAGGTTGATGGTCCTCAAAAGCTTGAAGAATTCGACTCGGTGTTCTGGGTATTCCGAGAAGTCCTTGTTGATCATATCCAGTGTGCATTCGAACACGCTGTCCATGATGTTTATGATCTGGTCTTCCATAAGGCTCTGTGGGAGAGTCAGTATGATGTTCGGCAGTTGCTGAGCGAGGCCAACCATGTGTTTGCTCAGATTGGGTCTCCAACGTACATGTAGCTTGTTGATGATCGTGGTCATGACATTCAAGACTTCGGCCTCGCGTGCGTCAGGCACGTTGTTCTTGTAGTCGATGAGTACCGCTTCTAAAAGCTTAGGGACGATATTGTTGTGGATCATCTCCAGATCATCTGCCTTCTCAACGTAGGTGTTAATCAGCTTGAGGATCTCCTTCTTGATTGTGCGAAGACCGCGGACTTTGGGCATCTTCGTAGCAATGTTGCCTGTTTTGGTCAGTCAAATGGGTCCTCATGAGATCAAGACTTACGAACCTTCTCGCTGAACAGCCTCGTCGATGAGCTGAGAGCTCGCGCGGTACATGGTCAGCATGTCGAAGTAGATGCGACCAATCTGGGGGTAGAAGTAGGACCCTATCGAACTGCATGCCGCAACGTTGGTCTTCATAATGTTTCCGACAATCTTGATGACGTCTCCATCCTGCAGACAGGCCGGGTTCTGGTTCGCTTGCGCAATGATGTTATCCCACTAGACATGATATTAGTAGAGCACGAGGTGGAATCTAACGGTGCATACTTACAGCTTGGTTTGGGAGTGCCATCAAGTCGTGGATCAACCTTTCCTGCATGCTCTTCTGGCCTTGGGCGCTGATCATATAACCGCACGCCTCGTAGAAGGTATGAACCTGCTGGGGCGATAGGTCTGCCGTGATCTTTCGAAGATTCCGCACGATCTCGTCAATGAAAGGCTCAGTCTCGCCAGGCTGAAGCGCGACGAAGTGTCTGCGGCACTTGTTGGCGATTTTGATGAAGGTATCACAGGCCATGTCCTGAACACCTTCGTGTGTCTCGTGCATGAACTCGAAGAGCTTGTTGACCACGGTCTTCAGGAACTTCCAATGCGCCTTCAAGAAGCGGGGGTATTGGCCAACAATGTACATGATGTTGCTGGCGACGACGGCCTTGTTGTCTTTGCCGCGCTTCATTTCGGTCAAGCCAAGGAGATCCTTGATCACGGTGACGAGGAATCGCTTTTCCGTCTCTTCATTCATGGCACCGGAAATGGAACCAATAGCCCAGCAAAGGGTATTGCAGTTTGCCCAGGACCATTCAGTGCCATCAACTTGTCGTGCGAGCTTCTCGGACATGATCTGCTCTGTGTCGTTGACGTCTAGGTGGGTTAAGAAGACCAGGCATTCTCGGGTTGATTTGTAGAGCTGAATGGTATCGCTCTCCTTGACGAATTCGCGCACAATCTCACCTTCATCGTTCTCGACGATGAGCACTTCCTCAGGCCTGACCATCTTTTCAATCATCACGGTGCGGAGATTGGAGAGAATCTCGGCATATTTGTGCTTACGCAGCGGATAGTTGGCTAAGATGGCGGGATCGCGAGCACCACCGTTCGCCGACGAGAGGCCCATATTGAGAAGCGGGTTCATATCGGTTATCGGTAGCGCTTGCATCTCGTCGTAGAGCTCGGATACAAGCTTCGTCCAGTATTCCAGGCAGATCTTGAAGATTTCTCTGTCGTCAATCTGACTGATGCGGATGAGGTAAAAATGGCCGTGGGTGAGGAAGTCCCTATTCATCAGGTTCTCGATAACGTTCAAGTGCATCGTGAAGAAGTTGGTCAAGAAGAGAGCCAGATTCTGCACAAATTCTTGATCCCTGCTATTGCTCTGCGCATATGTGCTCTTCAAATCAAGAGTCAGAGGTATAATCTTCGAGATTGCGGTCAAGGTTTCCGTGAACATCTGGACTAATTTGTCATCATAAGCCGGCTGGGTGTGGAGACCGGCGATCTCGGTCAGGCACTTCAATGTGATATTGCGGAAATCAGGAACGTCGAGGAATCGGCTGCGGAGAGTCTCGATGAGGCTGGCACCGCTGGGAGGCGTCTCAAATATGTATCCAAGAGGAATCCAGTTGAGGAAGCGAAGCAACGTCTCGAGGGTCGCCTTGATGAGCGTCGCCTCGGTGGCAGTCCGGAGAACCTCAGAGCAGAGCTGGTATATCGATGTGAACTCGTCGGACATGCTCTGTTTGAGCTCCCGCCGCTTCGCCGACGTCATCTGGTCCTCTGAGTAGTCGAAGACTTCCTCAGACAGCAGCCGGAGTATAGCCATGTTGTTCTCGCAAATAGGCAAGCTGCTATGGCACGACGAGATGATCTCGTTGATGAAGGTGGGCCAGTTGTGAGGCCATTCTTGTTTGAGCACGGATACGAGGACGAGGTTAAGCTTATTGAGGAGGGTGCGATCGATGTGGCTCCGGTCTTCATTGTTCGAGAGTTGGATGATGAAGTTGACGACGAAGTTGCGAATGCCTTGCATGTCTTAGTAGTCTGGTCGTCCGCATGCGTATCATACATACCTTGACATTGATCGCGCGGCAAAACTTTCCACCTAGTCATGATGACATTGTCGAGCACCTGGAGCCCTAAGTCTGCTAGCCGTTAGCGCAAGCTTCAGCCCCCCTCCCCTACCGCGGCGGACTCACATTTGGTCTGAGGGTACTGCGCCTCCTGCAGTATCTTGTCGACCAGTAGCCAGGCGTCCGGGTTCTCCTTGAACTACGCCACCATTAGCTTCGTGATGACGGAGGAGGCGGGGACCGGGCAAGCCTACCTGATTGAGAGTGGCCTGGGCTTGTTTTTGCTGTCGAGATATGTTAGCACTCTGATATCAGAATATAGTTTCGTGAAGCGTATGCGTACGGTCTCACCACGGCCCTCGTAGAAGGCGCGCACCGTGGCGTCTAGCTCTTCGATTGACAAAGACATGCTGGGCCGCTGCGCGAGGGACGAGCTCCCAGACAGCTTCAGCTGCGTGGTTGTATCCCCAGGATAGCTTTTTCTTGTAGAGTGGGCGTGGGTGGGTTTCCTGGCAGTTGCGGATTGAGGCGCGGAGGTGAGGGTGAGGGTGTGTTGCCTTGAAGAGTCGCAAAGACGATAGTGGGGCAGGCGTGCGGCGTCTACGTTGTGCGGGCGGCGTTCAAGAAGCGGTCGTGGAAGAGACCGAGCTCGGCGATCCGTGAATCAGTAGCAGGCCTATACAGCCATGCAGTCGCCGTGGCAAAGAGCTCGCGGAGTGGACGTGGAGGTCGAGGGGAAGCTGCCCGCGAAGCAGAATGCCGAGCAGAGGTTGGACGTTGTTGCGCTAGTCCGGATTGGGAACATCACTCTCGGCCCGCGTTTTCATCGGACCGCCGCGTTGACAGTAGAAACGCGAGTTCCCCAACCCATCCAAAAAGAGATCACGGTCCATGATAGTGATGGAAGGTGCCTCATTCCGTCGTAGAGTAACTCACAAATTGAATGACTGCCTCTGTCGAGCGTTCTCGCGATATCGCAGATAGCTAGCAAAGCCGAGAATGACATCAAGGATGTCTTACTCGAGCCTCCGTCCTTAACAACCAGAAATCGAGGGTTTTCAGGACATGTACTGCTGTGTCTACCTTCCTATAAGGCATCGCTAACAGTTCCAGCAGGCACAATAGCTTCAGTATTGAGAAATGCAGCCTTATCCGTACAATATCTCGCTCGACGGTCGAAGAAGAATACGCAATGAGTTCTCGAGACGACGGGAAACTGCCTAGGTAGTTTCCACTTGCAGTACGTCTAAACAACCGAATGGCGGACACCATGGTCCTGTATCCGGTTCGGCTAGCCTGAACGATGCCCGAGAGTCAACAATGCCCGATCAAAGGAATGGCGGCTAGAATCATGACCATATCCTCCGTTTAAATCGTCATAGGACTGATACATGTGCCTGTTGTCCCTTATCCTACCTCTTTCTCAAATACATCATCTTCTCGTTCGGAGCAATCAATCGCCTTGGACCCTCGTGATTTCATGGCCAGCTCGCAAACCAACCGATTCACTGTCACTTATACTAAGTCGTATTCGAGGTCGCTTTTCGCTAGTTCCCCATGTTGCTACAAGGCCCTCGTTCCCCTACTCTAGGTAACCATTAGGTAAGTAGAGGCTCTAGGAACTCCATGTTACCATGCATGTGAAAGAAGCTTTTCCGGCCTCCAGGCTGTATAAACCCAAGATCCCCGCATTCTATAAGTTCAGTACGGGCCTTAATTATTCTTCCCGGATCCACTATGAAAAAGTCTACCACCATGAGCATAGTCCTATCTTCCGAGCAGTAAGTTCTTGGCCTTTCTTCCGTCCGATACCACTATAGGTTTAACCTGTAATGCAGACTCTCGCCATTCACCAAAGTGCTCAGACATGCTGTTTCCATAAGAACTCCGCGATCCGATCTACACGTATATCTGGGATAAGGTCGAGATAATTTCCGACATTAGAGAGCCTGAAGGCGATGCCCCAAACTTCATCGCTAACCGTGAGGCGGAGCGCCCGCCTTTCCTCGATGCGACTATGGCCTATCCCGCATTCGCCAATGAAGTCGTCAATTACCTGTACTCCATCTCCACCACATTGATACAGGAGTACATGAACAAAGACACGTTCCAGGCCTGTGCTCCCCCTAACGACGTTGCCATCAAGTCACTACATCTACGCTTCGAAATTAAGTCCGCGAAGCATGCCGAGACACTTTCCGGGTTGGGGCCTTTCTATCTCGCTTCCTCGCTGGATAGGCTACCTGGCATTCACCCAGTTGTGTACTTTATGAATGCTCTACTAGTGACCTTGATCGCACGTGCGTGTAGAGGTGCGAAAACCGTGGCTACCGCTGGCAACGAATTGGAGAGTTAATTACACGTACAGTGAATGTCACCGGGTCAGTGTGAGATAATGGTCTGCGTTCTCATACAATCAACGTTTGTGAATACTGCTATCAGCAAAGTATAGCTCATCGAAAGCATACCAAAATTAAACTTTCTTCAAACCCTGCAGTAGCTTCGTCATCCCTCGTTTCCAAAAGAAGCGCAACTCAACTCTATCTCAGACGGCAACAACTTAAGACGGGCAACTACTTCAGCAGACGAATTACCACCGACACGCGCATCGATCCAGCGCAGTAAGCTCTTCTCACAAAAAAGTGTTTAGTCCCCACATCGCTCATGCTCTACGCAGGCTTTCCAATTCACCAAAACGGTCCACCAGCGCCTACCACGAGAACTGCGAGACTTGATCTTCTCATTCTTCCTAGGCGAGAATGCTCGAAGCCGGCCCGACGATATAAAGTTTACATGGTCATACAAAACGCCACTCCGTCCAATTTTCATCGATCCTGCGGTCGTGTATCCGATGGAAAATGGTACTCATTCAAAAGGGAGAAAGTCTTCTGCTGTGCTGTGCGATTCGTCAATTGGACTAAACAAAGAGTGAGCACCGGCTTCGGTAGCTGAAAGATGTGAGGAGCGAAAAGGCTACCGTCGGAGCTTCCCACATTGCTTCTTCCACAACAGCTCACTCAACACCAAACACCGCTCTGTTGATAAAGCACCGTTGACGCCGATCCTTATGTTCGGTCTCTCTTCGATCCGCCAGCCCCACAAACCAAAGTGCAGAAGCAGCAGGGGAATAAAGCGGGTGTGCGCAACATCTGCCCGTGTCGTTCCGAGCCCTTCCACGCCATTAATCAGCATTCTCTCGCGCTTGAAGCGTGCTCCGTCGTTTCGTCTCCGCCGGCGTCGGTGCCACGGTGGGTCGTCATATTCGGGCGGCACGGCTCTGCCCCAACAAAATGTGAGATTCACATGACTGTTAGTTTCTCACCGTCGTACGAGCCACTTAGTACTGCAACCATGCAATGATGATGCTTGACGTCGGTTAAGCCTTCCAAGCAAAAGAGGCTCTTGCCGGCCCGATAAATCTCCTGCCAATAGGAACGGCTCGGCCATCGCATTGGTCTAGCGCTAAGCCTTTTGCGGCCTTTAACTGGAGATTGTGCCGTGAACGGGCCATCCCGACTATGACGTCTTTTTGCCAAAAAATAATGGGTTCTCAGGATTCGCGCACCATGGAAAGCCTTTCGTGCCGGCTTGAGGTCACCGGGCCTGATGAGGCAATAGTGTGGGCTGCTTTATATGCTCCGCTACTTCCTTGTTCCTAACAGCACTTTCTGGTCTTCACACATCGCCATCTAACCTTAACGACACATTCCTCGATTATATTCATTCGTCATGGCGATACTAGGTCGGCTGAGGGGAAAGGAGAGTCCCCCTACGCCAGACTCCTCAGCTGCAGATCGGGATATGGAGAAGCAACCAGCGGCGAGGCGAGTATTCGGCATCCGCGAGCGCTTCACTCCGCGCATTCTTCTCATGGGCGTCCTGGTCTCCATGGGCGGTTTCATCTTCGGCTACGACACTGGTCAGATCTCAGGTTTTTTGGAGATGCCTCATTTCTTACAGAAGTTCGCGGATATAAAGGACCCCGAGACTGGAGAGCTCTCGTTCTCAAACGGGAGGAGTGGAACAATCGTTGCGTTGGTGAGTAAAAATGCTGCTAGGACTCTCAGGAGTATCTGACGAGGAATATAGCTGTCGATTGGGACATTGATGGGCGCTCTCCTCGCAGCGCCTATTGCCGATAAGTTTGGCCGGAAGTACTCCATTACCTTCTGGAACATCATATTCTGCGTGGGCGTAATCGTGCAAATCACCACTTCCACCACATGGTACCAAGTCGCTATTGGCCGCTGGGTCGCTGGTCTAGGCGTCGGTGCCCTCTCCGTTCTTACGCCTATGTATCAATCCGAAACCGCACCTCGATACGTGCGCGGCGCACTCGTCTCCTGCTACCAGCTCTTCATCACGCTCGGGATCCTCGTGGCCTACCTCATCAATTTTGGAACCGAGGCCGACCGCACTTCTCGGGCATGGAAGCTCCCGATGGGCATTGGCTTCATCTGGCCTGTCATCATGGGCGTTGGCATTCTGTTCCTGCGCGAATCGCCCAGATGGGAATACCGTCGCGGTAAGATTGACAGCGCGCGTAAGACGGTCGCCATGAGCTACAGCGTGCCGGAAGACCATCCTGAAGTTACGCGAGAGATCAAAGAGATCAAGGAAAAGCTGGACGCTGAGCAGGCTGGCGGCGGCAAGCATCCCTGGTACGAGATCTTCACAGGACCTAAGATGCTGTACCGTACCCTCCTTGGTATAACTCTTCAGGCTCTCCAGCAGCTTACCGGCGCAAACTTCTACTTCTACTACGGGACCACCATCTTCGCCAGTGTCGGGCTCCCCAACCCGTACGTAACGAGCATTATCCTCGGCGCCGTCAACTTCGGCACTACATTTCCTGGTCTCTACATCGTCGAGAGGTTTGGGCGGAGACCTGCTCTCATCACCGGCGCCTTATGGATGTTCATGTGCTTCATGGTCTTCGCCTCGCTCGGACACTTCGCGCTAGACCAAAACGCCCCTCAAACGACACAGGGAGTCGGCTACGCCATGATTATATTCGCCTGCCTCTTCATCGCCGGCTTCGCAATGACATGGGGTCCGATCGTCTGGGCGCTTGTCGGCGAGATCTATCCTTCTCGCTACCGCGCCAAATGCATGGGTCTCGCGACGGCATCGAACTGGACCTGGAACTTCCTCATCTCCTTCTTCACTCCCTACATTACCGGCGCCATCGACTACCGCTACGGCTACATCTTCGCCGCGTGCTGCTTCACCGGCGCAGTAGTAGTCTACTTCTTCGTCTGCGAGAGCCAGGGCCGCACGCTCGAGGAGATCGATACGATGTATATCCTCGGCGTGAATCCGATCAAGAGCAAGCACTGGCAGCCGCCCGAGGACGACGAGCTGCCTAATCTGGACAGTACGTACTTGACGCCGGGCGCGAGGGGTATTCGGAAAAGGCAGGAAGCGGGTGCGCCGGAGCAGCAGAGGAATGAGAGTATGGCTGGGCCGTCGGGGCAGAATGGGATTGCTCATGAGGCTTCGGGGGCGAGGCAGTAGAGTGAACCGCAGAGCTGAGATGCCACTCTCGTTTGTTTTTGTAAGCATTGCAGGGATATTCTCTTTATTGTAGCATTTCGGGCGGTGCTGTGAATGCATCTAAGAGCGTGCTTGGAATAGGGCTATGGTGTGGGCGCAGTGTCATAGCGGGTATGTAATAGAGCTTAGTTGTTTGTTCTCCGTTTCTGTGAACAGACGGACGAAGTCCCGCGTGGACGAAGATCTAAGTGGCTACTATGATGTTGCGATTATATAAGAATACACGTACTGTACAGTCTATGTCCAAAGTCTGCACACTAAATCCTGGAGAACACTTGCCGTACGCCGATGCTATGCTACTCGCTCAGAACGACCAATATGCACATGATTTTACTCCTACATACCTCCTATCCTGCTGATTGCGAGCTTCCGCTTGCTCCATCCCACCCCTACTTTGCATTAGAGTAGGCCTTCCGCAAGTACGACCTTGGTTCCTCGTCCTCGTCGTCTTCTGCCTTCGCCTGGTGCTTCCGAATCTTCAACGGCTGCAACTTCCTGACGTCGACTTCTGCCTGGTCCTTTAGCAAGACACGGCGAACCTTGGACGGAAGCTCGCCGTCTGAGTGAGCGAGTCGGAATGTTCTATTTATGGGCGTCTCCTTGGGATCGGAACGGGCGTAATGAGCACGGATGCGGGGTTTCTCTTCTTGCTTCAGGATGGCTTCGACGTCTGGACGAGGTGGCACAGTCTTGACTAAATCGCGGAGATTGTTGTCCGGTTCTGCGGATTCTGTAGGCGGCAGAGGAGTGGAAGGAAGGTTTGCGAGCTGCTTGCGGATATTCTCGAATTCTTCGAAGAACTTCTGCTTAGGGGATGTGGCTTTGCTGTTGGGTTCTGGAGAGGGTGTAGAAGGGAGGGGAACTGGGGCGGCCGGGACTGGGTGGTCGGGCTGGAAGGACCGGGTCTGTGTCAGTCTCTTCTCCTCCAGATCCAGAAACTGCATCTCGCGATTCAGCTTTTCTATCTCTTCCAGCAGCTTCCTCGCTTCCTCTTCTTCCCTACTTTCGCCCACGGCGGTTACGGGGCTGTCGGCCGGGATTCGATCGACATCCGGTAACTTGTTACTAAGGAAATTGTTCACACGATTACGCTCTTCTCTGTCGACCCAGTTGATATTCATAGTGTATCCATCTTCGGTCAACTGCCGCTTCTCCCGTAGGAAGTCGCCGACAAGATATAGGCTGCCAGTCAAGACGATGGGGTGGTCCTGCCCGAGTCCGGTCAGGTACTTAGCGGCACACAATGCTCGGAAGGTCCCAGCAGTAGGAACGTATAGACCTGTAATTTCTGGTATGGATTCCAGGGCAATTTTCAGCAGCTCTTTAGGATCCATTGGCCTAACCCAGGGCATGCCGTCGACGGGACCGAAGGTGGTGGTTACAACATTATCCCCGGGGCGGAGGAGTCGGGCGAGATATCGTCGCGCGTCCTTCCCGTCAGTCATGGCCAGGACCCAAGTAATGGGCCTTCCACGACTGAGCGAACCGGCGCCGTCAAAATTTCGCTTGGATGTGGAGGGGGGGCGAACAAAGTCATTCAGCGCCTCTGCGGCGTCCGGGTTGTGAGCTCCGTCGATAAGGATTCGCCTGTTGTTAGAGGCACCGAAGACCTGACGCACATAAGACCGCTGCAACCGTCCTGGAAATACTTTATTCCTCAAACCAGACAGCAAGCTCGTGGACTTCCTCGTACTCTCATTCATGCTCTTTAACACCTCCAAAACGGCTAAAAAGGCCAATACGGCATTGTCTCGCTGGAACGGGCGGAGACCGGTTGCGAATTTGTGCCAGTCTTTGGTCGAGTACAAGTTCTCTCGGAGCTCCTCGGTTTCTGGGAGGATGCGAGGGCCGGCGCCAATTTCCGCGGCGTAGTCGTCGATGGCGTCGTGGACATTCCATTCGTTGATGGGGTTTACGATGTAGGGGACACTGGGTCTTAGGATACCAGCTTTGTGCAGCGCGATCTCTTCCAGGGTGTTGCCCAGGAAGTTTTGATGGTCGCGAGCAATTTTGGAGATTACGGAGACAACCTGGTTGTTCAAGATGTTGGTGGCATCGAGCTTGCCGCCCATGCCCACCTCTACCACGCCAACGTCAACCTTGGCTTCGTTGAAGAGTTGAAAGGCGGTGGCGGTGAGGAGCTCAAATTCGGATGCATTGATGTGCTCGCGTTGATTAAGCTGGATGAAATGGTCCTCAATCTTGCGAAACTGGCGTTCGGAGACGGGTTTGTCGTTGATGGTAATGCAGTCCCATCTGGTCTTTGATCAGCTCGTCGGACTGACACGAAGCAGCACGTGGTCTGGCGTACCTATCGATTAGGTGGGGAGAGGTGAAACGGCCATTGCGGACACACCTGCGCGTCAGGAGGGCAGACGCGAAGGCGCAGATGGAGCCTTTGCCGTTAGTGCCAGCAACGTGGATGGCCTTCCACGGAAACTGGACGTTCTTTAACAGAAGGCCAATCCGCTCGAGGCCCGGCTGGATCATGGCCGGGGGGTGGCAGGTTGTCAGGGCAGCATCGGCGGAGGCAGGCAGCAGCGTGGTGTTTTGAAACGAACAGTCACCGTGTTCCTGCAGAGGTGTTGACTCACTTGCAGGCAGTGGATGAAAAGTGAGATGCGCGCGCTGCGCGCTGCCCGAAGCGGCAATCGAGCCTTGGCGTCGGCGTCGCAGGCGAGGCTGCCGCGGCGGCCGTGGATTGTGTGGCCGCGAGGGCTGCGGCGTACTGCGATGCGCCCCAGATGAGATGCAGCGAGCTGCCGGCGCAGTGTTTACTGTGTGCATCAACAGCTTCATATATTTGACGGGCGCGCCGCCGTGCGCTGCTGTTCCCCAGACCGCCGCCTCCGCCCTCGCGCTCCGAACCGCGCCTCAGCCTCACTCCTAGCGCTCGGCGCAGGGTCTCCAGCTCGCTCGCTTCGCGACCCGCCCAGCCGCCCCCCCAAACTTCCCTCCTCAGGCTCCGCCGCATCAACACCATCTCCCCTCATCCCGTTCCATCACCCTCTCCGCTCATTCTTTTCGCGCTGCAACATGGGCCTTCCAGTGTGGCGCGCGCCCTCGCCGGAGCCGCCCAGCGCGCTCAAGGCCGACCCGACAGCGCCCGCCCGGTCGCCCATCCGCCGCCGGTCGCTCGCGCGCGCTCGGCCCGCCAGATCTCCCACGTCTCCGCGCCTGCACGATTACAACGACGTCCACATCTCGCTGTCGCGCTTTGGGAGCGCCGACTCCGCCACGCGCCTCTCGAGCTCGCGCCCGCGCCCGCCTCCGCCGCCCGTCCCCGAGACGCACAACTACTCGCGCCAGGGCTCGTCGAGATACACGCCCGGGTTGGCCGCAGAGGAGGATAGCGCGACGCGCTCCTACTTCCGCCTCTCGACCGATGCGCCGCGTGGCCTGTCCTTCGAGGACCGCCGTCCGCTCCCCGCCTTGACTCCAAACTTTGCGCCTGCGGCCGCGTCGCGGAGTGCCAGGCGCGACTCCGCGCATGGCGTTCGAGAGCGCTCGGTCCGGCGAAGCAGGTCGCCATTCAGTCGGCTGACTGCACACGATTTCCCGCATCTTCGCTCGGGCCGTGGATCGGATTACTTCCAGGGCCGCGAGCTCGTTCGTAGCCGTGGCCCCATCGAGCCAACCGACGACGGGGAGGACGACAGCAGCGATAACAATGCCGTTGGCTTTCCGCCGCTGCGCAGGATGGGTCGCCGCACCATTGCCGATGGCCCACTGCCCTCTAGCTCTCTGCGCGAGTCCTGGAGCCCGGCGACGACTCTCGATGGCTTGGGCGATCGCGCGCGCAGTGTCAGCCCGGTGGACGACCATTGGGAGACGATGCTCAGCAGTGTAGCCCCAGATCCGCTTGCGCCGACTGCCGAATCCTCCTTCACTTCGGCCGCCGCATCAGCCTCCTTCTCAAACTCGCATCCCAGCTCGCGCGCCGGAAGCTCCAACTCGAACTCGGTGTCGTCTTCGCGCACGCATCTGACAGTCCCGTCGCGGCGTAACTCTCCCGGCAACGATCTCTTCCTGCGCGCTTGCGATACATCTGAGGATAGCGCTTCTGACACTGAAGAGGAGGATATGGATATTCGCCCGGACTCGTCCCTGCTCCGCCGGAGCACTGTGGGCGGTGCCTCTTCCTACGAGCCTCCTCTGCGGAATCCTCTGCGCTACTCGCGCGGTGTCCGCGAACGGTCGAGAGAGTCGAGCGCATACGTCCGCAGCTTCTACGGTGAAGTGGCCCCGCGCGATTTGCAGCCTCAACCCGAGAGGCGCATCAGCGATCAGCTGGATGGGCCGGTGGAGGAGCGCAATGCAGCCGACGAAGATATGCCACTCGACCAGGAGCTCCGTGACGCGCGGGCTCTTCTAGAGCGGCTGAGCCGGAGAGACGACATTTCGGACGAGTTCTGGGCCTCGGTTGGCTTGAGGCGGCCGCTTGCTGATCGCGTGGAGCGGATCCAGCAGCGCGAGCGGTTGTAATGAATTTCTTTCTGAATCGGGCGCGGACCTGCGGGCTGGTCCGGCGCTACGATGTCTGCTTGGACCGATTGGCGTTTGTATGACCACGGTACTTTCTTCATTCTGCCATTTTCTCTGGTGGAGACGTTCACATCTTAATGTCTGCTTTCTCAAAAGCTTTTCCGAGACTATGTTGTATTACGGATATGGGTTATCTTGCGGCCATGGTTCCATTGGGTCTGGTTATCTGGGCGGTATCATGTATTCTATTTGCTTTGTCGCGCTTGGGACCCGTGAAAGGGACTCTGCGGTGCGGCGGAAAAGGAATGGAAAAGTGTTCGGCACGTTGGTTCGTGCTTGGCCTGCTCAAACTTTTATCTTACCTCGTGTGATGTTTGAATGCTGTGATTGAATCATCTTCCGTGGGTGTCAAGGCATGTTCACATCCTATCACACTGAAGCGAATGATGTGGAGGATGGTTAATGTTGCGGAGGACCCATGGAGCCGTATACCCACGGGAGTGTGCCCGTTCTTTCTATTAGAACTCTCAAATCATTAGGAAGCAAGTAAGACATCTCCAGCACGACAAATGCAATGCGAATACCTGGATTGGTAGATGGCGCGGTGGAGTATCCGTTACGCATTCAGCGGCCCATGTCATGTTGTATTTTGTTGAGACTTTTTCACGTACATCCAGTTGCTACCTTATCATGTAGGGGTTCTCTTCCATTCCTGCCTAATACAGGACCGGGACTCCGAATCCGTCTATGATATGTCAGTTCTCCATCTCCAAGTCAGTCATAGTCTAAACATCTTTCCCAAACCGCTGAATAAACCGCCACCGGCCGATTATGAATCTGTCATATCAGGTCTGACACCCCCGGGCTTGCGAGGAGGTAAGGGCATACTAGGTCTCTGCGCACGATGAGAGAACAGACCGCTCAAGCACCAGTTAGGACCATGAATTGACTTCAGTCCCTTGTACGGATTAGGGAACGGTTATCAACACCACCTTCTCCGTCTCCGAGACGATCGCCCCCATAGCGGAGAGGAAACTCGTGGCGATGTCTAGCTAAGAACGATGAGCTATTCTCTTGCTCGTCTATAGAGCGTAGAATGCGGACTATGTTTAACGGTTCCTAGAGCGCTTCAGGGTACTTTTATTTCTCGCAGATCGAGAGCAAATCCAGGACTGTAGAACCTTTGCCTGGTGTCCTTCGGACCCTTTTCCGTGCTACAGGAGCGCGATCCGCTTGATATGTTTGATATTGGATACGGAATGCTAGGAGAGTGTAAGCAGATGAGGAACCAATCAGGGAATAATTACGCTCTGTTAAACCTTGCTTAGAGTCCTTCGGTATGTTCTGCCTTGGCAAGACGGTGGGTTGTGTAAAGATCCAGCTCATGTGTCAGGACTCAAGGACGGAGGTACTACTTCATCGAAGAGTGTTAATCTTTGGGACTAAGCAAATGCAGTAGTGTCGTAGTTCGGGGATAAGAGAATTGGGTCGGCCTAAAATGCTTCAGCGTCTCGAGATGCCGTTGATGTGTGGTCTTGGGTTGAGGATAGCTACAGGATATTAAGGGCGGCTGCCCGCGGAGACGGAGAGCTTAAAAATAATAATACGTTCCTGGATGGTTTTAAAGCCTTTAATATATTAAACCTCCGGGGATCAGGAGTCTCGCTCTGAGTACTTATACCCCGCATAAGTTAGTGTTCCGGAAGTGAGGTGTTTGTTCCTTCGCCCCGCCACCTTTACCTCCAACCCCTTGCACTAGCCGACCACAAAAAAAAGCAAGAAGGGATGAATCCCGCTTGAAAATGGTCTTCAAAACACAAAAAGAATGCACCCCTCGTGGGACTCGAACCCACAGCCTCCAGATTCCACCGTAGAAGTCTGGCGCGCTACTACAATCTGTCAGAACTTATGCATAGGTTACGGAGCTTGGTACTATTTACCCATTGCGCCAGAAGGGCCAGGTTTGCTCGATTGATTTTCGACGATTTTAGAGCATTTTTCAGAACTAAATAATATATATCCTGCAAAAACTGCTAAAGATGGACCCCACGAAGCGTCAGAGCGGAGCGGTGACTCTTTGTTGAACGCTAGACACGTCATATGCGCCGTTTGTGGCACGTATGACCAGTAAGGCGGCAGTGATTGCGTTGGGAATGGGGCACAACCAGCTCCGAGAACGCCCGAGGTCAGCCATCGGACCTCCACCATCACAGCGAGAATTCTCAGTTCAAATGCCATGTACCATCGTGTGACGTAAGTCTAAGCTGGATCCACTCATGTTTTTCGTTGACAACCTACATTTTAGGAACTGCAACAGCACAGCCATCGATCCTTCCACTAAATAGCTCTTCACGACGAGACATATAGTCGCGCTCGCGACGCAAGGGGGTAAACGCGGATCATTATAGAATCTACTTCCTATTTCATGACCTCTGTTACTCATGGAGAATGGCAAAGACGGACCGTGAATGACGACACGTCGTCCAGAGCCTCCAGCGTTCTTCACGTGGGCGAGCTTCCTACGAGGTACCCACGTGGCACTGCACCACCGTTGCGCAGAACTACAACTCTGGCCGGATGCTTCCTCACCCCTTGAGGTTCCCCTGAGCCAGATGAGCAATGAACGCAGATCCACATGCATGGTAAAATAGCATCTCATTTACTTATTCCGCACCACGCCGCAATTTTCTCGCGTGGTGTGGGGTGGGAAGCAAATGTGGGGTCCACCACGAAGCGAACATGAGGGGTACATCACCGCGGACTATACTCTCCTCTGCGGAGGCATAGCGCCGCGCACCGTTTCTCTAGTAGCAGTTTCTAACGACGAGAGATGCGCTTGTCTTCTCTTCTCTCCATTTCAGCCCTCCCCGACTTCTTCGCCCCGTTTGTCGGACACGTTCACAAAATGACGACTCTCGATCCACCACCTCCAGCAAAACCGCTAAGAGTACAGGAACAAGATCTTAAGGGAAAGGTCGCGCTGGTAACGTATGATGTTTTGATTCTACATTCTGGGTTTTGGAGTTGTGATACGGTAGCGTGAAGGACTTTAGAGAGTAATATAGCGCTGGTCGGGCTGAAGCGCGTGTCAAGACAGAGGCCGCAAAAAAGGGCTCAAAGATAATGGAGAAAGAAAGAGCATTGATTTGGAATCTGATCACTCATCTGGGAATTTGTTTTCGCACTTGAGGCTCCCCTTCTTCAAAAAGACATGGGCCCAAATCACAGACCTCCCAAGCCCCTTCTGTACCTTACCTATTGCTTCGCCTTTATTATCGAGACCAATAGTTCCGGCCCTAACCAACGTCAGGGGAGCTACCAAAGGTATCGGGCGGGCTATAAGTCTCGACCTCGCGACCCGGGGTGCTTCCATTCTCGGGACCTACTCCTCTCCGCAATCAGCGCATCTATTCGACACTCTCACCCACTCCATAAACGACCTCTACTCCTCATCTCCTAATTCCTCGTCTCACACTCCAGCCCCGTCAGGTCCGAAACTCGTCGGCGCGTTGGCCGACATCAGCAGCCCCAGTTCATCCGTCCCCGCCATCCAGGAGGGCTTGCAAAAGCATTTTAACGGAAAAGTCGATATTGTAATCTTCAATGCCGCGGTCATGGGGCTCGCGAAGATGGGAGATGGGGGCGTGACTGAGGATTTTGTGGATGCGGCGTTGGCGGGGAATGTAAAATTTCCCGTGCTGCTGATCGAGATGCTGGTCAAAGGCAGCATGATAAGAAGGGATGGGAGAGTGGTCGCTATCAGCAGTGAGGGTGTACGGGCGAGAAGACCTCCGGGTGGGTGAGTGATGCTCGTCGAATACTACTAGTTAAAATTTGTCGAGGCATTGCTAATTCACACTAGAGCCGTATATGCTGCGACAAAGGCCGCTCTGGAATGTCTGATGAGGTGCCTACCTTCCCTCTTCTCCCGCTGCCCGTGCTGACATCTTCGCAGAAAGTGGGCCGATGAGCTCGGCACCCATCCTGGCATGGAAGGCACAACCTTCAATTCCGTAAGCGTCGGCTTCACAAAGACCGAAGCATACAGCAAGATCCCGCCAGAGATTCGAGACAGGCTCACAGAGGCTGATGCGGCTGAGGTTGCTGTCGGCAATCGGATTGGAGAGGTCGAAGATGTTGCGGATGTGGTTGGTTTGCTGATCAGCGACAAAGCAAGGGTATGTGGAAATCCGATGAATGCGGACTTTGTATGCTGACGTTGCCCAGTGGCTCAGCGGAAGCGTCGTTGATGCTTCCGGAGGGAAGGCCAAGATCCTGTAGTCTTTATAGGCGGGCTTAAAAGCTCAGTCGAAACAGTGAGTCTTATTACCGAATGATTGCTCGAAACCTTGGAATCGAGATACCGCCCACTGTAATACTCGAATGTCAGTCGATAGGAGGTTGGGCTACGGGCTAGTTCACCCCATCTTATCCGCCAGGAGCACCGTTCCACGAAATTGTCGGCCTGTGGGGCATGTCGGTGCGATGGCCCCGGACTCCGAAGGCTGAAGTGAAATTTGCTCAGAAAGAACCGTCGCCGTACATGATGAGTGACAAATATCTCTTCTTGCTGTTCCTGAAGATCTGCCGAGAGGGGAACCGCGCATGGGTAGATATAAAAACCGGGGACGGATAAAAGCAGAGTTCTTCGGTGTGTCTTCCAGAAAACCGAAGCCGTCCCAGTACCGCAGATGGAGATATTACAAGACAGCCGGAATATTTGGGCATCGGAGGACACGCCATGATGTGTTCTATATCCGGGGACGATAATGAAATGCTGGCTTTTGCTGCCACGCGTTCGGGCATCGATAAAGTCTTGAAACATCCTTGGATTCGGAGGAGTTGCTTGTATCGTTAGTACTTTCCGCGACCGCAGCGAACATTGATATCAAAAGATGAAGGGCGTTGATAGCGCTGGCCAGCATCCTTCCTCGCCTTTCAGGCAATCGCTCATCAAATTGAAGCATTTGGAAATGAGGCTCGGCGGAGCGGCTTCACATTTCCCTTAATGACTTTCGAAGCAGTAGGTAGAGGTGCGTCGAACTCGACTACAGCCTCGTGGGTAGCTGCCGGTTAAATCGAGACTAGGTGGGTAAAGTGAGCATAGGATCGTGACGTTGGCGTCGGTCGTTCGAGACGCGCAGAGTCTACTCGCAGTCAGTGCTGGAGGAGTCTTTTTCATAGGAGATGGAGGGGAAGTAGTGTTGAAGTGGGTGGACGTAGGCCCGACCATTACCTGTCCACGGGAAGGGGGCACCCTTCTTCCCAAGTCGGAAAGCCGAAGCTGATACCGTAGGGCTGAATTGGTAGTTGACGGCCTCGGGCATGAGGCTCATTCCGCGATACAACGAGCAGATTGAGGAGGGTAGTGCGGCGAAACAACTTTCCAGCCGGTCCCCACCGCAATCCCAGCCTTATCAAGCTGCCGCCATCAGTTGCCTCAACAAGTCTCTTCGTGGACTTCTCCAGATAGCTATCGGAGGTGAAGTCCTTCCAGAACCAGTTATGCCTCGGAGTCTCGCCAGGCGGGTACCTGCTACAGCCGCTCCCAGATGGTACTTCTGCGCTCTAATGTCCACCAATCCGGGCTCCTATAGCGCAATGTAATGGCGACATGCGCAGCTGCTGGTGAGCAATATGGCGGTGCGTCCATAATCGGTGGTAGAATTATGCTTGGCGCCGCGGTGCAGGGCTGGATTGATTGGTGCGAAAACTAGCGATCCCATCAGGAGCCGACGGATGAATTGACCCCAGGCACTGCCTGGTCCCGCCCGCCTCGCACAACCCCCCGAGATGCTTGCCCCTAGCGCGATCCCAAACGGCATTTTCAGAGTCCAGCCATACGACGCCTTTAGAACCAGAGGAACCGCGCGGAATCGCGCGGCACATAGGGTCTTCCGCATGGCACGACAAGGTGCTACCTCGCTATCAGCCTTCAGACGCACGTCGATCAGATCCGGCCTCTGTTTTATATCTCTTCCAGCGCGCGAATCTGTCTCATCCAGCTGCCTGACACGCCCGTATCCTCCCTATTCACCGCCCCACCAGTCCCATTACGTTGTCACATAACGGAGATGGTAGAGACGGTCTCGAAGATCTGTCAGTTGAATTCCTCCCGCCGCATCTACGCTGAAATCCAGCTCCGCATCAACGGCTTCAACACCTACGGTTAAGCAAGCCTCTGCGCACAAGTACCACCACCCTCGGCCTTCTATGGCGACTATGATACAGGCGGAAAGCGTGACCACTTCCCATCTCAAGGAAGGGGGCGTCATCGACGTCCAGGAGATCCTCCATGGGACCCGGCCCGCGCTTCTGATCCTGCACAATGACGGGGAGGAAGACATTGTCGGCGTCTTCGCTGATGTCCTGGGACAGCTCTGGGAGTCGGCGGCGTCTTTGGAGGAGGTGAATATGGGGCCTGGCTCAATCATTTACGGCCTGCCGCACAGTCTGGTTGCACCACAGCTGGACAGCTGGAACCGAACGAGAATGCTGATCAACACGCACTGTGTTGATGGCCCGCACCCGCGAAACGACGCCCTCACAGAGCGTTGTGACTACGAATACCTATACACCAGATCACCCTTCTTCAGGAGGGACGTTGCGCGATTCCTTTCCTTGATCCTCGGCCAGATCAGTCCTCATCGAGATCTAACGAAGAAAGCGCGCACCACGCTGATTTCGACCACCTTCCCCGATGTCCACGCCGCGCTACCGAACCTCGATATCCTGTCTGTGGGCGCAGACGCTATAGAGATACGTGTGGATCTGTTAGAGGAGCCTTTACCAGACGGTAGCTTCAGCAAGGTCCCTAGCCTAAAGTATGTGGGGGAGCAAGTAATGCTGTTGCGTCAGCGGACGGAGCTACCCATAATATATACTACGAGGTGTACAAACGAGAACGGCCGGTTTCCCATGGACGATCCAATGCTCTTCTACAAATACTTATCGCGAGCAATACAGTGGGGTTGCGAGTACATCGATGTGGAGCTGTGGCTGCCGGAAGAGATCCGGCGGAAACTAGCGGAGACGAAGGGATGCAGCAAGATCATATCCGCCTTCCACGACTTTTCGGGAACGTTCAAGTGGACAGCACCGGAGACACAGACGCTTTTTGAGCGCGGGGCGGTGTACGGCGACGTGGTTAAGATGTACGTGCTGGTTAATTCCATGCAGGAGAACATCGAGCTCGAGTACTTCCGGTCCACTATCCAAACGAAGTATCCACATCCTCCCTTCTCAGGCCTCAACATGGGACCCACAGGCCAGCTGTCGAGGACCATGAACAAGATATTTACCCCGATAACGCACCCGCTTCTTCCCATGATCGCTGCCCCCGGCCAATTAAGCGCTGCCGAGATTAATTCAACACTCCACAGCATGGGCCAAATGCCCAAACTGGACATCTACGGCATCGGCTCCTTCCGGTCGACATCGCAAGCCATGTTCTTTGAAAAGTGTTTCAATGAGCTCGGCCTACCGCATCAATTCCTGTTCGCGGAGAGGGCGCCGAAGGCTTCCATTGAGAACATATTGCGGCGTCCCAACTTTGGAGGAGCATATATAAACCCGCCACTGGCCGGGGCGTCTGCACCGTATCTTCCGACCCTGTCGAACGCCGCGCGCGCGATTGGGCAGGTCGACACCGTCCTTGTACGATCGGAGAACGGGCATCCGACCTACATTGGGGAAAACGCAACATGGAAGGGCATCCGAGCGACACTTACACGTGATTTTGTACCGTCGGCATACGGTAGGCGAGCGGCGCTGCTGCTGGCAAGCTCAGAGGCGGATGCGGCAGCGTCAATATTTGCACTGAAGAGCCTGGGCATCGGGCCAATATACACTATCGGTTTCAGGGCGCATGGTTCTTTGTCTGCGGAAGTGGAACCGGTGCGGTCCGTGGAGGATGTGAAGCGGCTGGAGCAGCCCTTTGTCATTATCTCAGCACTTCCTGCAGAGAAGTCACTGCTGGTGGTGCCCCTGCTGAAGCACTACAGGGTAGATGGGAGGAATGGCAACAGCAACGGCCACGGCCACGGCCACGGCCAGGGAGTCGCAGGAGGAAGGTCTGCAGGTAAAGTATTCGTTGACTTGGCTAGCGGAGCCCGCAAAGCGGACCCGTTAGCAATCGCTACGTCAGCCGGCTGGACCGCATATGGAATTGCGGATGTCTCTGCCTGGACGACAGTGGAGACGATCCGGCTGCTGGTTGGGCAGAACGTGTGTTACGATTTTGTGCGGCTGGCATCTGGGAGGGGCGGACTGTTTTAGAAGCTCTGCAATCAGAATTATATTGTCTCTGGGCGATGGACTGCTGCTGGCATGGTGGTGGTGGTGGCGGCGGCGTACGGCATTGCGGGCGCTCCCTACAGAAATGAAGCCAGCGCCAACGGCTCTATCCCAAACCTCGGACGGGGCACACAACACATGATTTTGATGAGCAGGCCTTCCGGGAGAGCGCATCATGCCCGAAGGCTCGACGCATCGCCTGGCGGGCGCATTACCGGGTACGCCTGCAGCACGCTGCTGCACCGCATGCACCACATGGCGCGGCATTCGCTCGTTTACGCGCCTTACCCCAGATTCGAAGACGTCTGGAAGGCAAGCTCCGAGCGCCATGTCGCGAGTGGTTAGACAAGCAATATCCAGCGCCCGACGTGCAAATTGCCTGCAGCGTACCGAGGCTGCGCGGCGCTCGACGGCGGTCTGAGTGCTGGTCCCGTCATCAGACGCTAGGCCCGCCACCACCGCAGTCGTCCCCTCCGCAGCCTGTCGACTACGCTGAATCCGCGTCGCTACGCTCTCCGCTCTCCGCATCCCGCAATGCAACCTCAAGCTTCGGCCCACCCATCCCTCCCCAACTGCCGCATCATGATACCCCGAGATCGTCACGCGGCCTTCCCCGGTTTTCTCAGTGGCCTCGCTCGCCCGGAGCCACTACTGAATCGTATCGGCGCCCGTCCTCCCGCAGATGCTGGAGCCCTTGCCGCTCGTTAGCCACACCCTGGCTTGTTCCCCACTGCCTGTGCGGGCGCCAGAGGCCTTAATTTGAACCTACATCTGACGCCGTGCATTTCCTGCCTTCCTCGTCTTGACGTTTGCCTCTCTGTCCGCCGTCTCTGCTCCGCCAGATATGCGTCTTGTCCTCTGTTCCACGCTTTCTGAACGTCCATCCGGGTCTCGAAGTCATCGGCCGTCACCATGTCGAGACCACAAATCGGCATCGACCGCCTGCCGACCCGGCGCGTCTCCAACGAGCCGCGCGAGGCCATGAACTGCAAGAGCTGCCGGAAACGCAAGGTAACGGACCCATTGCCGCTCCAACAGCATAGCTGACGCCCCCAAGATCAAGTGCAATCGGACACGCCCGACCTGCGAAGCCTGCCAGGTTTTCAACTGTCCATGTATTTACGGTATGCTCCGGATTCTGTCTCGGTTTCGGTCTCGGACAATGGTCTGACCGCCCTACTAGACGCCGTCCCGAAGAAGAGGGGACCAAAGACCGACGTGCTCGAAGCCCTCCTGAAGCGCGTCGATGGTTTGGAAAAGCGACTGCACTCGGAGGGCAAGAGTGATGCCTCCCACGAGGATGACGAATCCGCCATTCAGGAGACGAGCGACGATAGCAAGTCCGCGACCGCACCTATGCCGCCAGCCCGACCCATCCTCGAGATTGCCCCGAATCCCGCCGGTGCCACAAAGCAGTTGATGTCTCCCATCGAGCCAAGGTGCCTATAGACTATGCTTATAGTGCGAATTTCGGACTATAGCTAATAGCGTAACAGCCTCCAAACACCAACCATCGTACCCGATTTGCTCCTGGACACCTACTTTGCCAGGATTCACGGAAAGCCCTACCACATTCTAGATGAAACAACTACTAGGCAACGTTTACAGGCCAATCAGCTCCCGCCGTACTTAGCCTACGCCATTTACGCAGTGAGTGCCAGGTACGTCTGGGCATCACATGATCTTCGTATCGCCTGTTAATCTCGCATGCCCAGATATGCACCCCATTTTGGCGGATACAACGCCGCAGTGCGAGTTGGCCAAGAATATGCACGGCGTGCTCGGATGGAGCTTGATATTGATGAGCCCTCTATCGAGGCCCTGCAAACGCTCATGCTACTTTCGCAAGCGGGCTTTCAACTGGGCAAGGGCAAGAAAACCTACATGCTGCTGAGTACGTAATTCCGCTCTCGAACGCATTTCGCATCACTAACCCAAAATCAAGCTTCCGCGATCAGCATGGCCTTTGCGCTCGATCTCCACCGCGAGCTGCCGCTTGGGATGAAAGTTTCGCCCGGCGAACGAGAAGGCCGACGAAGACTCTTCTGGTCCTGCTACCTCATGGACCGCTTCGCAGCTGCAGGCTCCAAGAGACCGTCATTAATCGCTGATGAATCGATTGTGCTTCGCTTACCATCGTGGCAGCTACATCCAGGCGGCATGCTCCTCGAAGGCGACTACTTTCAGAACGGCTCCAATCTACAATACATGGCAGGCTCAGGAAAAGGTGGACAGGGAAGCATGGGTATGCTGATCGGCATAGCAAAAATCCTAGGTATAACAAATCGGTACCTCGCAGCAGGAGGCGTGAAGGGTGATTCGCACTTCCCCTGGCACTCGCTCTCCAACCTCTCCAAGATCCGACAGGAACTCGATATCTGGGCATCCGAAACGCAGGACACGTTCACGTCGATCGAAGCGCTCTTTGGCCAGCCCGACAGTACTATATTGGTGCTCAGCAAGCTGGTATATCACCTTATACATTGTCTTATTTATCGCCCGTTTTTACCGGTAGACCTTGCCGAGCTTTCGGGAACTTCACAGCACCAATCCTGGCAGATTGAAGCGACGAATCTGTGTTTTCTCCACGCGAACGCCATTGCGGAACTAGTCGAAATAGGCAGAGCATCCGCTCTCATCGACTGGCCTGCCTTTGTGGGTTACTGTGTGTGCACTGCGGGCACCATTCACGTTCATGGCGCACATTACCCCGGACGGGAAGGCGAGGTCTTCTCTGTTAGCCCGGAATTCTTATCGCGAGAGATGCATCAGTTGTCGGAATTGCGGTTCATCTGGGCCGGTGTCCAGCATCAACGCGAGACATTGCAAAACATCTACGGTTGCCACACGGAGCTCGTCAAGTCGCTGGCGAGCAACCCCATGCGCTTCTCGCCGGTTTTCCAGTTGGAGGACTTCTTCGACCGGTATCCGGGACAGGTCTTCGATGGGGCTCACGTCACGTTCATGGACATTCAGGTAGAAGTCATCCATGAGAGGTAGGGATCGATCACCCCTGACCTCATTACGTTGACTAACCATCTCTCAGCTTGTCGACATACAATATCGACCAGCGCAACAATGTGTACATGAGCAATGGGATATCAAGCGCGAATTTCTACCCACCACAGACGATCCCATCAAATAATGGATACGCCAACGGGCACCCGAACAAGAAGCGAAGATCAACAGCAGCAAGCTCATCAAAAACACATACGCAAGCTGCACCTCCCCCTCTACCGACACCTACATCGGCGACGCACCCTCCAATCGTGCCAGCACTAGCGCCTTCGAATTCAACCGCCGACTCAAGCCACGAAGATGTTGACGCGACGACAACTTCGCAACCCCCGTTCACGCCTCCTTCTATCAGCGGGAACCTCAACAGCTCTAGTCTAAACCTCCCCTTCTCTCCCAACTTCTCCTTCTCACCCCTACCACCGATTCCCAGCCTCCGAGCAACACCAACCCCCGGACCCTCCAACCCGCATCAAAACCATAGCCAGGACGACTCTAACGTAGCATTCGATCCCATGCTCAGCATGCCGACGCCGTACGACCACCCCACGCCAGGCGGTGCGAGCACATCGGGGTCCGCGCACACAGATCCAGATAAAGACCCCTTCTTGAGCCTGCTAGAGCAGCTGGCGGAAAATGAGGTTAGTCGCGGCGGGCCATCAGAGCTAGACTTCTTCCTGAGTGGACAGAGTGCGTAGGAAGAATGCGATGTTTGCTGCACGCTCTGCGCGAACTTGTCACGCCCGACTAGGGTAGCCCAGCCTTCGCTCTGTAAAGGGAACATGAGCTTCCGAATCAGCCATCATCGGAGACCGGCTGGTAGAGAGCTTCAACCGTTGAGCCACCGGCAGAAGGACGTCCAGGGATGCCCGCCGCATCGGTCTGTGGATGACGACTCAACTTCACTTCGATTATATATATTTTAAGCCTGGCCTACATATTTATCTGCACGGAAAAGCATCAGTAAGGGGCAAGCGCGGCGCTGGAAGGGATTGGAGTAATCGGATGTGTGCACGGATTATGGAATCGGGAACAGGACGGGATATGGAATCGGACGTGGCGAACGACTGTCACGGCCAACCCACCAAATATTGTACGATATACTATTGACTCATCGAATGAGCGAATACCACATCCTAAGTATTGGTAACCCACCGCATTATTCCTTTGCCTCGGCGTGTGAGCGACCTGTGATGGCATCCGACGACTGTCTCTCCACATCGATACCCCCATTATTGCTAAGCACCACAAGCTTCCTCCATCCCTCAGCCACGCGCTCCTATTACCCACCTCAGCCCATCACGCCTCCTCAACTCCGTCTCTGCATAACCACGCGCCCCAAACTCAGGTCCTAGAGCCGCAGGGCGCTCATGGATCCAGGGAACAACAACGGCGATCCACGACGCTGACCAGCGATCCCAAGAGCAGACTACCCCACCGAGCCACGGAGCACCCCCCTCCGCGCCCAAACAGGAAGCTCACGGCCGCAAAAGCACCGAAGAACCACCACAGCAACGAACCATGATCATGCACACAAGTGTTTTCTCGAAGAAAGCTAACGGACACTAGGGGCTTTTCGCTGCACTGCACAGAATCACACGCAGAACAATGCGAATCCGAATAACAAGGTGCATCCCAGGGCGAAGGGACGCCCGCTTCTTCTCGTAATATGTATGCATGACCGTTGGAAAAAACGGCCAGATTAAATGTATTTTGTAGGCTCCTACCCAGCAGACGCTCTCAGTGGTTATTGTTCGGCTATCGCTTCCACGCTTTGAGTTCTGCAAACCCCCCTCAATAGTAGTCTGGGGGTTATTGACCCGACGCCCGACGCACCCCAGACACACACCATATCAGCAAGGAACCAGGCACAATGCGGGGTTTGGCGGCAAGCGAGCGCGCAAATTCCAGGGACATCTTTCCTGTAAATATGCAGCGGCCGTTGGATCAAGTTCGTATGCAGGCAGGCATGGGTTCAATATTGAGAGAGCTAACCCGAAAGCCCGACACCCGCCGCGTCCGGGCCGGCTGGCAAGGATATAGGCATATGGAGTTTACGGAGGGGAAGGCGACGGGTACATTTCTAGAGTGGGAAAAGTGTAGCTAAGATGTATGCGATGCGTAGCGTCTATTCTAGGAGTTCTATCCAAGGGGTGCGTGTGAGTGACTAGATGATTTACGTCCAGGACTAAGTCATAGTGACCAGTTCTTCGGCCGAGACGGGATGGATAGCCTGCGGTGTACAGGAGTTAGCATAATGGGCAATTAGAAAGTATGGGGTGCAGATCGCTTTCTCCGCAAAATGCAGGCCTGTTGAACGTGGATGCCGGAGGAACGGGAGAAGAGCCGCACAGAGAGAGGGGTAAGGGAATACATACCACGCAGTTATCGAAATCTTTCTTCGTCGCGCCCATCTTAATTGCAACGCCGAAACCCTGCAGAATCTCCGCGCTGCTCTGTCCGAGGATATGGAGTCCGACTACCTTTTCCTCCTCGCCCACACAGATGATCTTGTACGCCGTCGGCTGCTTGTCCTCCGGTTCCATCATGGCAAAGTACATTCCAGTGAACTTCGTCTTGTAGATCTTGACCATGTCGCCATACTTTTCGCGAGCTTCTGGCTCGGTCAGGCCAATGGAGCCGATTTCTGGGTGCGCAAAGACCACGGAGGGTATATTCTGGTATTCAAGGTGCGAGTCGGGCTTGCCGCCGAAGAGGCGGTCTGAAAGGCGACGACCGGCTGCGATGGCAACGGGGGTGAGCTCGAAGCCGCGGTCAGAAACGTCACCAACGGCGTAGATGTTCGGGATGTTGGTGTTTTGGTAGTCGTCGGTGATGATGTGGTTCTTTTCGTCCAGCTTCATGCCCAGGTCTTTAACGTGCAGGTCTTCGATCTCGGGCTCACGTCCGGTTGCGAAAAGTACGGTGTCGACCTCCACAGTACCCTCCTTGCCGCTCTCGGTTTCCGTGTAGGTGACACGCTTTTGGCCGTTACCGATGTCTTCCACCTTAGTAATCTGGGTGCCCTTGCAGAGGATGACACCTTGACGCTCGTACTCCTTTGTCACAGTGTCCTGGATCATGGGGTCGAAAGTTCGAAGAAGCGTCTGGCCGCGGATGAAGAAGTGGACTTCTGAGCCAAGGGCGTGCAGCATGCCAGACATTTCAACACCGATATATCCTGCTCCGCTCGTTGCAATCTTCTTTGGTAGATCTCCTAGGTCGAAGAAGCCGTCGCTGTCAATGCAAAGCTCTGCTCCAGGAATCCCAGGAACTTTGGGACGGCCGCCAGTTGCAACGAGAATGTGCTTCGCCTTGATCCTCTGGGTGCCTCCGCCGGCCAACGCTACCTCAACCTCGTCCTTGGCCACAAATTTGGCTCGTCCCTGCAGGTGCTCGATTTGGTCCCCGTCAAGGTTTCGCTCGTAGATACCATTCAGCCTCTTCACATACGCGTCCCTCTTTTTCTTAAACAGGGGCCAGTCGAAAGTGGGCATATCGTATCCGCCGAATCCGTACGCCTTAGCATCCTTGAATGTTTCTGCGATGGCCGCGGCGTTCCATGTCACCTTCTTGGGTACGCAGCCAACGTTCACGCATGTGCCGCCCATGCGATTCGATTCAACCGCAATGACCTTGGCGCCATACTTTGCCGCTCTCCGGGCGGATGCAATACCTCCGCTGCCAATTCCCAGGACGAGGTAGTCACACTCTTTCGGAATGGGAGCCATGGTGGGTCCGGATGTGGAGAAGTGAGAAGACAAGGCCGAGAGACGCGACGATGCCAGCGTTACTCTGCTGGAGGGGAGGGAGGTGGGGTATCTCGAAGCAAAAACTGAAGGAGCAGCGAATGCAGAACTCGGTGCGAGCCTCTGGACTTGTATGGCAAATGCTCTACGCATGAAGGCAGCAGCGTCGGAGCGGGCCCGTACTTTATACGTGACGCAACGTGCCAACGTCGGACTAAGGAGTGGAAGGGCTCCCGGTTACCAATCCTTCCCAGCCTTGCGTGATGGAATCGTCGAATGCTCACCTCTCTGCTGACCGGCTGGAGCAATATTTGGAAAAGAGCGAATGGCGACCAGACATGAGCTGCGGATCGACTCTCTGCAAATACCGCACGGCCCCCGTGGCACAGGAACGGCGATTGCTGTGGAAATGCGCTTCTGAAAATTGATGATGACGAATGCGACATGCAGCTCTCGCGAGATACGCTGCAGCGAGGCTAGCCGCTTCGGGCCGCTAGCGCGTCGATTACCTCATCGACACTCCGAATGACAGTAGCTCTGATTCCATATCACCTCGCTATTCGCCCCGTCAGTCGTCTTGTTTGCGGTCTTTGTCATGCAATAAGCATGCCACCGGACTGAAATTAATATCCACACCCATCGAGGACGCAGAGCTGCCTAGGCCCGTCGGCGAGGATCCCCACGAGAAGCCACGCATCCTGCAGCAGCTCGCCGAACTGCAATTGTCAGCCTCGCCGGCAAACGTCCGGTATTCGTCCTTGGTCACGTACGGTGCGAGCCCGACTTGCGATCTTCAAAATGGGCGGCAGACTTTCGATGCCTCGTGGGCCGGATGGCATGAATGAGGTGTCTAAACCAACCTCTGGCTCCGCGTCGGCGCGGTTCACGCGGGGCAGAGGTATCATCAATGGGCGGGTATGCTCCACTCTACACCTATCCGTCTGTGGAAAAATCGCTAATATTTCTAGACGGTGATGGCGCCTTTGGCAGCTCTCACCATGGCTGGTCTTCTCTTCGTCTACGCCAGGACATCGATACGAGCCGCGAAGCTGAACGCGCAGAAGCACCGGGAGGCAGATGGTGGGCAGATAAGCTGGCACAAGGAGAGCTTGCGGAGGCATGGGCAACTGGAGAGGGTCGAGAACGACAGGAGTACGCTGAAGGAGGCCTTCATGGCGGACGTCTCGCGGAAGAAGAAAGAGAAGACAGGAGTCGAAGAGGGCAAGATCAGGGCGGAGAGGTCGGCTGAAGAGGAGCGGTTACGCAAGATGATGGGCAAAGATGATTAGATTTTGCCCGAAAGCTACAAACGAGAACGGCAGCCGTGGTCCACTTTGCAAACGATACGTCAAGCGAAAATTGCGATACAGGCACACTCAAGCTACATTATTGTGTAGATGGGCGCGGTTGGGATATACTATGCTCTCAAGATATCCGGCTACCCAGGCGTATTCAAACGCTGCTGGATAGCATGTGCCCTAAGTAGCTGAGGATTCCGGTGCCACCAGGGGCGTGTACAGCCATCACCAGAGTACGGGTCGTTGATCTGGTCTCCCGCGTTGTGCCGGGGACTAGGCGAAGGAAAACGCATATAAGCTTAGGGCTACTCGCGCTCCCGCCGGTTTGACATCTGCCAGCGGGCCGTACATGTTGCCGTACCACGTTCCTAGGCTAAGAGATATTCACATCTCCCCAGCATTCCCTTCCGTAGGACACCTGGGCAGAACGCGGCAGGACTTGTAGAGCGCAATACGTCAACTGAACAATTGAGCTAGTAGCCATTGATGTGTCCATACAATCTGCGCGGTGGGATGTGATTCGCCAGGGCGTCGTCGCGCTGTTCTGGTGGTGGCATCAAGCTTTCACATGCGGCCTCGACCCCGCATTGTGCGAACGGCCATGTCTGGAATACGCCATGTGTGCTGCAGACAGTGAATGTTGGGGCGGGAGCTGTGGTATAAGGATGGCACCGCACGCACAGTCGTGACTTCCTGGAACCGCTGCACAAGTCACACGCGCCCAGTGTCTTCTTCCAAATGAACGAGCGAGCATCAGGAACGCACACAGACACCAAAGTGTAGGCCGGCCGCGTAGATCGCACGCCGTTGGCCAATTGCGCGCCCCTCCATCGAGCAGTTTAGGCCGTTTCGGGAGCAGCGCGCGTTGCACAAAGCAGTGAGCTTAACCCCACCATTTCATCACCACGCTTCTCAACCTCCCTCGTTACAGCAGCCTCTCGCCATTGTCACCCTATCCCGCGCAAATCCACTTCTCGACCTCACCAACCCCCTTGGGACCCCTCCGACACACCCAGCTGCAGGACGTGGAGGCGCCTTGATGGAGCTTGCCCGGCTACTGGCCTCATCGCGATTGCCGTAGGAAGACTCGCCGTCTTCCACAGCTAGCGATAGCCAGTATGCCCGAGCGCGGGAGCGACAGGACAGAGATAAACAACGTATACACCAGGCCACGAGATTTTACCCATGTATCGCGGACCGTCCTGCGCAGCGAGCAGGCAAAGCGGTGGACGAAGCGCTATCGGACCGAGATAGCTGCCAGCTCCAGCAGTCTGCTCTCTACCTTCGTCGCGGTGCGTGGGCCAGCCATGCAAGGCATCTGAAGGAGTCGCCTGCCTGCTGACAGCTCCCAGTACCCTCTCGACTCGGTCAAGACACGACTGCAAGCGTACGCTATTCTCCCTCTGTCCGTGAACGAGTCCTGACCATGTCCAGATACAAGTTCAACTCCTTCACCGACTGCTTGCGCCACACATACAAAACGGAAGGCTTTCACGGATTCTGGCGCGGTATGAATCCTCCCGCAATGGAGCTTGGAGCTTGGAGCAAAGGCTAATTTGCTCACAGGCGTGCTGTCACCCCTCGCAAGCATAACCCTCGTTCGCACCGTGTCGTTCTCTATATACCAGAAATCCAAGTACGCGCTCGATGATTGGATCTACCAGGCTACCGGCAGCTCGCCCCTCGTCATTGCGAATACCAAAGATGCATTGCCTACGCTGTCCACTGTTACTTGCTTTGGTGTTTCAGGCGCAACCGCTGGTGCAATCATCACGACAATTGCTTGTAAGAGTGTGACTCTACACCGCCCTAGCAATCAGCTCATTTTTCGCTCCAGGTCCTTTCGAGCTGACAAAGCTGAGCGCCCAAATCTCCGTGTTGATGGCAGATCGCAAGGACGGCTCCGGTACGAACGACGCTATTCGTAAGAGCTACCAAAACCTTGGCACATTCAGGACGGCGCAGAATCTTGTCCGGCAACGGGGCTGGATGGGGCTGTACTCTGGATTTCATTTGCATTTGCGTGAGTGCTCTTCGTTGGCAAGCAGGCATTCACGCTTACAATGACCAGTTCGAGATACGATCGGTACCGGTATCTACTTTGTCACGTACGAGAGTGTAAAGCAACTCCTAGCGAATGCTCGTGGAAGCTCTCCCACTACGCCCTTGGCCGTCGTCGTCGCCGGTGGATTGTGTGGGCTGGTCAGCTGGGCATGTGTACGTCGCTCGGGATCCATCGTAGAGGGAATGGGATATGTACTAACTGGAAACTCAGATCTTCCCCATCGACACCGCGAAAAGCATCTACCAGCGGAACTGTCTTGTGGGTGGTAGAGACAAGGCGGTGAGACCGAAGATCCAGTTCATGAATCCCCGGATGTATCGCGGTATGTCTTCAACCTCCCTCGCCAGTGTGGACCGTGTTCTAATGAGCTACTCAGGTCTCGGAGTCTCCATGAGCCGCTCGGCTGTTGTCAACGCCATTTTCTTTACTGCATTTGAATTTTCCAAGAAGCGCATCAACCACATGCGGGTCGACGAGGAGCTTCTTCGCGAGCACGGTTTGTGAGGCCCTCTGCTATTGTGATATCAAACTTCACTGCACATGATTTTTGGCTGCATAGGGTATGGAGTTAGGAGGCTCGGTATGTATCCTAGGGATTTTCCTTATTGGCATAGCATTGAAATCCGGATGCATGTAAACGCAACCATTATCCTTCAGACATATCTCGCTGAAGCTTTTCCGACTGAAGCCTCCATTATTGTCACATCACTTGCCGGGTTCTCTCACCTCGTCCGTCTACTCTCACCGTTCATGAGGAAAGCTTTATAAACACTCCGCTGGAGGCTCTCATGGTGGCTCAGTTCCACTGGCTCCTCTGCCATCCGACTGATCGCGATGGAGGCTACTGGACTGGATCACGCGTTGTAAGTGTACCTGCATCTGCACATGTTTCCAATCTGACTGATGACAACTTTGCAGCAGGTTTGACCACAACGTCAACGTCAACGTGAACGAGAAACACCACGACAACGACATAAGCTCAGTCAAAACAAACCTTCTCCTCGATCATTCGTACGTGGGGTGCACCTATATCACAAGAGCGTCTTCTATCGCTCATCGAAGGAGACCCCGATGGTCTCGCCTATGCAGCGCCTAAAGTTGAACGCGCTTACGCCGAGACTCTGGAGAATCCGCCCCTGCGCAGGGTGCTCGTCGACGGGTTCTGCGTCACGAGGTATTATAAACGGAAGGACCTCTAGTCAACGATGGAGTATCCGAAAGAATTTCTGGTCGATGTTATGGTCCGCACCGGGCACGTGTTCGATATAGTGCATGAAGAGGTGCCGCCGGCTTTGTTCTTTGAGTGCAATTATCACGAGCATAAGAGTATTGAGGAGCATATGGTGTGTGAAGGATCTAGGGTGCCAGGGTACGGTCGGATGAGCTTGTCGCGCCAGCATTCACACTGCGGGATACTTCTTTAGGTGCCCGATTCCTTCGCTGGCGTGTTTAGGCGTGCTCGGAAAGGCGCACTTCAAAAGAGCGCGAGAACCACGACGTGCCACTTGCCTAGATACTTCTAGCCCGCACAAATACAGCGAACCCAAGAGGCCAGATTCTAAAAGAAGTGGGAGCGTATCCTCGGGGCCCCTTTAACCCGAAACAACACTCCAATCTCGCCAATTACGATACCACTGCGCAGTTTACTTTTAACTGGCGACAGAGAGATGCGGAGGCTGATGTACTCCCGAGATGTGGTCCCGAAATGTCTACAAGCCAAGGTTCGGGCATTTACCAGCGGAGTTGTAAGGCTCCCTAGACTAAACAGGGTCGCGACGGGCCGATCCTGGGCTGAGCATGGGTAGCGATCGGGTCACGGTTGCTGTTCCGAGTTAAACCGCAACACTACTGTGGCGATCTGAACGCATCACGACCGGGGTAAAATGAATGTTTGCGCGGCCATCGAATTTCGGTACTTGGGTCCGGGTCTTCGGATATGATGGATTTCCAAGTATATCTCTATTAGGACCGGGGTACGTCGGTTCAGCGCAGCTATATATTGAAGGATAAGGCACTTGATCTACTCCTGTCTTTTGATCGTAAGAGCAGTCACTCTTTTTTCCTCACCATGCTCCTCCTCGTCGTCCTAACTACCCTTTTCAGTATCTCCTCCTGCTTAGCATCGTCGCAATATGTCGCTTCCAAGAGGGACCTGTCCAGTCTAATCGTTACCAAGGTACCAGACTATGTGCGACCCTATGTAGTCCGCGCATACACACTCGATGGCGTCCGCCTTGGACCGCAAGTCTACCGCTTCCCCGTGACGGGTGCGTCGTCAGGAAATGCATTCACCCTGATCAGCACAGCTACGCCAGCCAGCACCGAGCTGGGCGTGCTTCCACACGTACATTCTTCCTCCTCCCATACCATCATCCTAAAGCACTCCAGGCTGACAAACCGTAGGTCCACCTCGCACACTACGAGAACTTCTTCTGCCTCCGCGGCCGCTTCTCCCTCTGGGCCTCCAAGTCAAACACCACATCAGGCCGCATCCTGACTCCCGGCGACTATGGCGCAGTCCCGTACAACACAACGCACACCTTCCAGATCCTCGACCCGTTCACCGAAATGGTCGGCGTAATCCAGCCCGGCGGCTTCGAGCAGCTCTTCTACTTCCTCGCGCAGGCGAACTACACTTCCACCACGTACGCTCCCTTTCCGCAGGGGAACTTCACAACCCCTGGCGGCGACGCGGGAACCATCTCAAAGCTGCAGGAGTTCGACGTGTATGCGAAGCTAGATTTCTCGCCGCCCACGGACTTCGACGCTAATGGCGTGGCTGGGGATGCGGGCGTGGGTGTGTGGCATAATGGAGAGAATGCATTGGCGGGAGATAGTCAGACGCCGTTCTTTGTGGCGAAGAGCTATGGCCCGAAGTATCTAGCTGGTGGTGGGAACGGGACGGGCGAGTATTTCATCGTGGAACCGTTTGTTACGGCGACGCAGTCGGCGGGGAATTTTACGCAGGGGACAATTACGATGTCGCAGCTCCCGTCAGGTGTTAAGCCTGAGACGTATTCGCTGCCTGGACATACGGCGCTGGAGGTTATTGATGGGCTGGTGGGCGTGCGGATTGGGGGGTTTGAGGAGGATGTGATGATGGCGATTGGCGATGTGGTTTTTGTGCCGGCGAATACGACGTTGAGTTTTTGGGGCGAGGCGGCGTATTCCAAGGTGCTGTATGTTGGGCAGGGGAGGGATACATTGGATGCGAGGTTGATGGCGGAGGCGAGGAGTTGGGGAAGCGCTATCTGGCCGGCCGCGTAATTGAGGCGAAACTGAAGATGCTGTAGGTGCATTCTCTAGCCGTCCCATCGGAATGATCAGAGTGCCGTTTTCGGAATAACTCGTCAAGGCGCGGTGACTGACGAAAATTTCATGGTGAGAGACGCGGTACAGTGCTTCACGAAGTTGGATCGGTCGGTCTAGCAGGCTGCTTCCTTTACCTTCTGATCTCACCTGCGACTTGCCGCTGGCTCATAAGTTTCTCTCGTCTATGAGCCGCGACTCCACGACCCTCCACCTATAATCTCAACATCTCCTCTGACGATACCACCTAAACGGTCTTGACTGTCACCTCGAACAGCGATGGCATCGAGCACGGAAACCACGAGCAAAAAAGCAACAGCGGCAGGAACTTCAGCAGGAAAGACGCAGGGGCAGAAAGTGGCACCGTTGATGAGGTGTGTAGTGTGATAAAGTTTATCAGGCGCATAACACTGACGCCTGGCCTAGCTCTGCTGCACTCCAGGGGCAAGTGGTCGTCGAGGTCGGCGAAAAGGGAAGGAGATATTCCCTGCACAAAGCTTTCCTTTGCCACTACTCCGAGTACTTCCGCAAAGCTCTGAACGGACCGTGGAAGGAGGCCGAGGACGGCGTCGTCCCGCTCAAGGATATCGAGCCTGGCGTCTTCAATGTCTTCGTCAATTGGATGTACACCCAGAAGCTGCCCGGCAATTGTGAAGAGTGGTGCCAAGTTGGGGAGCTAGGCGAAGCGTGGGATTTCGCCTCGGAAATCGCGCTGATACTGAAAGCATACAATTTCGGCGATCGATTCCTAGCAACGGCATTCAAGCGCGCAGCCAACGTCGCTATTGTCGGCATCCTACATGGCTGCGCGCCGTTCTACGAAGTGGTAATCTTTGCCTTCAAGAATCTTCCGGCACACAGTCCCATCCTCCAGTTGTTGGTCGACGCCCAGTGCCGCCACTGGTCGGAATGCCTCGATGATACCGAAGAAGTGGAGCTTCAGAAGCAGCTCCCATACGATTTCTTGCTCCGGGTTATGAAGAGATACAGCGAGAAGGTTTACGGCGATACGGCATGGTTCGAGGAGCCTCTGGCCCGCTGTCTGTACCACGAGCATGCCTCCGACGAAGAGCGGAAGGAGTGCCAGAAGAAGTAAGGGCTTCCGGAGGAAGTCGAAGATAGCGATGAAGACTGAACGAACCATGGCGGAAGAGAGGAGTTTGCGCTGGAGGTAGCTGGGCAATCGAATCTTCTTGGAACGGAGATGCTGTTTCGGGACATCGAGTGAAGGGCCGATGCAGAATGGGAAAACCTGCAAGACTGATTTATGCTTGGTCTTTACATTTGTATATCGATCTCGTCTTTCGAAGCCTACGGAATTGGTGAGCGCTGATGGGGTCTCGACTTCCATAAGCTTCCGCCCTCTTCGAGGCAGAACATTCCGAATAGGAATGGTGAAATGAAATAATGAGAAGAGGGTTGAAAAGTATTGAAGAAAGTTCAAGGGAATTGAAAGTCTTTCATCCTTGGCGCCTTCCGGTTACTTTCACTGTACCTTATTTGAGACCATATATAATTCTCCTAGCTGGCTGACTAGCAGCTCTGCTACAACCCCAACTTGACCAATTCTACTTTTCCATTTCTGCCCGGTCCGAAGCCATGACAGACACCAAAGGAGACTCACCAGCTGCGCCTCCGCTTCTCAGGTATGTCCTCCTCGACACAACATTGAGCAGCAGCCAATATGCATGCGACATAGTACAGCCGCGCTGGGAGACATCGTCACCGTCACCGTCGGGCCGGAGAAAAAGCAGTACAAGATCTACAAGGACCTCATCTGCTATCACTCCGAGTACTTCCGCAAAGCGTTCAATGGCCCGTGGAAGGAAGCCGAAGAGGGAGTGGTGCTTGACGACGTCGAGGTCGGCGTCTTCAACATATTCGTGGACTGGCTGTATACGCAAACAATCCCCCGACAGACAGAGGAATGGGCTCGTATCTCCGGGATGATCGACCCCACCGACAAACACGCGGGTTGGAAGGTAGACCTCCACAGGCTCAAGGCATGCGTCTTTGGCGACCGCTTTTTTGCCCCCAATTTTCACGACGCTGTCCACAATCTCTTCGTTGACGAACTGGTCGCTCAAAAGGGCGGGGCGTGGTACGAATATGTCATTTTCGCTTTTACCAATCTGCCGGAGGATAATGAGATTCTGAAGCTCCTGGTCGACAAGCAATGCGCCTCCTGGAGCCCTTCTCAGGATGATAATAATGATGAGAAAAGCCTCCATCCTCAGCTTCCGCATAGCTTCCTCCTCCGCTATATGCTCTCGCATGCCGAAGTCCGATCGAACTTGGTCGCCAGCGGCAAATTGGAAGCCTGCTCTTATCATCGCCATGCCTCGGACGAAGAGCGCAAGCAATGTCAAAAGCCAAAGGATACCGACACTTACCGGGCTCGATAACACAGTCCTCAGAGAAGAGTCTATGATGATCCGGGTAAGGGTGGAAAATGACCGTCTTGCTTCATGAAGCAATAGCGAGTCGAGAAATCTGGATATGTGGGAGTTTGAGAAATGACGAATGGCAAATTATGCAGAGGCGGACCTTGTTTCCTTAGTTGTGTAGCAATGAAGCCTCTCGTTGCATTTGAGCTTGCTTTTCTAGCAATCTCATGAGAGTATTTGAAGGAACATGATGAAATGGCCGCGTTCGTCTGCAGCATGGCCCCTGGCTCCAAATTCAGCCATCTTGGTCTTTCCTGTTCCTTGCTTTTCGTCCGTGGTCGTCTCCGGAAACCTAAAATCCCGTAGGAATGATCGAGGGTAACTTCGCTTGGTTCGTGGAGGGATCTCGCATCTCGGAAAAACATCACCTCGGATCGGAATCTGACGTACTCCAGATGGCCCGTGCCATCCCAGCTGGAGCTCCAAGCAAACACCCTCCACCTCCGCATCCCCGCGATCGACTCATCCCCCTGCAATGTCCCTCGAGACATCATAGTCCCTATATTGCCATGTCTACTCCCTTCACCCCAGCGAGGAGACTCGTCTCGAGTCTTTCACAGCTATGCCCGCAATGCGGATGCTTACGGACCGGTCGAGGATCGCGGCGATGGATGAGCGGCACGCAGTCACCGGCGAAGCGGCCTAAGACTGCGATCTTCTTTCCAGGTACGCTTACTGGATGTTTTTCCGTCTCCAACTATGGTCACACCCTTTGAAATGCTCATCAATCACAGGCCAAGGCGTCCAACGTGTCGGCATGGCCACGCCCTGGCTCGAAGCCTTCCCTCGCACCGCAAAGCCCATACTCGAAGAAATCGACGACACCCTCCAACTTCCCCTCACCAAGATTATAGAAAGCGGCACCAATGCTGAGCTCACGCTTACCGAGAACGCTCAACCTGCCATCATGGCCACCTCGATCCTGATCCTCCGCGTCATGGAACAAGAATTTGGGTTCAAAACGGCTGATCGTGTCGACATTACGCTGGGCCATTCGCTAGGCGAGTTCGCTGCGCTAGTAGCGGGCGGATATCTGGGGTTTAGAGATGCGCTGAAGATGGTGCGGAAGAGGGCCGAGGTTATGAGCAGGTGTAGCAGGGAGGCTGTGGAGCAAGAGGGAGGAGAGTTTGGAATGATTGCCCTGGTTTGCGAGTCAGAGGAGCGTATGCAGTCTCTCGTAGCCGGCGTGCGCGAGTTCCTCGAGCTGTCGACACCAGGGTCGAAGACAAATGCCGGCGAGGATTTACCAGCAGTGGAGCAAGTCTCGATTGCGAATATCAACAGCAAGAACCAGATTGTGCTCAGTGGGAGCATCGAACGGATAAACACGCTGTTGACGAACCTGCGGCAATTCGGCGGACACGACCCGCGACACGTTCGGCTGAAGAGCGACTCGCCTTTCCATAGCCCGCTGATGAAGCCTGCGCAAGAAACTATGAAGCGAATATTGTACAAGGAAAAGGAAGATGGAAGCGATATAGTCACTTGGCCGGGCCTTATGCCGTGCGTATCCAATGTCTCCGGCCGACCCTTCAAGAGCAAGGAGCAGCTGAAGGATCTGCTGGCACGAAGTTGCGTTGACACAGTGCAATGGTGGCGCTCGATCAGATATTTGCATGAAGAGGAGAAGGTGAAGAGATATGTTGGAATTGGACCCGGCAAGGTGGGGAGAAATCTTGTGGGCAAAGAGGTGGGGATGAAGGGCGCTGTGAAAGGAGGTGGTGTATGGGGTATCACGAGCCCAAAGGAGATGGAAGAGGTGATCAGAGCGCTGGATGATACAGACAATGTGGATGAGGATTAAAGGGGGCGGGATAGAAGCGCGCGTGGCACTGAAGCTGGGGAGTGCTCAAGATGACTGGATAGAAGGAGAGGAGACCTCGGTCACCCATATCAACACGCAGCATATACCTCTCTGGACCTCCATTTTACGCTCCCTGGACATTAAGCCCAGCATCTACCTGCACTCGCATACCCGTCATACTCGTATTCTTGACCAGCATGACGAACGCATCCACGCAGTCCTGCAGAAACGTTTCATGCTTGAGACAAGCCTTATCCTTGACGGCATCGATTACTTCCTGAGAGTATTTCAGGCCCTACATTGGTCATCAGCCCCGCGTCTTTCATTACTGTCATGGATGGAAGGAAGACATACCCATTCTGTTAGAAGAAGGCCAGGCAGCACAGTATTAATACGAGTCTTGGGACCCTGCGTGGTAGCGAGACACTTGACGAGTTGAAGTTGCGCGGCTTTGGTGACGGCGTACGCCATCGAGGAGCCGCCTTGGGATACAGCCTGTCCCTATTTGAGCTCATGTTCAGGGGATGGCGGAAGAAGGGGATACATACTGCTATTGAGCCCGTGGTGATTAGGACACCACCTTCGGGATTCTTCTCGAATGTGGGTTTGGCGGCCTTTAGGAGCGCATGCGGGACCTTGACATTGGCAGCCCAGCACTGTGATTATAAGCTTGGCGTCAAAGGTACCGAGGCGTCTGTATCGGGAGAAAGTTGAAGCAAGGGGTAAAAGTACATAGGAATGGAATACTTACCCGGTCCCATTCAGATTCATCCATTGCATCTAGGTCACCAAAGTTACTGAACTTGGTCCACCCCTGTTGATGTATGAGCTTCTACCTTCCCTCATAAGTACAAGGGGAAGCGTGAATACACACCGCATTAGCAATCACAATGTCAATGCCTCCCAACTGCTTGATCGTGTCTTCGACCGCTCTCATACTCTCTTTCGTATCGCACATATCCTGCCCTCTCATTAGCACACCCATTGTCCCCTCCCTTCGCTTCCTAACCCCGCAAGCCAACCAAAATGATAAAACGGGGACTCACGGCTTTGATGGTAACAGCCTTCACGCCCAGCGCCTCACATTCCCTCTGCACTTTCTGCGCCGGCTCCAGCCGGTTGAAGTAGTTGATTGCTACGTTGCAGCCTTCCTTTGCGAAGGTGGTGCTGAGGAGGGCGCCAAGACCTCTGTTCACCTAGGTCATTAGCCGCTAAAACTATGCGCTTGCTAAAGGGACAGAGCAGAGGTGGAAGGAGGTTTGTCTGTCGAGGTAGGTAGGTTAGGTAGGGGTTGAGGCTTACGCCGAGCCGCCGGTGACGAGCACATTCCGGCCCTTCAAATCGTACGGCATGGTGTCTGGGTGTCTGGCTTTGCTCAGGGTGCCAATGGAAGGGAAATAGAGCTCAGAGGGTGTGATTAGGGCTGGGCTGGGCCGAAGGAGGGGAGTGTGAGGTATGGTCTTCCGTAAGCCGCAAGGTTGTTGGATGTGGGGCACGGTTGGGCCAGAGAGTACAACCCCCGCTGCTTTGATTTACGATTACTACATTTGGGTAACCTCGGCCTCGGTAGTGCGATTTTGCGGGCGGGTAATACAGCGATGGAGACAATACATCGTGAAATGTGCGAGCAAAGCCGTACTTTAGGGGATTGATATTTACTACGTTCACTGGTAATGTCGGTAGGGTAGAGGCGTGTCTTCGGCGATTAATGCAGGAACGAAAGCTAAACCACTTGTCTACCAGAATCCCGGGTGCCGGACCTTGGGCTTTTTCTTCTTTTCAACAAGCTAAGCCGAGTATTTCACCGAGCTTACCAGCATTCTAGCAGCTCCTGTACTCAAAGCTTCCATACTACTACCCCGGTTCGTCCTTGAGCGGGGAAAAAGAAACCACGTCGAACGCTCTAGTCCATGCCCGAAAAGTCAAGCCCCCAGTCATCTTCACCCATACCCATATCTCCCATGTCTCCCATATCGCCCATATCTCCAAGATCGAGCTCAGGGAGATCCATATCCGCGCCCATGTCACCAGCCCCCGTAGCACCAACACCCATGACGCTCAGATCGAGAGCGCCTCCTGCAGACAGATCTAGGTGCTCGTCGATGGTGCGCTGGAGCGCTTGCTTGTCCATATCCTGCATCTCGCCACCTGTAGCTGTAATACCTACAGCTGCGGCAGCGTCATTCATTGCTTTATCAAGATCTGCAGAGAGATTCTGGGTTTGCACGTCATCGATGCCAACATTGGAGAGGTCGACATGCGCGGCTTGGAGACTGGCTTGAGCGACGACGGCGAGCTGGGCTTCGACACGGCGGTGCAGACGGACTATTGTTTCAGCGGCGAGAGGGTCGGTGGATACGACGCTCGCGGCGTTGTCAAATTCGGCTTTTAGCATCTCGCGAAGATTAATGCGTGTCCGTGGTGGGGTAGGCGCGGGAATTGAGCTGCCCACCCAGTCGACGGGAATCACGCTGTTCTCAACCATGGGTGCGCAGATGAGGGAGACACCAATGTCAAGAGCCGCAGCACCATTGCCGCCGTCCGTCTGAGACTTGATCTCGTCGGTGATCGCTCGTAGTGTCTTCGAGGCGCCGAGCAGCTTGAGGGCAGCGTACACCTGTCGATGGGTATAGCTTGGCGGGTTGGGCTGCAATGAGGCTGTAGAAGCCCATTGGGAGAGTTGTTGTACGGTGTGGCGCAGCGAAGTATACAGTGTGTTGTTGGTCGCGTTCGTCCACTGCTCCAATTCGGTCATTGCCGAGTAGACCGATCGCTCATAGTTGAGGTTACCCTTGATCGCTTGAAGCAGCGGTTCGATGTCTGTGCGGCTCGGGTGGCGCCGCTTCAGGGTGCGGAAGCATTTCTCGAGGCGGGCGGAAACCACGGATAAGATCGTGGAATGCATGGCCTGTGCATCTCCGGACGTGGGGGCGGATCGGATCAGCTTGAGGAATATCTGCATCAGCATATCGAGATCATGATGCTTCTGCGTAAGCGCGTGCGATGCCATCCATGTCAAACCACCGACCAGGGACGGCAGCAGAAAGGTTTCATGGAGATCTAAAAAAGCAATTAGCTGGCGTTCTATTACTTCGTATTAGGCGCCACTTACACTCCAGCCCGCCCTTCACCGAGTCCAAAGATAGGACCTCCGCGGAGCAAGCCATCACGGTTTGGCTGAAAAGTGTCGGCACTATTAGATAGAAATCCTGCGGACGGCAAGAAGCGAAGACCTCATTGCTCAGCCCTTCCTTATCCGAGTCGTAGAGACCTCGGAGCCAGCTTCCTAAGTGCTTGCCCTGCTCATCGGTGAGTTCCTCCGGCGGAACGCTGCGATGCCCACGCTGGAGCAGCTGAGCGACAAATGAATCGTGGCTGACACCTAAGTCGTGATACGTCAGATCGTATCGGTGCACAAACGCCATGATAAGAACCAGGATGGCTCCGAACTCGTCGTACACAGGCTGGTATTCGCCTAGATAAAGTTAGTAGGCAGATCGTGTGAATTGCTGCGGCTTTACCTTGGTCGCCTTCATACCGCCATTCATCCAAAAACTGGCAAAGTGGTCGCAGGATGCTAACCGGAGACGTGAATTGCAGGATCACATCCAAGGCTTGGGGTTTCTTCGAAAGCAGATTGCATATTGTCTTCAGGTACATCGTCATTTGTGTCTCGCACAGATGGGATATGAACTGAAGCCGATCAGTAAAGGCAGTCAACACTTTCGAGCCTATCATACCTCTGTGAGAGCGCTCACAATAGCCCCGGCGTTCCCGTCTAAGTTTTCGAGCTCGTCGATAAACATGTTTACCTTCTCGAAGTTGTCTTTACATTGACTAACCAGGTCCTGCTTGAGGTACTTCGTTTCCGGAGGACCTTGCATAGGGGTCTCTCCCAGCAGACGCTCAACGGTGTTGGCGGGGATGAGACTATGCAAAGCGCAGGCATTGAGGAAGTCCTGACGTACATCGGATAGAGAATTATTACTTCCCATGATGTCGTCAAAGCCTTGAGAGAAGGCTGGAAACGCATTTGGATCAACGCGGCTGAGCGCCTGAGTTATGCATACTTCCGGATTCATGGCGTATATCGGAGATGTGAGTTGGGTCAGGAGGATGGGGACTTTGTTAACCAGAAAGGATTTCAAGCAGAACATGGTCTGGCTCGATTCACTCCGGTACATGGCATTTGCTAAGATATCAAACCCAGCCGTGATCAGATCCGTGGCCATAGTCTGAGCGTCCATCTAGGCAAATTAGTGCTCTTCTTGAACAATGAAAAATAGTAAGAGCATTACCTTGTAGCGTGAATGGAGGTAGTTGTTGATGGTGAAGTCATCTGTAAGAGGCCGGGCAACAAGCTACTCACGTTAGCTTGCTGAAAAGGTAGGCGCAACTGCAACTGTAGCTCGTACCAATGCATTGAGAAAGATGTAGAGCCCTGCTCTCGTATTGATCAATGGGAGGTCGATGACTGCTTCTAGTTGCAAGGCCATAACGTCGAGCCCAGCGTTCTCGGTCACCTCCCTATTGGCGTTGGAGACTGATTTGTCATGCAGATCATGCTCCTTTTGATATATTTCCAACCGATTCGCAATCTGTATGGAAGTCTGTGATAGGAATGGGATGAATGTTGACAGCGCCTGGGCAAAGTTCTTTCGGACATCTATGAGTCATGTGAGCATGTCTACATAGAGGTTGGGGGCATTCGTAAGCGGGAGCTCGAGCAGGACGGCGATCTCGCATCCGGAAGATAGGAAATATACCCACCCTTGAGCTCATCCTTGTTCAGCAATTGAAGGATTCTGGTATTTTCAATCAGCCCCACCACGAGCATGCCAAGAGCCTCGCGGACATTGATAGATTGTTGCTGGGGGTGCTGCTGGATCCCGGCCATGGCCTGCATCATGGAATCGCTGGTGTGGGATGTCACCATGGCCGACATCCAGCCTGACGCGACGATCAAAGTCCGGATACCCTCCGTGTTGGTTACCGGTCGCTCGGGACGCTCCCCTGAAAATGCTTTGTGGAGGCGATGAAAGATAACCTCCTCCAGCTCGGGCGGGTTCTGCCATGGCGACGGATCCTTTGGGTTGGCCACATCTCCTGCTCTTGGGGGACGATCTTTTGAGAACTGGAAAGCTGAGGATAAAACATCGGAAGCATCGACCTTTCGCAAGGCCAGCAGTCGCTCGACATAGACGACGACGCGTGGATCAAGACTGCTAGCGGCAGGAGAATGCGGCCTGAGCAACAATGCTGCCAGCTTACGTCCCTGAAGGGGCGATTTGCTGTAGAGCTGAGCGGCTGCAGCATCGAATAGATCAGCGCGAATCCGGTTTTCCAGGCATCGGTCCAGGAAGAGGGCCCACTCCTTCATCAGAGTGTCCATGACCCATGAGTGGAAGACGGCTCGAGGCGCGGGGCTCGGCTGGACGACTCGAATTATTGAGGCGTGGTGGGTGGGTAGGAATGGGGACAAGCTTCGTGTGAATAGAGCGGTTGAGTGACTGCCGATCAGGCTTGGCGCTCCACCCCAGCGAGGCTGGGACTGCGCGCACGACTCGGGATACGAGCTCTGCGCGTCCCTGATCTCACGAATCTTGGATCCTGTCCCCCGTCGCACAAGGGAGCGTTCCCTTGCCCGATGTTTTTCGGGACGGGTAACGCACGGGAAGTGCACGTCTACAAGGGTTCGACCAGGGTGTGTCGCGGCGGCCTTCCTGCTTCGGATGCATGCCGAAGCCGCCGATCCAAGTCTTGCTGTGGCTGGTGGGGTTGGCAAATTGCTTTTTGTCCCGGCACATCATCACGACATCGATGCACAAGATCCCCACGAATCTGAATCCTTATCATTATGGAAAAGATGCCGCATCTGCGAAGACCCATCTGACGAAAACCGCACATGGACGGATGCGGTGCCCCCATGCCCATATATTTCCAGCGCCATGCAAGTTCGATAAAACCCTGCCGCGGTGGCATCACAAGCACCCAAGTCGGGTGGGTAAATGACAACCGTCGGCCGACGCCATACTCCATACCGAAAGTTACGCCTCGCGCCGTGCCTCCTCGTCCACTTCTGGCGCCCGAGGACCCACCATCCAATCCTCCATAGCCAGCCACTGACTCCACGTCTTCTCAGCGCCCTCGATCTCCGCCAGTTGCACGTTCTGGAGCGGCTTGAGGAAGGGAACGGCCTCGTGCGGAGACATGTCGTACTGGTACTTGACTTTGGCCCACCCCACACTCTTCGCCGCGAACAGGTAGTTGCGTCGCTCGCATTCATGAACGGGCCCGACTCCTTTCCTCCAGTCGTCACCGAAGAAGCCATGCATGACGCCCACCGTGTCCATGCCGGTGATGACGAGACGGCGGATGTACGGGACGAGGGATACCCACACCGGCACCGGCTGGCCTCTAGAGTTGCTCACCGGACCCGAGCGCGGCCACGGCAGGTTGTAGGCTGCAGGCCCCGAAGAGGGAGGTTGCGGCCCCGTTGCGTTCGTGATGGGGCTGGACGTCCATTGGAAGGGCAGGCAGATGTTGATGAGGGCGGCAACCGCTTGGACGCCGGTTTCGTACTGGGCGTGGTCGAGAAAGAAGCGCTGGCAGCTCTGGTAGGCGGGGTGCCACTCGAAGATGTCGAACTGCGGAGCTCCACCGGCCTCTGCAGATCCTGACTCGCCCGACGATGAACTCGCGGCGCCGGGAAAAGCTCCTCCTCTTGGATGGAAGGCAGGGTATCCTGCTGGGAAGTGTGTCTGGAAGCCGGGCAGGTTCGACATGGCGGGCTTCGGCTACTACTGCAGGGACGAAGGAGATCAGCGTGCCTGGTTGGCCAGAGAGCAGGAACACCAATTTTATGGGCGAGGGCTACACACCTGGCGACTAGCACGGCGTGCACCGGCGAGAGATGGGCTGCACGGTGAGTGGGTGCTGCGAGGGGAGGCCGGTCCAGAACAGGCAAGTACCTATATCAATGACGAAGGGGAACCGCGGAATGCCAGACGGGTGCCAGTGTGGGAGGGGCTGCTGCCAGGCGCTGGACGAGATGAGGGTATAGCGGGCGAGCTATTGAAGTTATATAGGGCGCGGGCGTGGTGTTGGAGACAGGGCGGATCGGCCCAACATGTGGCTTCGACGCCAGGCCATTTATTGAAGCCCTGGTGAGATTCTCTCTACTCCAAAACTAATCCCTGGATATTGGAGTTCGAGGCGTCTGCTCGGCTGCGGCTCCCCTGCTTCGATCCTCGCCTGCGGGCCAATCGAGAGCATCGGAGGACGGAGATACCGCGCGTGAGTGTGGCTGTTCCGGCGTGGTGGAGAGGGACCTGCAGGAGGGTGGTGTGGCCCGCCCGCGGCTTTGCGCGATCGGCCTGAGTGCAGACGTCGACGACGCCAGACACAAACGCTGCTCGCCAGCGATGGCTCTTCTCGGAAGCGTTCAGCTGCGCGCTACCCTCCCCTGCGCCCGCTGCTCGAATTTTCGGCGCCGATGATGCGACGCTGCGTGCCTTCCCCAGATCCAGGGCCCGCGACTGGCAGGCGCGCTCGGCGAGGGGCGCGTCGGCGCCGCCGAGATCCAGACAAACTTCTGCCCTGTCCGCTCCCTCACGACAACACTGCGCGAGCGTTTGCTTTTGTCATCCGAGGAGCCCGACAAGCGCGAACCGGCCGGCCTGGCGGTCGCCGACCGGGTGGCCCTGACAATGCGCCATGTTCCGTCAGACGCGGCAGTCTGCGCTATGTCGGCGGCTACCGCTGCGACTCACCTCCGGGACGTTGAAGCAGACAGCGCTCCCTTTCCGGTACCTTGCACAGTAGTAGCAGCACCCAGGTAGCTCTGCAGACGTGCGCCCGCATGCAGTTCCCTCTCTTCGCGGCCGAGCCATGCTCGCGCAGAGCGTGCAGAGTGCTTGTTTTTTGCCTGCGCCCTGCCCCGGGCCCGCATCGCCGACCAATATACTGGTCAGCGTATGCTCAATGGGGCAGGCAATACTCTCAAACGGCAGTCGCAGAATGCTTATACGTCACCGAGCCACAGATGGCCTGCTTCTCGGCTTGAAACGCGTGTTCCCAGGGCCCAGCCGGTCCCGGCCCGCCCAATCGTAAGGTGCACCGCCATATCGCGGCCGCCCTCTCAGGTGCGGCAGGGCCTGTCTGCCACTCGGCAGGGGAGCGCTGCACCCAATCGATCTTTTTTGATCTGGTGCCGCAGCCTTTGCAGTCTTTGTTGAGGCGTGCGACCCCCTCCGCGGCGCAACCCCTGGGTTACAATGGCTGGATCTCGCCTCCGACCAGCTGGTGACGGCCCGGCAGCATGGGCGCGAAGCGAGCGACATGACGATGAGGTAACGCAAAGCCTGCCGAACATGTGCGAACCTGCGTCAACCCTCCAGCCCTTTGCAACACCCACAGATCGTGGCTCAGATTCTGCAGCATCGACAATCCTGCCTGTTCCTGGCCCACCATGTCATACTCGCTGGCCTCGCGCACCAAGGCTAGTGCTATCACCGTCGCACGAGGACGCCTTTGTTGACCCATTCCAGCTCGCCAATGGCCTCTCTATGCCCACCATCCACCTCGGTGTGTATTTGACATCTGGAGCTACAACATACCAAGCCGTACGTTGGGCGCTGGAGGTATGCGTTCCTGATGTCCGTGCGACCCGATGTCATGTGTGTACTCACGCCAGCAGGCCGGTTATCGAGGGTAGGTCACGACGCTCTCAGCCCTCGTGCAACCATTCACAACTACCGCAAAACAGCATCGATAGTGCCCAAATGTATCACAATGAGAAAGAATCGGGCCAGGCTATCCTCGATTTTCTGGCTAGCGACGCCAATACTGAATCGCTGAAGCGGGAAGACATCCACTTCACTTCGAAGCTAGCGTCAAACTCCACTTACGATGCAGCTCGCAAGGCCATCCAGAGGTCCGTCAAGGAGTGCGGCCTGGGCTACATTGACCTGTTCCTCCTGCACTCGCCCTACGGTGGCAAAAAGGCGCGCCTTGAGAGCTGGAGAGCTGTCGAGGACGCAATCAATGATGGCGAGATCAGGATTGGTGGAGTCTCTAACTACGGCGTCAAACATGTCAGTTCGACCTTTCGTATCATCGTACAAGTCCTGTCGAAGCTACTGCATGTTGGCGAAAGCGGCAAAAACACGGAGCCTATCAGGAGATGCTGGAATACTTCCAGCCCCTTACTGGGAGCCCAGGAGCAAGCAGCTCCTATACATGCACCGGACGCGCCATCATGCAGGAGCTGAGCACACTGCAGTCCAACATCTCTGGCGGGAGCTGATCCGGTCTGGCGGATACGATGCGGCGAAAATTCGAAGCCGCGTATCCTTCTGTCGCCAAAATTCTCATACCAGGCGGCCAAGACCAGAGAGTCTCCCATCGGAGCTGATAACATACGACATGCAAGTAACTCTATATCAGGCAGGGTTGACTAACCACACGTGTCTAGCTGCAAGAGCTTGTTGCCTCCAAACCCAAGGTGCTCCCGGCTGTCAATCAAGTCGAGGTGCACCCTTTCAACACCCGCAAGGACATCACTTCCTTCTGCCAAGAGCATGGCATTGTGGTGGAAGCGTACGCGCCGCTCGTGCGAGCCTTGCGGATGAAGCATCCAACAATCGTCTCGCTCTCTAAGAAGTATTCGTGCACGCCGGCGCAGCTACTCATCCGATGGAGCCTGCAGCATGGCTACGTTCCACTGCCTAAGAGCTCAAAGAAGGCGAGGATCGTCGAGAACGCGGATATTGGGGGGTTCGCGATCGAGGATGCCGACATGGAGACGATAGATAGGTTAGACGAGTATCTGGTCACAGGTCAGTGTCCCCCCTACACGCACCACCACCGCCCACTCAATGCGGAGGAGCGATGTCGGTGCTTCAATAATCGCTCAATATTTCCGCCGCTGACTGTTTTGGAGACTGGGATCCCACTGAGACCGCGTGAGGGTGCGCCGACGAGAACAAAATCTGCGCGTGGGGGTTGTTTCAGCGACTGCGGATGGTGGGGAGTGCAGGTGGGCTTTGAACGTGTGGAGGCCGGAAGAATGGGCGGAGGATCAGACGGTCTTGGCAGGGCTGTATCCGGCGGAGTGGTTCGTAGCAGAAAATTTGACGGCATGCCCTCCGCGTGAGAGGCTGACGGCCGACGCGACGTGTGACCGCCGAAAAAAAAGCCACACCTCCGCGGTCGAGCTGCGGAGCGCGCCCACCCCTCCCACTTCACCCTCAGACCCTGGGATGCAGCGACGTAACAGCTTTCTCGCGCCGACCTGCGGCCGAACTCGGGATGACGGCCAGCTATTACAGCTCTGCAAGCCGCAGAGCGCGGGCTTGTCACGTGCGCATCGCCTTGCGAGCCTGCCATTGGCTCTTTGTTCCCTTATCAGTTGAGCGGACACCACGGTTTGCGAAGCAGAAATCTGGACTGGCAGCCATTGACCACTAGCAGAGCCCCCCAGCGCTCAATTGCATGCGCTGGTGACGTTAAACTGCTTTTCTTTTTCACCCGGCGACTGCGCGAGCACCCCGCCAGCTCTGCGCGAGCTCCAGGACGAGTATTTATACGCCTCACAGCGCCTGCTCTGCGTCACCACTCTTTTGCTACCTATCTCCAGCTTTGCAACCTACTTCTCCAACTTCCAATACACTTTGCTTTTAGATTGCATCAAGATACCCCAGAACACAGTCACAATGGCCGAGCCCGAGTTTGAGCAAGCCAGGAAGGGTAAGTGCCCCTCCACCACCACCAATCTTCCTCTTGTCCACAATGCTTTTGTGAGGCTTGCGCCTTCAATCGGAGCACATGAGCTCAAATTGAACATTGCAACTCTGTCAAGCTTTCAACCCTCACGAAGAGAACTATCAACCAATGGCTCCAGAGCTACTGGCTAACGCCCAGTACAGAGCTCGTCTCCACCCTTGAGGCCTCCACCCTCTTCCAGAAGAACCCAGAGTACAAGAAGGCCCTCGAAGTCGCCTCCATCCCCGAGCGAGTCATTCAGTTCCGCGTTGTTTGGGAAGACGACAAAGGCCAGTGCCAGGTCAACAAGGGCTACCGCGTGCAATTCAACTCCGCTCTCGGCCCCTACAAGGGTGGTCTCCGCTTCCACCCCACTGTCAACCTCTCCATTCTGAAGTTCCTGGGCTTCGAGCAGATCTTCAAGAATGCCCTCACCGGACGTAAGTCCCGCCACATGACCTGCGGATGAGGTACTAGGGCTAACATCTCTAAGTGCAGATGGGCGGCGGCAAGGGTGGTGCCGACTTCGACCCTAAGGGCAAGTCCGATAACGAGATCCGCAAGTTCTGTGTCGCTTTCATGAAGGAGCTCAGCAAGCACATTGGCGCGGACACCGATGTCCCCGCGGGCGATATCGGCGTGTCCCCCCGCGAGATCGGCTGGATGTTTGGCACATACCGAGCTGAGCGCAACAGGTGGGAGGGTGTGCTGACTGGCAAGGGCCTCGCATGGGGTGGCAGCTTGATCCGTCCCGAGGCCACTGGCTACGGCCTCGTCTACTACGTCGATCACATGATTCACTATGCCTCTGGAGGCCAAGAGTCCTTCAAGGGCAAGAAGGTCGCTATTTCCGGCTCCGGCAACGTCGCCCAGTACGCCGCACTGAAGGTCATTGAGCTCGGCGGCACTGTCGTCTCTCTTTCCGACAGCAAGGGCGCACTGATCGCCACCGAGGGTCCCGGCTTCACCCCTGAGGTCATCAACAAGATTGCCGCTCTCAAGGTCGACCGCAAGGCGCTTACCGATCTCGAGGGCTACGACTACCACTACGTTGACGGTGCGCGCCCCTGGACTCACGTCGGTAAGGTCGACGTCGCGCTGCCCTGTGCAACTCAGAACGAAGTCTCTGGCGATGAGGCGAAGGCCCTGATCGACGCCGGCGCCAAGTTCATCGCCGAGGGCTCCAACATGGGCTGCACCCAGGAGGCTATCGAGACCTTCGAGGCGCACCGGAGGGAGAACAGGGGTACCTCCATCTGGTACGGGCCCGGCAAGGCCGCCAACGCGGGTGGTGTCGCCGTCTCTGGTCTCGAGATGGCGCAGAACTCTGCGCGCCTGAGGTGGACGTCTGAGGAGGTCGACGAGAAGCTCAAAGGCATTATGAAGTCGTGCTTCGAGAACTGCTTGGAGACGGCGAAGGAGTATATTACTCCTGCTGAGGGCGAGTTCCCGTCGCTTGTCGCGGGCGCCAATGTTGCCGGGTTCAAGAAAGTCGCTGCGGCCATGAAGGACCAGGGTGACTGGTGGTGAACTGCTGGCAGCCCAGCAGCTGAGACATGAGACGCATGTGTATATAATATTGGAGGAATAACGGGCGAATTGGGCGATGGTATACCACACCTTCACTTCACGACACTGTACATATTAGATATCTACCTTGACGAATTGACAGAGTAACGATACGAATCTTGGATATCTATGCATTTCGTTATCGATAACCTCACTATCGACGTCACACAACCAAAAGCAGTCCCGTGTCCGCTTTACGATAATGCAGCTTTATCAGATTCTAACCCCGCCATTCCCGAAATTTCCCGCAAAAGGAAAGCCACCCAGCCCACTACTACCAGTCCAACCCTTCTTTACCCGCTTCAGCCCCTCCATTGCTCCTCGACAAAAGCAACAGCGCGCTGCGCAAAACGACAGACAAGGCTACATTCCACCCCACAATATGACACAATTCGCTCACTCATCCCTCGCTGGATCCGCCGCTAGCAAGGGCCTGGGCCGATCTGATCGCGTGCGCGAATCGAGTAAACACGCCGTGTGGCCGGGTGCGCGGGAGGTTCCCCGCTGTGGCTCATCGTGCGTGGCTAGTGGGATTTGTGGAGGGGTATGCGGCATACGGTAGTGCATGGAGGGCATAGTGGGGAATCACGGAGTGTGGTTGTCTTCTGAGATGCGGGGTGAAGTGAATGGAGAGATCTGAAGCGAGCGGAAAATGGAGGTAGATTTATCGTGGTAGAGATAGCTGGACTAACTACCCGAGAACTGTCGTCCATTCCCTCAGCAGCTCGTCGACTTCGCGGTCCGCATCATCATCATCATCATCAACGGCAGACTGGTGCTCATCCTCTTTGGCATTGTTGGAAGAGGCTTGGGAGGGGCTGCTACTACGGCCTGGAGGAAGGGTAGGGAGCACTTCCTCTATCGTCTTGATCGAGTTGCGATTGGGCTTGCGCTCGAGGAGATAGAGAGGCGTGTACTCGCGAGAGGGCTTGAGCTCGCTGGGAGACGACGAGGGGTAGAAGAGACTTGGCGTGGAACGAGGGTTTCGCCTGAAAATGAGGGGGGTTGGTGTGCGTGGCATAGCCCCACGTGTAGTAGTCCTTTCATAGGCATCGGACTCCAATTTGCCAGTGTGGTCGGATAGCGATTGAGCCTTGCGCTGAGGAGGCGCTTGCGGCTGAACGATCTTTTCGGGACGGGGACCAGATCGACTCGGAGCAGCAAGGTAGTAGGTGCGGTCTTCCTTTGCACCTGTGTGCGACGCCTCTGCGCCGGCCCCTTGCCCCCAGTGATAAATGTATTCCCCGGTACCGCGATGGTGCATGGGAAACTCAACGGCATCATTGCTCTCATCCCGCAACCTCTCTGCCTCTCTGAAGAGCATTTCTGCTTCGTCGTGTTTTTCGAGCTGGATGAGCGAGAATCCCATTCTGACCAGTCTTTCTATTCTTGTAGCCACTGGCACCTCTTCCCTAATATTGGCAGAGGAAACGATGCTTGCTTCACCTATCGGTCGATCTTGCGAGAAAGGATCGTAAGGAGGGACATTATGTGAAGGGTTTCGTTCGGTTCCTTCTTCCGCTGTGGCTGGGGTTTCTGTGGCGGAATGGGCGAGGTATTGCCGTTCCGCCCGCCGCCGCTCCTTTGCTGGTCCTAACACTACCCCCTCCATCATTTCCCTTAGGGCTGTCGCTTTCTCTTGGGGATCTTCCTCAATACCTTGCTGGAGCGTCTTTCTGCTTTCCTGCTCCTCTTTCTCACCCTTGAGCGTAAGCATCGCGACTACCTTCTTGCGTTCTTCTTCTGCCTCTTTTGTACGCTGCTGTTGTTCTCGTTCCCCGACTTCCCGCTTTTGCTCAAGTTCCAATCGCCGCCTCTCTACACGCAGCCGCTTAAGCTCAGCAAGTCTTTCACGTTTCTCCTTTAACTCTTCTGATCTCCTCGAGTGTCGCTCTCCCTCCATCCTGTCCTTCTGCGTTTGATATTCAACTTCGTGTCTGCGTGAACCGCCAATGACAATGTCGACTGGTCTACTATCATCTGGGCTCGATTGAACAGTCCGGTCTTCCATTTCGCCATGAAAGGAGATCCTAGGAGGCGCAGAGGGGGAGGCGTTGTCCCTCATTTTCTTCCTTCTTTCTTTCCCGATCATCTTGTATCGATCTCGTCTATCCGGCAGCCCCCCAAGTGCACCCCGGTCAACTTGGACTGAGTCGGCCCCCGCATCCCCGGCCATAGCTGCATCCCCATGAACACCACCCGGCATTCGCTCTCGATGGCCTGTTTCGAACGCCTCGGGAAAGAGATCAACATCATCCACCTTCCAGATCCGGCCTGCCATGTCAGCAATAAAACTAACAGACTCAGCCGGGTTCATGCGGGGCGGATATTCGCTACCATCTGCTGTTGAGGGTTCGGAACCGATTTTGGTAGGAAAGAAAAAATCTGGAGCCGCTGAAGTGGCACGAGCAGTTTCCCAGATTCCCACGTCGTCCTTCCCGTAGATAAAGCTGACCGGGGCAGCGGGCTTTGAGGGAAGCCCATATTTTCCATCGTCCACTGCCAATGTTGGTTCCCTATCAACGCTGTCCGCGTTGTCCGTGTATTCCGGTTGTTCCCAGGACGGTTCTTCCATCATGCTGTCCGGCAAGCAATCATATTCCATAGGAGGCGGTGGCGGCGGCGGAGGGGGAGAGGAAGGAGGAGGCGAATCATCTTCTCTCTTGGGCATAGGGTGCATATGCATTGTAATTTCATATCCAGGTTGGATGACAGTTTCCCAATAGCTGGGCAATATGATGATTCCTTCGGAATTGAGCAGATCATACCGGCCTTCCATGACATAGTCGCCAATAATGTCTACGTTCAGAAATGCCTGCTTGATGAGTCCTTCCATGCCCTATATCTGGTTAGTAAATGACTGCCAAATCCATGCCAACTCTGGAGAGACGCCTCGCACGCTTACCTGCCAGGCCTTGCATAGATGGAAAGGAAAGCTGAATCTTCTGCCAACAGCATCCTTGAATTTGATAGGAGGCTGAGTTAGGGCAACAGTAGGTTTTGCTTCCTGAGCAATTCTCTTCGCGATCTCTTCTTGTACCCTTCTCTCAAACTCAGCTTTCGCCTTCTTGTCTGCCTCCTCTGCCTTCAGTCGAGCCTCTTCAACTTCCTTCATAGCTTTCATCCTGGCTTCTCCATCTTCTTTCTCGGCCTTCGTCCTAGCTTCCTCTTCGGCTGCTTTCATCGCCATTGCTTTCAGCACGGCTTCCTTACGTGCCGCTCCCGCGGCTCGACGTGCCTTACCATGCTCATCGAGCGCTCGCTTGTCCGTAGCTATCCCAGTTTCGGCCGCAAGTCTCTCGCGCTCCTCCCTTCTTGCTTCCTCCTTGGCCATCTGCACCGCTCTCTTGAAGTCCTCTTCGGTGTATGTCTTCCCGGAGAAGCGCGAAGCCTTCCCTTGGACGACTGTTTGGACAACGCTCTCTTGAGACGTGCGTGTTTCGGCGTCGCGAAGAGTAGATCCGGTTAGAGTCTTTGAAAAGCTGGTCTCCAACTCTTCATCAGCAAGAGCAGCGCGCTTCCGGTCCACTCGCTGCCGTCTTCTCTCCCTCGTCGACTTAGTCATCGCTCGCTTAGCATCCTTCTCTTTCATGAGGATCTTTTCCCGCCTCTCTTCAGCCTCAGACTCGATGATTACGCTGCTTGAAGTGCTCTCTCTTAGGCTTTTCGCATTGCCCAGAAGAACGTTATCCAAATGACCGCGGGCACGAAAGTAAGACCCGATAAGGCTCTGGTGATGCTCCGAGTGATCGCCTCCTTTCTCTTGGTTCGAAAGAGCCTGTTGCAGGTCCTCGATATCCTCCAAGAGGCTCTCTATGTGATGCACACATGTCTCCAGTGTTTTGACCGTAATGGTTGAGCTGACGGACGCAGTTGATATAGCCATGATGCCCTCGGAGAAAAGATTCTGCTTTTCCTTGTCTGGCTCATCTTCATCGACAACCGTGCTGTCTTCGCTCATCCGGAAATTCTTCAGGGACTCCTCGTATCTCTTCGTTGACTCCTTCTTGTTCTGGAGTAACGCCTTGATCTGCTCGCGCTGTGCGGCTTCTGCCTCCCGATCCAGCCTTTGCGAAGCAACTTGATGAGCGTGGGTTAGCACTTGCATCAACAGCTGCAGCGTGCTCTTCAGTTTGTCGATGTGGCTCCTCAGCAGCTCTATCTTCGATTCGCGGAACGGCAACATCAAGCGACCCAGGGTATTCTTCTTCGTCTTTTTGAGAGCTGCATCCAGTTCTTTGAATACCGAAGAACACTCGCGCACCGTTTCGTCGGCAGTCTTGCGTGCATTTTCCGAGAGGAGGGCTGAGGTATCGTCTTGTTTGAAGAGAGATCCGAGCTCTTCGATGACGAAGCTTGTAAGTTGGACCTCTTTTGCGATGTCTTTGACGCGTCGATCGGCGGAAGCAACGCTATCGGCATATTGATACAGGGTTTGCGAGAGTTTGAGGCCCGCGCCGGCTACCTGGATGACCGAAGCGATCAGCCCTACCTCGGCCATTTTGAGCTTCGTGGAAGGCAGGTCATAGAACGGTCACTCCATCCGCACCGCAGATCGCCGGCTCCCAGCTGTGGACGGAACAGCTGCATAGATCGGAAATCAAAGGCAGATTGGAAGTCGCTACCTAGGTATGCATGTTGGAGGTGTCAGAGGACGCCTGAAAGAGGTGGGGTTGAGCTGAGGCATATCCCTGTAGGCGCCTCGTATTGTGGAACGAACAAGATCTAGGAGGGGAAACGATGGGGTATGGGAGGAACATGCATCCCTGAGGAATAGTCTGACATCTTTCACGGTCGTCTTCGCCTGGTCCAACAGGAATGTGGAAACAGCCCCAAAGCCGCAGCTCGACCCCATTCCGAAAAGGGATAGCGCATCCCCGAAATCCGGCGGCCGTGAGGACCGGTCCAGACATCCACCAATTCGCATCCTCCACCGACGTCAAGCAAGTCTACCCTGCATCCTCCGGTCCTCGAATGTCGACGATCGACGTCCTCGCTCACTACGATTGGGCCGGCCCCGCAGGATGGACGCCACAGGAGCTTTTAGCCACAGGTCGTTCGCAATGTGGCGCGTGCGAGACATGATGTCAGAGCTGGTAGTGACCTGCTTATGGTCAGGTTCTGCGCTCTGTCTCTGTTTCACAACAACCCAATTGATTCTACTCTTCATGTCTACTTCCCTCTTGGACTCGATGAAATGCAAGAACCACTGCGGCAAGGCGGCAAGCTTGTAAAACGAAGGGCTGCGCCTTCTCCCTGTCGCGAACGACGATATTCGGCTCAAGAGACCCCAGCAATAGCACCACTAGACACAAGCGTGGCAGGCACGTCTCCCTCGGCAATGCCTCCCAACAAGAACTCGACGCCGGATAAGGAGAAGAAATCAAGATGGCGCCTGTCGAACCCGTTTCACTCTAAAGACAAGGACCACAAAGACGGCGAACCTGACCCTGGGCCTGGAGACTCTGCCTACTTTAGCAGTGAGAACATCAACAGCTCCAGATCAGACCTCAACACCAGCGCAGACCCGAGTTTCGCGAGTACAGAAAGACGCAATTCTCGCGGCGAACAACTGCGGCCTCAGGCTACAAGTCTTCAACCGCCAGCAACGAGTATCACTCCTCCCACCCCGCCTACGCACACGAATCTTGCGCCTCCTGCGCCTCCTTCGCAGACGGCACGCGAGTCCAGTCAGGAGAATGTCCATAGGGAGACTTACCAAGATGAAAAGACTGGTAACGTGGTGACGACCACGACCACGACCACTGTAGGTAACTAATGGCGCAGTAACAAATAAAGATGGCTGAACCCAATAGACTACTACGACGACGACGACGGGGCCTGGCGGTTCTACAACCGTAGAGCAGCCTGTTAATAGCAATAGCGGTGGCAGCACCCCACCTCGAAGCAATGTTACCAGTACCTCCGGACCGAGCCCACCGTCCCCAGCCCCACCGCAGCCGGCTCAGTATCCTCCCCATCAAGCCCCCAGCCACACGAATCCGTCACCTCCTATTCCAAACAAGAATACTATGCGCAATAGGGTTGAGCTGGATTCCGTGTCTCCTGGCATTGAACACCCCAACCCTCTGGCGTCTCCTGAGAGCCCTTCAAGTCCCAACCGGCTCCACTTCTCCTATCCTAAACGCGCGCCACCAGCTGGAGTACCTCGCCAAGTGCCCTCACAGCAGAACCTGAACCAACAACAAGGTGGACCGCAACCGCCGTACACCCCCTATACACAGTCTGGGTATGGCGAACCGAGCCACCCAGCGGCGCTCATGCCAGGGCAGCAGCAGCCGCAACCTCAGCAAAAACCATCTACGCTTGCGAACCTGAAGACTGCAGCCGCTGGCATTCATGTGAGTGCACCACCTTTTGTATTCGATTCCGCTAGATATCGGACTTCGCGTATTACGATAGGGATCTAAAGAAAGGCGATACAGACCCCGCCGCTATCAGCAAACATTAACTATCACTCTTATAGGGCGCTGGCGAAGCTCTTCGTGGCACACTCAATAATACCGTCGATAAGCGCTTCTCCAACGCTAACTCCAACGTTCACGCCAAGAACCAGGCTACTATAGACGCTGGCCGTTCAGAGGTGGAATCTGGCCGCTTCTATCACCAGCAACCGCCTCCAAATCCGAATCCTCAAGGCCTGAACCAGCAGCCCCGTCAGACTCAGAGCCTTCAGGGTATAAACCAGCAGTCTGTTCCTAATCCAAACCCTCAGAGCCTGAACCAACAGCTCCGTTCAACTCAAAGCGCCCAGGGTATGAATCAGCAGGCTCCCCCAAACACCACTCTTCAGGGTATGAGCCGACAGCCCATTCCGCACCCGAATCCTTTGGCTATGCATCCGCAGCCTTCGAACCCTGCCCCCCAGAATATGAGCCAGCAACCCAATGCAAAGCCACCATACAGTGGTCCGCCAGTTCCTGGTTCGCAAGTTGAGGGACGAAGCGGCGGCAAATTCAGCGGCATCATGAAGAAGATGAAAGAAGGGCCCCTTGCTTCAGGAACAGCGGCCCAAAAGGGCGACGGGCTGAGAGTGGTGAACGAGTAGACCTTTCCTATTGGCGTTTGCACAGGTGTTCAGTCGTAATGTAGGATCGAAAACGAAAACGAGGCGGCGCTTTGGATACGAATTTTAGTTCAGGATGTGCACGGTAATGAATATACAAATCTATGATCATTTCGCCCAGCCCAGCTTGAGAGGGCAAATTGGAAAAACAAAATATGAGGCCTTGCGTGAAAGCGCGCTAGAGGATATTGGAGTGAAGAAGCGCACGGGCCATGGTGAAGGTGAGGGTGAAAAGTGGCGGACTATTGTAGCTGTAATCTACGGTTTTCGCAACGCTGCCTCTTTAGGAAATTCCCGCTCCGAATAAGACGCTACTTGCTCCGTATCGGGTGCGCCGCTAGCGCATGGCCAGTGAAGTGAATAATGACAAGTCGCCGGTGAAGGTGAACCTATTGTCCTGCAGCAATCGACACTTTGGCAGCAAACCTGCCCTTTTAGGAAGGTAGCGCTCCTGATCGGATTTGGCCGCTCCGTATCAAGGGCATCCCAAGATTTCGGCGCTGACCTCACCCAAGCGCAGCAGAACGCGAGCATCTGTTCTACACGCAACATCGCCGTTTATTCCCTCGATCTCTGCAGCGCCTAGCACTACACGTGGTGCAGAAGCTTCGCGGTCTCCATTGATTGCTTGCGCGACCGGCGCGTCGAACTGCGAGAAAGCGCGATTCCAGAGGTTCCCTCCACCCGTCTATAGCTTCATCATGGGCTTCACAACCGGCTTCGTACGTTGCAATCCGTCTTTCCTCAGTTGCAGATACTAACATCCAGTCTCTAGCTCGGCGGCTTCACCCTCACATCGGCAGCCCTATACCTCACGATATCGCTACACACCAAGAACCGCCTCACTCAAGCCGCGCTGCTCCGCCAACAACGAAACGTCCTCCTGAATTTCGTCGAGCCGAAGCCCGCAGAGCCGGAACCGCTGCCTAGAGAGGTGCCTGCCGGATTGATGGAGATGGCGAAGGATAGGTGGAATAGGTCGCTTGAGGAAGGGGTCAGGAAGGTGTACGAGACGGATTGGAGGAGGGTGAGGGAGGATGCGGAGGATAGAGTGAGCGCTGTGCTACAGAAACTGCGCGAGCAGAAATGAGCGAGTATTGACTTCAAGTTGTAAGATGTAAGAGGCGGAATGTGTGACGATACCCTTCTCCCAAGGCAACAGACGGTCGGAACATGATTATAGCATGCGGTGACCATCAGCATGCTTTAGGCCGACATAACCCGCGATTGCCCAAGTAACGGCCAAATCGTATTCTCTATGTTACATCCTCTAGCGTTGGTTTCTTGTTTGCTTTCTCGTCAGTTGCGTCATTTCGCCACTACCGCTGTCTTACTGTGCCCTGTTGATGCTATTCACAAGTCTTGGCGCCACCTGTCCAGCGTTTGCCTCAGCAACGTAACCCCGCTCCACCGTTTACTCTCACCTCAGAACCCCGACCTTGAAACTTTAACCATCAACTCTCCACCAACCACCGCGCTAGCATGTCGTCGCACGGCAAAGTGCTCGATCTGCTCGACGACCGCTATCTCAACCTGCAGGACGTCGCCGGCAATGTCGAACCGTTTCCGAAGCTCGTGCCGTATGAAGAATACGGAGGCGCCATGCTCGTGTACCGGATGGACACGAAGCACGAGATCTTCATGGCCTTGGTTCAGGACTTCACCGACCGTATTGCGCGACACCTGGGCAAGGAGCTTTGGACGTGGTTTGTGCAGTGGGAGGTGGAGGAGGCGGCCTCTAGCGAAATCGGTGCTCCTCCGACGCCCAAGAAACCTCGACTGGCCCTGCAGGAGCCGGGAGCGTCGCAGCCTCCTAACCGCAAGCCGCCTGCTTACACCATCTGTGAGCGGCGTTGTCTCGACCGCGAGGTCATACAGGAAGAATCCACGCTTCGCATCCTCATCGATATCGTGCAAGTTGAAAGCAAATTGGTGCCAAACTGGATCGAGTTCTTGTATCAATGGATCGACTACATGGAAGGGGATGGAAAAGCATTAAAGGCTGCTCTGAGGAAGGAAATTCCAAGCTTGTGGGATTTCGAATATCACCCATTTCCGATTGAGCGCATGCCAGAACCGGGTCAAGCCGACGGGAGCGGCGGGGAAGACAAGACTACAGGAACCGATAAGCTCGATGTGACGGCGAAGAAACTTGGGACAAAGGTCACCCGAAAGAAGCCGGACTTGAGACTGCTGGAAACGATGACCGAAGAAAGCGAGCGCATGCAGTACCGAGAGGTCAAATTCGGGATGCAACCTCCGACTGACCCGAACGACGAGCCTCTCCCGCCGTTGGTCAACGTCCCCCGGGACGATGACAAGCGCAGAAAGTACTACGCGGCGTGTTTTAAGAACCGGCAGCGAGCATATTGGCTACTGCAAGAGGTAGGCATCACTACTAAGCAGATTGCGAACTACAGAAGGATGCAAGTAGAACCTCCACGGGATACACCGGAGTACGGACATGGGTTAGGATTCTTGAACTACTACAAGGATCAGCCCTACGCTATGGAGCAATACATGATGAACGAGGAGATGGCACGGCTGCGAGAGAAGCAGAAGGAGATTGCATTGAGCAATCGTCTGGCTCTAGAGGCACAAGTGGCAGCACAAACTGCTTCAGCTGCGAATGGTATGGCCATGCCTGGAAATGGCTCGTCAGCTCATCACACCGTCCCCCCGCCGCTTATCCCTCCAACCACAACATATCCAGGTCGCCCGGACGTTGCAGCTAATATCCTTGCGAGGATGCGAGCCATGACCCAGCACCGCCAGAACTCTATCCGGCTCGTCCCTTCGCCGCTCCTCGGAAAGCTAAAGTCAAAGCTCTTTGTACACGCTGCCGATCGGATTCCTCTAGGTAATTTACGTCCTCTACCACAGTTCCCTCAGTTGCCCTTCAATAATGAGGAGAGTGACAGCGAATCAGGCGAGGATGATGAAGACGACGAAGATGAGGACTACTCAGACGGTATGGACGAGGACGAAGAGGATGACAATGCAGACCAAGTGGGTGTCACCCAAACCGGTCCTGTGCCTACCGCTCCTCCTCCGCCGCCTGCGGCGCCGGTAGCTCCCAACATTCCGGCCTTTATGCAGAGTCTGAACCGCACTCAGCTTAGCAGTCTGATGCCGCTACTGAATAGCGGGGCGCGACAAGCGGTGTTGAACAGAGTGCCTTCTCTGAATGCAAATCCAACCCCTGCTCAATCTGGACAGCTCGCAGGAATGAATGGTGGCTCTACTGCAGCAATATACCCCGCGGCTAGTCTACCTCAACCCGTTCGACCGCAACCGTCGCTAGCAATAAATATAGCGACCGCAGCCAGTCAAGGTCTGAATACCGGGTCAATCCTCCCAACCGCTCCACCAGGGATCACTATATCGCTGGCGCCACCGACTACACAACAAAACGTGCTCGGATCAGGACCCATTCAGCGGACGCGCCTTCAGCAGTTAATAGCCGCTCAGGGATCACCTCATGCACCTCAAAGCACCACCATCCTCCCGACGCTAGCTTCCATATCTGTTCTGCAACCGTCAAACCGCGCGCAGCCTCCTCCGAGCCTGAACCTTCAGCGCCTCAGCCCGGGCACCTCCACCGGTCTCCCTAGCGTTCAGCGCAACGCTTCATCTCCAGTTCCCATGACCCCACTCGCCAATCTCGCTGGGAACCTCTCCATCGCTTCCCCACAGGCTGCCTCACCGCATGGCATTCCTATCCACATCTACGTCCCCAAAATCATCGTGCACCCCGTTCTCGGCCGCGGCAAGGAAACAGACGCCCTCGTTCTCGGCTACACGCGCCTCGGAACTGGGACGCTCGTGCTCAGCAAAGCCATCTTCCTACCGGCCGATGTGTGGGAGAATACACAGAACCGCGTGCGCAAGGGACATTTTGAAATTCTAGAGACGTATGCGCCCCCGGCATCCCACCCCGCGCGACCAAAGCCACCATTTGGTGTGCGGGAAGAGGATACTAGAGAAGGAACTGCGGACCTGAGCAGTCCTCACAAGAGCCTGTACGAGAAGTTGCAACAGGCGTACGGGTTCATGGTGGGCTGTCAAGATCGCGAGGAGGAACTCACGAAGAGATGGAGGACGACAATGGGCCCGTTGACGGAGAAGGATAGGGGTGCTGTGTGGGAGGGCTGGGGCGTAGTCGTTGACAAGGCGATTGAGATGACAAGGGAAGAGAGGAAAGGTGCGTTCCGTTTTGCCAGCGTGGATGGGCCGGTGAGGACTGAGGAACAGGAGAGGCGGATGAGGGAGTTTGAGGAGATGATAGCGGAGGAGGAAGCGGAGGAGGAAGCGAAGGAGAAAGCGGAGGAGGAAGCGAAGGAG